GCGGCTGAGCCGACCCTCTAGATCTCCCAGTGCTGGAACCGGCAGCCACGTCATCAGCAGCATACAGACCAGTCATTGGCAGGGTGGTCCCTGTACTGGTCCTCCGCACGGGCAGCATCGACCCCAGGTATCCACACAGCCGCCGTCCGAGTGTCAGGAGCCCGAAGAACCCCTTCCTCAAGGTTGGCAGCCATGCTTCAACAAAACTGGTGAAGAGAGGCTGCACCGACGTAGGCTCACCATCAGTGAGAGCACAGTACCTTTCCGCAAGCCTGACTAATTCGGCCTGCTGCTCTGGTGACAGCAATACACCGCAACCCTGGAGAGACAAGAGAGCCTTCTGGCGTTGACGCAGGCGGTATAGTTGTGCCTCGTTCTCGATTTTCCAGCTCCTTCGTAACTGGGCGAGGCGGGCGTCCGAAGACCACAAACAGGAGACCCAAGACCAAAACCATCCCATGGTGGTCTTGACTCCTGGAAAGGAGCCAAGAAACACCACCCCCTGAAACACCCAATCATACTATGGTTTGGACGCAGAGGGCTCCCAGTCGAGATCTCTATAAGCACACATTTTGTCAGTACCAAGCTCCGAATGATTTGAGATTGTCCGAAGAAGGAGTGCAGGCTGATCAGAAGTGGAAGCGAGCTGTACCTACGGGAATGGGACCGGAGAGACAAAAACCGAAAACAAAACCACCAGCAGGACCAAGACCGAAACCGAAGACATTTTGAATTTTTTTAAAAATTCAAAAAAAAAAAAACCGAGTAGAAACGGACGAAACCGAGAATCTGAAGTTGTCTTTTTAAAAAAGACTAAAAAACGCAACAAGACGGCGAGTTGGTGCTGCTTGTGATGAAGAAGGAAGAAGAAGAAGAGGAGGAAGAAGTCGACAACAAGATGATTGAGCTGCGGCCGGGGCCCCTCTCTGCCAAGGATGGCAACTGTGACGGGGTATACCTCAGGCTTGACTGCCTAGTCTCACCTGAAAAGCCTCAGGCAGGGCTACGTGCAGCCCGCCTGCTTGCTCTGTGCTTAGGCGAAGCGCAGTAAGATACATGGTGAAGGTATCAGAGGGTCTTTTGTCCGACGAGGCACAACCACGTGCTAGACATGAGTATTTTCTTTCGATTACGAACTATGTCAAAGTTACCGAAGTATCTTTTGGGTTTGAGGTCGAGAGGGTACCTGGACACAGCAAAAGCAAACAAAGCAAAGCAAAGCAAGGGTCATAGCATTACAGATCCTCCAACTTGACGTGGGTGAATCCGGTATGAGCAAAGAAGCAACCTCTAATTCCCAGAAGCAGTATGCTTGCAAACAAAGACTTTGATGACAGAATTACGGCTCCTTAAACGTCAAGTTTTTCCCTACAACCTTGCTCACTACAACCTATTTGACCCTGAATTTGCCTCAGCAAGAAGATAGAGGAAGCCAGAACCAAGCTCAATTTACTCTTCACCCACTTCAGGAAGGACGCAACGTGGTGCTGGATGACATTGTTCTCCCAGTAGATCTTTCGGTACACGAATTCCCATAATTCAACAATCCAAGTACTTGACTCTCAATATACGCTGTGTTGGTACCCTTGCTCCATTGCGTTATGTGTTCGGCATCCTCTCAAGTCATTCAATTGGCAAAATTTGTCTCCGTCTAGCCATGATCTTTCAAAGCACTCTCATTTGGCCTACCTTCGTTTCTCTGTCTCATTCTTGGTTTATCGTCAAAACTTGAGAAACGGGATTTGAGCCTGGATCTGCAGACGTGCCGTTGCTGGCGATCTCCTGCGCATACGGTCACAAGCAAGACTGCGACAACCACTGTATCAAGAGATGGAAGCATATACGCAACGTTTCTTCGTCGAGCCAGCCTCTCCCCGTGGCAGCATTTGAGCAGAAAACCAGGGCGGGTAAAGAGCATGGTCAGTAAGCGAGGACGATCCTGCTCGTCGATGAGGTCGGTAGTCGCTAGCAAGAGTCTGAAGTACAAGATACTGTAGGATATTGAGTATGCTTGACCCGGGAACACGGCGACACGAGTGTCTTCTGCAGTTGGTTGTAGCACATAGAAGCCTTTGGCCCCTGCATAATTTCTATTGAATCAGATTAGGGATTCGCAAAGAAGAAGACGTTGGTGTAAAACTCAAGATTGTCTACACGCGAAAAGACTGTCGCTATGGTACTCCTCAAATAGCAGATGTAATTCTTACAAAGCATTGGACAGTTCTCATGGCAGACATCTGTCCAGAGGCATCCCAAACAATCCTCTAGGCACGTTCGCCAGACAGTCCCGGTCATCCAGACTCAGACGGTCAATCAAAAGCAACGCCATCTCGTCACAATGGTCCGCGTCCTGGAACACAGAACAGTCGAAGGAGCTGTTCTCCACAATGTACCTCACACTACTGGAGCGCTGTAGACAGTCAACCTCCGACGGACTGATAGTGCAGGCAGCGCCCTGAACGGTTGTCGTGGTAGTGGCAGTTACTGGGACCGGCTTAGGCGGGATGGTGACGCCAGACGGAATGATCGCAATATCGTTCGCATCACAGGTGACCCCGAGAGTAAGGAGTCTGCTTGCATACGATATATCCGCTGCCGTCAAAGCCTCTAAAACGGGTATGCAGGTTGTGAACATTGGATCGTTTATGTAGACAGTGACTGCAGCTAGAACTGTTGGGTCTGTGCAGGTCGCTGGATTCGACAAACACGACTGTGCATATGGTGATTTGAGTATTTGGAGTGTGTTCAGATAAGGCAAGCAATTGAATTGAAGGGACGAGAGGGGACAGGGTACACTGCTAGTTGTCGAAGTGGATGTTGCTGATGATGTGCTACTGCTTGTGTCTGAAAACGTAGTTGTTGAACCAGTCGAAGTATCAGTAGTGGTTGTTGTGGTAGTGCTGTCTGGAGATGTTGTGGTTGGGCTACTGCTAAACGTGGTCGTTGTGGTCGTGGTAGTGATCGGCGTAGTGGTAGTGGTCGTTGTAGTGGTCGTCGTCGAAGGCGTGGAAATTACGACGATGGGCGATGTTGTGGTAGTTGTCGGCACTTGCTGTCCGTCAATGGTCTGGCTCAGAAACTCGCCAGTCGTTGTGCTGCTACTTGTGGAGGTGCTCCTGGAGGTCGATACCGATGAGGTAGTTGTTGAGCTCTTATCACTGCTGCTTGTGCTTGTTATGGAAGTGGTGGTCGTCGTCTTGGTCGAAGTCTTGGTTGATGTGCCAGTAGTACCTCTATTTGAGCTCGAGGATGTTTTGGTCGTAGTCTTTGACGTGGTAGTAGTTGTTTTCGTCGTGGTCTTCGAGGTAGTGGTTGATTTCGAGGTTGTCGTGGATAGCGTCTTAGTTGTGGTTGTTGTGGTGGAAAGCTTCACTGTTTGTGGCGGCTGTATGCACGAGCAAAATGTTTTGGCAATGTTGCTCGCCACTATTGACAGGGAGGACATCAACTCGGCATTGTTGTTGACCTTAGTGGTTGTCGTCGATGTTCTCAGCGTCGTTGGCGTACTGCTTTTGGGGAGCGTTGTGGACGTAATGGTCGTGGTCCTGGTCGTTGTAGTTGTAGTTGTAGTTGAGCTGGAAGTACTTGTAGGTGGCAGTGGTGTGCCATCTGCGATAGTGTTCACTGCTGTTCCTTGCCTCTTTACCAGATTTGCACGACGCGCGTTAACGATGACAGTCGAGCGCGGAAACCTGCTTGAACAAAACGATTGTGCTGGAGCGTACGTCGCGAGAGGCTGCAGAATGCTGTACAAGCCGCTGGAACACACTGGGTCAGCTATAGCGATGGAATTGAGGAGTGCCAAGCACGTCAACCATGGCACGGGCCTCATTCTCGTATAGACGCCTCAAAAATGCATGCACAGAACGAAGCACGAAATCAGGCAAGAAACGAGTTGCACATAACACGAACATATTGGATACTATGAGAGAGTATAGCAAAATTCAGTGCGCCTCAAAAATGAGACACAGCTGAACGAAGGTTCACAAAAGTTCATGCCAACGTGGACTGGGTGAGCATCGCCAAAGTGTACTATGCTCTGAGTTCGGATTTCGAGAATCGAGACCTCAAGCTAGGCCTAGAGAAGTTTCGTGGACTCTATTTTCCCGCATTTCGGACTGCCCAGACGTGAACAGCAGGTCTCTTGGCAGATCGACATCCTCGGCACCGTTTTCCACGATTCGCTCACGCGCTTGTCTTGTAGCTCGAAAGTTACCATCAAAGAAGGAGTCCAAGGCATGCAACAAAGTTTCACAGCGAGTCAGGGACTGATCGAAGTCCCTTTAGCAAGAGCCTGGGTTGACGCCGATGCAATGTGAGCCTCCTCAAACTTTCTTCCACCGATGACGAATATTTGTCTAGCAGTGGTCCATGAATAATGAAGCATCATTTCCTACTGAAACCTGGAGATAGTCTGTTCTTGAGAGGGAGCCTTACGAAAACGACATATATGTTCCTCGCCGTTTACTGAGAGAAAGAGATGAACTGAAACCGAAGTCCCAATCCACATTCACCACAGGTTGGTTTCTGGGGCAGCTTCCTCCAATAAAAGATATGACGAGTGGGCATGTCGTTGTATACAAGGTTCTTTTCAGATATTCCACGCCTTCGAATATCGCCAGTCTGCACGAGCGAAGAACGTTGTCAGTAGATCCTCCGAACAGCACAGTAGGGCTGTCAAATACAGACTTCCTCGAAGAGAGCTCGTTCACTCATTCTTTCCAACTGAGACGTCCATCAACCGAGTACACGACAAGTTTCCCTACAAGGACTTGGACATGTCGATGTCAGTAAGACATCCGAAACGTTGAGACAATTTGCTTTCAGTTCAGACAACGAGCATACAATCGCGTGGACAATGCGCGTTCTGAGATTCGTTGTCGTAAGCTTGGTACAATGCCTTTTGCTCTTGCTTCTTAAGCAGTGCTGTTCTCTACACCCATATGTTCGAATACGCCGTCCACCTCCCTGTTGAGCAGTCGCAGAAGCCAGTCTAAGTCATGGATGACTTACCTCTTTATCCAGGACTTGAAAGCCCCTTAAACTTCGACTTTCGAGTCGAACCATCAACATACCCACAAGCAAGCCTGCCGCGAGACAATACCCAGCAATTGACTAACGAAGCCATAGACGTTGCGATCACGAAATCTACTCCTAGTCACGTTGATCGTGGGCCCGAGATAGATTATGAACATATTATCGACAGTAAGTTCGAGCTTTTTGATTTCGAAAACTTCCCGCAAGACGAGAAAGTTCTGAGAGGTGGACTCGTTGACGCCATTATCTTTATTCACAAAGGTGCTGAGATCATGGCTAACATGAAAGACATAGGAGCAAGTCAATCATTCCTACGCTACTTCCGTGAGCAGGATACACCCACCGTCCTCTACGTGTTATCGAGCTTGGCCTCACGACTGGGAGCAGCCGGATATCCACAGCATACCTGGAGTCAACCACGTTTGAAGCTATACCATTACACTGCTTCGCGCGTTGAGGTTGTAAGTCAGCCCGGAGGTTTGGCGTACATGTCGGGAGCGTACGGTCCTGACAGGCTTGAGGAAGAATACATGGTCGTATGCCGCCTGTTACTCGAGGGTCGAGATCAAGGATTCACAACCGGTGATTCACAACGTCTGTCAGACATCGACGGTACGGACCTGGGGTTCTGCGCGTCTTCAGCCATGTACTTCGTCGGTCTGACGCTGGTCCATGAGCTTCTTCATTCACGAGACCTGGGCTCAATATTTTGTGGTCCTCCAAATAAAGCTAATGTCCCCTGCTCCACAACCATAGATGATGTGGTGTTTGTGTCTCCTACGACTGGACTATTCATCCAGACTTATGGACCATGGGTCTCGCAGGAGCTTCGACGTGCTCATCCGGAATGGTGCACGCACAGCGTAGAGCCTTATGTCTGGTTTCTATCAGAAGAGTTCTGGAAATGGCGTACTGGAAGGCTTGAGGAGTGGGAAGATACTCCTATGACTTCTGACCTCTTCTGGAACTGGATGGAACATTTAAACGAAGACCTCGAGGGAGTGCAGGAGATGTTTGAAGCAGAGGAAGCAAAAATATCAGTGCCCTGCGTGACAGACACATTGCAGGCAATATGGACCTTCGTCTATCTCGTGATATTGATGCAGATCGGGCTGCTGTTGCTGTGTGAACAGGATCTTTGGTGGCAGCAGCATATATTTCGCGTGAAAGAGAGTGACATGCTTTCATGGGCACAGCTGCCACACTCGAAGTCGGCACCTGCGAGAAAGCTGCGGATCCTCGACTTTCCTGCTGGACAGGATATGGAAAAATTAACGATTTAATCACAAATTAATTTTGCATGCGTTTGTCATATTTGATACTCTTATTCTCTCACCCTTCACCGCAGATGCGCTGACCTCTATCTCAATCAAATCTCACCATGAGCTCCGATAACAATAACCCTGATCGTTCTTATCCACTCGTCTGCCAGAAACGCGATTGCAGCTTCCCAACTCGCCAGACTACCGTGAACCTCTCAAGCATTCAATATGGACCGCTTTTGGCAAAAATCAGTAAGTGTACTCCGCCGCGAGTTTTCTAGGTATTCCACAGACGACGATAGCTTTGGTACGTCACTGTAGATGCTTAGAAGAACTGAATGAACACGTCGAATATGTCGATAAACAAACTATTGGTCACTGACCCATATTGCTGCCCGGGGCTGGGCCAGTCGTCAACGGCCTGAGCAGAACGACCACCTCTTAGTATTGCAATCCGTTTCTGTATGTTTGTCGAGACATGTTGTGCTACAAAGATCCGACCGTCGTGGGAAATATGTCATTGACAGCTACAGAATTTTCAATTGAAGTAATTCGGAGGCTCTAGAGTAGACCTAATTAGCCATCTCCGGTGCGAATCGTCCAGCTGTTTGTCGAGAGCCTTCTGGAACTTGTGACTCATCATCCACTCCTCCATTCCTTCCCAAGCACAAGTAAAGTACCAAGACACTGTCACACACTTTCCTCTCAGGTCGGCCGTCTCACTAATATCGTCCTGGTCGATGACCTGGAAATGGTCCGATGGCAGTATACGATGACGACCTACGCCTTCTGTCACTGCGTATAGGTGTGATCTTCCACGTGACCGTAGCAGGTCGATAATATCGTCTTTGTCGTAAAGCCACTGGATGAGGACGAGGCAGCCACCTTCCTCACGATCGTAGCGAATTTCCAGAATCTTGGCGAATCCCTCGTAGCCAACCCTGATGATGTCGTCGACGAAGATCCGCTCGTCGTTGGGCAGGTCAACGTGGTGGCGGTATCTGAGAGACTCCCAGACAGGAATGGTCTTGCGACGAGGTTGGATATCGTAAACCTTCGTCGCGAAGTGGATGGTATCGACTTTGTATTTGACTGGAAGTGAGTCTTCATCTTCCGTGAGGTCGTCGTCTTCCTCATCTTCCTCATCTTCTTCTGAGGCGTCTTCATCCTCGTCTTCCCAGGGCTCTTGTTCTGTCTTTCTCACGATGGTCACCTTCTTCTCAACTTGCTCTTCTTCGGAGCTTTCCTCTTCATCACCTTCCGAGCTTTCTTCTTGTGCCCTTCTTTTGAGGGCCAAGCAAGCTTTTAATTCACCTCTCGAGATCAAACGCTTCCTTGGCCGGCATTCCTCCTCGTCTGCTTCATCCGAACTGGTCTCGACATCCTCGCCGAGCAGTCGCATACGAGCCTTCCATTTACCACGCGAGTTCAGACGCTTCCTCTTGTGGTTCTGGGCTGGTTTAGAGCTAGCATCAGCATGCTGTGTGCTTTCAATAGCTGCTTTGGTTGACTGCATGGTTGTGTTAGAGGTTTGCTGGAAGATATCAATGAAGCTCACGTACAGGTATAATGTTATAGGCCATGCGGCGCGACCTTGGGTCGTAAGGATCTGGTCGTACCTTGTTACAACCGGCGGAGCGTCTCTTTGTGTTCATTGCTGCCATGTTGATGATATTGCTGGCTATACAAGGACTAGGAGCTTGCGGGTATACTGATTGAACGCTGGAGAAGGAACGGTTTCACTTGCCGTCCAGTTATTCGTGGCTGACCATATACATATATATATACATGGGACATGGTGGGTATAGAGGCTAAGTTGAGGACCTGCCGCTGCTTGGACCGAAGTCCGAAAAGCATGCTCTTCTAATGGGAGTCATTGATCTTGCCATCCGATCTGATGAGCAGACCGTGCGAAAGAACTTGCTCTCGGTGAGTGCTTGGAAGTACTCGTGTCTCCCGCATGAGAGGTCGATCGAAGTCCTACAGTAGGTCGTGATCTTGGCAACATATTCAAAGTGGCCATTCTGAGACTCTTGACGATAGTGGAGGACACAATACGGCTTGAAAGTTACTGAACATCCTGCTTGAAAGCAGCAGTCGACGCTCCTAGCACAATCGTGCCAGTGGCCCCATTGAATAGGACGAGGCAAAGTCCTGGTGCTCGAGGATGTTCCCACAATTTTGCCTGAAGCGGGTATACAACTTGATGCCGATGCCATGAATGACATTGCACCTTTAGGGTGCTCCAGGGTGTTTCTAGGCTTCCCGAGTGCCTAAGTACCTATCGCTCAAACCGACGCCCGTCCAAATAAGTGGCCAGACAGTACTAGTAGTGGTTGCGCCGTGGCTCATAACCATGACTTCTGACCGGAGTCATGCAGCTCTGTGGCGTTGTCTAGCGGCAGATCTCAAGCTCCAATTATGCGAGCATTCTTGCCAGCAGATTTGTGTTGCTGAGATTACCTGTTGCCTGGACAGACTCTGGTTCGTGCTTTCTTGAGCAAGATAAAATAGCCACAATCGTCAATCTAGACTGCACAGCGTCGCAAGTCGACAGAGAATATTATACCAAGCCTCAGCTGTCCTAGGAAAGACCTCTGGGAGTCAGCTCAAACGTGGTCACCTACTGCATTCCTCATCAGGGTGCAATGCCTGCTCGACCTAGAAGTACAGCTAACAATACCGAACTTCCGCGACGAGAACATAGTTACTGTTGTTTGCTATACCTCGTTCGCTTTGCACACAATCGCGCAAAGCAAACTTACGACTTCAAGTTGAGTGCTCTTTGTGCTCTGTTGCATCTGTGTCAGAAGTGAGGCATGTCCGGTAATTACGTGTCTTGTCGCTCGAACGTGAGGCTTCTTCTTGTCAAACTGTGGTGACCTGTACCGATGAGGGTTAGCTCTCAGTCTCACTTGCCGAGGCCAAACCTTAAAGCTCAAGTGATCCCTCAAAGTGCGTCATCACAAGTCAAGTCGACCTCAACGAAACTGGCTGTTGTTGCACGACGTTCTACTGTGATGAACAGCTGGCTTGTGTTCTATCACATCTCGTCTGGTCAACATTGAATCGTGCCAGCACCGATTAACCGACGGATGGTCGTCTTGAAAGGACGATGGCGCAAGCGAGATTGCTTGGCTGAGGATTTCTGCGCCAGTGCTCGAGACCACTGACAGCTTCTTCATGGTCTCCAGTGGATATGATCCCACACTTGTGAACTTTTCAACAGAAGCAAACAGCTTTTTACCGTCTCGCGATAGCTGTGCAACCATGTCATCGTTTGAGTATGTTGAAAGTTGGCCAGCTCAGCACAGGTCCATGCGCAATGTCAATAATTTAAGCACAACGATATCGAGGTCGATCCGACTGTAAACAGACCGAACAGGCAAGGTGTCAGTGGCTGAAGACCGCCTATTTGTAAACGATGCCTGTCATTAATACCAAGAAAGACCTAGCAGCTCTGTTCAAAGACCAAGTGGAGGTTAGTCCTGATGCTATAGCCCTTGAGGACGACACTACAACCTACACATATGCCGAGCTAGACCACAAGGTTGAGGCTTTGAGCCAGCAACTTCGACAATATGGAGTCAGCAGAGACAGCCTTGTTGGTGTCCTACTTGGTCGCAGTGCTGAGTATGTAATTGCATGCCTGGCAGCTCTTCGTGCTGGAGGAGCATTCCTTGTCCTCGAGCTCGCCTATCCTCCTGACCTCCTGGCCGATGTCATCGATGATGCCAGCCCAGTCGTCGTTGTAACTCATACATCTGAAGTCGGCAAGATCAAATCAGGTGTACCACTGATCACACTTGACAAAGAGACCGCCAACACCAACGGTCATGCCAAAGAGGCTGCTCCACTCCCAGCTGAAACTGACTTGGATCGCCTTGCTTTCGTCGCCTATTCTTCAGGCACTACCGGCAAACCGAAAGGAATCGCTAATCCACACAGAGCACCTGTCCTCTCATACGATCTCAGATTTCAATTCCAGGATGTTCAGCCAGGCGATCGAGTGGCCTGCAATGTCTTCTTCGTCTGGGAGATACTACGCCCGCTTCTGCGAGGGGCCACTGTTGTCACGGTGCCCGATGAAACCAGCTATGACCCAGTTGCCCTTGTTGACCTCCTCGCCTCGAAAAAGATTACAGAGACACTAATGACACCAACTCTTCTGGCTACCGTTCTTTCCCGACATCCCGATCTCGGACAACGCCTTCCTGATCTCCGCACGTTGTGGTTGAACGGTGAAGTGGTCACCGCCGACCTTGGTCGCCGGGCTATCAAAGCTCTTCCACAAGTACGATTGCTCAATTGCTATAGTGCTTGCGAAACTCACGAAATAGCTTGTGGCGATATTGGTCAGATGCTTGAAGACAAGGCTGTCTACTGCCCTGTTGGTCCTCCAGTCGATCCCAAGCACATCTATGTGCTAGATCAAAACGGCAACAGGGTGGAACCTGGCACAACGGGTGAGCTATTCGTTGGTGGAGCTCTGCTCGCTCGTGGCTACCTCAACCGCCCCGAGACTACTGCTAAAGCATTTATTCGCAACCCATACGATTCCGCTTCTGGTGCTTTGATGTATCGCACTGGCGACGAAGCCAGGTTGTTGCCGTCAGGCAGCCTCGAAATCACAGGCCGTGTCGGTGCTATGATCAAACTTCGTGGCTACTCGGTAGTGCCTGGAAAGGTCGAGAACGCCATCGTTGAGAACTTGGCAGTCAGACAGTGCGCAGTAGTCGCACATGGTGAGGGTCTTGAACGCCAGTTGGTAGCCTATATTGTGCGAGACAAGGAAAACGCCGGTAAACGTCCTCAGATCGAGATCGGCGAATCTGGACACAGTCCCTCAGCTCGAAAGACGTTGTCATCATACCTTGCACAGTACATGCTTCCTGCCCTCTGGGTCGAGCTTGATGAGTTGCCGACACATGAAGTTTCTGGTAAGGCAGATCTCAAGCGTCTGCCTCCGCCGCCTACAGCCAAGTCACAGGTCAATGGCATCAAGACGGAGCAAGATCCGATCAGCAGTGACGCAATAGCTGAAGTGTGGGCCGCTACTTTGCACACGTCGAGAGACAACATCACGGCAGAGCACAATTTTTTTGACCTTGGCGGACACTCTCTGTCACTTGCTGAGTTGGCCTCTAGACTGTCTCGAGCTTTTGGCTTTCGTGTCCCGGTAGCTCGTCTGGCCGATCCTCCAACCCTGAATGGACATCTTGAAACAGTACGATCTGTAAGGGATGGACACACTGCAGCAGTACAAGCCGATCTTCCTGGAGTGTTGAGGAAAGACTCGATCCTAGATGATGAGATCAAACCTCCTTCTCAAGCAAAGCCGTGCTCGCTGAACGAAGCTAAGACAGTCCTTCTTACTGGTGCGACTGGCTTTCTTGGCGCATTTCTTCTCAACGATCTGCTTGTACGCACATCGGCGCATATCCTTTGCCTCGTGCGTTGCAACGAGCCCTCAGAGGCGGAAGTTCCTGCTGGGGTGGCAAGAATACGAAGAAATCTGATTGACCACAGTTTGTGGCATGACTCCATCATGGAGCGAGTCGAGATTGTGCCAGGTAATTTGTCTCGGAAAAGATTCGGACTTTCACCTGAAGCCTTCGAGAAGCTCGGAGCCAGGACAGACGTTATCGTGCATGCTGCCGCTACTGTCAATCTGGTCTACCCTTATGCCGCACTACGTAGCGCCAACGTGGGCGGCACGAAAGAGATTCTACGACTTGCAGCCTTGAAGGGTGCCACTGTCCAACACATCTCGACAAATGGTGTGTTACCGCCTTCTCAAGGTGGTTGGCCTGAGGAAGCAATGCTCGGCGTCGATCACGTTCCAGATAAGCTTCAAGATGGTTATGGCCAGACCAAGTGGGTGGCCGAGCAACTTGTGGTCGAGGCAGGCAGACGAGGACTACCAGTCAGGATCATTCGTGCTGGCACGATCAGTGGTCACAGTTCGACAGGTGCGGCGAACGCTTGGGACCTTCTCAATGCACTCATAGTAGAGTCTATCCATCTAGGTCGCTATCCACAGGTCGAGGGCTGGCGTGCTGAGATGACCCCTGTCGACTTTGTGAGCAAAGCTATCATCCACCTCGCGAACCAAACACATGCGGAGCAACTTGTCTTTCATGTTGGAGATCCAGATCCAGTTGACATCAAAGTGGTCTTCGAACATCTCAGTGACCTTGGCTATCCAGCGGAACCAATTCAGTTCGACGATTGGGTAGCACTATGGAATGAGAAGCGAAGTTCTGTGAAAGGTGGTGACGGCGCTTTCACTGTGGACATTCTGCGCAGTGGTATGCCAAGTGTTGGCTTCCTGAAAGGTATTGTCGTCCTGAACAACACATCAACGAGACCGTTCCGAGCAGTGGTCGAAAGGCCGAAAGTCGATAGTGTTCTGCTGGAGACTTACACTCGGCATTGGTATGCAAGAGGATGGCTCACTCACCCACCGTCACAGCAACAATCGCTTGGAGGCTCGGCTGCTCTTCCTCGCTACGGACCACTGAGTGGTAGAGTGGCTGTCATTACTGGAGCTTCATCTGGTATCGGTGCAGCAGTAGCTGCTGCTTTGGCAAAGGCCGGCGTGCATCTAGCTCTTGCAGCTCGACGTACTGATGCACTAGAGGCTATCAAGCGCAGGCTGGTAATCCGTGAAGGTAAAGTCATTATTCGCAAGACAGACGTAACAGACCGCAAGCAAGTGGAAGCTCTTATGAGAGATGCTGAACACGAACTCGGCCCCGTTGATATCCTCGTCTCATGCGCTGGAGTCATGTACTTCACGATGATGGCCAACTCTCATGTCGAAGAATGGGATCGGACTGTGGACGTCAATTGCAAGGGTTTACTGCACTGTCTCTCTTCCACCGTTCCAGGCATGCTCAAGCGTGGCAGTGGTCATATTGTCGCCATTTCTTCCGATGCAGGTCGAAAGGTCTTTCCTGGTCTTGGTGTCTACTCGGCAAGCAAGTTCTTTGTCGAAGCTACCTTGCAAAGCTTGAGACTCGAAACAGCTGGTACTGGATTGAGAGTGACAAGTGTGCAGCCTGGAAACACGGCAACCGATCTGCTGAGTATGTCTAGCGATGCAGAGGCTATCAAGAAATATGGCGAACCATCTGGGGCAAAGATCTTGGATCCAGATGATGTTGCGGCGTCCATTGTTTATGCGTTGAAACAGCCACAGCATGTGGCTGTGAACGAGATTTTGATTGAGCCTAGAGATGAGCCGATATAGTGCCGAAAGGCTGTTGATCTCCGTGAGATATAGAATTTATTGACGACTTATTTAGTATCTGAGAAGCATAAATGTTGGTTACTGGGGGGTATTCTCTACTTGTCAATGTATACTGTTATGACAAACGATAGCCGTGAGAACGATTAAGATCGTTGCGACTATACTGATTTTCCGTCCACAATGTACGCGGAGGAATCGAGTGCTCTCGCGCGATGTCTGACCAGATTGCTTTGTCTCACTCATTCACTTGCCAGGTATCTTACTTGCACGATGCCTCTTCCATTGATCGAACCGTCGCAGATGCGAAGATCATTAGCTCGACCACAAGACAATGATATAGACAAAGTTTAAATGGCTTGTTGTTGCCTCTCAAGCTCTGCAAACGGTCAATTGTGATGACCTTCTTTGTCTATATTGCTGCGATGGATTTCCTCCTCTCCCTTGCTCGGCTCAATTCCTAGGCGACGAAAATAGGAACAAAGAAATCAAGTATGTGCATCGCAAGTCAGGTAGTCGTCGCATAGTGTTCTGTGCAATCACGAAGTGACACCCATTGTAGCCGCCTGGTTGCCTCTTGAATGTTAAGATGTTCAGACTCGAGCGAATACCTTTTAGAGGCCAGAACGGTCAGAATGGTCAAGACAATGCTTCAACTTCACCAGATGCGAGCCAGGAGAACGTTGCAGAAGACGCTCGGCTCTCAAAAGATGTCAAGGATTTACGTGATCGGCTCGATCAGATGATGGATATGTTCAAAAACCAATTTCAAAGAATCTCTGTATGTCCATTTGTGTTTGCTGCCGGGAAGCAGCATTCCGCTTGCCGCTTGTATTATGCTGACGACTGACTGACCCGGTATAGTCTCCTCTCTTCCTTGGTGAGCGCCTAGAGATGAACAGACAATATGAGGCGTTCAGTAAGGAAAGGAATGAGTTGTAAGTACTTCCTTCCTCCTTTGCATTTTTCATACTCAAACCAGCTCTCTGTCATGAAAAATCTAACTCGCCCCCCATAGTAAGAAAGAAATCCACAAAACCAACACCACAATGAAAGACTACACCTCCACCATTCACCGCACAGGCGAAAAACTTCGCAACCTAGTCGCCACACAAGCAGACGACATATCCGCCATCAAGACCGACCTCCGCAAGACCGAGAAAAATCACCAAACAAATCAAACCTGGTTGCACAAGAGGATTCTGGAGCAGCAAGGTGTGATAAATGCGCAGCAGGCGCAGATGAATAATATGGTGGGGTGGCAGCAGAAGACGTTTGAGGAGATTAAGACTTTGGAGGGGCAGGTTGCGTGGTTGAGGAATGAGATGTGGCAGTTGAGTGGGAGGTCTGGTGCGCCGGTTAATCAGGCGGGAAGTGGCGGAAACACTGGCAGTGGAGGGAATGGCGGGAGTGGAGGAGGTGGTAACACTAATGGAGCGAGCGGAACAGGTGGGACAGGAAGTGGCGGCGGAAATGCTGGTACGCAGACTGGTGGTCAGGGGGAGAAGTCAACGGTTGTCGAAGACAGTGATGATGAACTGTAAGACCTCGATGCACGTAGATCATCTCTCGATACTGTCAGCCTTGAGAGAACATCTTTCATCGCATACTTGTTCCCTTCTGTCAGATGTATGTCTGAGTACGGCTGAGACCGATGCTCCTGGTCGTGCAGTCCTTCGGCTCCAGGATTAGAGCATTTCAACACCACTTCGTCATCAATTGGTTCCTAGTTCTGACCCTGTAAAAGTGCCACACATCTAGTCCAATAGCTCTGAAGATGCATTGACTACCTCTTGCAATTTGACGATCCAGATTTTGTTCTGACCCAGAATGACTAGTACATCTCCTGCAAGCTCAAATTGCACAATAGCCGTCTTGACAGGATCTCTGGTAAAGTAATATGCATTGAACACCCCGAGAACTCTTCCAGTAGGCGCTCTCACAACGACGCCCTCTCCTTCAGCTGTCCAGACTCTGCCTTTGTTGTCGATCCTGATGCCATCTGGCGCTTGCATTCGAGCTACTCCGAAGATGCGTTTGTTTACGGGCCACATCTCGTCATCGAGGTCGTATCTGTAGATTGCAGGCGCTCCAACTTTGGCGGGTAGTCCCCAGACTCGACTTCTCTCTCCGCCACCGAAATCCGTCAGCCATAGTGCTTTGTGATCTTTTGAGGGTCGTATGCCGTTTGCGACTGGGAACTCGGTGCGACTAATGGCTGGTAGTAGCAGTTTTTCTTGTGGATCCCATCTCCATAGTCCTGAGGGCAGCGTGTTGGTTGGCTGCGATCCGTCGGGGTAAGGTAGGATAGTGATGAACATGTAAGACCTTTTTGTGGTTGAATTCGTGACCCAGGTAATATCGTCGATATTGTCGAATTTTAAACCAAAGTAGGAGTTCAGGATCCATTCGACCTTGCCAGTGCTGGGATCGATTGCGACAACGCCTCCAGGCCATTTTCTGGAATCGTCCCGGGGACAAGTGAAGTAGACTCGACCATCGTGGTAGTAGCCACCATTGGGGTTCTCGAGAGGCTCTGAAGTTGATAGTTTCCGTGTCTTCTTTTCTTTCAAGTTGAGGACTTCAACGTGAGTCAGACCATCGTTGATCCAGGTCGTGTACCAGACTTCATCGCGCTCTGGAATCCAGACTCCTGCTTCACCTGCGAAATTCTGTTCTCGCTCCTCAATTAGCTTGATGAATGGACCTGGTCCAACAATGTCGACAAAGGCGTCATCATAAGAGATGCATGGTGCCTGAGTGGCAGCTTTCGACAAGTCATTGACTGCTGAATCCGAAGTTGAGGTGGCGTGTGTAAAAGTGTCGAAAATGTTTCCTTCGAAACGCCGTGGCAGCAAATATGTTAGTTTGAAGGGCACGGAAATAGTCTTGTTAACAGGAGTGTTCATACTTTGACTTTGCATTGACCAGGGTCGACAAATCTAGTGGTGTGCTAGAAGCATTGGACCTGGCGACAACATGAATAAATGTGCACGATCATCGCCAGAGCAGATCAGCTCGCCAATGACGTGAGCATTGAGTCGTCCATTGTATATCTCTCATGAACGATGACCACAAAAACCATTCCTGCACAACGTTTTCTGAATCACTTCATTTTGCAGCCTTTGAAACCAGAATGGGGATATGAGCTTCACTTTTGAGCGAGGCACGATAACCAAGGATACTCCGTGTAGCAGGCGGTGTCCGGACACGACCAATTTCGTCACACCTTCCCATCCTAGCGGTAGGCACCGGTTGTAGTGGTCGGCGCCTGGAACAGTGCCCAACGTGAAGATCAAAATACACAAATCGCCGGGTCACAAGCGCATTCTTTGACCTTCTCGGTCCGGCCGACAATGACTCGATGTTATGATGACTTCGCTATCGACCACCGTCAATGAAGCGTTTCCGTGCTCATGGGTCTACCATAGATATTTTGCACATAGCTGTGGCCAGTCGACTGCCTCACTGGGCGCAGGTCTTTCGCGCGCCGTGGCTGACTCTGTGTGTGCAACGCAAAATGAATTTCCTTCACATCGAACGATTCTGCAAAGATAATACCTGAATGAGGTGGAGCATCCCAGTCCCCTAGCAGAAGTAGCCTACGCGATGTGAGGTTGATTCATGGCTACTAGTTGCATCTATCCTGCTATGAGCGCAGATGGGCATGCCTTGGTCATTCAAGGTGATGTCTAGGGTAATACCCAGACCACTGGCCTAAAGGAGGAGCAGAAGTGCCACCAGCTCTCCAAGATCTGCTTCAGGGACACCTGCTAATATAGGAACCTTTCGCGTGTCGCAGATACACGTGGCTGGTCACCAGAACGTGGCACCACCTGCTTGAGCACCTTTGTAACCCATGGTGTTCAGGCGCGATGGTGATGGTGGTTTCGATCACAGCTTCTCCCGTTTTCCACCCCAACAACTCACCTTACGGCGATCCAGCTGCGGTACCCTCCGCTACTGCGAGTATGGAGCAGACTGACAGGTGTAGAGTTTGTCCTCTGAGTTGTTGCAATATCACGGCTATCAAATTCTTGTCCATAATATGTAGTCGCTGCCTGCATAGATCGTGAGCTCGAAGGCGGCGGGCACTTAGTGTTGGGCAACCTGCATCAGAATGATTTGATTCGGCACGCAGACTCAATTGCGATTGTGCGATGGTGCAATGGCTTGTGCCAGTCCAGTAGTAGAAGTTCCCCAGGTATGCCGTCAGTTATGTAGTGGTAGCCCCGATGGAATAGGTACAACTCGGGGCTTATTCGGCCCGATCGTTCTTGGCTGACTTTGCTCCACCTCCACCAATGTTTTCAGCTTCGCTGTGTTCAGTCCATCCAATTTACCGTCGCAAGTACAATACTGCTGTGAGCTCCATGATATGTAAGATCAGTCTTCCGCCATAGATGACTCAACCTATCATTTCGAAGCCATCTGTCCAGCTCACTTGCGTACAATGTCAACAACGGAAAAGGAAGTGCGATAAGCAATTGCCCTGCCAATCGTGCAGACATAGGGGCATCGAATGCATAGCAGTCACCCGTGCACGAAGACCACGCGGACGTCAAGCCGCACGTCGAGTATCTGGTGTTGAGCATAGCATATCGAGGCTGGAAACCCTTCTGGAGACACATGAATCACACAATGCCCGTCGCGCTCGAGACGACTGGGCTCGTACTGCTGCTCAAGAGGTAAGGACGATGAACGAACTGCTCAGTCCACAGAATCTCATAAAGACCTGCAGGTGGCAGGACTTCGGGAGCTCTTAATCACAGATAGCAATTCTGACCACGAGGAGCACAATGCGATAGTTACACCATCCACTACCACAAATCCAAGCTCGGAAGGAGGCAGTCTTTCTCATTTGTCTATTCCCACTTCTTGGCCGAGTAAAGCTGTCAGATACGCACTGCTGGATGTATACCTCCAACGTATCGATCCGATTCTGAAGATCGTCCACCCATCGTCGACACGTTCTTTGCTACTCGAAACACCGGCGCCGACATGTGATGAAGGAGCGTTGGTTTCAGCAATATTCTTCTCTGCGATTTGCAGTCTTGACGAGCAAGAATGCCTCGAAATAATCGGTGAGCAGAAAAGTGTCCTTTCGCAACAATGTCGCAACAATGTCGAGGTCCTCCTGAAGAGCACGAATTTTTACTTAAATACAACTCTCACCTCTTTACAAGCCTTCGTTCTATATATGGTAAGTTTGTCTGTTCTTCCAGCCTCTTTACTGATTATTTACAGATAGGACTACGTACAATCGAAGGATGGCGTCCAATATGGTCTTTGGTAGCTGTTGCTAGTCGCCTCGCTCAAATGCTGGGTTTCAATAGAAACGAGAACAAGCCGCCAACTTATACAACTGAAATGCAGCGACGAGTCTGGTACACCATCAACATTCTCGAATTACAAGCAGCGCTCGACGGGGGATCGTTCTCAGCATACATTAGCACTGTATCGCTTGGACCGATGCCGCTTCACATCAACGATAGCGATATTTTGGCCCACCGCAGCCCGAGCGCTACCTCATTTACAAGCCCAATGGACATGACTTTTGCAAGCATGACACACTCAATGCTACAGTACATAAGAAGACTGGTGCATAACCTTTCTGATTCAAGTGGACGTCCTTTGTTGCAACAGCAGTGGTCTGAACGTTTCGCCATAGCCAGTGATTGTGCTCAGTTGTTAAGTCAACGATATCTATGCCTCTGTGATACAACGACTGGTTTCGGGCTCTTCACTAGAACAGTAGGGGAGGACATGATTCTGACGATCAACCTGCTTGCTCGACGTCCAATCTATCCATTCCTGGCCTCAGGTCCACCTCTAGATGACGGTTTTGATGTCCTAGCAACAGCCATGGAGGTGTTGAGTCGAGGTGCACACAAGTACACCAACGTTCAGTTTCGGCCGTGGCGCTGGTTTGCGTGGAACAAATGGTACGCACTTGCTATTCTTTTGGCAGAACTTTGTGAGCATACATCAAGCCCACACTTCGAATATGCATGGATGGTGGCTAAGTCGGCGTACCAGTATCAACAGGATGCGGCATGCGATGGAGCCATTCGTAATGCGATGTCAAAACTGATACAGAAAGCTCTCCTTCGCAGAAGACAATTGATCCTCAGCTCAGCACCAGATTTGATGGTTACCGATCAGGAGGACGTGCGGATAGAATTGCCCAAGACTGACACAGAGAGCGATGTTCAACACTCCGAACCTTCACCGAACATTCAGTACGTATACACGAGTACGACAACGACTTCAGATCAAGTAGTCGCGAACCTTGACAACACAACATCTTCCTGGTTGGAATGGGACGAGTTCGTGAACAATGTTGGCTATTTTAACACAGCTTACACTCCCTGAACCTCTCCACAGCAGGAACACAACCCTAGATACTTGTCACACCGGGCTTGATCATTTCCAGCCTCTCCACTAATTCCGACCAGAATTTTCTCTGCACTGCCCGGCTTTCTTCACCCTTGATAAAGGTGGACTCTGTCTTGGGCCGGCATTCGCTCAGATACCTCCCATGACACGACGAGTCTGCTGTTATCGCATGTACCAATGTCCGACTTCCTTCTTCGGAAGTCCTGCCTATTAGGCGCAAGCCAGTCCGTTTCGCAAATCCACCATCGTTCGTGCGGAAAAGCTCGGTTTTGCACCATCCAGGATTGATGAAAGTGATGATCACAGGTGCTTGACCTGTGGGTTCAACCAGCTCCGCTAGCGATCGGACAGCCAACAAGAGTAAGAGTTTGCTGAGGTTGTACCTATCCTCCATGTCTGCTTTAGCTTTGTCGTTGAGCGACTCGAAAATCGATCCTGGTCCAGATATGTATTGAGATTTTGCGAAGATGTGCGCGACAGAGCCCGTGAAAGCCAGCTGCGACGGCTGCTTTTGTGCTTTTGCAGTCTCTTTCAGCTTGGGAAGAGCCAGGAATGCTATCAACATGGTCGACACAACATTCACAGTCAACATGGATTCGAAGCCTTCAAACATTTTCCATTCGTGAGTGTCTATGCCAGCATTTGCGATGGACGCATCAAGCCTGTCGAGGGTGCGCAGTTGGTCGCCGAATGCAAGCACTGACTGGAAATTCGACTGATCGAGCTGCCATATCTCGACGACTCCACCGCCAGAGGAAGACTTTGACGAGGCGATGATGTCTTCCCGAGCACGTTCGCCTTTCTCTGTACTTCGGCAAGCGAGAACCAAGCGTGATGCACCAAGTCGATGACTTCACAATGGTTAACAATCAACTCGGAGTCATGGGATATGGATCAACCCACATGTGTTTTGCAGCATCAAAGCCAAGGCCAACGTTCGCTCCTGTGATAACAATGGTCTTTCCACTAAACTTGGTGTTTGGCAAGACTGTGTCCTGGAGGATCTGGCCAATGTTCATCTGGACCAAATCACCTAAATAGCCCATTTTTGCGGATATGCTGGAGTCGAGTGTTTGGGACGACCTCTTTTCCAAAATTATTCGGCTCTACCTGGAACAAGTCCAGACGAGTATGAGCAAGCCATTATATACATGTTCGCTGCGGCTTCTGTAACCCTCTCTTTCACCTGTAAAGAAGAGCAATATCGACGTAGTGCGCACTCTCAAAACCCGCAAAACCCGCAAAGCAAGAGACCCTTGTGTGGATCCTTACAAAACCCGGTGTGGTTAGCGTGACCTGGCTGACCGTGTTCAGCAGCGGTGGCAGTTTCAAGACATTGCTTTATACGTACGATGAAATGCTGGTCGCACACGCCTCGACCTTTACTGCTCTACATAACCGCACTGTAAGGCCATCATTCTCATCTTGCTGCCATCGTCGAGGTCAACAACCTGGAGTCGAGTGGCACTGTGAAGGCTTGTGCCTCAGGCGTTCTGTCCCATCCATCAACGTCCGATAATGGGCCAATCACAGACATGCGGCTTTTGCATTCCTGTCCAGGTTTCTGCGGGTTTTGTCAGGGTTTTGAAGGTTCTCCGGAGAAACCTCCAGAAACCCGACCGACTCGGACAGGAAAGTCGGATTATTGTAGGCCGTGAATTCATGATGGCCAAGAGTGTAGGATGTGCAAGTTGTGATTGTGAGGTGCATGCTAAAATTATCACGTTAACAGTACGCTCTTTGAGACTTGCTGTACATCGACTAGCTCGGACTACTTTTGATACACGTACGCCTGCGCAGTCCCCTCACATCCAGATCTACCACAACTTCCACTTGACAGCAAGAGGTTCCGCTGGCTGCAGTCCTCTAACCATCTCCTCCAACTTCGCCATAGCTTCTTCATGCTGCATCATTCTGACGTGCTCGTATCGGCCCAACACCTGTTCAAGCACCTCCTCGATACGACCTAGCAATCCACTCATGCCTCGACCTTGACCAGTGCTGAGGCAGAGATCTGACCCGCACCATCCACAATACCACAGGGCGAGCCAGACACCTGTAGCGACTGCGCTGACAAGGAAGAGCCAGTAGGCAGGGTATTTTATCCATCCCCAAGGAACCGCTGAGAGGAAGTTCCTTCGAGGTGCTCGGACAGTTGCGACTGTCCCTGCGTTAGCATCAGGCTTGTTCGAACGCTTTGCACGTGAAGCCCGCAATATACGAAGGATTGCATCCCGAATAGACACCAATGTCCGGACAAGATTGTCAACAAGTTTGGTGAGATCTCGCTTGAGGGCATGGTATGCGCGTGGAAGGACTATAGCAATCTGACGGAATGGCCACGTAATAACTGACTGAATGGTGTGCAGAATCGTTATAACGATGCCTCCAATGTTGTTGAAGAAGTAGATCAGCCATCCATGGATCCTGTTGATGGAGTAGATAGCATAATCTCGAAGAGTGCTGTATGTGCAAACCAGAGCATCTCGAACACTTTTGCAAAAGTACAGCATACTGGCTTTGACAGCATTGTAGAGGTAGATGAGTGCAGCCTCCATGTAGTCGCAGCCGTCTAAGATGACTGCCCCACAAGCAGAACTTATTCTTCGTGTTAAGGCTTGCAAGGCAAAGATAGCGTCTTCTGTTGCGATCCATGTCTTCGTGAGTGCTCGACCTAGCCAAGGGATGAATGGTCCATCCATGGGATAGTCGAGGACAATGGCAACCACAAGCGTGGTCCCAAGCGCAGCAAGCGAGCATTGCTTCCAGTTCAATGCCTTAACAGTCTCCTCGATAAGTTCTGCCGCTTCTGAGCGGAAGTAAATACCAAGTCCAAGAGTAAGCAGAGCAAACAATCGTCGATAGAGACCTTCAGGTGCTGTAAACCAGGCCCAGAGTTGTTGGACCCAGTGTATTGTGCCCCAGAAGGCATTCTTTAAGAAGTTCCAGCTTGCCAGGACCGCGATAATGAAAGAGCTGTAAGCTGCTTTTACCGATGTGACGCAGAACTTTGCAAACCACTGGAGGCCGCTACCGATTGAGTTAGCAGCGAAGCCAATTCCGTGCCACATGCTACCAAGAAATCGTCCAGGCCCCAACACCCACTCAAGAATTGTTGTCAAAATGGCTTCTTGAGCACCGCAGATCGCCCAATCAGTCCAGTCCCAGTAATGACAACCGTCGAACGCACCGAATCTCCACAGCATGGTATTGATGCAGATCCAAGCGAAAAGCCAAGGGAAGTTTTCACGAGTAGCTAAACTCCTGATTCCTCCCCAGGTTTGAAGAGCTGCATTCTTGCTTCCTCTCCCTGCAGCTTCGGCTGTCGCTTGAGCTGGAAGCAGTACCTTGTCTATCCAAAGTCTTTGACATTCTCGAATGATAGCCCCGGTACCTCTGAAAGCTCCAGCAGCCAGACGGAGCAGCTCGTGGTAGAACCCGCCAAGAGCATTGATCAGCTTCTTGACATATGGCAAAGGATTGAGTTTGTGTAGAATCCATCCAATCCATCCTAGTAGCTCTTTAGCTGCCGCAGTGGTGGCCTTGCTCACTCTTCTGGCAAGGTGGTTTGTACGCAACACGAAACGTGGTATGGTAACATTAAATTCGTTCTCATAGTCTGGGAATTGTGGATCTTCCATTTTGATGGTAACGAAAAGCTGGGTATTAAGCTGGAAGACTCGAAAAATGTCCTTGACAAAGCTAGCGACTAGACGCTCTCCTTTTCTAGTTGGAACGTCCACTTCTTTTGGTTCTGTTTCCTGCTGAAGGTTATTGTTGTGGTCAATTGCTTGGGCTGTATTCTCCTCATGCTGCGTCGGAGATACGTCGTCGTCATCCTTTACTAGCATGCCAGGAATCATGACGCCACCATCCACAAGGCTTGTTATAGGAGGCTCACTGTCCGTAAGTTCCAGGTATACGTTCAAGAGTTCTTCCGTCGTCATGTATGGATTCTCCACGATCTTTGCCAGAACACCTGTCAGTCGTGCTGGAACGATTAACTGATTGTCCTGAAGCAAGTGGAATCTTTCCTTTCTTATGTGCTCGATATCTGTGGCAAATCGATGCTGTGTGTCAGTGACTGTACTGGGAAAGATGAAGTCACCCATAGGACCATAACCATGAGGATAAGAAGTATGGTGGAATTTCGCTTGCCAATTACCCAGGCCGGTGTCCTTTTTGATGTAGGGAACAGATCCGCGCAGATTTCGGTCGAGACGTGGGGGCACGTTATCACGGGCTCTGTACAAAATGGTCAGCTAGGCCAACATACAGCACAAACCATCTTTGCTTACCTGGGGATCCGAGTTGGCCGATTTCTTAATGCTTCAAATGGTTGAGTGTCTGTGTTGTTCCTCGGCTGTCGTCTTCGAACATCTCCAGGAGTGAGCCTCTGCCGGGACGATTGCGTGGAAGTTTGTAAAGACTGTGTTTCGTCTGTCGTCCGGAACTCGCGTTGCGCAGACGAGGAGGCATATAAGTCTTGCTCTTCCTCCACTCTCTGTGTGTCGAGCTCATCTGCCACCTTATCTCTTGATACATTGGCTGTAGGTCCTTCCTGACTACTTTCTCGGATACTGTCGATGGGGGACTGAGGCTCATTGTCTTTCCCTGTTGCGTTTGCCATAACTCCAAACAGCTGTCTCTTTAGACGGATGGGACCTTGCTAATTCGGATTGTGAATCAAGTATTGTAGGGAGGAGGGTGAGGTAAGGACGAAGAAAGTGAGTAAGTGCTTGTATGTTGTGTGTGGACGCCATGGTGTGGACGAATCCGGCCTCCTCTCTGCCAGCAGACAACGAAGACAGACATGAAAGACAGATGCAAAGACGCAAACAAAAGAGTTGTGGTTGAAAGCAGAGCTCTGACCAAGCGAAGTTTCCGGAAGCTGACTAGTGTGTGCACTGTCCAGAAAGGTGTACAAAGCGTCGCTCGGTCAGTTCGACATGATGAAGACCCAGGCCTGGATTGAAAATGTGCATACAGTGGCTAGCCACCATCGTACCAGGTAGTATGCAGAGTCGACGATCGAGGACGAAGTAGAGCCCAGGCAAGCATTCAAAACCGGGCAGTCGTAAACATCTTGCTTATCGTCAAAGAAGCGATACAGCCTCGAGAAGCCCTGCACATTGCGACCTCGCGCTTGCAAATGACTAGGGACGTGCCAGGAAGATAGATGCTGTTGATAGATGGACGAGAAACCTGGTCGATATGTAGTAGACTGAGCAGCTCTACTATACATCAGCGAGTGGCCGTGATCGATGTACAGACCCGGCTTAACAAAGGCCATGTATCCACCACATGCACCTGTGAGTCTGCTCTAGGAACCAAATCTGATGCTTGAAGCTCGAATGCAACACTGGACAGAACAGTAACTACGTTTTAAACATGAATTGTGTACTTCCCTAGGAATACCGAGCGGACCGTAGCAATTCACAAGTACGTTTCGTAGGCTGCGAACAGCTTCACAGTGATCAGAAGTATACAGTGTTTCCTCTCTACTTGCAGTTTTGAACACATATGCGTTTCAATGATCTCTCCTTCCGAGCACTTACTTTGGTACGTTTCGCATCACATGAATATACAGAGTAGAACTCGAAAGTCATTGTGTAGATCCACCAGCAGTTAGGGTACCTCGTCTTTCAACTCGATAAGTTGAGTCCTTTCCATTCTCGGTACCACCATAGTCCACTACCGGGCTGTATTTTCAGCCTTCGCCTTCTTAATCAGTGTGAGCATCTCCACCACCACTGGTTTCATCATTTCTGGCTTTGTCGCCCAAGCTTGCATAGTACGAGCGTCTCGTCCACACATACAGTATTCTTTGGTGCACAACGTCGATCTGTGAAGTGTGGCCTTGTCCTTCTTGAACGTAACCTTGCTGGCCTTGTCATCTTCGGATGAGAGCTCGTAGGTAATGTTCTTGACCTCCAGCTTCTGTCGTATGGTTGCTCTTTTGTTGGAGCCCAATTGGCCATCCTGAAGCTTCTTGTCAAGCATTTTTCGAAGACGACACAAGAAAGGACGAGGATTGACTGCTTGACATGGATTGGAGGGTTTGTCATGTACCCCTCGGACCATGCTGTCGAATTGGGATCTTGGAACCAACGAGGCTATGGTCTGGACTGGTAGCGACAACATGAACAGCACGTCAACCATGTGAGGCCACTGTGCCATATTAGATTGCAGCTCGGTTTCGGCCAACACATTTGACTCGCAGTTGTGAATCGGCTGCATCGCGATGTACAGATCTCGAAGAATGTCCCAGCATGTACCACAGAAAGCAAGATAGTCGAACTCGAAATGCGCAATCTCTCGAGATATTCCAAACTGGAACATCATCAGCAGGTCCAGTGGTGAATGTTTGGCCTTCTGATAGGATGCCTTGTTTGTCCGTTCTTGAACCTGTTGGACATCTCGCACCTCAATAGTGACTCTGTTGTCCTGGTGAATCAGCTGGTATTTCGTGTCTAAAACCTGTTCAACGTTTTCCAGTGTTTGTAGAGTAGCTTTCTTATCTGTCTCGCGATCGAATTCGTAGTAATGACGGGATCTTAGTACGTGAATCAGTTCTCCAGCGGGATGCAGATGACGTCGACCTTTCTTCGAACGAACATACCCTGGAGAGCGTCGATTTGCTGCAAATTGTGTAACAGAGAACCCCTTGTGTATGGAGAGCCGCTTGAATGCCTCTTCAAATGTGTTGGGCTTGCCACCGACAAACAGCTGCTCGCATGACAGTGTGTCGACCACAAATTCCATGTCGCTCCAGACAAAAGCGCAATCCTTGTCGCGTTGCATGAGGTTGTAAAGATGGGCAACGCTGACGCCAGCATTGTCAAGGCTTGAGGTACCAAACTCTTGAAGCCGAGCCAAGATCGTGAAACGGATGAGGCCACACAACCAGGGGTGACGTCGCAGAAGGTGATGGTCTTCGTCAATGAAAGGCTCTCCAGCCGCCATTTCCCTAGCGTCTTTCCTCCACTCGTCTTCAAACAGCCAGGCCTCAATGAGATCGATGAGATTCTCCTTGAGATAATCATCATTTTCGGGTGACCACAGACGAGATATTCCTTGCTCGCGATTGGCAATACCTTGGGCGACTGTAGTCTTAACGTCTCCTCCAAGCTGCTGGAGAGCTTCAAAGGATTTCTCGATGTCGGCGCCGAGCATATAATGGATATCACAATAGAGTCTGGCTGCAGCTAAGGTCCAAATATGTATCTCACCACCAGCTGCCTCTCTACATCCTTTCATCAGCTCATCCTCGGCCAGCTTCCGGGTTTTGGATGTAGATAGCCATACAAGATCAGGAATCATTTCTAGAAGGATCTTCGCATCCTGCTGATAGTTCTCCTCATTCGTCATCGAGGAAGGCACAGCAGTCACGTCCCAGCGGCCGGGTCCTGTTACTGGGGAATACACAACTCGCTCCATACCTCCACTGAACTGGATGAACTTCGCAAAGATGGATTGCATGTCCATGAAAAGATGCTTGGCTGTATCATACGCATCCATGTTAAATTGTGCTTGGAGGGATTCTTCGTCGTCGTCGTCCTTGGTGGACCAATAAGCAATTCCGGCGGCATTGCACTTGGCCCTGAACATCCAGTTTATCAGTTGCTGTGCATCATTGGGGCCTGCTTTTCCCTTCCTGTGACAGATCTCTTGATACTGGATGTTCTCTTCCCGTAACTTCTTCTTGAATGCGTCTCGGTAAGCCTGATCAACCTTGCGAAATTTGGGAAACTGCTCGAAAAAATCCTCTTCCAGACGTCGGATAATGTCCAACGCGAGATTTGAGGTGAGAGAGGCTGCCACGATGTCTATTCCACGCTTGCTGTATTGATGCCAAACCCGCTTGGCATGGTCTAGGATTTTGTGGATATCTCGAAAGAGGGCAGAGGCGGCCAGCGACTCTTCCAGCTTCTGCTCCAGTTTGCCTTTGAAAAAGCCCATCACTTCGTATGCCATTCGAGAAGCTTGTGCTTCGTCTGCTGTCGTTGACTTGACTCCAGTGGATTTGAGAAATTCTTCCGAAGGCTCCTCAAGGGATAGTATATCAAACCCATCTTCGACAAGTGTTGTCTCATCCTCTTCATCGATCTTCTCAACCATTTTTGCGTAAGGCTGAAGCAGGTCGTGAACTTTTTGGAGGACACTGATAAAATAAGCATGACCACCTTCGACCTCTTCAGCTTCGGTGCTGTCACTCTCAAACCAGGAATTTGTCGATCTTCGGGCCTCGATGGATCGGGTTATGACAGTGAAGATAGTCGAAGGGACCTTGGAAGGAGGTTCGATATGATCAGTAATGTATTGAGCCAGAGGCACGAACTCAGCTATAGCGATCGTGAAGACTCGTTGCTCCTTAGGGATTCGTCTGGCGGCGTCTCTTTGCTGCTTCTTAGTCTTGTACTTTGCCTTCTTCTTTGTCTTGGTCGCCTGTTCTGGTATATCAACGTTTTTAGGAAGCGCCTCCGATATGTAGCCGTACGATCGCGCTGTGGCACAAAGCCACTTGGTCAGGTATTTCTCGTCCTGCTTGTACTGGCGGTAGCTGCCGATCAGAAAGTCAGGGAGCATATTGACAGGTTAAAACTGAACGAACTCAGGAAGACAGAGGGTACGTCTTTGTACACGACTTGATGAAAGAACGACATGAAAGATGACAGGCGATTGAATTGCGGGATTGTGAAGATCACAGGTGAAGCCTGATGGAATTACCTTAACAGGCACAGAACAGGCACAATTTCGAACTTAACCTGGAAGGCACGCGTGTCGCGTCTGCATGATTCCTAGGGCGATTGCATGATCTGACGATTCTGACCTCAGCCACTCATTCAAAATGACGGCCAGCAGCATTACCAACTTGCGCTGAGCGTCGTTGTAGTCGAAACTTGACATTCTTTATCTTCACCCTTCCGTTTTCTGGGAAATGTAATCATCACTACTCTAGAGGCGAGAAAGTTGTAAGATACATTCATGCTCGCTATTAACTAGACATCAAGCTGGGTGGATCGGGAACATGCAAGATCAAAGTGAAAGTTCCTCGTCGATGGACCGACACATGAGAGAAGCGACGGTCACGAACAGGACGAAGGGAAAGCTCAAACTCGAAAATTATGATCCCACCATTTCAGCTCAGCATTTGTAATTGGTTCCGGCCGACACTGGCTGGTCTACCCCAAAGACCGGCAGTATCTTCGGCCAGGGAGGGAGAAGTCTCTGTATGCTGCATATACCCGGAAAACAAAATGAACGATCGAAAGGCGTAGGTAATCTGGACGTCAATGGCCAAGTGTAATCCTAATATTCTCGTGAAAGTCATCTCTCCATCAGAATGTTCACAGCAAATGTTTCCCAAGGTGGTCTTTTGTCATGCTCCGTGGAGTATCTCCAGCGAACGAAAACGAACTTCTTCGTAAGCGGCCGCTAAGCCCGACTAGGACAAGCATGTCAAGCTTGCGAACAGCCGCCTCAAACCTACATGAGCTTAAGTCGAAGTAGCTAGCCTTCGCTCGGGATCACACGCCACTAGAATAGGATTTAGCTGAAATTTAGATCCAAGGATGGTAAAGTGCATGATCCCTCGGGCTTTTCTAGGACCCGAAACGTGTTGGAGGACGAAGCCACAGTCCGAAGCACTTGCAAATGCCACCCAAAAGTGGTGGTCAGCGAGACAGAATAAACGCGCAGGCAGCGAATTAACACGAGCTGTTTGCCAAGGTATAAGTATCATCGAACCATGGACTCTTTCATGATCACGGTAAACCATCAACCGAAAAACAAACACACCTGCTAAACCAATCATCACAATACCACGTACGTTTACAGATATCTGCTCTTCTAGCCATGAAAGCATACCAACCTCGCATCGCAGTCATTGGCGGTGGTCCAGGCGGGCTAACACTAGCCCTCCTTCTGCACAAGCACAACATTCCCGTCACCGTCTTCGAACTCCGACCAAGACCCACAGAAACAGAATTCACTCAACCTGCAGGAATGCTCGATCTCCACGAAGAATCTGGACTGGCCGCAATACGAGCTTGCGACTTGATGGAAGAATTCAACTCGCATACCGGAGTGTGCAGTGAAGCACAGATCATCGCGACAAAGGATGGAAAGGTGATCTACTCTGAAGATGGTGGGCCAGAATCACGACCTGAGATCTCGAGGAACTCTTTAGGCAAGATTTTGTACGATCGATTGCCCGAAGCAGCGGTGAGATGGGGATTTAAGCTGAGCTCGGCCAAGCAAGTGACGGCTACCGACGGTGGCACAGAGATCGAGCTAGATTTTGGTAGTAAAGGGGAGTACACCTTCGATTTCGTGGTAGGGTCAGACGGGACCTGGTCGAAGGTTCGGAAAATGTTGACTGACACGAAACCGACATACTCTGGAATCCAGCTTATGAATTTGACAATTCGAGGTATCACCAGCAAATATCCGGAGCTTGCGGCGTATATCGGTACAGGGACATTCACGTGTCTCGGACAACAACATGGAGTTATGTCTCAAAGAGGCCTTCATGATTCGGCAAGGTTGTATCTGTGCTTCAAAAAGGCAGATGAGCAATATAGTGCCACTGCAGGCATCCGAGGCGCACCGCCTGCGCAGGCTCGAGACAGACTACTCCACGACGACGCACTGCTAGGCAGGTTCGGACCGAAAATCAAAGAGCTTGTTCAAGTTGCGTATGCTGAGGAAGCAGAACATAGCCCAGATGCTGAGCCAGCCATTGTGCCTCTATACGTCCTCCCTCCGGGTCATAGATGGGAGCATCAGACAGGAGTTACAGTGATAGGGGATGCGGCACATGTGATGCTTCCGTTCGCTGCAGAGGGTGTGAATCTTGCGATGCGAGATGCCCTGGACGTTGCAGATGTCATCATCAAAGCTACCGAGACTGCTAAAGGTGATAGAGCTCGTTTCCATCGACTTTTGGATCTGTCTATAGAGGGGTATGAGGTACAAATGGCAGAGCGGGCGAAGGAGAAGGCTGATGAGGCTGACCAAAATGCTCGGATGATGTTTGGGTTCGAAGACGGCGCAACCGCTATGGCTGACTGGATGAATGCAGCGATGCAAGCAGCGATGGAGCAAGCAGAGCCGCCGAAGATAATGATGGAGTGAGACCCACCGAAGCAACGTACATTGGATTTGGTAGACACAAGGATTGGGAGGTTCGGACGGCCACCGTAAGCCGCTTATGGACAGTCGGGAGTGTGGTTTGAAGCATGATGAAGCAGAATTCGTTGCCTCAAGGCATGGAGAAGATGATTTGAGACATCACAGGCCGTATCACACAGCTTTTTCGGGATGGCATGAGTCTGGATTAAATCGAGCTAGTGTATTGAAAATAGAAATTGTGTTGAATGAAGTAAAGATCTATCTATCTCGTGGTTGTGGCTGCTCCGCTCCTGCTCGTAGTGGTTGTGCTCCTCGCCGAGGTAGCAGTGCGCATCGTCGTGGTAGTACTTCAAGTGGTAGAGGTCATGCCCGTTGCTGAACGTGTAGTGCTTGAGGACGTCGACGTTCTGCTGCTGCTTGTTGAGCTAGCACTACATGCAGAGTTGGCCTGGACCGCATACTGCATGACAGCTGGCTCATTCGTGACTTTTCGAGGATAGAGAAGTAGATTGACTGCGGCCAGTGGAATGAGACCCTCGGTTGCTTGCACATCAGCCAAAGTCAGACCTGGAGCAATAAGTTGCTGACAGACAGTATTAAGGTCAATCCGGTCAAGTCGTCCAGGTCCATCGTTCTGTAGCGCATCTAATGCTAACGCATACATTAAAGGATTGTACAGTACACCTTCGTGTGTATATACGCCGCCAGCAGGTCGACCGGCACAAGCGGTCTGGATCTCGGTATTTGTGTAGGGTACATTGCGTGAGACAGGGCAGGTAGGATTTGTGTTTGGAGTTCCTGGCAAATCAAGAGTGAAGTAATCCGCAGATGCGTAAGGACTGTACTGAGGTTGTACGATTTGGTCGGAGATGCTGTGAACGCTTGTGCTATTCACATAAGGACTGCCACCACCACCACGGCGTAGCGTAAGAACAAAATTACTATCGTACTCTTGCTGAATGACGCTAGGCGGCAAAGGTGGGTTGACTAGTGCTGGATCGAGAAAGTATGCTAAAGTTGTGCCGTGGAAGTCGGCTGAAGCACTGATGAAATCCGTAACAACTGACCGAGTTGAAGGCCAGTATTGGAAAACCCATTGGGTATCGAGGTTGCCTTGAGACCAAGCAATTTCAGCGACGTCATTCCGCTTTGTGATCGAGCTAATGTAGTTGAGCATATATGCGATATACTGCGAATTGATTTGTGTGTCATCGTACATGGCTCCAGGGACATTTAGGTAGACTGGATCGTAGGTGTTGCCGAATAGCTTGCCAAGATTCGAGATGAAATTCACATACCCAAAAGCGCCAGTGCCAGGGACAAAACAAATTGGTTGCTTAGCTCCGTAGGTGAACCCTGGAGGAATGTAGACTGCGGCACGGAGTTGAGCTTCCGGAACGGTATAAGGTGCATCCTGCGGCGACTTTCGAGGGTAGATGGTAGTTGGTGGCGCGGGGTTGACATTGCTGAAGGAATTGCCACTACTCAGATAGCCAGCTAGCACGTTCTGTGTGAGATCTGTAACAGCCAGGCCATTGAGTATGGCTTCAGCAATATTCTCAATTGTGCTGCTGCCAATAGCACCGTTGCCCAGGGTAGTGGCAATTGGTGTCAATGCGCCTTGTACATCTTGAGGAGCGACATTTGCCACGACATCTGCAAGCAGCGCAGCAAATGTGGTTTCTAGCACCTCATTCTGGAAATTCTGTTGTCGAATGTTGGTCAAGGCAGTCTGGAGCCGATCTTCACTATCAATAGGTATCGGTAGAATGTTGGTGAGGTTGACGAGTTTTGCGAGATCGCTGATGAGGCTTCTGGAGGAGATATCACCATGTGGAATAGCTGAAGCAAGTGGCAGGGCCAGCATGGCCACTTTTGCAAGAGTGTGCATGGTCGGTCAACGGGCAGCTAATATCATACAACTCAAAGAGCGTGTGAGCGTGAGCGTGATCTAGATATGTCTGCGACAGGTCGTCGTAAGCGGAACAACGTCTAGGAATGAACACACATGTTGCTGGACGACAAGCTTATACATAATCCTTCCATGTCAACGATAGTTCTCGCCTCTGCTTCTCGGATGAAATATAGGAGTAAGCGCGAGAAGCTGACTGTGTGTACTGCTGCCGAAATAGTCTAGTACTAGCACGGGCAGCCATTGGGTTCGATCTAAGATTGAATGACATGCATGTTCGAAGCCAAGTCACTGGGCAGGAGAAGCGGGGAGCCGACGAAGCAGCTCCAAGGACGATGAGCTAGGAAAAAACCCGGTTAACATGCGTCGTAATAGGCCGGTAAGCGGCCATTCTTGTCGTGCATGGCATGGTGGTTCTCGAACTGGGGTAAGCCCCGCTAGTGCTTGCCGAGATCGAACTCAAAGCTTAGTTGATGCCGTTGGTTTGCAGATCTTCTTGCCTCCAGTGCCATTCAGCCATGGGTTTTTCATGTCAAACATAATTGCCAGCAGCACATGATTTGCATCTTCTCTGAATATGATTTGTTGATTGAAGTTGGTAAGAGCCGATAGTGGAACTTGATCATGTGCTAATGATGGGTCATGCCTAAAAGCTTGTCCAAAATTTCAGACCATCTGGTGCTACACCACCAGTAATCGGTGTCGCATGGAAGGGTCTTGTTCGGCTCAGAAGTGAACTGACAGCAGCCTATGAGCCGATAACATTATTTTTGAGTAGAGTCTCAGCACATCCTTATAGCTCTAGAGACGACTGGTATGTGGATACAGGTTTTCTGGCATACGCCCTCCTATCCGCGAGGGGGCACTAGAGAGGACTTCGAGGTTTACGAGCACGTCCGACAGCTGGTCGCTGCATGGGGATGAAATTGGAGCAGCCTTACTGTAACAAGCAAGCCTCAAAGCTTAAGCAGGAACGCGATATTGACACGTCTGACGTTCGCGATACGCTCGTTCGTACGGAGGCCACGGCCTACCAGACGCTTGTAGCTTTGCAAACTCTTTTCTTGCACCACTTGATAGTGTTTCGAACAGGGTCGAGAATGTGATGCATCAGTCGCAGCGGGACTTATTCGGCAAGCTGGTCCTGATAGGACCACAGGAGCCCTGTCGATTCTCGATGGTTCTCTCTTCGCGGTGATGAATGCGTGGTCGAAGAAGTTGTCTTAAGCGGTATTACGGGAAGCTAAACGCCAGCAAAAAATCTTTCTCAAAGTAAAATTCTTTGCTCTCATCAATGGTCAACAAGAGTCTTGTCGAGGATTCATAGAAAGACGCAGCGACTCAGATGGCTAAGCACTACCAATTGACATTTACTAGCTCGTGCTAGACCATCAGGAAAGCAGCAAAGCTAGTGCAACGTAACCAGTGGATGAGCATGAAACCAATTGAAAACTGAAAGAAGATACAGACCCAATAGGCGGTTCTCTAGACAATTAGTAGTTGTTTTTCCTGCTATTTCCGGAACATCATATGGCTCTGTGCTTGCTGGAACAGCAGGTTCTAAGGCTCATCCGTTATGTAGTTTTGTCACGAATATTTGCATTGGCAACAGCATTCTCGAAGTTCACCACAACCGGAATTCTGCGTTCAGCCTAGAGAACGCTGCTGAAACTCCACGACTTTCGGGCGGATATAGATTAGGATCTGTGGTCAGATGTCTCAAGGGTGCTTGAACGTGTAAAGCACCCAGAACGTTGATTCCACGGCTTTCTTTGAGCCTGCCGTTCCGAGTTGCGGCTGTCGCCTCAGACCTACTTCTGCCAAAATCATCGACGTCCCCCAGAGCGTACGAGAAGCCACCGAGGAAACTTCGAAGGCTTTGGTGGAAGATATTTCGAGATGCAGGAAGCTGAATTTGGGAGAGATGTAGGTACATGCGTGCGACGTGCAACTTGCTCCAGTAGAAAAACGAGATCCATCCTCGGAAATACCAGAGACATAGTGCTTGGTCGTCGATGAACGATGGTCTGTCAGACACGGGCTGTGCAGTGACCAGTGGGGATTCGTTGAGCCTGTTGAATTCCTCTTCCAGCCGTTTTATTTCCGCAGAGCGTGTTGGTTTGGTAAGAGATGTACACACATCGTGGTAGTACCGGTGAATCTGTAATAGAGTGTCAGAGAAACATGGCGACGTCTTGATCATCAAGGCTTCAAGTTCTAGGTACTGCTGAGAAGGTGCTTGGCGTGTGAGTAGAGGGCCCCAATTCAACGGTGCAAGAAAGAGTTGGAAGAGCTGCCGCCCTCTTTCGGTCTCGAGCTGGCGGGGTCCGCGCATTTGCAAAAGGGTAAGCATTCCCGAGTAGTGAGTGTCATAGGCATACAAAGCTGAGCCTTTCAGTCCGACAAACATTTCTCGTTTGCTCATCAACCAGACAGCTGCCAAAACCTCATCCTTCAGAAATAACTCCCGGTCTGCAAGCGATGCTTTGACTTTGCCAATAGCTTTGCTATACTCGACAGTCACAAGTGAGCTCATGTCTTCGCCCATGCGATTCGCCATATTGACAGTGGCATTTGCCCTCATTGCGGCGTAGATAGGCGAATCACTGCCGGCTGCCTCAAGCATTTTCGGTAAGAAGTGAAAGAGATCAAGTTGGTACAACCTACGAGAAGTAGTGTCTAGTTGGTCTAGCGAGACGCAAACCGCTCGTTCCACCATCTCGTCATTGGTTGTGGTCTGTCGTTGAGGTGCGAGTGTCAGCACATGGAATTGACTAAGATCTAAGGAACGGTAACCAGGGCACACTTTGTTTATGCGAGAGCAATTGCCACATCCCGGCTGAGATCCATCGCACTAGAAAGCATAAGTCCAGCCCTTGTACGATATCGATGCTTACGAACCTTGACTTTTCGACTCCGGCACAATGCACAGCCTGTACTCGGACGGCCAGTGTTTGGCATGGATGGTTACGTTGTTGAAGTGCTGGTATCAGTGATGTGGTATATCGACGTTCTCGACAAAGGAGAGTGTAGGACTTGCAGAATAGCGATCCTTTATGTACAAGCATATGCGGTATGGCGGAAAAGCTGAAGCTTTCACAAAGAGTGTGTTTGCACAGCTCGGCACTCTTCAGGTCAGCGCCGATGTGGACGGACCAAACAGAGTAGTGCTACAATCTCTAAGTATCCTATACACTGAAGGAGATATGTGTAGTCATGAGAGGGGTGAGTGATAGGCGTTGGGCAGTCCTTTCAGATCAAAGAAGATCTTCTGTCCGTCCTTCTTGGCAACTTGAAGGTGAGACGATACCCTTTCAGTTTAGCCCGTGCATAACCACGTGTAATCTCGTGCCTGGCCCCGCACGGTAGGAATACGAGAAGCTAATCACGTGCACGACTTCATGTAGGATTAATTCGTTGGGTTTTAGAGACTTCTTCTAACTCCATTTAGCTAGCCTTCCGAGGTGCATTAGCAGATCTTGGCCTGATGATATCAAGGTTGACGAGCTCGCGTTTCTATGCTCATCTAAGTTAGAAACATTCTTCTCTTCTGCAGATTTCTCGTATGCTGGGGGATTTACTGCCAAAAAGTCTTGGGATATCAATCTAAGAACCTTCGACGCAAGCCACGGCGAGAAGAGTTGCATGAAGCTATCACAGTGAGGGCAACGATCGACGATTGAACAACTACCTACTTATTGTGCATCCTAATTGAGGCTTGCTCAACACTTTCAGAACAGAATTCTATCAAGCATTGGTCCACGCTTAGTTCTTATCTTTGTATGCGGTCAACTTGACCAGTTTGCTGGCTTGGACTCTTCTGGTCCAGAGCTGGGTCCTAGCCAACGCCACGAACAGTCTCCCGACCACTCTGAGCAGATCTCGTTATTAGGTGCAGGATTCGTGTGTGCCTTCGCATGCGTGCCTGGCCAGACCCGAGCTCCACTGCGGCTGAGGGTATGGCCATTTCGCAGAAGTTTTTCGACTATACCGAAAGGCTGGGCTGGCTCTTAACAGGCTATATCAGCTCTCAGCTTCCACTCTTCCCTTCAGTATCTTCTTTTCCTTATCCTGCGTCAATCAAACCGATATTACTACAAGAAACAACGAACACCAGCTTGTAGAATGCTTTTTTCTAGGTCTTCACTCACACTTTTGCTCGCTTTGGATATTGCGGTTGCACACCCTTTCGACAATGTCCTCGCGCCTCGTGACGGGGTGTGCCAGTCCGGTATCTATGGCGAGTTGGGCCCTGTTCTGCAGCAATATTCCGTTGCAGTCGCCTTTTGCCAAGCAGTATACCCAGTCAAATGCGCCAAGAGTAAGCGCAGTGCTCTCAGCACCACCACTACCACAGCAAAGCCTTCTACAACTACCACAACGAAGCCTCCCACCACCACCACTACAAAGAAGTCCTCCACCGCCACCACCACTACATCGAAGCCCTCCACCACTACGACAACGACGAAGACGACGTCTCAGGATCCTAAAGCATCAGCATGGTCCAAATGCCAAAAGCAACCAGCAGATGTCGTTTCGACCATGTGCTCATGCATTCAACCTCCTCCAGTAAGACTTTTTCGTACAACGATGAACAACTTATCTGACTTGCATAGAAGTGCACTTCATCGACTACATCTACGACAACTGTAAGTCTCTGACCTCGATGATCGGAGCATGCTTCAATTAGCATTCAAAATTTGCCTCTGCTTACACTCGCCAGACTACGACTAGTACAACATCTACCACGACGACACCAGTACGTGCAAAGACGTTTTGTCCTTCAATCTAATGATGACAGATTACGACCACAACCACAACTGAACCGCCCACTACAACGACTACAACCACAACCACGGTCAGTAAAATATCCATTCACGAGGTCGACTCCTAACATTCGTAGACTACTACTACCACAACTACAGCCAGTCCATCCCCCACTTGTTCGAACGGCGACCAAACTGGCGCTGGCAACGTTCTAGAGGGGTGTCAGGATGGGTCTGTGTGTACCACCCCGTCATCCTGTACAGTAGAAACCAGCATTGACGGCTGTGACGCAAGGTGTGCTTCTGTTTGCTTTGCCTACTCATACGATTCCAGCAATGGAGAATGTGTTGTATACAATGATTGCTGCCCTCCAAATGCTAGGAGGAGATCGCTTGCCTCAAGGAATGAGGTGAAAGGATTGGCCAGTCTGTCTGCCAGTGGCTTGGAGGTTTGGGTGAGGCCAGGTATCACCATCGGCTGATATCAGTATCACACGTCCACGGCTATGGCTTCCGTGAAGGCTTTTATACGTCTCTCGAATAGTCTCGGCGAACAAGTTCGAAGAAGTTTACGATCTCACAATACAACAGACAAGAGAGCATGGTCCAAACTTCAACAGCCTACAGGGGTGCTTTGTGTGAGGATTGCATGATCATGGAATGGTGGCTTCACCGCATTTCGATGGACGGTATCGCAGAATACTTTGTGAATTGTACAATTTAGTGAGAGTCTCCATAGCGTGTATAGAGTCGCTGTATATGAACAGGAAGATGGTGCCACTCAACACTGCCTGAACGATAAAGTGGGTGTAATGGTGAAGACAATCTAGATACCTAATAGAGTTATCTAACCACTCCTTGCGGTACTTCTCACTCTTGTAAGATAAAAGTTTGCATTCCTCGCCTTCACTGTATGGAACAGCTCTCTCCCTTACCATTTATAATAAAAACTAATGTCAGACCCCGTGCGATGTAGCGATCCCGTCAGTAGTTGTTCTGATCTGTTCTGGTAAAGGCCAGACGGCCCATATCGGTCACGCTCGCCGCTCAATGTGGTGATATTGACGAATCTGCCGGTCTCAGCATACGTAGCTACCTGTATGGTATTTCGTGCAAGGGCTACTGGTTAGTATCTCGAGCATCTGCCAAAAAGGAATTTCCGTGCAGGCGCGCAGGCGTTCCAGCATCATTCGCATATTGCATTTCATCCAGCTCGGCTGGGTATACAAGTCATGCAACTCTGTTGAGTGCTATATCTGAACCGTATAGTGGGATCTTTCGGACTTCCATATTCCATGAAATGACATTAGATGTTAGAACGGCGGAGGTGTATCAGCTACGAATTGCGAGAAGTGGAAGAATACCGTGTGTGCTTATTGGCTAGCGCCTGGCCGTCAGAACTAGGATACTGGTCTCTTACGACATGTCTCCTCCACTCGACCAGCCTCTATCCAATACCGTGTACGGTGAACGTCGTACTTTATCCGGAGCAATCACCTTGTCGAAACTAGTGTGATATTACGTGATCCTTGGCGTTAGCTTACATGTAGAGTTAGCTTCAGTTACTTGACTTTCAGTCACCTGAAAATTCAATTAACTTTGGCTCATTTCACACTAGGGAGGATCTCTTGACAGGAAATGGAGCAAACGATAAAGTGGTCGCATACGTAGGTTGCACGTGATATAGCCTGAGGCATCATGCCGCGTGACGTGAGACGCGTCGAGTGACTGCCCTGGACGTACAACTAACATACTGGACTTTACGGAGTAGTCCACATACTTCCATTTCTTTCCTCAATAACCTTCTGTACACCACCACACGGACACTATTTTACAGATCTTGTGTAGATCTCCTCGTATTTAGGAGTTGAATTTTGTGGCAGAATATCTTTTATTCGTGTTCAAACCATCGCAATGACCAAGAGAGCTGCAGTCGACCCTCTGCAGAGTGCATCTCCGCCGAAAAAGCTGAGCAGGTCGTCAAAGCCAGCTTCTATGTTGTCACTTACAGGCCCACGCAAGCCATCGAAGCAGCGTTCAATCCAACGTCGCAAGAGCAAATATGAGATATCCTCCGACGAAGATCTGGAGGAGCACGGACTAGATCAAGCCAACTCTGTTCTGACACCACCTCGTAGTTCTTCTGCTGAAGAAATTTTTGCAAACAACGAGGCTCAATCTTCCTCTGCTCGCGACGAGATTGAGCAGGCTGCTTCCACGACTGAGCAACAAACGTCGGATTCAGGTGAGGACAAGGCGATCGAGCAACAAGCCCAGACGGAGCGTCTTGCAATTCAAGAGCACTCTCGTCATGCTCCCATCTCTCCTACCGACGAGTCCTTCACAGATCAGGGACAGCGAGATACCTCGAATACTGCTTCAACCTCCACTCCTACTACACGACAGAAACTCACCTCGACTGAGATACCATTTACCAAACTCAAGGGGATACCGACTACAGACATCAATGTCCACGGCGAAGATGATGAAGAGGAAGAATACTTCATGGCCGAGAGCAACCTGCAAACTGACAATGCCACTACCGATCCGACAGCGGAGGTCACCAGTGTCGACATGACTGTGGAAGACCCTCCTCAATTCTCAAGTACCCTAACTACAGAGGCCGTGATTGAGGAAGTTGTGAACGAGGACGCAATAGGAGAAGACGACCTGAAAAAGAAACTCGATAATACAGTAATACCTCAAGGAGCAGCTCAAGAAAAACCAGCAGCAGCCTCTAAAATTGGAAATTCAGTGTCACACACGACATCTACCCTTGAAGGTTGGCAACTTGATGGGTCGTCAGATGAGGCTAGGTCATCAGCGGCAAGCGACTCTACTGCAAGCACAGACAATCCAATTTCAACTGTCAACGAGGATTACAATCAAGAGAAACAACAAGAAACCACGCACGTAGCCAGCGATGAGCGCGAATCTTTAACTATCACCATCGACAACCCCTCGGATCAGCACAATCCCTCGTCACTACAAGACGATGCCTCCGAAACGGCCACCATCACAGCCAAGTCCGACCACTCCACTACTCAGCGACGAACTTCAACACGCACTGCTCGTCGTGCACGCTCGCCTTTGAGCACACGTACTCAGAGCAAGGCACCTTCTCGACGGAAGACTTCGTCGGCCAAACCGATACCCGAGGCCGAAATCCCTTACTCCGTTAAACCCACATCCAAGAGCTATGAGGTAACCACAGACGTTTCTAGACAGAAAACTCAGGCTTGGGGAGATTTACCTTCTGCTTCAGTTGATATTGCACACAAAGCAGGAGACTTGGTTCGCGTCGAATTCTCAAATAGCGACAAAGGATATGCTAGATTATGTGAGGCTAGACAAGGTCCGCAATGCTATCTCTTGATGCAGTGGCTGTACACTCGAGCAGACGCCATGCAGGTGTTGGAGCAGAAAAAGCTGCTAAAAGTTAAGAAGAAGCTGATGAAGACTTGGCCCTCCGACGAGTTGCGAGTGTCTGATCACTACCAGCTAGTTTTGTTGGACAACCTGGCGGCACAGGTGGACGTGACGGGTTTGAATGTGGGCAGAACCATACTCCGATTTAGCCGCATGGCAGCGAACTGATTCTATTAACACGTTACGTAGCACGGTATTGTCTTGTCATCATGCTATTCTCTGTTACTAAGCCGAAGGGATCATGCTGCGACGTGTGGAAAACTTGCTTGGTAATTATGCAGATGTATAGTGTATGATGTGGTAGTACGAACAGCTAAAATGAGATCCAAGATTAGCTACATGATTTGCTCTTTGCTCTACGCTCTTTAAAGAGAGCTAGACTGATTCTGGTATCTGAGAGTGTCCAATACATTTGTTCTAACCTCACGACACATACCTGTCTTACTATCTGCTGCACAACATCGTTCTGTACATCCTCCGCCTTACTTGTGTCCCTCCTCAAGCAGATCCATTCACCTCCAACTGTAGCGGTTATGAGCCAAGGTCTTCACGCCTTACTTCCCAGAAAATTATCCCACTGCGTCCAGTCGATCGTCATTCCGTCCGCTCTATCGAATCCGTAATTCTCAGAGAGGAGAAAGTCCGTGTCCATGTCCATATCGGTAGGTGTCTGGTTGTTGGCGAATGAAATGGGATTGTGTTCGTTGTTTAGCCAGAAGAGGTCGATGTTGTTGTTGTTTGGAGGTAGAGAATGGAGTTGAGCTTGAGGTTGTGGTGGAATGGTGGCTGAGTAGGGTTGGTGTTGAGGTTGTGCTTGTGCTTGTGGTCGTGGTCGTGGCGTCATTGGGTCGTAGTTCGGATAAGGTTTGATGTTCGACTGTGACGAGTTGGAGGTATGCGGACTTAGCTCTGTAGACTCGATTTGATGGCTAAGAGAAGCTTGTTGAGCTCCTTTTTTGTTTCGCGCCTCCTTCTTGGCTTGTCTACGCGACTTGGCTGCGTCGCGTTGTTGGGTAAATGCAAGAATGTAAGCAGGCGGCTGTATGTTGTTGCTACTTCCCAGTATTTCATGCCTCGCCTTATAAGCCTTCAGACACAGGTTGCCCACTGCAACATAGATTGGACGTTTGGTGTTCGAGACAAAGTCGGGGTTGTTGCGATAGATTGTGTCAATGATCTGCCAGGCTTTGTTGGCATCCTGGATCTCGGGGGAGGCTCGGAGACTGTCAAGCACGTAGATCAGAGCGTGCCATGGAAGATAATATGCCGCGTGCCAAGCGAAGCACTCCAGTAGTGGAATAGATTGTGCCATGTTCCATTGTTCAAGGAGCTGCAGACTGATTTTCCAAACATTTTGCTTCTCGGCGTCGGGAACAGCGGCTCCCGCAGGCCAATTGCGTGGATGGTGTGTGAGAAAATGCATGAGAGTCAGGCCTGAGCGGCCAACGATACTAGCCATGAGGTGGAGTGGTCTCGACGGGTCGCAATAGCGAAGGACTTTTGTTTCCATGAGCTCCTGAGCTTCTTGGAGGACTGAACTCTTTTCACTTGTTTCATGACGTGCCCAGTAATCTTCCCAGGCATTAGTTTGTGAGTTTTGGAACTTAGCAGTATGTTTGGCGATGAAGCCTGCGAACTCGGTTCGGATAGCACAGAACATCATGTCTGTAGGGCCGGTTGGAGGAGAAGGTGCAGTGGTCATGCCTGGGGAGAGGTCGGTATCATTGAGGCTGGTGGGGAAGTTTGGAGAGTCAACGCCTGGGTCGACGCGACGAAACTTAGTCAGACCCGCTAACTCGGCTGTACGGTAGTCGTGCATTTTCATGTTCCACCAGATACGCCGACGTATTTCACTCTCGAAACGCGGCAGACCAAGGAATGTCCCGTCTCGGTGCAGGCCCATGCCTTCTGCTAGACGCAAGAAGATCCCAGTCAGACTCCATACAGCGCGAGGTTCGTGTGTGTCTCTGATGGAGAATATGTGGAGTGCCAGGGCTTGCAGTACCACAAGACTGGTAGTGGACATAAAGTTCGCTCTTGCCAAGGCTATCTTTGTATTGGATATGTAATGTGCTAGAAGGGTTTGGCGTGATTGTCCGAATGCTTGCTTGCAAGGATCGTCTTTGAGCGAATTGATTGCAGTGCTGTATATAGCAAACATCAGCGCTTGGAAGTTGCGTGGCATCTCACTTGGCCCTGTTGCAGTTTTCTGTATCGCTGGCTGTAGTGATGGTACATGAACTATCTTGGTGAGTGGGTCAACATTGTCGATAAAGACCTGCCACAATTGAAGGATGGCTTCCATAGGTGGATGTGAAAGCCTAGACGAGGTTCTCAAAGTCGTGCCCAGTATGAAGCCTAGCTCGTTCTCACTTTCTCCCTCATCAGTGTCTTCCTGCCAACTATCTCCCATTGCGTCTCGAGGCTCGGGGAACTGGACTCCGAGTCAGTTACTGTGGTGTTGTGACACTGGACACATGCTGTACCTCTTCGACTATCCTGGTCCAGAGACTGCTACAGAAGAATCAGCGGGAGTCGTGAGATATCGTGGTAGATTACTGCCAACAAGCGAATGGAGGCTTTATCGTAAAGAAGCGCGATTCGAAGCCGCAGCCCATCTATGCCAGGAAACAACTAGACACTTACTTGTCGACGAACTTGAAGTTCCCTTGATTTTGCAGCAATTGTGTCTTGTTCAGCCTTATACTAGGCTCTGCAGCAGCTGAAGATGTGATGGATAGTGTCGTGGATCCTCCAGACTCCAGGATCGACGCAACGTCCACCAATTGAGCCTCGACATTTTGCTTCGTCGTCGAAGGTATAGGCGAGGCCTCGGGAGCGATACCCTTGTCCTTGAGCAACGCCTCATACTGTTTCAGCCGTTCAACAAGTACATCGTTCTTAATACGTTTGACTTTGTTCCTGGATGTTTGAGGAGGGCGGTAGACACATTCGACTTTATGCTTGGTACACGCACTGCATGGTCTTTGTCTGTCACATCTAACCTTCCGATCGGAGCAGCGAACGCAAGAGTAGGATGGTCGGTTTCGGGCAGATGCGGACTGAGTTCCTGCATCGTCTCCCGAAAGTGCGGTGGCTTGAATATCCATGGTCTGAGTGGAATGGCCGATATTGCTACGATAACACCAAAGCTACCACGTCGGCTGATACATGCTGCATCACTATGTCATTACGGATCGTCTTTGGTAGGCCCAGAATGTACGATAGTGCAATATGTCGCAGTGTTCGTGGTAGTGACGAGCCTTTTTGGGCCTATAACACAATCAGGTGAATAGGGAATGCACTCAGTCGACTTGTAAGCATACGCTACTTCTGGGCCAGGTAGCTTGGTCGAGCAGAGGAGTGGAGTATGCTCGCAATGTCCTCGATCTATTGTGAAAAGCGTATTGTCGATGAGGCCATCGCAATGAGTCATCGCGGTCAACGTCGCACTGTCCCTGGAGCTTAAAGAAAGCTTGGCATGCTTACTCGATTTCCAGCCCGAGATTTTCGGGTTTCGGGCGCCGGCTGACCTGCTCTTTCCTTCTTTCTCCCGCATTACCACCATGCTGGCTCTGCTCCGAGGTTATCAGTAGTATTTACTACTTCGGATCGAACACAAGTCTGAGAGTGAGGTCCGAGTTGGAGGGCATGACCCACGACGTATGTGCACCAGTGCTATATAGGTACAAGATGTTGCTCTCTGCTCGAAGGACTATCGTGCAACCACCTCGTCTTGCAAACCTAAACGCTCGTGCACGCCCACAGCCACAGACGAAACCATGAAACTACATCTTTTCACAGGAAGTGCGCAGATAGTTCGAGATGAGAGATTCACCGATGCCAGGCAGAGCTCGAACCGCTCTTCACAGGGGTTGGAAGAGACCAAGTCAATCCGGGAGCCTTCTGAATCAGCAGCACCATCTACAGCCAAGTCAGCTGTGATCATAGCAGGTCTCTTCTTAGTCATGTTCCTCATCGCCTTAGACAGGCTGATCATTGGTGTTGCCATTCCAAGGTATGTGGTGTCCAACGTTGATGCTCAGTATGCTGATGTACAGTCAACAGTATTACAGATCAATTCCACTCTCTAGAGGATATTGGCTGGTATGGTTCAGCGTATCTGTTGACCTCGTCTGCTTTCATGCTTTTCATGGGACGAATCTACACATTCTACAACCCAAAATGGGTATATCTCGGCTCCCTTGTCGTTTTCGAGATAGGCTCCGCAGTATGTGGTGCTGCCCCGAACTCGAATGCCCTGATTATCGGCCGTGCTATCGCAGGATTGGGAAATGCAGGACTCTTCCAAGGCGCTGTCGTCGTCATTGTCTATATCATCCCTCTACATCAGCGCTCGCTGATCATGGGTCTTGGTGGCGCCGTCTTTGGCGTCGCGAGCGTCATTGGTCCTCTTCTAGGGGGCGCCTTTACTGACGGTCCTGGATGGCGATGGTGTTTCTACATCAACCTACCCTGTGGTGGAGCCGTATTTGTGCTACTAGTATTATTCTTGCACATTCCGAAGGAAATGCTCAATCGAAAGCCGACCACGGCCAGAGAGAAGGTGGCCCGCCTCGATCCGATCGGCACACTTTTCTTCTTACCTGGCATCACCTGCCTGTTGTTGGCTCTACAGTGGGGAGGCGTGACCTATCCTTGGTCTGAGAGCAGGATCATTGCTCTCCTTTGCTCATCAGCAATCCTCATAGTCGCGTTCGCGATTGTGCAATGGTGGAAGAGTGATAACGCGACTGTACCAAAGCACATCGCTACACGACGTGGTATCATGGCGGGCGCTTGGTTTGCTCTTTTCAGTGAGGGAGCAACGACCGTGCTGACCTACTTTTTACCCATATGGTTTCAGGCCATCAAAGGCGCGTCGGCGGTGCACTCAGGCATCATGAACCTGCCTTTGGTACTTGGCATAGTGGTCACTTCAATACTAGCTGGTATTGCGACGAAACGGATCGGCTACTTCACACAATGGATGATCTTGTCCTCTGCCATCATGCCGATCGGTGCAGGAATGATTTCAACCTTCACGCCAGCCACTGGTCATTCTGCCTGGATTGGGTACCAGGCGTTATATGGACTCGGCGCTGGCCTTGGCATGCAACAGACTTCACTGGCGGCTCAAACTATTCTCCCTCGGCAAGATGTGGCGACTGGTGTGGCATTGATGCTTTTCTTTCGGACTTTAGGAGGCGCGATCTTCATCAGCGTGGGCAACAATGTCTTCGTCTCTCGTCTGGCACACAGTTTGCTGGAATTAACAGGACCTAACGTGGGATCTGTGGCGAACATGGGTGCGACAGATTTGAGGCAGATGATTTCTGCAACGCTTCTGCCGCAAGTACTGACTGCCTATAACGACGCACTTCGAGCTACATTTAACCTAGCCACTGCAATATCGTGTTTGACGGTGTTTGGAGCAGTGTTCATGGAGTGGAAGAGTGTAAAGCAGGGAGCAGATGCCGATGAGGCGAAGAACGAGAAGACCGAAGTGTAAAATTCAGTGGTGCACCAAGGGTTTGAGAACTCGCCATGATGCTGTGTCGGAGAACGCCCTGGTATTCATTCAAATTATAATTTACTGTATCCAAAATGAGTCCCTCACTGTGGTTGTCCACATGAGCTCCTTCACTTCCGACAAATCACGTGTTTAGCCACGAATGGACCTGCCGCCTGAATTGCAACTTTGCTTTGTTGAGTGCGCCTCTCAAGTTCCATTGCAAAACTGCGAGCGTGCGATCTTCCTAACACTGTACCTTCTCGACTACGCATGTAGTTTTGCAAGTCGTCCTGATCTCTCTCTCTCTCTCCTCTCCCTCTTTACGTCCACACCCATCTTTACCGAAGACTGCCCGCCATGGAGGTCATCGATATCTCCAAGTGCAATAATTGCAAGAAGTCTCCAGCTCAACTTACCACTAAGCTCAAGCAATGCGCCAAGTGTATATACACCCGTTACTGCTCCACAGAATGCCAAAAAGCAGATTGGAAGAAACATAAGAGAATCTGTGGTTCTCCTTTCGTGAAATTGGTAAATCAGTATGGGCTTGACCCGACATCGAAAGCCGCAGATGCTCGCTGCATGATCGCCTCATACCCAGAGAAATGGTTCAGAGGTACCCCCATCGACGATCGTGACAAAGCCCTTCTCTCGGCACCTTCTGTGTCATTCATTGATTATACTCCGCGCAGTTTCCTGCGCAAACTGGTAACTTGCCTTCAAATTCACAGTCGAGGATCTTGCTAATCCAGTGCAGTATCATGGGAAGGTTGGCAGCACAGTCTGGGACCAAGTGAGGTTTCTTGGGTTATTGTACCGCACTGCTGACAGCTAGTAGACAAACTGGAATGTGGAGGCAGATGGTGATTGCAAACGTAAGATCTTCGAGGGAGGCGCAACAGAGGTCGGGTTCAACTTTGGTGAACGTGTCGAGCTGTCATACAACTTGATGACAAGTAAGCACATTCTTCTCATGTTCTTCCCTATGATCACTAATAGCCTCCAGTCAACGTCAGTATTCAAGGCGCACGTGGCGCTGGGTTTGATTGGGGCTTTCTGTCCAACTCTGGGAAAGATGCACGACTCTTCGGAGGTCCTCCAGAGACCTGCCACGATCATCCTTGGGACGCTCTTATCCTCCGGGACTGCAACACGAACACAGACACCCTTAATCGGATACACAGTATTGCATCCCGAAAATGGGACGTACTGCTACTCAAGATGTGTGAGGACTATGATTGTGAGGCTACCAAAAAGCTCGAGCCTTGAAAGAATGAGCACTGACATGCTCACTACAGATCCCTGGGTCGTTGTCTCGGTCAAAGATGCAGGTGAATACATCCCTGGGCCTTGTACATGCTGAGTATATTCTGTTTCCAGAGGCACACTCATGAAAGAGCAATATTTCGAGGCATCGAAATGGCGCGAAAGGTATCAATATCCGTACTGGCATGCATTAGCGCAGGATGTCTGGTCAGATGGAGCCAAACAATACTCGAAGCATCTCGGCAGAGCTTGAACACGTACAGCGGAGCATTGATCCGATCGACGTATTTAAAATGGGCGCGGCAGATCTTCATGGCCACTCTTTACTCGCGGAAACCTTGACAGTGGTTAGTAGCATCTAGAATGGCCCAATGAAGACCAGTCTACCGAAGACGATAACCCAGATTAAGTGCCCGCCAGGACAAAATCACGAGTTGCAACTAATGAAGCCACTTACGAGGAAGAAGGGTACCGTGTAATTGAGAAAGGCATTGGGATTGACTATGCTTGTCGTTTCGACAGGCACGCGAGAGGGTTTTGATACCGTGATAGCTTGCTCAAGTCTTGTCAACATAAAATTCTCAATACACTTGCAAGTTTGATCTGTGTGCTCCTGTTGAATACCAAAATCGTTTCGAGCCACCGATGAGAAGCTCCAAATACCAGTAAAGACCGGATAAATCCTTTCCCGGTTATGGAAACTTGATAAACCCTCTTTTTGCCCGCATCCTTGCACTCGAGGGCTGGGTAACAAGAAGTGACTGGCGTCCACGGAAGTCAATCTCAATAACTAGATGACCATGAAGAATGCTTCACAAGACCAAATCTCGATAGCTGTCATCGGTCTAGGCCTGATCGGTCGTCGCCATGCACAGACTATCCTCGAAGAACCAGGAGCTCGTCTCATCGCTGTGGTAGATCCTGTAGCAGTGCCCAAAATTTTCTTATCTCACTTCAAAGTCCCATGTTATCCGAACATAAGTGATCTTATAGCCGGGCCAGATAAACCACAATGCGCTGTCATCTGTACACCCAACGACACTCACGTCCCCGTCGGCCTAGAACTCATCAAAGCCGGCATCCACATCCTGGTCGAGAAGCCAGTCAGCACGGACATTGAATCAGGTCAACAGCTCGTGCAAGCCGCTGAGGAAGCACAAGTAAAGCTCCTCGTCGGCCATCATCGTCGCTTCAATCCGCACATCATCAGGGCCAAACAAGTCATCGAGTCGAGAACTTTGGGTAACATTATAGCCATCAACGGACTCTGGACCGCATTCAAGCCACTCCGCTATTTTCAAGCTCCCACAGAATGGCGTCAGAGCTCATCAGGTGGTGTGTTGCTCATCAACATGATCCACGACATTGATCTGCTCCAACACTTATTTGGTCCAATCACTCGTGTTTACGCTGAGAGAACGACCTCACAACGCAGATATTTAGCTGAGGAGGGTGCTGCGATAACGTTGCGATTCGCTTGTGGTGTTGTTGGAACATTTGTAATCTGCGATCATACACCTTCACCACATAGTTTTGAGGCTGGGACGGGCGAGAATCCATTGATTTCGAAAACTGGGGAGGACTTCTATCGGGTATTTGGAACAGAGGGAACTTTGGAGATTCCTGATTGTAGCATTTGGTCGTTTGCTGAGGGAGAGGAGAGGTCCTGGTCATCGAAGCTTGTGGTAGAAGAAGGGGGTGTGGAAGAGGGTGTACCGTTTGTATCGCAGTTGAAGCATTTCTTGAGAGTGGGGAAAGGCGAGGAAGAACCGATGTGTAGTGGTGCGGACGGTGTAAGAGCGTTGATTGTTTGTGAGGCGATCAAGAGATCGATGAGGGATGAGGTGCCTGTGACGATCGATGTGTCTACATAGGCAATGGAACCTGCTAGTCAACTCTCGAGCGCATTGCCTTGCAATTCTCAGGCACTCGCACATCTGTTCTCTGACATAGTGGTACAAGTGTGACAACAAAGAGCCACACTAGCCATACCTACTCGTCCCCACATCTTCGTCAAACCACGTCGGCAGTACGCCGTAGTTGATGATCGTGCTCTTCACCTTGGTATAGCTTTCATACGCCTCGATCCCGTTCTCTTTCCCAACACCACTTTCCTTGAATCCACCCCAAGGTGAGGATGGATCATTCAGATGATGACCATTAATCCAGACTATGCCAGCCTCGATCTTCTCAGCTACTCGATGGGCTTGAGCGAAGTCATCTGTCCAGACGGAAGCACCCAGCGCATATTTGGTGCTGTTCGCGATATCGATAATGTCCTCTTCGGATGTGCATCTGATTATAGCGATGACGGGACCAAAGACCTCGTTGCATGACAGGGACGACGTCGCAGACGTTTCGATGAGTGTAGGATGGAAGAAGAAGCCCTTTCCTGAGACTGTAGTTGGTGAGCCGCCGCAGAGTAACTTGCCCCCTTCATTGACTGCTTCTGCGACAAACTTCGTGCATCTCTCTACAGCTGCCTTGTTGATCACCGCACCGATCTGTGTGTCATCTAACGTAGGATCACCGATGCGTAACTTCTTTGTCCTCTCGACAAGCAGCGCTATGAATTCATCGTAAATCTTGTCATGCGCCAGTATTCTACTTCCAGTGACACAAGTCTGCCCACTTGCAATGAAACTCGCAAACAAGGCAGCTTGTACAGCTCTGCCCACAGTCATGCTTTCGAAGATGCACACTGGGGCTTTCCCTCCTAGCTCGGCGGTTATCGAGATCAGGTTCTGACTTGCAGCAGGGGCGATAGCTCTATATGTGCCCAGCCCACCAGTAAGGTCGATCTTAGCCAGTCGCCGATCTTGACAGAGATACTTTCCTGTCTCAGGTCCTGTACCAGTGATGATCTGCAGCGCTCCATCCGGCAGTCCTGCGGCTTGGAATATTTTACCCATCGTCAATACTGAGAGTGGCGCAAGTTCAGATGGTTTAACAATGACACAATTCCCTGCTGCTAGTGCGGCAGCCATTTTCTTCGTCGCTATCAACAGTGGATGATTCCAGGGCGTAATCTGGGCGACGACACCGAGCGGACTTCGAGTCAACGTGTTCACGACTGGCCCTTTGAATGGTGTCACACGTCCTTCCATGGTCCGAGCTAGTGACGCGAAGTACTCGAGCCACTCTGGTATGCGTGCTAATTGTGCACGCATTTCGCGTATCGGTCGTCCAGTCTGCATCGCCTCGTACCGGATGAAGTCATGCATCCGCTCGCGCATCATGCCGGCGGCTTTTGAGAGCACAGCGAAGCGTTCTGACGGATCAGCGCGCGGCCATCGACCAGTTTTGAACGCGTGTAAAGACTTTGAAACGATATCATGAACTGCTTCGGAGGACGTAATCTCGATCTTCGCTATCAGCTCTTCGGTTGCGGGATTGATGATGGGGATAAGCTTCGCTAATGGATCGTCTTCTGACCTTATACTATACTCACCGTTGACCCAGCTGTAAGCCTGCAGTCCAGAATCCATGGCTTGAGCGATATGTAGAGGATGACCGATCTCCAAGCTGGCAAGATGATAACTCAAGCGCAGTGCTCTCGTTGAGATTTTGTGAAGTTGTAAATATTGCTGATGACCCATCCGCCGTCTACCAACGGCCTATAGGGGGGCTTGGCAATCTAGACTACATAGCACAATGCTGCATGAGTACGTCTCGGGGCTCGTTCTTGCAGCCGCTTTTGCATTTGTCTCAGTCACTGTTCAGCTTGATGAGATCAGCTATGCTTGCCGTGGTGGAAAAGACGAGGAATTGTTGTTAGGCATGTGGTGATTGGCAGAGGCGTCCTCCAGAAAGCTGCAGATCACACCAAAGCGGATGGTTGCTTTGCAAAGTACGCAAGACCCGACAGGAGAGAGCAGAAGTCACACATCACAACAATTCTGCCTCTCGTGAGGTTCGAAACAATAGTAAGGACCACAAATGCTCTGACAAAAAGCTGAAACGTGAAAAGCTACTGCCTGACTTGCACATACTTTCGGCCATCTTCGTTATTCACTCGATCGTTACTCTCCCAGCTATCTTGACCTGTTTAACTTGCTAAAGAAGAATTTATCGCTCTATAACTTTCGACCACTTCTTCCAAGCACTACCACAAGTAGTCATTCGTTCAAGCAAAGACATCAACACGACACAACCATGTATTCAGTGACTAAAATTATTCTTCTACTCATCAGCCTCACACTGTGTCTTTCAGCTACAATGCAAGCACTTCTGGGATCTTGAAACTATCTAGCTAATCTTCAAAAACTCCACGAGCACCGAAAAATCATCCCTTAGACGGACTCGGCGAGGCCTTGAAGAAAGCTGGCGATGGACCCGGAGACATGGCACAAGCGATGGAAGATGATCCCACCATTTATGCAGTCAGTACCCCTTGCCATGATGCTGACAGCTTACCTGACGCCGGCGTCCTCTAGGATCTTGCCGATTACGGTTCCTGAAGACGACATGTCGCAAGGTGTACTCGAAGAGCTTGCGAAATTTGGAGTTGGCTCTCGCTCGAAGAACTGTCAAGGTTTTAGAAGAGCCGAGACGTAGAAGATCCACAACTAGGTAATAGAGGCCTTTATTCTGTCGTGGCATATAACAATCCTAGAAATGCCAAGCCGTAATAAAGTACAAGACTCATTCGTACCGTAGCGAGACTTCCTAAAATCCTGAAGAAGGAAGTATCATAAGCCATTTCTCAGATATACCAGCGATATGATCTAATGGCCATGACACATAATGCTGCTAGTCAAATGGTGCCTTCGATTTTATTTGATCAAGGCGTCCTGAGCTAAAATGCGCTCTCCTTACTCACGAACGGCCAAGGTCTTTATACTTGCTGCCGAGAGACTTTATAGGCCTTGTGGTAGTGGGCAGAGGCACATCTTTTGAACATTGAGCCAATTGAGCTCGCAGTATTCACGTTGATCAGTATGACTTCCTCGATCTGTCGAGACAGAAACTGCCGAGGCCATGCATATTCAAAAGGTGAAAGGTGAGTTTAATGACGACGGAATCAAGGTTAAAAATATTTTCTCGCGTATGACTAGCAATGTAGAAGGGTGATAAATCGAGGAGTAAAAAGAGTTACATGACTTTTTCGGAGTACCTTTTAATGCATGACGCAGCAGTCACCCTTCACCCTAACATTTGACCAGAAGTGCGAAGCTTGTGGGCACCAGACGGGAACGTGATTACTTTCGATGTCTTGAAGAATGACAGACTCAAATCTGTTTTCGATTGATAGAACAAGGAGATGCAGCTTTGACCAACAAATTCATTCACATCGTAACAAGCTGTCTAAAAACAGCGTGAATTACAGGACTATCTACCGCCTGCTTGAAACAACACCTGACGTTATATACAATCATCGACGACTCTTACAGACGAGCCTGGTACTTGCCCTTCTCGGAGTACTTGGCGTCGAATCGGTCAAGCATCATGACCTTGTCCCATACCTTCACGAAGTCTCTGACGAACTTGTCGTGGGCATCGGAGGCGGCGTAGACCTCAGCATATGCTCGCAGCTCGGGGTGAGAGCCGAAGACCAAGTCGTTTCTGGTGGCAGTCCACTTGGTCTCGCCAGTCTTTCGGTCAGTACCAGTAAAGACTTCCTTGTCGTTGGCATTTGGTGCCCACATAGTGTTCAGGTCGAGCAGGTTAACGAAGAAGTCAGTGGTGAGCTTGCCTGGTCGCTTAGTCAAGACACCGTGAGGCGAGCTGTCGTAGTTCTGGTTGAGTACTCTCATACCACCGAGTAGAACAGTCATCTCTGGAGGGCTAAGGGTGAGCAAGTGTGCCTTGTCAACGAGGAACTGCTCAGTGGTCACTCTGTTGGTGCCAGTACCGAAGTTTCGGAAACCATCGTGCTTGGGTTCCAAATGCGTGAATGACTGGACGTCAGTCTGTTCTTGTGTGGCATCAGTGCGGCCAGGAGTGAAAGGCACTGAGACACCAGCAGCCTGCTCAATACCGGCAACACCACCAAGCACGATCAGATCAGCCAATGAGACCTTCTTGCCACCAGAAGCTGAGCTATTGAAGCTCTCCTGAACCTTCTCCAGGGCGGAGTAGACCTGGATCAACTGACCTGGGTTGTTGACCTTCCACTTATTTTGAGGTTCGAGGCGGACACGAGCACCGTTGGCACCACCTCGCTTGTCACTGCCTCTGAAGATCGAAGCAGCAGCCCAAGCGGTCTGGATGAGCGACTCTTGTGTCATTCTTGTGGCGAGAATGTCCTTCTTGAGCTGAGCGATGTCACTCTCGTCGATCAATGGATGGTCGACTGATGGGACTGGATCTTCCCATAACTGAACCTCCTTGGGAATCTCAGGTCCAACCCATCGGGTTCGTGGACCCATGTCACGATGGAGAAGCTTGAACCAGGCCTTTGCGAAGGCATCACCGAAAGCATTCTCATCGTTGGCGAAGCGGCGAGCGATCTTCTCGTATGCTGGATCGAATCGGAGGGCAAGATCACTAGTCAACATTCGTGGCTTATGCTTCTTGTTTGGATCATAAGCGTCAGGGACGAAGGCGTCAGCGTCCTTGGCAACCCACTGGTTGGCACCAGCTGGACTCTTCTCGAGCTCCCAGTCGAATCTGAACATGTAGTCGAGGTAGTGGTTGCTCCACTTATTTGGTGTGGCAGTCCAGATGACCTCGAGACCGCTAGTGATTGTATCAGGACCCTTTCCTGAGCCGTGCTTGTTGTGCCATCCGAAGCCTTGCTGCTCGATGCTGGCAGCTTGAGGCTCGTTGCCGACGTTGTCTGACGAAGCTGCACCATGTGTCTTACCAATAGTGTGACCACCGGCAATGAGGGCAACAGTCTCCTCATCATTCATAGCCATTCTGCCGAAGGTCTCTCGGATGTCACGAGCTGAAGCGACAGGATCTGGGATACCATCAGGACCTTCCGGATTGACGTAGATCAGGCCCATGTGAGCAGCAGCGAGAGGCTCTTCCAAATCTCGGGTGTGGATGTCGCTGTGCTCTTTCTTTGGACCCTCGTCACCATCAACGACACCGTGGCCTGCAACACCTGGCTGACCTGACTCGTATCGGACTTCGTTTCCTAGCCAGGTAGACTCGCCACCCCAGTATACGGACTCGTCGGCTTCGTAGGTATCGGCACGGCCACCAGCAAAACCGAAGGTCTTGCCTCCAGTGTTTTCGATGGCAACGTTTCCAGTGAGAAGCATGAGATCAGCCCAGGAAAGCTTGTTGCCGTACTTCAGCTTGATGGGCTGAAGCAGTCGACGTGCCTTGTCGAGACTGACATTGTCTGGCCAGCTGTTGAGTGGTGCGAAACGTTGCTGACCATCACCACCACCTCCACGGCCATCGAAGACACGGTATGTGCCAGCACTGTGCCATGCCATTCGGATGAAAAGACCACCATAGTGACCGTGGTCAGCTGGCCACCAGTCTTGTGAGTTGGTCATCAAGTCATTGAGATCTTTCTTAACTGCATCGTAGTCAAGGGTCTTGAATGCTTGTGCATATTCAAAGTCCTTGTCGTTAGGGTTGGTGAGGTTCGAGTGCTGGCGGAGGATGTTCAACTTCAAACCATTTGGCCACCAGTCGTTGTTTCGTGTGCCACCACCACCGACGTTGGCCTGCTTGCTGGTGTGAACTGGACACTCAGACATGTTTTCAGTATAGATTGCAGTAAAGAATTACTAGGGTTATGGGAGTACGAGAGGAAGGAAGAAGAAGACCGAGAAACACCGCGACTTTCGGCTTTCATATACCGAAAATTTCATTGTGGCAGGTGCGGCGGTTGCAGGTAGAAATTGCCCCTCAAGTGTCGAGTGATCTGGAAGTGATTTGTAAACCCCGCCAAATTTTTCTGGCCCCGAGGTGTGAAAGGAATGTCATTTCACGTGGCGGGGTTTGCTGCAAACAATTCCATTCTGCTCAATTCCGACTCGTTCTTCTCAGTGGCCGCGATGCCTCAAGGAGCTAGAGCTATCTGTTAGGCCCCACAAAAGTCTAGGCATGGTGGAAAGTTTCACTTGTGTATGTATGCACTCCGATATGCATATTCAGGTCCAAGAACGTCAATCGCAGGGCGGACGTTAAGTATATCTCACTGCTACAGCGTCACCACGCATGGCAGATCGTACTACACAATCTTACAACTAGCCATCTGGTTCCTATGCAGTCCTTGTTTCGTGCATTGTTTGTCCTTCACAGACGAATTACTCACAGGAAAGCTTAACTATTTCGAGACCTTCTAGAAGTGAGCTAAGTGTTATGTGGCGTACGTTACAGACACGATTCGCAAGAACGACTATTTCGTTCTACAGTACAAACTTTACGACGATTTCGAACTGTTTCGAATAACTTCTGCAATTTGAGCTCGGATCATTCCGGTCATCGGACCACTCTGTGCTCTGTGTGTAATTACAAACTTGAACCGGAGTGAGAGAAGCGAGCGGCTACGGCTTGGCACAACGGCGTGGTCTGCGTCTTGACTGTGGCATCCTCGAAAGTTTGGCCACTCCGACTTCTAAACGCAACATAACCATCGAAGAAGAGTGATCGATCAAGAGTAACTACAAGTACCAACAAAAGAGTGACTAGGCGTATGAAGTCCGAGGAAAGACCGTATGCAATTAATCTTTTTGTGGTCGCCAGAACAGCATTTTTATTCAACGCCAATCAGAGTCAACGAGAGTTGCCTGGCTCCGCATCCGCCTCAGACGTCTGCAGACGTTGCAGTTGGTCAACAGGTATACTCGTAGTCTTTGAGGCAACAACGTAGGCAGGATCTGGACGTTCTCGATGATGTACAAGTTACATTGTATCCCTTCCTGGCTTGATGTTGGCCTATGCTAAGGTTTCCAAGTTGCAATAGCATCCACCAGTCGATGTAGATCTCACATACAGATGAACCGTGAAGCAATGGTAAGCCTCAGGCGGACCGTACCGACTGTTCACGTGAGAATATTAGCAAGTTTTGGTAGTATGCAGCTGGTTCTCATATCGGCTCAATCGAACGTTCAGGATCGCTCCTTGACACTATCATAGCCCTTGCCTATATGCAACTTGTTCAACAGCTTCCTGGTCTTGCTCTCCTCCACAGGTCGATCCTCGTGCGCTTCTACCTTCTCCGCTTCTTTGCGAGATCCAAAATCAAGCAATTCCAGCATCTCCTTGACTGGCCGATCCTCAAGACTACCTAACTTCTCTCTGGCGGCAAGCTGTTCTCTGTTCACCATCTCAGTGTCTGACAGCCTCATCCTGATGACTGCGTCTTTGAGAATCAATCCCGCACCAGGTGCAGACACAATCTCTCCAATGTCAATATCGTCGAAGACTGAGAGGAGATTCGCGCCTGGAATACGAAGAAGCGACTCATCGATCGGATTTGGCGCCTCAGAAGAAGGAGTAGCTTCCATTGTTTTCTTGATCCCTGCCATGTCTTCCATGGTGAAGCCTTTCAGCTTTCCAGCTTGGATGCTCTTTTCAATGTTTTTGCTTATCTTCTCAACAAAGCTGGCGCGTGGTCCAGTAAGGCCGACTGTGACAATGTCGTGGACTGTCGTGCCGCCTATCTGGTTGGGCGCAGTGTAAGCGGCTGTGAAGGCTGGCACGTGAGAGTGCGCTACCTGTTCGGCCTCTTCACCCAGCTTGGCGGCCATGCTGGGCCGATCGAGACGTTTCAGGAGCGATGCAAATAGTGTAGGTGATTCCTTGTGTTTAGATGTGCACCACTCCAGGACTTCGGCAACCATAAGAGCCTGGATCTCGGTGTCTTTCGAGTAATTGAATGGATGATGCAAGGTCGCAAGAATCGAGGACAGCGCTGGTTTGACCTCAACCAACGAGCCTGGCTGCCACAACTCGACGATCTTTTTGATTGTGAAGGTAGTTATTTTGGTGGCTACTCGACCTGCTAGCTCATTCAGCTCATGGTTGTAGTGGTCTTTACACAGCTGCGAATGTGTCGGATCTGTAGCCTTCGAAGCACTATCGAAGATACTCGATTCTCCTGTTTGCAGTCTAACTTCTTGATCTCTGAGCAACAATTGTTCAGACTGTTGTGCTAGCGCTTTGTGTATATTTTGCAGGACCGGGCCTAGGAACAAGCCAATTGTCTTGTAAACTAGCTTGTCAAGAGCTGTCGATATTGAAGCAATAGCATTTGCCACAGCATCCACCGTCAGATGATCGTACACCCAACGTACAATCTTATCGCGTATGCGGAAGATGGGGTATATCTGTTCCCATAGTAGATGTGGCGCTTCGTTCAGCTTACCCCAATCAGCTGGTGTTTGTGTGGCTGACTTGCTGATACTTGTGATGTCGTCCGTGAAATCGGATGTGCCAAGACCAGCCAAAAGACTGATCAGAGCTTTGCCCACACCTGAAGCCGGATCTTGTGGTCCCTTCATACGCTACTTTCGTCAGTCGAGATCACTGACTGACTTGGGATACCTCACCAGTTGCAAGCCAGGTAAACTCAGTGCGGTAATCTTGTCGTCAACCTCACCTAGCAGAGTTTGATATCTGAATTGTATTAGCAAACTTCTCGATGCTTGTTGCCCATCTTACAAGTCCAGCGCACCGAAAGTGCCAGTAACAAGGGGAGCAGCTAATCCACGATGAGTCCTGACGTTTGCAGCACCACCAGTAAAAGTAAAGACGTTCTTCATCGCAGCTGACTCTGGCAGACCCTCGCCCATCTGGGAGCCGAGCATCTGTATACAAAGCTCCAGCCAATTTGAATGAGCAACAAAATCCTCAAGTGTATGCAATGCAGATCCGAGATGTGTATAGGCTTCAGGATCGCGGGCTCGACCACAGGCGACAGCAGCGACTAATTGTTTCTCGATGTAGTCCAGACTCGTGTCGTTGACGCCTGTAAATTCCTGATTGGCGACATAATTCTTCATCCCGGTGTTACTTTCAACAGCTATCTCTTCAGGCAGGACTTGAAGCCGAAGCTGCTTGTGCCGACCCTCGAGAGCGCCTTCATATCCTTTGGGGTTGTCGATATGCTCTTCTGGCCTGTAGCAGCCAAGCCGCTCTGGTGTGACTTCGAACTCTCCAGTAGAATACCCGAATTGTATGTGAGCAAAGATTGCGACGACTGCACGTAGAACTGGCTCTGGCACAAGCTCAATGGCTTTGCGATCAATCAGTTGACTGAAATCACGCAACCAATTACCAAAATAGATCTGTCGGACGAAAGTCGAGTGGACATGCTGTAGGAAGTAGACGTTCATCAGAATGTCTCCATGACGATAGTTGACGCCCTGAATATTAGAGCCTCGAGCAGTGTATCCTGCGCCAAAAGCGGCAGCTGGATTAGCGAACGAGATGATGATCAGAATCAGCAGCACAGCGCTACATGAGTGTGATGTTGCGAAAGCCATGGCAAAGGGAGAATAGTCAGTCAGTCAACGAGGTTATTTCGTTGACTGGAGAAAGATTGATCGAGACGAAGTTCGTGAAATTCTTCGAACATGTGATACTCACATTGTACAGACTTGCTTTTAAGCATACAAGTGAGAGGACTCATTGATTGGAGGCCAGCAATTGTAAAGCTGGATCTGGTGGATTCTGATGACGACGCTGAGCGTAGAACGTGGGGTGTCATCTTCTGCGGAAGGCATGAGACGGCAGCCATGCTCACGGCTCTGTAGACAACATTTCTATTATGTTAGAGAGAGCACAAGCCTGCAGTGGCAGACAGGTACAACTTTACTCGATGCTTTCATGAAAGCCGAAGCAAACGAGGTCGATCACCTCAAAGTGGCAAAATTGGTAAAGCGGCAATCTTGACTCTCGGTCGACTTGCACTATTGAGCACGACTGCGGGGTCAAGAGTCCTCTCCTTGCTGACAAAGTAGAGAATAGCAATCCCAGAACGACAACTCCTCTACCCGTATAGCTTCATTGTCCCTGTCACGAGCTCCACCAACTTGAAGCCATACCACATATCGAACCTTGATGAGCTGCCGTCATGCAAAAGGTGCTATGCTACATCAATTGAACTTGGAAGTGTTAGGGCATAACCGGAACACGAGCTAGACAAAGGCAAGTAAGAACAAGATCAGGTATAGGTTGATTGATATTCGACACGCCAACATCTATCAGATTTAGTCAGTGATGGCCTGCTACTAGTATGTCTTCTGGCAAAACTCCTCGTCGGAATAGTGACCCAGACATGATTCCATCGACTGTTATCTGATGCGGCGGTCCTGAGTGAGCGAACGAATGCGAACCTCTGTATTGTGATGTCGAGTGTATGGTTCGGACCCAAGCAGCTCACGATCGAGTATGCTATCAAGTAGTCGAAGAAGGAGCACCTGGGAAGCCACATATTAAGCAGAGCTGCCTTCCACAGCTTCGGTTGCTGTTTCAACAGTTCTGATAGTGACCTCTCCATCGACGATCTCAAATATCTGTGTAGGCCACTGTATATGGTTAGCAAGTTCTTGACTGAATAGCTTGCCGTGTAGTGGTCAGCAAAAGCGGCTCGGTTAGTTTGATGTGGTTACATATATCGGGAAGGACGCCTTTGATGACCACCAGGTGGGGACTCATAAACTTACATAGTGATCACAATTCTTCATAGTCGTCACAGAAGCAGCGAGCTCTAATGATGTAACCTTCAGACGAAAGAATGTGTCGTCGGGAATCTGTTGAATTATTCGAACGAAGTCTTCGAGATCTGATGTCTCAACGTCGTTGATATGTGTAATGAAGCAGAATCTTGGGGCATCGTAGAGGTTCGCCGGGGACCCCGCTCGATTATTATCAACGTAGACCTTTGATGGAAGTCGTTTGACGTATTGTCGCACAGAAAGATGTGGGCGATGGACATGTAGACCACAGAACACGATGACTTTGTCGGTCTCTAGTTCCTCGAGTGACTCTGTTGGCACATTGAGTGTCATCTCTTTGTTGTGACGGACAACGGTAGCGGGGACATGTGTCGCTTCATAGAATTTACCAATTCCGGTTATATTGGAGACTGGCTTGTGGTCAAGATCAAGCAGGATATCTTCACTTTCGAGGAGGCCTCCCGTCTGATCTTTTATCTCCTCACAGATGGGTCTACATGCAAGGCGCGCGACTTTGTATAAAGCCTGATTTGACTGGTCTTTTGTGATGCTATCAATCCAGTGCTCAGCGACTCCAAGCTTTCGCGCAGTCGCCACTGTGAGCTCGCTGAATTCGAAGCCAAGCATCCTTCCGACTTGCAAGCCTTGTACAAATTTCTGAACCAAGGGTCGAATGACCGAGGCATGTAGTCCAAGTTGATAGGCGGAGCTACCTGTGCCTTGAAACTCGAGCATTACTGAGACAACACGTCCACACGAATCGAGCAGCAAGCCAAAGTCGTTCTCAGCCTGTATTCTGGAACTCGTTGACACATCTTCAATATTGATGGCTCGATATCGACACGGCCAGCTTTGCTGTGCCATATTATAGCGCTGGATGCTTTTGATATCAGTTTCGGTGACTGTTCGGTCTCGGCATGGATCGTCACAGATCATGGTCACCTTATCACCAACATTAACGGGAACCTCTGCCAATTTCACAGCAGCGACATCCACCTCGATCTTGCTTGGATCGTATTTCAGCAAAGCGTAGTTGTAACTAGGATGAAGAAAGTGGATCTTGCCTGCGACCTCGACGTTAGCAATGTCAAGTCGTACCTTGCAGAGACCGTGCGGAATAAGTGCTCGAGACACTAGGACTAGCCCCTGGGTGACATTAACAATGCATCCGTGCCCGCGAAAGAGCATCCGATCTGTCCCATCGGTGTACACCAGAGAGATAGCTTTGACGCCCACGATGGTCCTGGCGATATAAGCCTGATCTGGGTTCTTGATGATGTTTGATGAAGGAAATGTGCCACTTTTGACATCCAGCGAACTTTCAGTTCTTATGGTTTCGATTGCTTCGATAGTCCATTGCCTGTAGTCATCGTTTCGCGACCAGAGTTCGAACTTTGGAAAGAGGTCGGTGAGTAGGGGGATGACAGCCGTGCAGGTACGATGAGCATCTTTTATGTCCTTGTACACAAACTTTACATCCGCTCCTGTGTCTATTTGTTTGATGACATCTAGGAAAGCTTCCAAATTAGGAGTCGCACGATTGTTCACAGATTCAATGATGATGTCTGATGACAGTGCACGCAAGAGGCCGTTGTAACAGCAAAATGTGCCGTCAAGGGGGATATTTTTGCATTGGGCAACCATGTATGACATATCGCAAAAGATAGCCTCTGCAAATTTGACCATCCGTCGTGGGGTGAGCGCATGCAGGTCATCAACTTTGACCTCGACAGTCACCTCGTTCTCGCCCCGAGCAACTTCTATTGTAATGGACTGACCGATATGTGTGTCCAGAATCTCCTCCAGAGTGATGAAGGACAATACAGACGCACCGTTGATGCCCAATAAAAGGTCACCAACCTGCAACTTGCCATCAAGACGACTCTTCGGCACGATGTTTTCGAGCACGAGCACAAAGCGGCTAGACGGGTCGGCACGCCTTAGCTTCTCTTCGTGTTTAGAACTTAGTCCCAGGCCTCTACAATGACTGAAAGACTTGAAGAGCCACTTTGACTGGATTGTTCCCCGCGGAATGTGTTCACGCTTTTGCAAAAGCCGAAAAGCTCTCACCACTCGATCGAGAGGCAAGAACCAGTTTATGTTCGAAGCACTCGTGCCAGCTGCCTGCAGAGCGACAGCGTGGCCTTCGATGTTCACAACTGGACTTCCAGAGCTGCCGCCACCAGCTACAGCTGCTGCCTGTATATAATGAGTGTTGTAGTCGTGGTAGAAGCCGGTGTACTCCAACGTGTTTCGATCGATTCGACTGATGACTGCCGGAGCAATGCTCAACGCCTCGTCAGAATCGTTGCCAATGACTCTGACCTCTGTCCCAACTTTCGCACCTTCAGATCTCAACTCGATTTCTCGGAGATCTGTGTATCGAAGTTTCGAAGGGTCAAAGTGGAGGAAAGCGAAATCGTGCACGGGATCGTGATATATCACCTCAACGTTGCACTTTTCTTGACTTGAAAAAGTGCAGTAGCCCCAAGAAGGTCCAGGGCTGACAACATGTCGATTGGTGAGTATGATCCCCTGTTTTTTGTCAATCACGAAACCGGATGCGCATGTGCGTCCTGCATATCCTGTATCGAAATTTGCAACGCATACAAGGTGGATTCGCACAACACCTTTGATGACATGATCGAGGGCGTTGTTCCACTGTTCAGCTGAACCAGTGGATGGTGTAGCAGGCAGAACTGTCACTTGGCTCGTTGGGTCACTCGTGTCTTTGTGGCGCAATGCGACCGGATCACTTGCCTGAACTCCAGTTCCCATTGTGGAGATCAGAGGTAGACGGCTGAACGCTTCGTGTACACAGCTTATGAAAGGAGAAACTTAAGGATCGAAGATGGTGTGTAAGAACTTGTGGATCAGACTACGAACCACAGAGGAAGATGAGGAGAATATACAGGAAGATATCTGACCACAAACGGACTGTGTGTCGGGTGCATGACTGTAGGCGGAACTCGAAACAAGGTCTCGCCATTGAACACATTCTATCGATTGGATCTCGATTCTGTTCCCCACACGCGACAACCTCAGCCAGACCGTGATACGTTGTTTCAAGGTCGGTGGCTGACTTGTTTCGAACTGTTTGAGTGGCCGCGATATACCAATGCCCTAATCGAGGGCATACTCTGCGTCGACTCAGTCAGTGTCAAGAAGTATTCTTGGAACTGACACACAGCCTCACCAGTGCGAAACTGCAATCTTAAGGCCCGGTTTGCCATGAAGCAACTAGATTCATCCGGGAAAAGTGTGTTTCGTCTTCATCTCGACAGTCGAGCAACGTCCTATCTGCTGCAGGCGTAACAAAGGTGTTACATAGAAAGAAGATCTGAACGAGAAAGCTTGACCTTTACGCATTTCTGAAGCATGTCGCGGCTGGCTAGTATCAGCTCACTTGGGTAGTGCATCATATTCAAGAAACAGCTGTACATGTATTGTTGAAGAAAACAGGATGCAAGCTCATCAAGGCAAGGCTACCCCACGCTCCGCCATTCTCGAGCGCAGTTCATCCTCGTAGGTAGTATCGAATGCCCCGCCATCCTCGTCTCCAAGGCTTCTGAGTAAACCAATACACTCAGCACAAACCTCTATTGGAACCAGGATCCTTATAGCAACTGATACATCATCCTGTTGAAAATGTGGTAAGAGCCCCGCCACGTTCAGGCATTCTCACTCATCCCGACGGCGGGGATGCATAAAACACTCTTTCAGAATCATCTCCTGCAGATGAGGTAGATTGCCAATGGTCTTTTGTCGTATGGTGTCAAACGCCCATCCCAAATTGTCGCTGTGTCTGATGTTCCGGACAGTTACAGACTACCAATAGCAGAGAAAGCTGTCCTTGCCTTCTGTAATTTCATTTACGGGTTGGCAGAGGAAACCAAAGAGCCCTTGCTCGCCTTCGAAGTAAACTTCGAGGGTCTTCGCATTTGGCGGCATGAGCTTCCATATGTCCTGCTTCTCTTGGTTGTGTCCTTCAGCAGCGGCATCGCAATTTCTAAAGATGAGATACCCAGCAATTTCAAGACTAGTCATGTTGTGGAAAGAGGACAAATCCAGACAAGAGCCGTCATGTGCGTCTAGATCGGTGTATCTCTCGCCACGGACCCAAAGCACAATCTGTAAGAAATGCCAGTCGCGGTCTTACCACCTTTCAGTAGTCATTGACAGATGGGTCAGCGTTCCAGCGACCGGAAAGAGGTATTCTTGGATTTTGGCTCCTCGAAATCAGTAAGGCGAATCAGCAGCTACTAAGCCAGCGGGATCAAGAGGTCTTGCTTCCGCCGCAGGCAAAGGAATCCACAGACTATAGAGCCGCTTGTTTCGGGGTAGGACATGCTTAAGCAGATCTGGATGTGCAAGCATACCGCAAGAATTTAGACTGAGAAGACTGAGTGGTTTGGCGTTGCTCGCAGCGACTTCATGTGTGCGGCTATGGTCCTTTACAGTAATGTCCATGGTTCCAAGAATGATGTTCTCCGCTCTTGAGAATGCGTTTAGGAAATTGAGTATGCAGCTGAGCTCGATTTTCGTGCTTAAGTTTATATCGATCGTGCCAGTCATGAGATGCGGCTTTGAAATGATATGTTGAGGTTTGTTGAGGAGGAGGGATGTAGTAGACTGGCCGAATGAGTTCGATATATAACACGCAGATCGAGGTTGTCAGTGGATCACCCCACACCACGCAGTAGCAACTCTGTTTACTATTCACAGTGACGAAAGCCTTGAGGCTGCTCCATGTCACCTCCACCTCGTTTCCGGCGTAATACATAGGGTATATAATCCTGTAGGCGAAAAATCGGCATCGTGGCGGCAGGACCAGCGATGTTGTCGCACCCTTCGTCACCCGTTGGGCGTTTCAGAACACCAGTTCTTCGTGATCGGATCTGACAAGCTAGCATTTACGCCATTTGCACGACGAACAGTGATTTTTCTACTCCTCCTTCTTCTCTTTTCCTATCGCTCTTCGTCTCAGTGCCACGATTCTGCCTCTTACCCTCTTCACTGCCTTTCCAATCCCACTTTCCGGCACCTCTTTCAAACCTACAAACCGCCTAACCAAGATGTTGAAGATACTGCCGAAGGCTAGCGCCATAACGGTACTCGTCAGAATGATCACATTGTACGGCATGCTGAAGTCTGGAGTTGGCAAGGAGAGCAGTAAACTGGTTGTGCGTACGTAGACGGGACTTGTCTGATTGAGGATGCGAATGACAGCAGGTGCGACTATGAAACCGCGATTGGCATCGGGTGGGTACTCCGTGTAACGAAGGATGGACTTCTCGAAGGAATAGGTCAGGGTTATAGACGTGAGAGGAGGGATGGAAAGGAGTAGTTCGATCTGTGAGCCGCGGTGACGGTCGATGGCGGGGCGGTAGTAGATGTCCTTTACCACGTCGACATCCATGGATGAGGCGGACATAGTCGCCGTGAGTGTGTGCATATACGGTCTCAGAAACCATGGCAGGGACTCGAACATGACTAGATCGACGGATGTGTCGAGGGGGTTCGTGAGGACTGTCCTCATACCACCTTGAGCGGCACCATGTCCGGTCATAGTACGTTCGACTTTGATCAATTCGCTGCCTACTGCTAATTGTTGATGTGTGCGGACCGATGTCTTAGGCATGTCAAAGTCAAATGGCTCGCCATTGACGAGTTGATAGCAGCGCTTCTCAGGTACACCAGGTGGAGAGCGGACTTCAAAGCCTCCCGCTCCAATCCAGACGCCCTGAGAATGTGGAACGTTGAGACAAATCGATTTTGCTTCTGGGCCTTCTGTCTCTGCCAGAGGACAAGAACCTGCAGCCTGGCGGCCAAAGACATCGTTGAGACTCCAAGCAGGTGTCTCTAGGGCATCTATAGGGAAGCAGGTCTCGTGATTGTGGTAGGGTTTCGTTTCGTCACAGATGAGTTCGTGTGGTTGGACTGGTCGAGGTATAGGATCTGATTGTGGGCGTTTTGCTCGTGCTATGTTTAGAACCATATCGATGGTCTGATAAATCTCAATTAAGCATTCTTGACTTGGCGAACATTGTGGGCGAAAGTCGATGGACATACTTTGCCATGATGAATCGAAGACTTTGTGACCATCTAGGAGGCTGGAAATGCCAGCTTTACCCTTGCAAGGCAGAAGCTTGATGAAGGGCGTCAGGTTCTCGGTACAGACAACCTCGCCAGGAAGCACACCGTGAAGTAGATGTAGATTGCTCGAGTTGTCATGTGTACCTCGTGGCTGGAAGGACAAGGCCGGCTTTGTGGTTCTCGTCTCATCCACGAAATTTAGACTTGCACAGAACAAGCCTGAAAGAGCCTGGTTTAAGACCAGCCATTTTCGCATAGCTTCATGCTCTGTATCGGACTCAATCCAAGCCCAGAGTTCAACTCCAGTTCCTCCTTCTTTCGTGCCATTCCAAGGTCGTGCTCCCCACGTTTCTGTATCCCAACGACCAGTGGTGAAGCGTAGATGTAACTCCTTTGTGTCGGTACTTTGCAGAACTTGGCCTAGCGAGCGCGGGAAGTAGCGGAAGTTCTGGCTTTGGTAGGCAGATAGAGACTCGTTGCTGCGAAATTCGAACGAGGCAAGAAGTGAGCCAAGTGGGAGAGGTGTCAGGTTGAGTTGTTCGAAGTAGTCGGTGGCAGAGACACTGAGGACGAGTAGCAGGCCCAGCAGGGCAAGCAGGATGACCTTCATTACGGCATTTTATGTCTGATCAGTTCAGTGAACATCGTGTCGAGAGGTGTTCTTCTAATTGCTCTCTCCATTTGCCCTGTTTGCACATATGTAGTTGCGGCGAAGTTTAGCCGGCGCATTCTTTCATTCCGAGCGGGAACGACCCAGGTGAGCTTCGCGACTGTCGAAAGGACTCTTTTGTATTCACGAAATTCTGTCCAGGAAGAGGAGTTAGGTACACACCGCCTGAGAGTTGTCACAGTATCCTCACTTGTTACCACAAGCATCTACCGCTACTGACGACCACAACCACTCCTCTTCCCGCCTATCATGGCGGCCGAACAACGCAAACTCCTCGAACAGTTGATGGGCGATCAATTTGCTGGATCTATCGCCTCGAAAACCGCCAATCTCTCTCTCACTTCCCCTCAAGTCTGTCGGTCCTATCTCTGCGGCACCTGCCCACACGATCTCTTCACAAATACTAAACAAGATCTTGGAGCCTGTCCAAAATTTCACCCAGAAAACCTCAAGCTCGAGTACGAGACACTAGACGCGCACGAAAAAGCGAAGCTAGGGTTTGAGTACGACTACATGCGGGATATGGAGCGTTATGTGGCCGACTGCAACCGAAGGATAGAGAGTGCACAGAGGAGACTGGAGAAGACGCCGGATGAGATTAGGAGGACGAATGCGCTATTGAAAACAATCAGTGACTTGACCAAGACAATAAATACAGGACTACTGGAAATACAGGTTCTGGGAGAGCTGGGCCAGGTCAATCTCGCGGCCAGTGAATTCTTCAAGGTACGCACAGCAAAACTTGCAAGAGAACAGGCAGAACACGACCTGAAGAGTTTATCCGACACATCTGGACCATCAGGACATCAAAAGCTACAGGTCTGCGATGTCTGTGGAGCATATCTGAGCAGACTAGACAATGATCGCAGACTTGCGGACCATTTCTACGGCAAGATGCATCTCGGATACGCGCAAATGAGGAAGACGTACGAGAAACTGAGTGGAGAGTTCAAAGGACGCATGCCTCCTGTCAGAGATCAAGAATCGAGAGGGGAGGATGGTTATGGAGGCGGGGACTTTAGTGATAGAAGAGGTGGATATGGTGGTGGTGGTGGATTCCGTGGAAGAGGTAGAGGTAGAGGACGAGGAAGGTGGTAGGGCAGATTTGAAAGAGTCCTTCGTGAATGGTTTTTTCAGCAAGCATGGTTTTGAGTGGGCTGGAGTTAATGCTTTTACGTTGCATGGAGGCACAGCTGTTAATGTGTGGAATTCCAAGGCTGGGATAGGGATGCATGCAGCCTGGGAGAAGGAGCAAACTGATCAATATTTTAAAAGTCGTTTCAGATACCCAATTCAAGCTGTTGATTGAGATCTGAATGCGAAAACGTCTTGCCACCGAATTTGTTACAACCACCAAATGTTAGCTTGCCATCTGATCGGCCCAACTTGAGCCAGCTATCTGCTCCGAATCTTTTCGTGGCAGAACAGGCTGATCAGGTCCTTTTGGTTTCGTAGGTAATGCGGGAAAGTCATCGACAGCCTTGACGTCTGGTGTCTTCTCCGGAAACAACTCTCGATCTGTATCTCCTCTCCCTCGTCCACCTCTGCCTCTTCCAGATCCTCGACCCCTTCCTCTCCCTCTGTTGTATCCATAACCTCTCTCACTAGGATCCTGCCACTCATACAGGCTCATATCCTGCTGTTCTTCAGGTTGTCCAGCCCTCCTCGTCCGATCTCCATATCTCGGCGCTCTGAAATCTTCTTCTCTCTTCTCAGCATCCCACTCCCTGCCGGCGCCAGCGTTTAGTTTTCTTACACGATTCTTCTCTCTTTCTTGACCTAGTTGTCGTGTCTGTTTCTCCTCTTCTGCTCTCTTCTGCTTGGCAATTCGTTCTCTTTCCTCGAACTCGGCAGCATCGGCTTGAGCTAGGGCGTGTTTTGCTGAGAGGGCCTGCGATCTTTCTTTTGCTGCTGATAGTTTTGCGGAGAGTTCGGCTTCGGTGAGTTTGGGTTTCTTGAGGCCGCCTGTGTTTGTGCGATCGCCACGGACGGCAGGTGGTTTCTGAGGTAAAGCTTTGGAAGACGGGCCTGTGGGAGCGTTGAGTGGTGAATTGGCTGAGGTGTGTTCTGTCTGAATGGTGCTTGTGTCTTGTTGAATCTGATCTTGGTTGTCCTGCTGAGACTCAGGCTGTTCTGCTTGAGGCTCGGGCTGCGATTGTATCTGTTCTGCTACAGCGGGTTTGGGCGCAAACTTCGATGCACCCAGACCCTGTGAATGTTGAGGTCTTTGTCTCTGTTGTGAATTTGAGCCAGAAGCTGCTTCGGAATGCGACGGTGTCTCATTTCTTGAAATAAAATGTTGTATCTGTACGGGGCCATGACCTCTCTGCCAGCCTCGTCCGCGTCCTCTTCCACGTCCTCGTCCACGGTCGTTCTGTTGCATGTTTAGTCTTTGGACCTGCTCTGCTAGTTCGTTGTGCTCCTGCTGCTGTGATTGTTGACCTTGTTCGAGCTCCTGCGCTGGAGTGATCGGCATGATCTCGTCGTCGAACAGGTCGTCGTCGCCTCGAGTCTGCATCGAGTCTTCCATCTTTGCTGACCAAAAGGATTCGATACGATCACAAGCAATTCAGGGATTGACGCGCTTCTATCGTTTGAATCGAATAGTCCTTACACTCTCTGTAAATGGCAGATAACATGCAGCAGTCGAGTGATGGGGTTTATCTTCAATCCAAATCGAGCACCGAGAGTACAGAAATTACCAACAGATAGATTGCAGCTATAAAGGATAAATCCTAGGTCCAACTTCGTGCGAATAACGCGAGGGAAGGGCAAGGACGCGGTTATTCTGCCGCTGACTGCACTCTCCCCCAAATCTGTAATTTTATTCCTCCAAGACATATTTACTTCCGACTTGGGACCAGAGACAGTGCTTGCCTCAGCCTTGGTCTCTCGCAGAGCGTTCCTAACTCTGGAGACATGTCAGCCTGCCAATGGTCTTCTCATTATGTATACGACTGCTGCTTTATTCGTGGGCAGTGCGAAGAGAGCGCGCACCACATCTCACGACAGTGATACATCTGAGAGCATGCCACAATCTAGCAACCATCTGGCCATCAAAGACTGATTCCGGGCGAGTTGGATATGATTACTCTATTGTTCTGGGAGTATTCACAGCCCAAGTTGGTCCCAGACGACTTCTCGAATTAAATTGTTGATATATCTCCCCTTAACTACCGAGTAGGGCCACAATTACTACTATGGACCACAGAAAATTCAGCAATCCAACTTCTTTGTACCTCGTGGAAGAGGTCAAAATTACGGAACTGTGAAGGACGTTCTCGATGAAATGCTTCGACAGAGAGGGTCACGATCTCCTTCTGAGCTTCATCGGTAGGCTCAGCGAGAGACTCGATATGTGTCGCATGTTTACAACTCCCAGAACAACCATGGAGACCTATATTGCGTTCAATACTGCTCCAGCAGTAGAATGTCATCGCAGCTACTGAAGAACCATAAATCAAGTTCAGGTCGCTACCCTCGACTCGGCCCGTATCATACACTGTCACAGCACGAGGCACCGCAACATCCTTTCCGCCAACCATAATGCGAAGCAGGAAGTCAGTGAGGGCGAAGCCGATGACGAAGGGAGCGCGGCACTGAGCGGTGCATTTCCTCCTAATCGGGCTTAGTGGCGGCGATTTAATTCGACTGGCAGTGTTCGAGCTATACTGGTGGAAGGCTTTAGACTTTTCTAGCTCGCGAATCGACCGCCCAATTTCATTCTGCAGCACGACACGATGTGGCTATATCACGATTCTGCCTCCTCCTTTTACAACCACTGACCATGGCATCTGACTCTATTTCGTGGTCAAAGGCTGCTATGGCAGAAGAAAAGACGGAGACTAGGATTGAGACCACAATCAGCGATCTATCTAAAGACGACCCACCCAATGGAGGCTGGACAGCTTGGTCGCAGGTCGGTGCAGCACACATGATCACTTTCTTCAGCTGGGGTATCATCAATTCTTTCGGCGTCTTCCAGAGCTATTACCTACAGGTCCTGCCTCAACGATCCTCTTCAATATCCTGGATCGGCTCGATCCAAGTCTTCCTCATCTTCTTCATTGGAGTATTTTCAGGGTCAGCTTTTGACTCAGGATGGCGTCTTGATGTCCTTCTCGGAACGGGATGCCTATTGAATTTACTGGGCATCTTCATGATGAGCATATCAAAGACTTACATACACTACATTTTGTCACAAGGTATCTGTTGTGGCATCGGATATGGTCTGCTCTTCACTCCGGCCATCTCGGTGGTCCGAACATACTTTTCGAGTAGAAGAACTCTTGCACTTGGACTGGTACTTTCTGGAACTGCTACTGGTGGTATAGTGATCCCAGCGTTATTGCGGGCTGCTATACCACGTGTCGGCTTTGCATGGTCTGTCAGGTGTGTGGGTTTTATGTCCCTGACACTGTTGCCAGTTTCGTGCTATACTCTTCGGCGCCGTCTGCAACCGACAAATGGCGGAAGAGTGTTCTCCACGACTGTGCTGAAGGACTATGATTACGTTCTATACGTAAGTATTCTAGAACGTCAATGTGGTCAGTATCGCTGATACCAGGTAGACTGTGGCGATGTTTTTCAATCTACTTGGCCTTTTCTTCGCATTCTTTTTCGTAAGTATTTGCGCCGTAATGAATCCCTCACTGCGGTGCTAACTTTCTCTTCAGATACCGCAATTCGCAAAAAGTGTCCTTGGCTTTTCGTCTGAAAGCAGCGTTGACCTTTTGATCATCATGAATGGCATGGGCATGCCTGGACGCCTACTTCCCATGTGGGCGGCGGATAGATTTTGGGGACCATTGATGATTTCGATACCTGTCAACATTGTCTGCAGCATCTTGGGTTTTGTTCTGCTAGCAACGCGAACCACAGCGAGTGCCTATGTCTTCGCCGTTCTGTACGGCTTGTTCGGTGCTGCACTTATCGGTCTCTTCCCAGCTTGTTTATCTAGTTTCTCGAAAGACGTCGGCCAGACCGGAGCTCGAATTGGCTGGGGTTTTAGCATTGCAAGTCTAGCTGTACTGATCGGGCCTCCGATCTCAGGAGCTTTGATTGACGAGGTTGAGCGGGACTACCGGCAAGCTCAAATCTTCGCTGCTTGCTGTTTGACTATTGGAAGTATGACTATGCTAGTCATGAAACTTCTGCAGATTAGGAAGACTGCGACAACGGATACTGATCCGACTCGGCAAAGAGAACGTTCAATGCCCAAATTGTTTTTGGAAGTTCTTAGTGGTCGACAGAGATCGGGCGAAGTTTAAAACCTGCTTAATATAAGTACATAAGAATCATTAACCTTTTTCCTCCTGCCTAGAAGCAGACAAAATCCGTATATTGCAAGCGTAGTGACAACCTCACTTCTGCAGCGGGCGACTTGAATTCAGAAAGCGGCTACTATGTTCGCTTGATCTGCGAAATATGGAGAGACACCTTTAACGATCACCTTGTAGTCGACAATATAGCACTATCATGTCTCGACAAACAAGTTGTGCCGACTCATTGCATTATCTGGGAAACGGCGACGCAGTAATGGATTATCTTGAAGAAGAAGATGTGCTGGCCTGACACCTTCCACGGTTCATCTCAAGCGCTAAGCTGAACTTCCGACGCAATCGGGCTTAGCAATTTCTCCATCTCGTGGGAAACCTCCGCTCTCACCTGCCGATTGCCTCACACTGACTCTGCGACCGATCGCATGGTTCGTCCACTGCTCGTCGGTCTCGCGACTTTTCCAGTGGTGACCTCAATTTACGCGATCCACGGTCTACGTTCGACAGGCTGAATCTCCAGTGTCTGGACTCTAACGCGTTAGCTCGGTAGACTAGCTTGGTATGCACCTAGTATAATGAGCAGTACTCCTCGTGCGGCATGTGATAGCTGTCGTAAGTCCGTTGAGCGGATAATATGTTCTCACAAGATTGACAATGATCAGGCGTTCGGAAAAAAAGATGCTCAGGAGATAGGACAGGTTGCACAAGATGCAGCAGGTCCAGCATCTCCTGTATCTATTCGCGTACACGACCTCTGGGAAGGCCATCAAGGCATCGTAGCGACATGAGGACTCCTGACTCAACAAATGAGTCTAACCATGGGAGACCTGGCTCTTTTCGCTTCGTTACGCCCGAGTCCCTGGCCACCGAGCCAGAGACAAGGTCAACCGTATCCATTGGGGAAGAACGACACAATTCGAACTTTGATTCACTGCAGCCAATCAGGGAAGCAACCTCAAGTGCACTCATGACTAACGAACCTGAATTTGGACAAGGTACAACCTCAGTCACAGCCGTGGCTAACACCGCCCAAACAGATTCGACTACTGTCTCCTCCAGCAAGAGAGTAAGGTGTTCATGCCTTATACGGACATTCGAGGCCGTGCAGGAACTCTCCCAGATAGACGACGACGACGACGTTCTACCGAGGGTACACAAGGTTCGTTGCTCTATGGAGGTGGCCAAACAATTGATGAATTGTCAAACGTGTTACGATTTCAACGACAAGTATACCCAGACATGTTACAATGTCCTCCAACTATCACATCTGCTATCTGCAATCGCATTCTGCTGTACGGCGACGTGGAGAGCAGCCGTTGATAACATAAACATGTCCAAGAGAATTAACTCGCTGCAACGACCATCCGACAATGTCACCAACAACAACCAGACTCTTGCACTATCCGACCTCCGTCAAATCCTCAGACCCGATGAAATCAAGCAGCTAGAGCAGAACTGTATCCGCAATGATACCAAGGCACTTTCGCAGCTATGCCAGGAATTCGAAGCAAGACAGATCCAGAGACATGTCCACAATCATGAACTCTGCGGGTATATTGATATCTGTATATCTGGAACTTTACCGAGTGTTACTTCTGTTGAGGCCTGTTATGCTCGAAATGATATTCAACGTGTATATCCTTGTTTTCGGTCGGTCGAACAAGCGAAAGCGGCATTGCAGAGTTGTTTGGACGTGGTAGCTTCTGGGATGGAGGGTTCGAGGACTTGACGTATGAGCTATCGTATGAAAAATATCTGCGAAATCACAGGTCTTTCATGGCCAGGAGAGTTTACTACGTGTCCATCGATGAAGAGATGTTACGTTGTCTTGTCGGGAGAAACCAATGCGAACATGTGGTGGCAAAACCTTCATCCATTTTATGTCTGTCCTCCCGCCACGATATTATGCTTGCTTCATCTAGCTGACTTTACCCTTGACCACCACAGCTACACAGCTCTTCCCAATCCATCACCATATCTCTAAACCACTCAGCAAGAACTCAACGCCGTTCTGACTCCCAGCGCCACCAAAGTTGCTACCATAACAGCAACAACTGTAAAGATCGGCTGCAACCACCCCAACATCGCCAGGCTGGTCAGAGTCGCAAATACGCCAGCGGCAGGAGTGAAACCGCCATACATAAAGGACTGGAATCCTGCAGAAAGCGAACCTGGAGCGTGGTTGTCAGCTGCAGTCAAACTATCTTTGAGGTGCGGGGTTAGATAGCAGTACCGGCGATGATCCCTGCTGGCCCGAAGCCTAGTGAGAGGAGGATCGTAAGGACTACAGTGAAGGTGATCGCCCAAGCGAGGAGAGGATACAGAATGCCTAGAGACCTATTAATGAGTGTCTTTCGATCGATATAACGAGTATGTAGTGATGGCAAGAGTAACTCACAAGGCTTCTCAAACCAGCTTGTTGTATCTGATAAGAGCTTTTGGAGCAAAGATTGCAACGATGAAGGGGTGCCTGAAATCGTTTGCGCTGTCCAGTCAGTCATTGGCAGCCAGATTACGGCCATGACTTCGTGCTCGTTGTGGTTACGTTGCTGATAGAGAAACGAAGAGTTGTGTGGGTGTGTTGGAGGAATACGCGATTGTAGAAGACAAAATTAGGGAATGAAGATGAAGATGACTTGTGGGGATTTCGTCTCTAGATGCCTGGCCAAGCACTAGACGCTTACCTGCCTGCGCGGCTGACACAATGAGCAAGCCTCCATACCATGCTCGATGTACGTCAGCCTGAGTTTACTACAGTGAGCCACGACTGAAGCGCGCGGTTACTGTAAGGATCCGTCAGATCGAAGCACATCATCCATGCACTAATACTTGTTCAAGCTACGGGACCAATGAAGTCAGGGCTGACCTGGTATCTAGTGTGGCTTTTGTCCACTCATTACATACTAGGACTTTGTGCTGCTCAGATTAAGCAGGAAGATCTTTCCTGAGGAACTCTACGTCCTACTAGACTCCTGAACGGCTGCATTCTTTGGCTGGGCACTATTAGTCGGGTAAACTGGATTGATGGCATTGCGAGTGCGGCCGACCGCCCTTTGGATTAATGTCTCGGACAGTCGATAAGCAAACGAAGGTAGATGGGACTCTGCGCGCTTGGAATGGGGGCATCGAAATCGCACTAGGTAGGTAGAGCTCGTGCGGAAAGGCGAAGTTCAACGTATTGGCCAAACAAAAGTCCTCCAGCAACTCAATTCCTGCCTCACCTTTGAACTTCCGAAGAGCTAAGCCCAGATATTACCTCCTAACAATCGCTTTCGCGACCGGTCAAAGCCAGAGTCGTTCGTCAGCAGCGCTCCCCTGCTTCATCTCACACATTGAATTGTCTCGCTTAGATGGTGCATGCAAGATATGCCTCTTGGGCCGCGGTGTTATAGCCAAGAGGATCTCAATGCCAAGGAGACACGGGTGAACTTTGAGGCAGAAGGACATTTTGTCAGCCTGATTGAGTCGGAAGAGAACATGTGAAGTACGGAAGTATCGGTCTCCTGACGTTGGGTAATGAGCGCAGCAACAGTAAGACAGGAGGAAGTTTTCTGTATTTAATGACGCTACCAGAAACTAAAAAGGAAGTACTCAAAGACCTACAGGGACCGTATTTGTTCAAAGCCGACGCCATGCCAGTGATCCCAAACAAATGCGTGCTGGAATGTCATCAGAGCGGTAAGTTGTGCAAGGTACGTGCGCGTGGCCCATACGAGAGAGCATTTGAGTAGACCTGCAGTATGAGCAGTGGCTGACTTAAAGGTCGTCCTGCACAGATACTGGATGTTCGTCTGTTTTTGAGCATTCAAGTCGTACAAACGGCCTTGGCTGCTGAATATGGCGCCCTCTTCGTCGATCTCGAACACTCTCTAATTAGCCTGCAAGCAACCGGCCAAGTTTGCCAGGCCGCGACATTCGCAAACATCGCCTTTCGTGCGTGTGAGCGCCAAAGGCGGCGATAAGTACATACAGCGGGTTGTTGACGAGCGAGCAAGTGGTATCATCGTACCACGTATTCGAAGTGTAGATGATGCTAGAGCGGCGGTGGGCAGTATCAATATCCACTATTGGGGAAGAGATCCATCAACCCGAGTCCCATGACGGGCCACGGACATGTGAGTATGGATCAGGCAAGTGAGGTGTTACAAAGTCAAGAGATTTTGTGTATGGTGGTGATTGAGACGTTAGAAGCCCCAGATTGTCTTGACGAGATCGCCTGTAAGAAGGAGCCATCATTCAGGTTAGCCGTCGCATATGTGTGACCTTGAGCCGGGACCAGGTCCGACATCTAGCACACAAGCGGCGGCTGCAGGATGCTCTCTTTATCTTGTCGAAGGACAGCTTGTTAAAGCCTCTGGGAAGCTTTCGCATCGTGGTTGTAGACCTTTGCAACTGAGCTGCGCTTTCCGCAGCTGGTTCAAGGTAAGACCGCGCTTGTAAAAGTGTCCGCATATCTTGGATTTAGTGGCGCAAAATGCCCTGCTACAGGGCAATTTTAGGCAGTAAACGACCAAGAGCGAGCCAGGCTTGGCAGGAGCCAATTACTGGTTGTTGTTGCAGCCGCAGGATTCATGTCCGCTACGACAGATCAGTGAAGATACACAGACGGCAATTTCTTCTCAACTTCTTTACTACCATCGCGATTCAAGCCTTTTCGCTCCGACTGTCCTTGTATATGCTCGATGTGATAGCACGCCGTGTCCTCCTTGCGGCTGCTCTTATTACACTTGTTAGACTTGTGCTCTGTTGCAAAGGAAATTCAGAAATCTGAGCACTCGACATCTATCTCTCTCCACGATCGAACAAGTTCAAGCCACTGCAGCAACCTGATCTGCTTAGTGGTCAGTAGAGCACAGCATGCTCATTGGTATAGTGGGCACTATCTGCTCCGGCAAACACACAACAGCAGAGTACTTGGTCCAGCACCATGGCTTCTTGAGATTACATCTACCCTCTCGTGGCGATCACACCAATCACGAGGACAAGCGCTTCCTCTCATCTACAACAGATCAAAAGGGCACTCGAGGCTTAACGTTTCCAGACGTGGATAGCCTACTGGACTTCGTTACTAAACGCTGGAGAGAGCATTGGGTATTGACGGATATCCACGATGAGGACACTCTCGAGTTATTGCTCAGAAGGCCGTTCTTCCTATTACTGAACGTGGAAGCGCCTGTGAGTTTAAGGTACATACGCTTCATGGAGAGGTGTCTGCAAAGGCAACTACCAGGAATGACCATGCAAGAGTTCACTCTGCGAGACGATGCCCTGTTGTATGGCTCGGGTTACCAACGTGCGATGGCTGGAGCTTCTCACGGTGTATCCTTCGTAACGAGTGGCATTGCCCAACTACAAGCTCGTGCACATCTTCAGATCCTCAATCCATTCAGCAGCATTGATTCATACTTCAGTCACCTGCATAATCTCGACCTTGCAGCTCAATCTCGTCTTCGACCTCCGTGGGACGCCTACTTTATGCATCTGGCACACCTCGCGTCTCTCCGTTCTAACTGTATGAAACGTCGCGTCGGGTGTGTCTTGACCTTGAATTTCCGCATCCTCTCTACCGGTTACAATGGTACACCACGTGGTCTCACCAATTGCAACGAGGGTGGCTGTCCACGATGCAACAACAGCGGCAGTACTGGTGGGGCTAGTCTTTCCACATGCTTGTGTCTGCATGCTGAGGAGAACGCCTTGTTGGAGGCAGGACGAGAAAGGATCAGAGAAGGGGCAGTGCTGTACTGCGACACGTGCCCATGTCTGACATGTAGCGTCAAAATTGCGCAGGTGGGTGTCAAAGAGGTCGTCTATAGTCAGAGCTATAACATGGACGAGGCAAGTCGAAGAGTACTGGCCGAGGCGGGTGTGAAATTGAGACAATACAGTGGAGAGAAGATGAACAGTCTGGTTGGCATGGACACAAGCGCTGTTGCTGGCAATGATGCAGGGCCAAGTATGGATTTGGTCACCAGCAATGGAACATGACACACAAACGATGGTGCTGGTAGATTGCCGACACATCCTCACGACTTATTATGCCTATCAAGCCACAAGCCCACCTCCACTGCCAAACGGCTAGGCTGATCATAATGGATCAGATGCCCTGCGTCCTCAACAACGATGACATCCTCACTTCCAACACCCAACGCCTCGCCCAACCTCCCAGCAATCTCGTTGGGTAACCACTTGTCATCCCTTCCCCAGATAATTTTTGTCGGCACCATCTCACTTACCCTACTATATTCACTTTCCAACCCCAGGGTATCCCGCTTACTCGCCTGAACCATCTCCCTCACAAACGCCTTGTTCCCCTGCTTTCCGCCCTCGCACCACGGGACACTCAATGTATCTTCGGTCTCAGACGGGAGTGGATGGAACGTAGCGCTCCTTACATATCCTCTGATCAGTCCTTCCAGAAGATGTGGTGGAATCGAAGTAAAGACATCCGTATTCTTGGCGACTAAGTGGAAGAATGGCAATTTCTCCGCATTAGGAAGCACGACGACATCGATGAGGCACAGACTCGCAAACTTTATGTCATGCTGTAGGAGGAGACGAAGACTCACGAGCCCTCCGTTATCGTGTGCGATGATATGCGGAGTGGTGGGAAGGTTCCATGACTCGATCAGTGCTGCCGATGCCTGAGCGCGAAGTGTTAGACTTGGATCTAGGTCCTCTGCTTCGTCATCAGTCGTCGATGAGGCGCTGCTGGTGCGTTGTGGAGCAGGTGAGAGGCCGAAACCAGGGTGGTCGTAGAGGTAGATGCAGTACCGCGATAAGAGTGTTGATGTGAGATTGTGCCAGACGAAGCTGGACCAGGGTGTACCGTGGATAAAGATCAAAGTAGGTAGAGACGATGAGCCGATTCGAGTCCAGTGTACGGTAGAGGTGTGTGTCTGGGCGGTGTGGGTGAACGTCTGGTCGAGCGGGTATGGACTAGATCGAGACATCGTGAGAAAGCTTGACAGGCTGCAGGTCAGAGAAGTTACTAGGCCTTGAGTAGTGAGGATGTCTTTACACTTCAGCTGAGTGGTAGGATCATTACCGAATGCGCAAAACTTGGGGTCAGCTATTCAAGAATGCATGGTGATGTAGAGTCAAGTCTAACTACAAGTGAGGACAACATCGAGGACAAGTATCCTATATATCATTGCTGTTCAGAGAGTAGTATCGCGTAAATTGTAGCCCACACTGCTGCTCATCGATCATCCATCTCAAGATAGGTGACTTTCCGGAAACTTGCTCGAAGTTCTTGAGTTCAAGGCGTCCCGCGCAGCACGCCCCGCACGAGTAATTTCACTTTCAAAACTCCAAGAATGTCGACAGTCCTCTAACTTCTCGAGCAGTACACAACATGATTGTTCTGAACTGGCACATCATGCGTGTAAGTTGCTTACACACATTATTGTGACTATGTTCTTTACAGAGGCAGATATATTTGTCCTGCGTGTGGGGCTGTCATTGCTGCTCCTGAATCCATTGATAGCACCTTTGAAATTCGTCCATCTTCGCCAGAAACATGCCCTGATCCGACTCATGCGCACTCTCACACATCCCCCACATATGCTCAAACAGCTCAATACGTCGCATCTCGAACTCTTCGCTCGAGACACTGATCCGGATTAGCATTCTCTCCACGCCTCTAGCAGTCCGCTGGATATCTTCATATTGCTTTGCCATGTCGACGATCGGTCTGTTGCTTGTGACGAGGTCGATGAGTTTCTGGTGCTGTTTTCCGTCGTCGCGATGACGAGGATTAGACTCGTTGCTCAGAATCTTGAGAGACGCGCATCGCAGGAGTGAGAATGGGAGAAGTAAGTTGTCTATCTGTGGGTATTTGCGTGCTCGTCCTGCTCCTGCTACTGCCGTTGATGAACCTCGATCAGGTCTTGCAGGAGGCAGGACGACTGTGACGTGTTTATCGTTCAACAGTTCTCCCATTGCCATCATTGTCTTCCCCAATGAGTCCCTTCCCTTGCTATTCGCGAACCTGAACTGGAACCTTTGGAACTTCGACACGAACAATCTCATAACTTCTTCAACCGCCTCTTCCGCGCGATGCTCACATATCGAATGGTATTTCGAGAAATGTAAAGAGGTAATGCTCCCGCGACTTTCGATCAGAACTTCGAAGGTATTTAAGTGGTGCAGGAGGTAGCTGGCTTCGGAGAAGAGTTGACGGCATGTACGGAGCACGTTCAGGTCAATACTGAATGGCGCCGAGGGAGGCCAGAGGACGATGGAGGTAGGCTGAGCAACGACGTAGCTGAGGATCTGACTACGAAGTTCACCTGGGAGACGGAGAAGTGGGCTGGCTGGTTGTGTCTCAATATACTGTGTTGAGCCGGAGTACGACATGGCGAGATCGAGGAGTTTGAGTCGTGTATACACTGTACAGCCTGTTCTTGGTGGTGAAGTGGGAGACAGAAAATGCCGACAGCCTTGTCAGAAGGATGAGAAGATGTGGCACAGAACTATCAGTCTTCCTTACCTTCAGAACATCATACGAAGAGGAGTCTGATTAGTCGGGGCTAGCACTCTTCTAAGATTGCTTATGAATTGTGGAGATTCCCCAGTATCGACCAGTGACTACAGCTGATCACAGCCCCGAAGTGCAGACCTAGTGGTGCAGCTGTACCAAATATTACGATGAGTTCCTACTAGACAACGCTTCATTTCAACGGCGGATGTTTAGCAATTCACATGGTCTCTAAAATGCACAAGATATCTCGAGAAAGGTAACGGATCGTGCAGCAGCCGCTGAGCCTCCACATCCCCTGGTTACTAAGCAGTTAGTGCGGAGGTAAAATCTCCACAGTGCAGTGGTTCGACATTCACCACGAGAAAACACTACTCGCTTGGTCCATCGCCTGTAACAACAAGCAGAAGATGTATAGCATTAGCACCATGCAGTTGTGACTACCGGCTTTCTTCTTCAGCAGGTTGAATCAGTCATGGGAAGGGCGAAAAATAGTCCATTGCGAACTTGCGATAGAGACGGCATGTCAAGGTGTATCAATTTGGTATAAAAATGTTTCTTCTAAGGTCAAGGCTCAGTTCAATTTTTAGGGTATATCGCCAATTCATGCTACAAAACTCGGCTGCAGAACGCTCATACTCCTCCTTTCTTTCTTCAATGGACTAAACTCCGCCAACAATCTCGGCTTGTTATTTATGGTCATTTTGTTCCTACCAAGACCGAGTTTAGCTTTGCCCAATGCACCACCGCCTGCCGTACTACCAGCAGCTTTCTTCAGTCCATCAGGTTCGTCTGCATCGAAAATGTTTTTCCTGGCGCCGAGAAGCTTTTTCTTCTTAGGTTGTGGCTGTACCCCGACGGCAGGTTTGGGAGGGTTTTGTTCTTGTTGATCTGCATCTTCGTCGGCGTCTTCTTCGACAACAGAATCGAGAGCTGGGGCTTTTGCAGCTGTGTGAGTCGTAGAGGCATTAGATCGATCTTTGAGTGGCTGTGGTTGTATAAGTTTCGTCTCTTTTGGTCTAGGCTTTTTTGCATCAGTTACAGGCTTGCTCTTCTCCTTGACCTCGACAGCTTTGGCTGCCTTCTCAGCTGCCTTGGCTTTGTCCTCCTTCTCAGCGATAGCTCGGTCCGCCTCCTCCACGATCTCGTTGATCGTATCCTCGATGATCTGACCTGGACTTTCGGGCAGGATACTCATCGTCCGGTTGAGAAACGGCGTTATGGAAAATGTGCTCTTGTCTGCTAGAATCGTGGTACTGCCATGCGTCAAGCGAGCTTTCTTATTGGCCACGCCACCATTGCCAGGTGTTCCAATGGTCATGTCTGGATCGAATCGAGCAACATTTCTCTTTCGCGGGTTCTGCTGCTCCTGCGCAGCTGTTTGTGCATGTTCAGGCTGAACACTAGATGCCCTTCCAGTCATGCGCGCTTTCGTTGCTGCGGTGGATTGAGCATACTTGGCTTGTTCACGTCTTTCAAGCTCGTCCTGCGCCTCTTTGAGCTGCTCTTTTGTACTTCGAAGTTTGTTGCGGAATGCATCGAGTTTGGTGTCCAAGGCTGTCTTCTCAGTGTCCCACTCTGTCTGTTTCTTAAGATGTTCACGTTGAGTCCGGCTATGAGCACGCTTCTCTTTGGCCAAATCTGCTTTCAAGGTCTGGAACATTTCCGTTGCGGGAGTGGTGTTGGTCGTGGTAGACTGCGCGGTTTGGAGGGCGGATTCTGCTTGTGCCGCTCGCTGCTTGGTGGTCTCAAGCTCTGCTTTGAGAGATTCAATTGCATCAACCAGAGCTGCATCGGCAGCAGGTTTTATCGATGTGAGTTTTGTGTTTTGCTTTTCGAGTCTGCTCATTCTCTTGTTGGCTTCGCTAAGTTCGCGCTTCGTTTCTTGCAATTCTTCTTGTATGGCAGGGTCAGGTGTACTATTTTGTTGTTTCTGTCGCAGGCGCTCGATTGTGCGCTTTTCGTTTTCGAGTTCGAGTTGTGCAGCCGTGAGTTCTCGTTGCAAAGAAAGCTTGTCTGCCAAAACATTCTCTTGTGAAGCAACAACAGAACGCAGATGATCCAATTCAGGCCGGAGATTGTGCAGTTCCCTTGTTAATGCCAGCTTCTCGTTCAATTGCTTGTTATTCTCGGCAGCTGCTGCATTTAACGCGTTGAGCTCGGTCTGATATTGACTAACGTCTCTTATGCAGGCCCTTAGTTCATCCTGTGCGGCTTGATACTGTTCTTGCATCTCATCGAGGCGTGTTTGCAGGCCCTCGTTCAAGCTTTCCGACCTGTGTAGAGCATCTTCCTGCGCTTCGAGCTGCTCTTGTAACTCGTCGCTCGCGTCTTCTTGAAGAAGTAGACTGACTCTCAAGATTCGCGCACGTTCTTCCTGGTAGATGAGTTCTGCGACGTGTTTGGCTTGGACGAGTTTGAGATCGAGCTCAGCTGATTGAGCGATACTTTGTGAAAGGTCATCCATTTTGAGGTGTGTGTAGTACTGCAGACCTAAGTCCAGGACGGTCTCAGCACCTACCTCCTCTTTGCTTTACGCTTCAGTTCACGTCGTCGATGGTGGACGATGTGACGCTGGATCGGAAGTCAGGAAACGGGGTACGTGTGCATGTTTGTTGATGCTTCCTAATTAATCTTAGCTTTCGGGGAAAAGCCGGTTGTTGCTCGAAATACATTCTCATGCCTCAGGCCAAAGTTCGCCTGATTTGTCCTTGAATCATCGGAAAGACCACGAAGCCTCAAATGTTCCCAGGCGCTACTTCTACATCTATGCACAGCTCAATGGTGAAGATGCGAGTGCTTCAGCTGTTATTGGCGGCGAGTCTGTCTATATTCTCGGTTGCAGCCAAGAAGTCTCCTTCCGCTTTCGACATCTATCAGAAAAAGCAGTTTCCCATCACCTTGAACGAACAGCAGTACGATGAGCTGACTTCTGTCCCTCGAGACTACTACTCCGCAGTCGTCCTGACAGCTCTCGATGCAAAGTATGCATGCGGCATATGTCGAGAGTTTCAGCCTGAATGGGATGTGATCGGAAAGAGCTGGCAGAAGGGCGACAAGAAGGGTCAGAGTCGAGTTCTCTTTGCTACTCTTGACTTTGATCAGGGCAGAAACGTCTTCATGAAGGTGTGTAAAATAGTCTTCAGTATGGCAGAGCTAACATCTTACAGCACCAATTGCAAACTGCACCCGTCCTCTTCCTCTTTCCTCCCACAACTGGCGCTAATGCCTCGCCTGACGGCCAACCTACGCGGTTGGATTTCCTTGGTCCACAAACAGCAGAAGGTATCCACGGTTGGATCCAGCGACAGCTACCAGCTGGTGACTATCCTCAACTCGTCAGGCCGTTCAACTGGAGCAAACTCATCACAACTGTTACGATCGTCATTGGGATATTCACTTTTGGCACAGTAGCGTATCCATACATCCTGCCTGTCATTCAGAATCGGAATCTTTGGGCTCTGCTAAGCCTGATAATGGTCTTGATGTTCACGAGCGGGCATATGTACAATCACATCAGAAAAGTTCCTTACGTTACTGGGAATGGAAAAGGTGGAATCACTTACTTCGCTGGTGGATTCTCCAATCAATTTGGAATTGAGACACAGATTATTGCTGCTGTTTGTGAGTTCAACAAGATTTGAAAGCTATGCACGCGCTAACTCTTTTTCTTACAGACGCTGTACTTTCCTTCGCTACCATTTCACTCGGCCTAAAAGTTCCACGAATGAAGGACGCTCGTACACAACAAATTGCCGCTATTATTTGGGCAAGCGTGGCTTTCGGAATGTATAGCTTCTTGATGAGTTTGTTTAGGATTAAGAATGGCGGGTACCCATTCTGGTTGCCACCATTCTAGAGAGGTATGTGTGTACATCACCTGCTGGCATGTGCCCAGCCGACTGTGACGTGATATATAGACGATCGCTAAGAGTGTATGGCTTCTCATAGCTTGACTTGCCCCTTCCACCTGACCTTGTTCTTCTTTACGCAACTCGTGCGATGCACGGGGCGCCCCTGATGCCTGACGAAAGTCAGCACGCTTGGACAAAAACCGCATAGCCTGATTTCTTTGACTTGACTTCGCGAAAGGAGTTTGTCCTCCCACTACTTTCTTTGACGGAATATGCGCCGCTCTTCTAAACCAAATCATTTGCAAAACTCCACAAGATGATCCACTACTGTATTCTGCGTCGTACTTTCGAAGCATGCGAATGCCAATGTATGAATTATGCATCTAATGATCCAATTGACGGACAAGTTTTGGAAGACAATCCTAGCTTGAGCATGTGCGCATTTATCCACGGCTCTGGTGATTTGTGAAGCCCTCGAATCACATTTGTTGCCAAGTGCTTCGAAGTTATCACTATGCCTGTGCAACAGGAAACGACGAAGTGGCCAGAATTCCACCACGATGACTTGCTCACTTCATGATCCTTCTGTTCTTGATTGGTGGTTGCTTTGAGTTCTGAGCAGCATCTGGCGAACGAAAGTGCTGCACAAAAAGCCATTCGGGTAAAGTTGTCAGGCTGAATGTTTTGGCCTCCATATTCGACCCGCTGATCTCCACAGCTATGGCATTCTGCTCTGCTAGACTACAGAAGTACTGGTAGGCACATGTACATGTGCTGAAGCGTGCACCGCACTTGCGAGTGCATGATGTGGCGAACTATCTGCTCAAGTCGATTATCCTAACGCTTAGCAAATTATGGCCGCTCATGGCATAACCTCAATATGGGTGTTTCTGGCAATGGCTTAACGCCGCCGCCTTCAAGTACATTGCACAACCACCTCTCACGACTCGATGCTCAAGAAGATCACTTCCACCTGTTGCATTTCGTAACACGCGATCAGATCGAAGTCGAGGTTCACGCCATCGATTCTGCACCTGAATACCAAGCACTAGCCCATGCATGGCACGAAGTCACAGATCCTAACGCTTTTGTCACCAAGCAAACTGCCATTCATTGGAGCGAGCAGTCGTATCCTGCACCGGCACAACACAACTTGTGGTCACCAGTACACGACATTGCTGGAGTTGGATGCGGATCGAACAGGAATTTATCTTAGCGAAAAAATTGTGATGTATATGTCAGGGCACGGCTCTGCTCTCCAACATGCACCCCCTCTGACCTTCGTCCTATGCTTGAACGACGTATTGCTGTTCTGGTTCACCTCACACCATCTGTTCTCAAAAGTCAATGAACGGTTGACAGAAGAAGTGGCAGAACAGGCCGACGGAGTTTGCATAGCCACGACTAGAGAAAGCAGATTTCCTACCGACAACGGTAGGTGTGTTGGCGTCACCAGTATCATGGGTATCTGCATGTAGAATCTACATTCTTGCAGGTCAATTAATGTGGCCTTTCCAAACCGTTTCTCTTGGTCCCTCCACTCGTCAACAAGACACTTTGGTGCTGCCTGTGAATACTTGGATCAAGACGTCCAGGGACATTCCGTGGTGGCGTCAACAAAATCCTTTGGGTCTACTAATCAGTCTTTCCAAACACAACGGCTGAAGTTTGGTCAGCTTGGCTATTTAGATCCAGTCTGGAAGTGCTTGGGATGTGACATGGCTCAACCGAATTGACGATAGATGGGCCAAAAGACCGTGCTTACGCTTGGCTAAGCATTACTACTGCAAGACAACACATCGTTGACACTTGATCGGTCTAGGTATGCAGGAATCACGCGCTTAGGTCCACACCTTTGCCTAAGCCGACCGTGCTAGTCTTCCAAGCAAACAGCACGGCCTTGATGAATGACAAGTCGCCAAACACTGCATGATGTTCTGACAACACATTGCTCAACAGCAGAGTCAGTCCTTATGGGCAGCCAGAGCTCGTACATCAGTGTCCTCAACAAGTCGTTTGAGTCTCTGCTTCCTAGTCTTTCAACTATCCGCTTCAGAACCTAGGCATCATGGCTTTCTTACTGATCGATACTGTAGACTTATTGCATCTCGCATTGACCAAGCTTGCATCCAACTTGAGAGACTCGACCATTCTATACTGTGACATTGAGGGTCAAAATCTAGGTCGGAATGGCACGTTGGATCTCTTACAGCTCTATGCACTCTCTCTTGAGCAAGCATTCGTGTTTGATGTCTTCGCTCTTGGCGAAGGAGCATTTCTAACCACGATGAACAGTATATCACTGAAGTCGATTCTGGAGTCAAATGTCATCATCAAGGTGTTCTTTGATGTTCGAAATGACTCTGACGCACTCTTCAAGCACTTCGGCATTCAGCTCCAAGGTGTCATTGATCTCCAACTCATGGAGTATTATCAGCCTGGTCGTTACGGGACATATCTACTAGGCCTTTAGGCTTGTATCGAACGAGATTGTGCTCTACCAGCGGACGCGATGGAAGTCTGGCGAAGCGAAAAGTCCGCGATGCATGCTAGGTTCGATGAAACTCGAGGTGACACTCAATCGTTGTTCCAGAAGAGACCCTTGCCTGATGAACTCATTAAGTACAGCGCTAATGACGTTATGCATCTACCTGCTCTGTACCGAGCATATCGTGTTCCTCTGAGGCATAGGCTTTGGCAGATGGTGGAGACACAATCCCGCGTGAGGATCGAAGACTCTCAAAAACCAGAATACAATCCACAAGACAGAAATAAGCGCAAGGGCCCACGACGCAATTACAACCGATCGAGACGTGGGCAGCCACTAAATCGACTCTTTGGAGACCTCACTTCGGCCAGACCTGAGAGACAGGAAGAAGTGTTCGAGACCAGCATAGTGGTTCCTTCAGGGAACATTAAGCCTGATTCTGGTCGAGGCACAGAGCCTCTGCGATATCAACCAGTCACCTTTGTCAAGGCAGAAGATCCCAAGCTAAAGAAGAATGTGAACAAAAAGAAGAAGGCAAGCAATGTAGGCCAAGGAGCAACACCAGCAATGGAGACCTATCACGAAGACCTGGACTGGGCACTTTGCGATAAGGATTGCGGGTGGTGTGGGCATTGCTATAATTGATTGTGTGGCTGGAAAAAGACGATTGAGGGAGTTTGCTTTTCGTTGAGCAGTCCTGGTATCTCTGTGTGGTTGAGACATACAGACACCTTGGTCACTGCTGGGCTGTTACGCAGTGTTTAGATGCTGTCAAATCAAGTGTCACCGGGTTGGGACACTACTTGTCGTGATGCTGTTGGCTTCCCTCACTACATCGCGTTCTTCGACATAGTGTTCAGTAGACAACCGCGTCAATGAGTAGCCAAGAATGCCGGATTGTGAAACTGTCAATTTTGACCCAGCACTCCCTTGGAAACATAGTCCACCTCTGTACAACGCAGCTCGATCAGAATGCACAAATTTGGTATGAAGGTGCCACTCGTCTCAGCTAGCACTTGGAGGAGGTCAAGAATCGAGTTGATGATTTACTCTTGGGTGTGCTGGCAGTAATCGTAATCTTTTGAGACTTGTGGTTTAAAGATGCCTTAGGCATAAACATCGTCGAGGTGATGACGTGAAACAGCACAAGCTCGTCTCTTTCTCACAACAAACCACTCGTCATGCCACATCAATCACGGTATCGTATGTGATGGCGTCGGAGCATGTACAAAAGCTCGCCAGTCTGGTTAGCATACCGTAATCTGCTCTCAGCAGGTCGACTAAAATCAAACACGGAACAAGCTAAGTTGGCCAGCGAACTTGGTCAGTTACAGCAGAGGCTCACCACTACCAGATGGTTGAGGCAGAACACCCATAACGGCTTCTACATCCATGGAGGTGTGGGTACCGGGAAGTCCAGGATGGCAGACTTGTTCGCTGCGACTTTGCCATCGCAGGTCACGCGACGTCGCGCACACTTCTTCGAGTTTATGACAGACATTCATATGCGCTTACACCGTGCACGTAGTCAAGCGAATTATGCTGGAGATCCACTCGTGCAGATTGGTCATGTGGTACAGAAAGAGTCGTCTGTCTTGTGTCTGGATGAGTTTCAGGTCAGCGATATCGCTGATGCAGTAATACTCAAGCGTTTGTTTACCTCTTTCTGGGAACGAGGTGGAATAATGATCTCGACCAGCAATCGACATCCTACAGAACTGTACAAAAACGGGCTGAACAGAGGACTGTTTATCCCCTTTATTGAGGAACTACAACGACGTTGTGTCATTTTCCAGATGAAAGGTGAGCACGACTACCGTATGGACAATGGGAAGCAGTATCAGAGACATGATATTTTCTTCACCGATGCCACGGAATTTCAAAGATCCCTCTCAAAAGTCACGGACGACGCTTTTGTCAAATCTATCGAAATACCAGTCGTGATGGGCAGGAAAATGAAGGTCAATGCTACAGAAGTCAACGACAACGCCAAGCCGATGGTGTCGGCCACTTTCTCATCCCTCTGCGAAGCTTTTCTCGGCGCCTCAGACTATCACGCTTTGTGCAATTTTGCGTCTACTATCTACCTCTCAGGCCTTCGCAAATTTCGATCCGATGAACTGGATATTGTCAGACGATTCATCACATTGGTTGACATTGCATATGAATCGCGGACACGCATTCTGTGCCTGTCCACCGAACCCATCCTGAAAACGTTTGAGAACATCATCCTGAGTGGAGAACCAACATCCGAAGTCGAGAGCGGAGGTGACCAAGGCTTGTCAACGTCGAAACCTTTGAATAAGCTACGCGAAGTTCTACAAGATCAAAACCTGAAAGTCAGGGGCGAGGGAGGGAGCAGTTCAAGCATGATGAGCACGTTCATTAACGACGTTGAGTGGAGTGCTACAGGTCTGAAGAAAGCTTCGCTTGCAACTGGTGGAGCTGGCGAGACGGACGTCAGGTTTGCGATAGTGCGTGCGATATCGAGGTTGTCGGAGATGAGTTCAGAAGGATATGGTGTGAAAGATTGAATTTGTCTCTACAGATCACGTTATTCCACTACTATCTTTGCAAGTCGGAAATGACTGAATAATCGAACAAATTCTCAGATGGACAATGCATGTACTCGAAAACGAGCCTATCAGCATATGAGAGGTACCTCCACCAGGTCGGAAATCATGCAACGCCGTACAAGCACTACGCCTTGCTTCCAAGTTCCGTGGCTATCTTCATAAGTCATAACGATGAACCTTTGCTTCGCTGGCCAGCCTGTAAAAACACAAGAGTACCCGCAACGTATCAAACCTGATTAAACCTGCAAGCCGACGAGCGACTTCACCTTGTTCATGGTACCTACAAGCTCATAAAATCCCAGAGTCCACCAATATCGTCTTGTCCATCCCTCTCGAACAGGAAGTCTCTCTTCCTTAAAGACTGCACGAGCATAGTCACACGGAACGCTACTGCCGTTGCCGAAGACGTCCAGTATCAGCGCTATTTCTGTGCAAGCAATTTGGTGTGCTAGGGCCCCATATTGAAGATCTGGATTCTCGTCCAGTTGTCGTTGTATTCTCCGCTTCCTCAGAGCAGCTAGATCTGCCATAGTGATGGTCTTACCATCGCTCGAAGAGGCTAGAAGGTCTTCCACAAGTTCTGACTGAGGAGCAATGTTGCCAGGCTTCTGTGTGTGGTCACGTCTCGTCAGCGAGACATCGTGTTCGATAATGCCAGGTGTGGCCAGCTGATCGAGATTGAGAACTTTGGTGCCTTGGCCATCGACTTGCTTGCGTCTGCGGAGGCCAAAATTGGACATGATGGACCACGGATTACGGAGAAGATACCACAAACGTGCCAGGAAGCCTCGTCTTCTGTCCAGTTTGGCCACATTACGATCCAGCCTCTCGTTGTAAATTGGAAAGGCAAAAACGGCTCCCAAAGCTGCGGAAAGGCCGACAACATTCATGGCTGTGTTGAGGTCGCTGGCACGAATATCTCGACCTGTACGGTTGATGTAGCCATGGTTCGCAAGGCAATTGACCAGTGGGCATGGACCTCGAGTGTCGGTCGGCCCAGCTGGTGCATATGTGCCTCTTGACAAGTTTGATGACACGAGAGGAGTTCGCTCCGATGGTACGTTCGAGCCTGGCATGATTGAGGTTGGCAAGGTTGACAGAACGAGGATTGAGGACAATGGAAGTCTGAGATGAGGTACAAGGGTCGTATGAGGGTAAGTAGTGCAGCAAGGCAAGAAAGACTCGAAGACCTTCAGCTGCATGTGCCCTCTCACATACAATTCACACCTGAGCCTTCTCAGCTATCCAAAGACGCATCGGCGTCCGGAAAGAGCCATCTAGATCTCCCTCAAGCGATGGCGCTTTCCTGGATCTGGTCGTCTTTCGGCAAACCTGCGCTATCCGGCAAAGATTGTGCAGAGAGCTGAGATGTGGGTCAAGCCCAGCTGAAGACGGAGCCAGCCACGTTTTTGCGGAGTAATTCCTTTCTCCAGTACGGCTGCCTCTTCAGGGTTCGGCCCTTGCTTGAATTGGTCCTGCGACTGCTTTTGGTTTACACCTCGTAACTTAATTCACCTCCTTGGCACTACCCTCGCTTTCTCGCTTTCATCAGCGCGTTGTGATTTCGACTTCCGGACACCTTTGGCAGCTACCAAGAGCAGCAGGCAGGGTCTGCGAAAGATCCAATGACATTTTGGAAGAGTTAATCTTCCGAAAAAGCTGGAGGTGACACGGAACGAGCCTCTCGTTCTCCTTTCCGCAACAAAACATTTAGCTTTGACACTAAGGGTAAACCGAATCTTCCGTGTTGTTGACCGGATGCGGGTTCGCATGCAGTGTCTGCCTGCATGCTTCATCTACACGACATTCTGCGAGGTCAGACTGACCCATCGCGGCGTTAGCTGCGGGTCCTTGCCAATCACATCAGGGATATCTTCGAAAAGAACTGGGCTGAGACCTAAGAACTCGGTCAGGTGTCTTACAGTGCTCAGCTGTGCAAGCCACGCACCGACTTTCAGCATACCACATGTCAATCTGTGCTTTGTGATGGGATAAAATCACAAACTATTGGTTGAACCTAATTGGGTATGTCCATCACCTCACCCGTATTAGACCTCTGCGGCTTTCACAATATGCACCAGGACATGGACTTATGTGTTCTTGGCGCCTGGGCCCACCGAGCATCTCTCAGCTCAGATATCGCCAATCAGTTGTCGGACGAGAAGAAATATATAAGAAATGGGTCAACTCTATCCTGGCGTCCCGCCTCCAAGAAGTTGTCAATTCTTGGGTGCCCTAAGACTCGCCAGGTTGTGCTGAGCAGCATTGGGCAATTACGATACCCTTACACCCACCTTGCCCATAACATTGGCATTTGTCGTTGTCTGCTATTCCATAGTCGGATGATTACCTTGCCAGAACCGTACTATCCCTTCTTAGAACTGCAGTGGTATTACGAGCATTGTATCTGATCATGGCTTCTACCACGCAAGCAAATGGATCTGCTAACCGACGCATGAATGGCAAACCAACTGCCATGGGTGGATTAGAGAGTGAGATTGTCCAACTCAACCTGGACATCAAAAATGCAAAGCACGATCGTAAAAATGATAGCTTCCATGGAGATCAGCTCATTGGTGTACGTTCAGATGACAGCGGGACGAGGCCTTCAATTGACAAGATTCTAGGACAAAGTAACAACACAAGTCGGTCTACTAGATGACATCCGTCGCATTGTTGTGGCTAAAAATCTACCTGCGATTGGCAGCGCCATAAGAGGCATGCTTCCGGGTGCCAAAACAGATGTGAGTAAAACACTGCACCGGATTTGCGTCCTGTCCGGGCTTTGACAGGTCATGTTAGGTCAAAGCTCTAGCTGTTATTGCCGGATCTATGTCCAACGACAGCAAGTCTCGCAAATCGATGGTCGACCAACGAGTCAAGGGTCTTTACAATAAGATGCTGCACCCGCCACTGACCTATCTGGGAGATGCGTTTCAATACCGGCAAGCTGACGGCAAATACAACAATGTCATGAGCCCGCACCTTGGACAAGCTGGTGCACCATACGCTAAGACAGTACCTTCGAAGACACATCCTCTAGGAGCTTTGCCTGACCCTGGTGATTTGTTTGATAGATTGTTAGCTAGAGAGGATGGAGGTCGAAACAGCACATCCGGACTCTCAAGCATGCTGATTTACCATGCCACGATCATCATCCATGACATATTCCGTACCAACGACAACGATAAGAACATTTCCGACAGTTCATCGTATCTGGACTTGTCCCCTCTCTACGGATACACGATGGAGATGCAGCGCAAAATCAGAGACGACGAGTACAAGCTTGGCCTATTGAAACCGGACGTGTTTGCCGAGGACAGACTGTTACGACAGCCGCCTGGTGTATGTATCATGCTCGTCATGTACAACAGGTACCACAACTATGCTGCGACTCAACTTCGGCGCATCAATGAGAACGGCAGATTCTCAGTGCCGAGCAAGTACACCGGTACAAAACTGGAAGCAATGGCACGAAAATGGTATAAAGGGAACAAAGATGAACAGTTTGCTGCCAATCTCAAAAAGTACAACACAGCTTGGAAAGCCAACCAAGCTAAAAAGAATGACGTCCAGGCTATGAAAGACGACCAGCACCTGGAGGACTGCACTAAGACCTTGGAAGACTATATCGCTCAGTCAGGGCCAAGTGACCAGGATCGCAAGGATTTCGGAACACTATACGATGCAGCCTGGGACAAGCTCGACGACGACCTATTCAATACCGCTCGTCTCATCACCTGCGGAATGTACATCCAGGTGGCTATTCATGACTACCTCAGAGCTTTGATGGGCTTCCACCAGTTCAACACCAATTTTACACTCGATCCTCGAAGCGAGATTGACCACAAGAACGTGTCTCGTGGAATTGGAAACCAGGTAACAGTGGAGTTCAACTTATTGTATCGTTTCCATTGCGCTATATCTCAGAGAGATGAGGCGTATACAGAAGAATACATCAAAGCTGGTTTTCATGTCAAAGATGCTAAAGATGTCTCTGTCAAGCAGTTCATCGATGCCACGAAGGACAAGAAGGCGTACGACGAAGCTCACCCTGTCGAGCCGAAGGACCAAACTTTTGGTCTTTATGATCCAAAACACCACTTTGCACGTGATCCAATCACTGGATTGTTCAATGACGCAGACATGATCAAGGAGCTAACAAGCGCGATGGATGATCCTATCTCGAACTTCGGTCCTCGAAACGTGCCAAGGTGTTTGAGAGCAGTCGAGATCATGGGTATCATGCAAGCACGAAAATGGGAGATTGGCACATTGAATGACTTCCGAGAATTCTTCGGTATGACCAGGCACCAGACATTCGAGCAAGTCACCAAGAACGTTGACATTCAGAATGCCCTGCGTGATTTGTATGAACATCCGGACAAGATTGAGCTCTATCCTGGTGTATTCTGCGAGTCTGACAGCACCATGAATTTGGATCCTGGACCAAGCGATCTGAACGCTGCTTTATGGGGCGCCATCTTCTCAGATGCGATCACGCTTGTGCGATCAGACCGTTTCTACACGGTGGACTGGAACACTAACTCCCTCACCTCATGGGGCATGAAGGAGGTCACGGCAGATAACGATATCTGCAAGAGTTCTGTCTTCCACCGTTTGATTCAGCGAGCATTTCCTGGTTGGTTCCCATACGACTCGATCAGGTTCTTTCATCCCTTCTACACTTCACAGCAGAACGCTAAATTTGCAAAGGAGCAAGGCTATGCGGCAGACTTCAAGATGTCTCCAGAGCCTAAGATTGAAGGGAATGGCAATACAGTCTTTGATGTGGCCGCTTCAGAACCTATGAAGCCAGTCAAGCCTTTGTATCTCGCAGAGGCTGACAAGATTTCTCTTGTTATAGACAACCCACATGACTTCATTCACCCTGCCTTCAAGAATCCTGCCAACTTTCCCGAGGTAATGCAAGGTCTATTCAAGCAACAAGCTGGGAAACGGAGACAGACGCGGACAGCGACATTGCCGAAAGACCAGGTACACGAGGATCTAGACGGCATCATGAAGTACTTCACCAAACTTATGCGGAACATCATTAAAAGAGAGTCCATCACGATGAAACCAAACACATATCAACTTGATGCGACAAGAGAGTAAGTAAATTGCAAGAGTGCTAGCCGAGCTAACAAGATATCAGTTTTGCCATACCTGTGACTACCCAATATGTGGCCGACTTCTTGGGCTTCGGCCATCTCATTCGCAATGCAGACAATCCCCATGGGCTGTACTCCGAGAACGATATCTATCAGCACATCACTAACTGCCAGATCTTCCTCTCGTACAATGCAGACGAAACCAAACTTTTCAAACGACGTAAGGCGTTCAAGATTTCACTTCAATTCCTCTACGACTTGACTCTGGACGGCAACATCTATGAGGCCAGCAGATCAGGCATCGGCCAATACCTCTTCGGAAGGAAGCGTGACAATGCCATGATTGACTTGGGATTTGAGGTTGCAGAGCACATTCACAAGTTTGCGTCGAGCCGAGTTGAGGCTGCCACCATTCTCGTGTTTGTTGGACTTCATACTGCCTACAACTCTGTCCTAGCGGTAAGCAAAAATTATGTCAACACAGTTGTGACGCTAATATATCCGATAGTTCACGTCTGTGCTCAACATGTTCTTCGCTGAGATGTATGACTATGCCAATGCCGACTCGATACCCGCAAAGACGCCAACGTGGCAGAAGGTGCAAGAGCTTGCTTTCAGTGAGACGAAGAACAGCTTCGAAGAGCTCATGGATCTTGTTCTCCAGGCTGAACGTACTGCCATACGGCTACCAGTTGTACGTACAGCCACAAAAGATCGTACGGACCTCAACGTCAAGGCGGGAGAAACCGTCATTTGCGATATTGTAAGACCTGTGTTCCTGACATGGAGCTCGATTGAACTGACTGCGATGATAGCATAGAGCCAATACCGAAGCTCTCAAGGCTGGCAAGAAGACCTTCCTGAACCACAAGTCAAGCGCGACGGAGATGATCGCCGATTACGACCCTAAGCGAATTGCAGCCATGAGTGTTCCAGTCATGATCAAAGTTATCGCTCAAATGAAGAATCCTCGACGAGGTCATGATGCTCAGGGTCTACTGAAGAAAGTGAGGCTCGATGCATCATCTGAAGGCTACTCAAATTTCATGGCTCCCATGAGAATACAAAGAATTGCACATGAATCATCAGGTGTTGCTGGCAGTATTTACACGGAAAAGATCTTGAAACCAGCAACAGACACTTACTTGACTCCCGAATGGGATGAAATGGTACCTTTCCCTAACAGTAAGTTCTATTCCAGCGTACCTTGCCTTCGCTATCAGGTCCACTGACTCTTTTCACAGCCTGGAAGATTCGCTTCGATGGTTTCGGTCCATCGAACTACAGGAAAGAAGGTAGTGACAACGTGTACGGACAGCTTGCACGACCCCCTATTGACGAAGATGCACTCTGTGCGCCGCCATTTTATCAGCCTCAAGGTCCAAGTCGGTACGGAGGTAGCTTTGGGGTATGTGACGGCAAGACGCCTGCTGAACTGGAGGCGACTGTGGCTACTGGGTGTCATATGTAAACATGAGCGTTCGCAAGGATTGTCGATCTGATTCGGGCCGCATTGCTATGATCTAGGACAAAACCAGGAAGTTATGGGTACTGCGGTTGGCGTTTTTTTCGCTCTTAGTCGGTGTGCTATCCAGAGTTGTATGGGTCGTGGCAGAATCATTGCAGTATGCGCGTGTAAAGAGACTCCAGTTATATTTGCTATAAAGAATTTTAAGTCTTTAAGTAATATGACTTGTTTCTTCTTTAAACCCTTACTTATTACGTAAGTTCCTAGGCTTAAGGTAAGTAGATCTGGACTGATTGGTAAACTACAGCTGTGCTCGGGGCATACCCCTACACGTCTCTTGTTCTAGTATCATTCCATGTCTCCCTCCACGTGTTCCATCGTTGACACCAACGAATTTATCGGGCGGATCATCCCTCCAGCGCCATAGACTTCTGTACTCTTCATTAAGACATCCTTCTATCGCATCAACGACCTTATCGCCTATGACAGGGAATAGTTTGAATACATGGCCACTGTCTCCTGTCGCGATGAACAGGTCAGCATATTGAGGATGGTAATCAATGAGAAAATCCCCTGTTGGCCTGAGAAATGTTAGCAAACGAACGATATTAGAGGCTTCCTGCCGACCTACGTGTCGCAGTACCAACAAAGTCGCGTCTTCGTGAAATTTCTATCCTTCCATTGTGGATTCAGATCGACCAAGAAATCTCTGCACGCAGCTTCTGCCTCTGCAGGTATAGGCAGATCAGTCCTGGGTATGCTAACCACGGCCTGACTTTCGGTGCGCTGGCTGCTACTGCCATCAGTAGCCAACTCGAGTTTCGAGAATTGCACCTGCTTTGGATTCTGATACCCGAAGCCATGGCGACCAAGCTTGAGTTCATTGTGGTGTGGTGGAACCATGAACATGCCTCTGCTGACGTTGAAATATATCGGACTCGATTTCAGTGTTTCCTGTTCTTCATCGCTAAGGGTGAGATACGAGAGTACTTGACCGGTGGCAACGGCTCTGCCTCCAAGGTCGATCAAGGAAGACGTCCAGGCACCTGCAGCGAGAACGACAAGGTCTGCACGTACTAAGGAGCCATCGTCAAGCTCTACACCACAACATCGCGTCGTGGCAGTTCCAGTGGAAGCGTACTTCTCTGTAAGAAGTCCCCTAACTCTGGCGTTGCTCTTGATTGTGATGCGGTTCTCTCCTACCTTTTGAATCTGCTTGTACGCATATCTGACGCACGCTTCAGCATTGACCCAGCCGCAATTGTCATTAACATAGCCGGTATTACCACTGACTCCGGGAAACGGGGCTTGTCGTCTGATCGCTTCTCTGTTATACAACTCCGTCAATGCCTCGTCATGAAACCCGCTTTTCCCAGATGCTGCTAACCGTCTCAAATTCGTTAGACTCTCTTCCAGATAACCATCGACATGTCCTTCGACTCCAGGAAGCTCCGTCAAAAGAAGCCTTGCATCATGATAGCGGCCCTGGCCGCCCCATCCATCGTCGCTGCAATCTAGCCAAAGCGATCGTGCTTCGGACACGAGCCGCGTATATGCTTCGACAGCATAATCTGCTCTCAAAATACGACTTGTGTCTATCGAGGCACCTGACGAATTGGGTAGCTGAGGAGCAGCGTCTAAAATAGTAATATGGCTATTAGTATATTTTTGGTGTCTCGAAAGGGACAGTGCTGTGCTTGTTCCTAGCACGCCTGCGCCCACGATCAATACTTCTGATTTGTGTGACTGCGTGTTGGTCATGTTGAACTTCGGTATCAGTTGTGGCTGCGGTTTGTTTGAGAGCTGTCCTCCCTTGCTTTTTCGGAATCGTTACCTCATGACTTCTGCTGAATTTATGCTCCGTGAAGTAGGGCGAAGTCAAACTGCGGTGCAGCAAGCCGCAGGCTACCTCACGATCAGTGTCACTGATTGGTAGTGGCACGAGGTCATTGTCCAAGATGCTCGCACAGCTCACGATTCTCGGACACGACAGTCGGGACGCATAGCTGGGAAGTGGAGAAGCAAGCGATCTGCAGCGGTACTTGTGCCGGAATGTGTTGTTATTGGCTCGGTCGCGCTCAGACACAAAAACCAATCACATTCAGTCAGTTGGAACTCTCCTCAGCCGAGACCCAAGTTCATGACCAACTTTGACTTACTCTGTACAACATGAAAGACTCCAGTAAGACACTTTTAGGACTTTGGCAATGCCGATGTCCGTCAGATGACATTTTGACTTACCGCATCTATGCGGAGGCATGATACCATCAACCGCGGAATCGGATCCACTTCAGACCTGTTTCTATTGGTTTGATCGTCGCGATTTTGCTTGAGCCAATCACAACGAGAGGCGGATATCGTAGCACCAGCTCACCCTGCTGATAGCTTGTCTGCTCTCGAGATGTCAAACACGACTATTCTGGCTAGCACAAAGTTTTGTTGATTCTGGCGATGCAATTGGACTTGGTTTATGTGGCGCAACGCGCGCCAATGTTGACCGCAAGTCATTCACACATGTCTGAACTTTTACGCATCAAGGGTGTCGATATCACAGAGGGCCGGACGTAGCAGGATTGACATCAAGGCAAGAGAACCAGGAACTGAGGACAGAAAGACAATGGTGCCGTCCTACCCATATGCCTTATAAGGCAGATAAGCTCAAACTTCTACATTCCTCATCGAATCGTCACTTCATTTGATCTCAACCTGAGCAAAATGTGTCTAGATCGCATTTGCAATAGAAACAACGAGGAGACAATTACGAAATGGCATTAGTGCCAAATTTGCGTCGACTTTGTCGGATATGTAATCAGAAGGAGGTGCCGCAATATGGCAAGTTTCTGAAAATAGTTCCAACTCTCAACCAGGAGACGCAACACAGATTGGGAGTCCCTCGCGACATTCAGGACCACGTCGAGGTTGAGGTTCATGGAGCCATCAGACTAGGTACTACACAGGAGTCAGCTACTTCTTGTCGACTGTTCGCAACCAGTGCTTGGCAGGCTTCCGCGATGACCTGAAAATAAATACGCCAAGAAGGACTAGCATATCTGAGATATATTCTGTTCGGGAACCAACCCATCTTTCTCCACAACTACTCGACGTCGACTCTCTCATCGAGTCTGGAGTTCTGACATGTGAGCCTACCATTTACGAAGACTTCCTACCAGCAAGTGCAGCCGGCACCTTCCAGTTCAATCTTCGTGGAGGCTGTAGTGATATCGACAGGCCTGTCTCTGATCAGGATACGCTCGAGAAGGCGCTTGGCTGCGTAGTGTATGTCTAGTTTATACCAGAAGACTGAGCAGGAGTCGAGGGCTCATTGCTTGCAGCAGCTGGGCCCGTCCAGTGGTTGATGATGTCCCGTACATTTACAGTCAAATTTGTAATTCTAAATTCAAACCACAAGTCGTCTACGCCTCAAACAGCATAAATTTGAAAGCGACCAAGTACATGGTCGGTCGATTGTGTTGCCAACGGGACGGCTGTTCCGTTAAACTATGGCCTATCGCTAGCTCATAGGGAGCAGATCAACCGTCAACTTGAATGACGGTTGTGCACATCTGAGGATGTGCTGTGAAAGGCGAATAGATATACTGCATGATGATGCGCCCATTCTCCTCGTCGATGTCAGCCGACACCTTACGAATGCGTTGAGATTCAGGCACGTATGGATCTATGTCAACACGACTGAGACCCTGCTCTTCGATATCAATGATACGCTGTGCGCAAAGTCCGGAGTACTGGTCACGCCATGCGCCATGATAGAGCTGATTGGCTACGGCGGAGATCTTCTTTAACAACCTACCAGAAACCACCTGAACGTCTGCTATGGTTCCGGAACTTAAGGAAGCCTAACTGCTCCACTTACGAAATGTAACATCTGAGCGTTTTCTCAAAAAGCATGATTTGCCGACTCTAAATACGAACGAATTTCCGGACGATGGAGCAACAGGTATATGACTTAAAAGGTATAGAGATATAGTCTGGGTTTGTAGCCTTACTCAGAGTTCTCCACGAAGCCCCAACCAGAGAAACAAAAACTTTCTGTCACGTCGCCCATCGACCGTCTCAGGCAGCCCATGGCGGTGGTTTACAGTACGGCTACAGCGGCCTATGCTAATGCCACCAAATTGCCCCATATTAATGGTATCTTGATAGTAGTTGGACTGCCAGCAAGACCACTTGAGGTTTCTGCTTTCGACCTTACGAGAAAGCTATATCAGACATTGGCCTTCTCGCCAATGTTTCAGACGGGGTTGATAAATAGCAAGGTCCGTAAGGACAAGCGGAACCGGTGCAAGCTGAGTGCCAGCGACAAGGTCAAGAAAGCTGACAATGGTAACACGATTTGGGCAAGGCGCCAGGCTGCCATGTTTCATAACTTTTGGCATATGATGTCAAAGTTGTTAAGTCGCGTGGTGCAAGAAAAGGGAACTATTGCAATATGCTGAAAGACAAGGGTTGTGCACGGTAACGGAAGATACCATGCTGACAGGTCAAGGCGAACAAGGACTAGGCCAAAAAGCAGGTGTTGAGGATCGTGATAGGTTGGTAAGTCTTCTACGCAGCCCACGCAGCCACAGACAAGGACTAGGTCGATGACCCTGCCGGTGTATTGGGTTCTAGAAAGTGGCTATGCGAAGATAACTATATCTCTGTCAGCGAGTTTCCGAAAAGATGCAGTGCGTTAGCTGTCTAAGCGATATCATTACATGGGCTCTGTCATTGAAAGTGAGCGCTTACCTGACGAGCTATAGACGACAGTTGTTGCAAGTTGAGACAACATGGGACTGCGACCACGTGCGTCAAGCTGAGATCGATGTACTCGTGTACGCACTAATTCGAACGAAGGACCGTATGGTATCCTCCAGTCAGGCAGCGATGCATATGGCAAGAATTTCGCATCAAACCAATTCTTTGATCGTAGATATTGTGGTCATGACGAGCCAGAAGCTCACTGCTTGACCGCCGCGTCAATTACGAGATAGTCGCTACCGCTCTTGTTTACTTGAGCCCTCATAGACGATGAGAAGATGTTTATCACTCCGCTTCTACATGCTGCTGCTCGACAACCTCTCGCCCGTGATTAAAGGTGAATGCTGTCGACTGAGTGGATCGACTTTTCCGGTCGGTTAGCTTCGCGGAGCAGTTGCGGAGATGTGGAGTATTTACCGGAATGCTTCTGAGTTGCCTCGGTGTATTGCATCGATAATATTCACAAAGCGCAACATTTGATATGTATAGCTTCTATACGGTAGGCTCAGCTAGTGCGCAAAGAGAATGTCGCCGCCAGTCCTGGAAACTATCAGAATTGAATGCATCTCCGAGAGAGCAGTTTTGCTGACCTACAACCAGCCGAAAATCTCTAATGCATTCACTCTTCAACAATACTACGACCTGGCAGAAGCGCTGGAATGGGCTCGAGACGCTCCCAAAATCATTGTGATCGTCCTCACCGGGGCTGGCAAGCACTACTGTGCAGGCAAAGTCCTCCAGTCACCTGATGCAGGCGGACCAACCATCGATCAGGAGATAGCAGCTGGCGGTGCATTGGGCCAAGTCTTGCAGAATTTTCCAAAGATCCTGATTGCAGCTGTCAATGGAGCTGCTATAGGTTGGGGATGTACTCAGCTGTGGAATTTCGATCTTGTCTATGCGAGTAGTGTGGCGTTCTTTCAGACGCCATTCACCAAATTGGGCTTTGTGCCTGAAGGTGGATCAAGCTTTACATTCGTCAAGACCATGGGCCGGCAGAGAGCAATGAGGATGTTGCTTGCTAGTGAGAGGGTCAGTGCGAATGGCATGCAGATCAATGGATTGGTTACTGAAGTCGTTGATGATAGCGGTGATCGAGAGACATTCGTGCGAAAGGTATGTGAGAAAGCCGAGATGATTGCTGGGTACAATGAGGAGAGTTTGAAGCTTGTGAAGGAACTAACGAGTCGGGAGGAGGAAGTGAGGGAGATGAGGCTGGCTAGCGAAAGGGAAAGAGTAGCTTTGAGTCGAGTATTGAGTGGCGATGCTGCGAAGAAGATGATGGCTGATTTTGCGACGAGGTCGAAAGGGAGCAAGCCAAGTAGCAAGCTCTGACGGATTCCCAGTGCGTAAATGTCGGTCAAGTTAAAACGTAGTCAACCTCCCAGAACACCGCGTCCCACGAATACCATGTTGGCGACTTCCGCGTTCTCTGGCATATTGGATTGAGTTCACGAGCGACGTTTGATACATGTCTGGTTGGAGAGATGACTTGTAATCATCCAACGAGAAAGGGTCGAAGCACGTAGTAGGACCCCGCTTTTGGCTCACCGGTCAGCATCGACTTAGTGGATTACGACGCTTCGAGTCGAGCGGGGCCAGCCTATCCGAGCCAATGGGCGGGTGCAGTCAGGCTTATCTCAAGCTTGTTAGTAGCATTTCGTTCGATCAACCACGGTCTCACATGCGGCTTTGATGAGCAGGTCAAGAAAGGCTGAGCCTGGCAGATATGTGTGCGCTGCGTTGCGCTTCTCACCATCGAATCTATTTGACATACAACCTCCCTGTGACTTGAGCAAACCTGACCCAACCTAGCGAGCTACGCTGCTCTCACACGTCTAAACCACGAAGACGATGCCCAGAGGCGGTTGAATCCTTGGTTCGGCATTTGGCGCGAATTGCGTGATGGAACAACAAGAACGTGCAGAGAGAGTAGCAGGTCGGGTATCTCCCGAGACCAGGCTCAGCAGTGACTGGCAAGGTGCACTTGGGAACTCGATTGTAGTCGGTTCGTCAGAGAAACACACATCCAATGAAATTCTTGAATCTCTGAACTTCCCTAAAGTACGTCAGCGATTCTACCAGATCCACGATCCTCATCCAGGCACTTACGATTGGATTTTGGAAGAGCAGACAAATCATGCAGGTCAAGATTTTGTCCGGTGGTTACAGAGTGGTCGTGGTGTCTTCTGGATAACAGGCAAACCGGGCTCTGGCAAAAGCACGTTGATGAAGTACATCTCCGAAAGCCCTGTGACGCTCAGATACCTGGCTGCAGACTCAAAAAAAGCTACACCACTCATTCTACATCACTTCTTTTGGATTGCAGGGCCTAGCCTTGCGCGCAACCATAGAGGCATGCTTTTGACCTTTCTACGTGAGATCTTGTCAGCACGGGATACGCTAGACGACACGTACAAAAAACATGCCGATGCCTACGTAACTCCCCTCGCGGCGGCAATAAATCGAGCCCTGAATATTGATCAGTTCGACTTGTCGTACGCGGACCTTGAGATCTCGTTGCTCCAAATATTGGAAGACTACAACGGCAGTATCCTTGTCTTGGTGGACGGTCTGGATGAAGTCGAAGGGGAAGAATCACATTCAATAATCGATTTTCTTACACGTCTCAGCTTGCTTCCAAATTTGAAGCTGTGCGTTGCCAGCCGTCCAGAAGTCTGGCTAGCGAAACCTTTCCGAGATGCGCACACGTTTCGTATGGAAGACATGAATGCCAACGATATCTCCTCTTACATCAGCCAAGAGTTCGTTGGATTCCTAGAGTTCCGTGCTATCAACGATGTCAGGTTCGCTAGTATTGTCGAACTTCTCAAAGAAAGAGCTGAGGGTGTATTCCTCTGGTTGAAATTCGCGACCCGCTCTTTGCGCAGGGGAATCGTTAATCGCGACACGTTTCGCCAATTGGAAGATCGACTCTCAGAACTACCTCCTGAACTACGAGACATATACGATGTAATGTTTCTCAATTATCGGGTTGGAGACTATAGACATTCATCCGAGATTACCACCATCTTGAACATCCTCCTGCTTTCACGTGAGCATGCATTACATCTCTTCGAGCTCATGGTTATGCTTGAGGACGATATCCTGCAGTACTACCGTCAATATGGTCTGTCAGTCGATAAGCGTATTCTCGTGTCCAAATGTTTGGCATTGAAGGGAAAACTGACAACACTTACGGCTGGATTTGTAGAATGCCGTCCATGGCTTGACAATACAGAATCAGGAATGAAGGCGCTCTACCAAAGCCTAGACGCACTCTGTTCTGATGAGGACGACGAATCGTACCACCACACGAATGTTACCTTCATTCACCAATCTGTTGTTGATTATCTTTCAAGCACGGAAACCTGGCGGCCTATCCCTTCGATTGACGAGGACAAGACTCCAGAACTGCGGCGTCGCCGTCTTTTTGCAAGACTGGCTTGTATGGTTGAAGCAGCTCCAGATTCTAGCGGCTGCGTGCGCGAGATTGGGCTGCGCATCGATTCGTGTGATACCAGTAGTGAAGCTGAGGAAATTCACACCGAGCTAGGCAAGATGCTTGAAAGAGCTCAAGATCGAAGCTTTATCAGAGGGGAAAACACCGACTCTGGTTATGGTACTGCAGAGAAACAGGAAACAAGTTCCACTTCCTGGAACGCATCAAGTCATACAGGGCGACATACCAATGACTTGACTAGCCTCGGTCTGTCTGAGGCCAACAGTTATGAGCTACGTGAAACGTTAGATCGGTCAGGCGGTATCCAGCCAGTTGCGAAGAATGATGAAGACATCCAATCTCTTGTGAGAGGTCCTCGTCCGCCTATAACCATTTACTTTGAGAAGCACCTTCTACAGACTCTCTGTGCTCAGGATGCGCTCATACGTGTTTGCCAAGTACTGCGATCAAGCTATTCAGAATCGAACATCTCGGATACGCTCCTCGAAAGAGATTTGACGGAAATTTTGAAATACTATTTTATCGACGCTCGGGACAATGCTCGCTCAAATGGAGAATATGCAAGTGCACAGATAGTGCGATCTCGCGCATATCGATGCAAATTAGCCGGAAAGCTCTTACGACGAAGTACAAATCTGGACATCGATGAAGATAGTCCAGTGGAATCAGAAGACGACGACCCAAACACGAAGATGTCAATGGGCATGTCAAGACAGGAAGTGAATGACTGGTTACAAGGTAATCCCGGCTTTAACCAGACGCAACCCAGTGAGACACCGGAGCTAATACCTGAGGATGATGTGAAGGATTCTGGCTCAACGATCATCGAGCACGAGGTTGATGATGGTAATGACGATTACATGCAATCGGAGATGCATTCTGAAGATTTTGTACAACGTATGGAGAACTATATGGTGAAAGGAGATGCCTACAAGCTATTGATTGAACGAGCGTACTCTCAAACCATTGGCGCGAAGTTTCATAGCCTTCGACGAGTGCTGCTGTCTCTACCTAGACAAAACATTACGTTCTACTTCAATCCTTCCAGCAGTTGGCTCGATCAAGCAATGTGTGTTGTCGAACGTCATTCACGTACGGCCTGGAACTGGTGGCCGTTGCCTTGTCCACGTATGGCAGTCGACTCTACTGATGCAAGAATTCTCTGGACCTGTGTGAGTATGGCGCCTTTGTGGAATCTCACGCTAATGAAGCACAGCATTGCGGCAATACTCATCACCGGGACATTCCACGGAACGACGCTGTCCGCATGCAAAAATTGCTTGACGTGAGATGGTCAAAGCTGGGTACCAACCATCTATGCATAGGAACTAAGCATCACGTGGGTAAGGTTCAAACCAAGTCCGTGCCGAATTTTACTGTTCTACTGACACCGTTACTGATGACGTTCAAAATATTGATGGAGATTTTAAGTGGGCAATACCATGCAACTCCCACATCTTCAGTAGCCTCAGGGAGGACAACCGCGGGTGCTCCGCCCAATGGACGAACTGTCTCTGCTCCAACATCCAGCTCAGTGACCGGGCTTGGCCCTCCGCCCAGTGGTATTTTGAGTACTCCAGCGACAGGCACTACACAATCACAAAACCTTGTCAGTACCAACATACCAGTTCAGACGTTCAATACGACTTCACCTGACTCGCTGCGGCTTATCCTAGGCGCAGAAGGATCTGAAACTTGGTCGCTAGCCATCGATCAAGTCGGCCTAAACCATTCGTGCAATGATGGAGAAACGATGTCGAGGATCTGGCAAGCTTATAGAGGTGTAAGGGGTTGGCGTAGATTGTACTTCTCCGTCCATGCCTTGCGTACATGCAATTTTAGAAGAGTGAGCTCCTTTCCAGCACTTGGATCACATGCTGATACGTTTCCCCAGTTCCGAAAACATCGCGCTGAACGAGTCAATCCACAGAACGACGGGCCGCAATATCCAGAAAACGATTCTGATTACGAGTATGACGAAAATATTCATAATCCTCCCAGACGTGACGGACCACCGATTGACGAGAGCGAGTTCATTGACTATCTTAACTTCTGCTCTGCAATATGCTTCTCAGGGATGATAGGATGGCACAACTGCAACAGACCAACCGCGCGACATCACATCGTCAAATTGATACCAAAGAAGAAAACTTTTTGGCTTCTCAAAGCGGAAGAGCCTAGCGTCGCGTGGGGTCTGGAGTGCGTATTCGAACTCAGCCCTGTTCGCGTGGTACTATGGCATGTCTTCTTTGTTGCTGGACCTGTGGGCTTTTGGATCTGGTGGATGCTGAAGCATCCGAACGATATGCAGAATGCTGCTGTGCCGATCACAGTCATGCTAGCCTGTATCTCTGCGATCTCTGCGTTTTGGAGTAGTGCTGGTATACTGGGCAAAAGGTCATGAGCACAAGATCACGCAATACAGATCGACGCAGATTTTTATTTCGGCCAATCGTCGCCGAGTGTGGACTTACAAAATCTCAATACGAACTTGATGTGCTGTGCTATGTCAATTGAAGATAGCCATTCTCACCTTAAGATCCAGGTTGACGTGCAGCAGCACTCTCAATTATCCATCTTTTGTCACGCATGAATTTCACTGGATTAGCGACGCCCTATCATATCCATCAAAATCTCCTCCTGTGGCACCGCTCGAAACAAAACCATTGAGCAAAAGACACAAGGACGACTGCCTGTAGTAACTGATATATATACATGTATCTGTCTGAGCACACAGATCGAGACAGTCTCTGAAGCTGTTGGCAAACTCTCCATTACCATTAATGCCGTTTTCGGCTTGCTGTTGGTAGTACTTGTTGCATTCGATGGTGAAGCTGTCGGCGTTGGGAGCGATGTATGTACCGGTGTTCGATGGGGCTAGCTGAGGACAAGTGGATGGTGTAGGTAGTGCTGTTGTCGTTGTCGTGCTGGTGGCAGTCGTGCTGGTGGTGTCAGTCGTGGTAACAGATGTAGTCATCGTTGTCACCACTGTTGTGGTTGTAGTTATAGTTGCACTGGTACTTGTGCTTGTGGGCGCTGTGGTGGTGGTCGTGCTCGGAGTGGTGGTCGTGCTCGGAGTGGTGGTCGTGCTCGGAGTGGTGGTCGTGCTCGTACTGGTTGTGCTTGTGCTTGCTGTCGTCGAATCCGTGGAGGTCGTGGTTACTGCACGTGTAGTGCTCAATGTACTAGTGGTAGTCGACCCAGTGGTTGTGCTCGTTGTACCCATCGAACTAGTCGTGCTGGTCTTGCTGGTGCTACTGGACGTAGTGCTGGTACTGGTGCTGACACTTGACGTGCTCGTGATCGTACCAGCTGTAGTACTCAAAGTAGAAGAGCTCGTTGTGCTACCAGTGATAGTCGACGTTGTACTTGTGCGGAAGCTAGAAGTCGTGGGCGAGGCAGTTGTTGATGAGGCATTTGAGATTGTTGTGCTCGCATTGGTGCTCGAAGCTCTAGCTGAAGTTGTGGTGGTCGTCGTTACCACGGAAGTAGACGACTTCCCATAGCTTCTGGTTTTGCTCGAGCTGGAGGCATTGTTCCACTGACTCCAAGTCGAAGATTTCGCGGGGTCGCACGGACAATAGATTTTGGTTCTGGTCGTTGTTATTGTTACTGTTGTATCCCAAGGTGTCCAATCCTCTCTCTTCAGCGCATCAGCAGTGACCAGAGATGTCAAGCTAGGCAAGAGGAGTAGAAACACAGTATGCAGTGAGCGCATGGTGAAATCTACAGGCTTCTGACAAGCTCAAAAGAACGACTGGGCGAACGATTAGTAGTTGAAACAGCAACAGAGAACACGGATCAGACGCAAAGGAGATAAAAGACAGCATCCTTCAGGCTTTCGACGCGACTCATCAGCTCGCAACATGCCATCTGAAGTTCCTGAAAGAAGTATGTTAATCTCGAGCCGCAACTCTAGAGTCTGAACGGCGTGGCCGTTAAGAAGTTCAAGTGGAGCAGATGGAGTCGGAGGAAATTACTCGTGGCTTGGTGGGTGGAACTATCGGCACAATCACGTGTCGCATATTTAATCTACAGCTTCATCCCCTCAGCGACCTCTCCTCGTACTCCGTGAGCCTCTGCTTATATACTGGCAAATCAGTCATCATGTGGTGGAAGTCATTCCTCATCTTTTGCTTCCATCAACGTACCTTGCCTGATCCTGCTTTTCCTTTGACGACAAGAATGCCAGGGCTATTTATCAACCAATCTTGCAATCTTCCCTCCCAATAATGTTTGCGGCCTCACAAGAGCCGATCGAGTCTGTTATCTTCACCTGGCATAGCTATTGTGGTTTCTTGCAGCATCCATTCAAACGTCTTTCCATGAGCGCTTTCAACCACATTCAGCCTGGCAGTCATTTTGGGAAAACGCAGGGAGTCAAGTAATCGATGATCATGGTCGAGCACGTAGTTTGGGTTCGTAGCTGATAGTTATGTCCCAGATGTACAAAAGGATCGTCTTGTGCGTATACATTGCCATACTTGTTACCAGCAATACTGTCGGAGGTTTCGTTCTGGTTCATGGTGGTGCACAGTCGTTACTGCGACAAGCCGCAAGTGTTCTAGTGCAAGCGTGAGTCGCGGTGATAGTCCAGCTAGAGGACTGTCCGATGAGGCATTGCATTCGTCAGATGATGGTCGAGTATATTGGTCATTGTCAAGAAGGACATATCTTCGATGCTACAGCCGCAGTGCAAGCAGTAAGCGGCATGTGATGTGGTTGCGCTGCCGGGCGCATCTCAACCATGCTTCCACATAGCAGTAGTTGCCGTTATAAGTAGTCTTTTCACGATTCCAAGCAGCCAACTATGAGTTGCTTGTCTACCTATCGATCAAGAACCATCAAAGCCTTGTCAGCCTCACTCATGCTTAGACCTGCCCCTTTCAAGCTTATCTTTCTCTAGGAACTGATTCAACTCTAGAACCAAGACGCACGACACTGAATCATTGTTCTTCGATCGTCTGTTGGAGGCCATCAATACAGGCCTCTTCACGCATTCAGCCCTTCTAGCTCGTTCCCGCATACCTTGGAGTTCTTACGATGCGCTGTGAACCAGCTTCTCGACTTGTGAAGCTTTTACTATGGCGGCTTGTAGACAATGCTAGCCTGCACCACCAGCTATGGAAGCACAAACACGTGGAACTTCGCAATACGGGTGGAAGGAACGCGCAGCCAGACAAAGATGTTCGTCCACAACTACAATGCTAGCATTGTCCGGACGTTCAATCTGACAAGGTGCCTTGTATAAGCTTGACATTCGTCTTTCATCAGCCTCTGTGATGAGACAATGGCCTTGTTGAAGACGATGGTAGGTAGACAATCAAAAGCGAGCGGCTAACAGGTCTAACCATACTACTATGGATTGCCATATAAGTGGTGCTCGCTTAATGGCGCATCATTTCTGCTTGTCGGTGGAATTTAGAAACAGATTTGTGAGCACACAACACTATCTAGCTATCAATCAACGAAGCAAAAAGTGAGTTAAGAATAAACAAAGTGCTCAAATCCATGCCACGACAGTGGACAGCAGAAGAGATATTAGCAGACCATTGTCGGCGAGCCAATATGACATACCATGAGAGGCAGCAGGAGCTGCTCAGACGACAGCGCATGAATCGCATCGAACGAGGACCCTCTCCGATCGAACAGCAAGATAGGTCTCGGCACAATAGTAGATCTGGGCCCCGTACTGCTCGCAACTATGTGGTTGACATACCAAGCAACCCATTCTTGCATGACCCCCATAGGCGCAGGCAGTCTTCTGGCGGTCATATTGGTGGGTATACATCCGACAACGATCGTCGACGTGACAATCACCGTTCTCGAAGTCCCACAACCCGTCGCGGAGAAAGCCGTCGAGAATGGGAGGCTCGTTATCAAGATTATCTTAGTGTAAGACACTCGGATGTTAGGGAACAAGTTGATGCGACAATTAGAGAGCTCGAGCGACAAAATCGGGAAGATCAACGCCCGAGGGAGCGCGAGCGTGAGAGACACCATCACCCAGATAGAGCCCGGTCACGGAGCCAGGAACGAGGTAGAAATCCGTCAACGACACGTCGACCAAATCGAACACAAACCCAGGCACAGCCACAAGCATCCCAACGATCAAGAGATCGAGAGCGTGGCCGTAGTATGGCACAGCTAGAAGGGAGGACAACACCACCGCATGGGTGGGAAAATCGAATGCATGGCCCGACTAGAAGGGACTTGTGCCGAGGTCGAGGTGTGACTATCGATTGGAATAACCACGATAGGTCAGATTTTGCGCGATGGCGTCGAGAATGGGGTGATCGTATATGGCCGAGTCGAAGGTAATGACCTTGTGTGACGAATATGTTTCGAGGGGTACGATAACTATGTGATATCATCAGCAGTCCTGAAAAGAAGATTTACCATTTGAACAGCAACCTTGTAGTTAGAGAAGGAATGACTCAATCAGAGAGGCGCGGAAGGTTTCGAAATTAATCTCTTTACCGTTCGGCGTAGCATTCGTGAATGACCAAGTGTCGGCTGTGACACCTAAGTTACTAATATAAGAGCTTGCAGTTCGAACTTGGTTTGGCTATTCCAAACTCCACAGCCTTGGCAGCTTGCCTGACCCAGCCGAGGTTCCACCTCTCCACCTCAACGTACTTTTGGAGGGATTCTTGGTAGCGTTAAAAACTTCACCTCGCGAGCAAATTCACCAGAAAGACGTTCTGACAAGCTTTTGGCAAAGCACTAAACTGAGGGTAATCTTTTACAGTCTTAGTAGCCTTGTCTCGTTCGCTTGTGATGTCTTCGAAAAGATTGCCAAGCGTTCCTGCTTCTCGGCGATAGCGTCGCTTCCACTTTCACTAGCTGTCGCTTTTTTCGCTCTTGAATAACCTAACAGCATCTCCCTACTCAATTCATAGCCAATACATTAGCGGTAGGAAAGTCTTAGACACACTGGTTCCCAGCCGTGTCACTAGACACCCCCGAACACTCCACCACGGTTCCGCCAGTCGAGTTGTCCTTTTGATACTCCGCATTCTGCGAAGCGAATCGCCTCGCTTGATCATACCAGTTGACTGAGTCTCGACCTCCGGGAAGCTGGATTCTTCCCGATCTGGGTATATTTGTTGATCATCTGGTACAAGCGGTATGAAGTGATGCAACGTATGGCCATCTTCTACGCGGCAGCGTCTGTGTCTGCGGCATTCTCAGGTCTTCTCGCGTACGGTGTCCAGCGCATGAAAGGTATCGGTGATCGACATGGCTGACAATGAATTTTCCTTCTCCAAGATCTCGTACCTGTATTTGTGTCATTCTTCCTATACTTTATCCTCCCAGAAACTGCGTCAGCAAGGGTAGACGAATAGAATTCTGAGAGTCTAGGTCAGAGTATTGCCATGAATCCAGACTCAGCTCTTACTCAATTTCGATCTCTTCTCTTACCACAAGCAGCATCACTTCTTGGGGTTCGATCCACGTCCGGCGGCATGTCGGAAGAACAAGACCCATCCAGTAAAACTCCAATCGGATGTATAGTGTCAGACTCGTGAAGCGATGTACTTGGCCAAGCACGCTCCATATCTGTCGTCGTCACACACGCATTTTACTTCATATGAAACCCTTTCACATCTACACACGTCGCAGGATGATCGCTTAGAGCCATGCTTCGTGCGACCTGAAAAGATTGTTGAATTAGATGAGGGACCTAGACCAACACCGGCGGTGCGCCTAATTAGAATGTCGTAGACTGGGATGAAAATATCTTGTTGACTAGCTAGAGACGTCAATGGGCGATAGACTTTTCGAAGAGCTCGAGTAGAGCTGCAACTGCTCGATCCAGAACTTGAGACATGGAACCTCGAAGACATCAGGATGTCAGCACTTCAGCAACGATTTACGAAACAGTTGTCTGGATCGCCATGCCAGAGCGTGGCTTCTTGTCAGCTTGTCGTAGTAGGCTCACGACAACTTGCACAGATAGTGAAGTTGAGTACTGAGAACAGAATGAAAAGATCATGAGGCCAAGCATTACCCCCCCATGGAACAATATGATCGCCTTCATGGCGCATCAATTGTGTTTCACAGCTACGTATTACTGCTAACAAGACTCGCTTATCTGAACAAGCTTTGACCTCGCTCGGCACTAGTTCCTATTCAAGCTTTAACAAGCGAGCACAACGTTTTCAGCCCAAACCTGTCGTACCACCATCAGATCCAGTCTTATTGGTGGTTATTCACTGTCCAGTCTGTGGCTACTTGCATGCCAATATTCCTCTTAGATTGAACATTTTCCTTGTCAATGTCCTGGCATCTGGAAAGACCTCGCTAGCTTTACTTCCCTTACCTGAGGCTTTAGTCGTTCAAAAGACAGGATATGAATGTCGCGGGGTACAGAAGAGCGCCATTCCACTGCCAAGGAGCTATGCTAGAGAAGTTCGGAGGTTCTGCCTGATTTGAGATGTTCTGCACAGACGTGCAGTACGCTTGTGTTATGCCAATCGAGTGTCGCACATGCCTCGAAAGTCGTTGGTTAAGCTGAAACTCAAAAACAACAAGCGTACTCCTGACGGACCTCACGAATTACTGATTGGTGTTGTTCTTTGATGCTCCTCACTTGTTTCATCCATATCACGGAGACCAGCCGCAACACAATCAATTCCCATCTGTATCACGATCAAGTTTCGAAGCTCGTGCTCTTCTGTGATAGGACGATTCAGCCTAGCTTCTGTCGTGTCGAGGTGCAGAAACATACGCAGCAAGGATCACCACCATTCTTGCTTGGTCTTTCACCTTGTGAGAGCTGAAAAGTGCCTCACCCATGTTCTCGCTGTTTCCTGGACTCAGCTTCCTTCGAACCTGATAAGAAGCAATTTTCCTGCCCGGGCTTCAACTCTTAAGGTCCCAACTCTTTCTACAGGAGCTTTCCCTGCACTTCGAAGAACTTCACCTTTGACACCGCTCCAGATATGGGCGCTACTTGTTCGGTCATGAATGACCTCCCTGGCGGTCCAGTGGTATGGTGCAAGTACGTACCTTTTATGGGCGAGATCGATCTCGTGAGCACCTGGATGGGAGGTAACAACATGGCTGGCAAGTTTGTTCAAACCCGGTCCACCTTCACTGGAGAAGGACATCCTGAGATGATTGTGGGTAATTTTCAGGGCCACACAGCGATAGTCAAATATACGCAACAACAACCTATATTCCCCATCCTCATTGAAATTGACGGTTTCAATACTTGGCAGGAGGCAAAGTCCTTTTTCGACCGAGAAGTTGGCAATCAACTGTCTGATCATGGTTTGAATGAATGCGACCCGGGCAACGAGTACAAAAGTATGAAAGGCGGCCTCAGCCTACCGCGGTCTTTCTTTGGCATGCAACTGTATATTGGTCAGGTATCGGGCAAGAATTGGGTAGTGAAACTGATTCCCGGTCATACGCCGGTCAACAATGGCGCCACAGCTGACTCAAATAGAGGTTACAGCATGGCGTGGGACGTCCGATGGGGCGACAACTACTAGTTCGTACTGCGACTAAGTCGAACACAATTGGTTGCCACAGTTGTGCATACTAGTGCACCTTGGATGCTGTCCTTTTCCACCTTGCTCGAACGTATTCCGACAAACATCCAGCTGCTCGTCAAAGAATCAGATGCTATCTCGCAATACACGAGATAAGTGCTTAGTGGTGACAAGCTCACGCTTCTACTAGCAAAAATACTCGAGCGAGCGCATTTTAATATGACTGTTTACGTTGTATGTTTTCGAAAGATACTATAACACTTATGTCTGCATGTTATGATAGTGGTGTCGGCTTCAATACAATTCTTTAGAAACCTTATTGAAACGACAGTCTGACACATATGAGGCTCATGTTTTTCCAGGCCTGGGATATAGTTCTAGACGACTGCTGTTGATTCTTGTTGCTCTTTGTTTTCATGCGAGAAGTGTGTACGAAGGGCAAGCTAATCGTGAAGTCGTGCTTATATCTTTTCGTTGTTCCTCGAGGCACTTATCTTGCTGAGTCAACCCACCCGAGACATATTGCCAGTGGCTCCAATCTTGCCACAAAGTTTGGGCCGCGGATGTCCTTTTATTGAGGTCTCAGCTTTCTCAAGACGATGCCTTGTGGCATTGCTCGCCGATCAAGTGCGCTGATAGTCATGTCTGCAAGACGGATTTCAGCTCCATCGACAATGTAAGTCATAAAATCACTCTTGGCATTGAACAGTGTTTGCGCAGTTAGACTTTCACCTTTAGGGTTCCAATGCACAACTTATCCCAACCAACAACATGAGAATGTATTGAGTCAAAAAATACCATCATGGCTTATCAAGAAGTATCTGAAACAGAAAGGCATGACAAGCAACCAACTACTTATACACTTCCTGATAAAATACAAAGAAGCCTTTGAAGAAGTTCTAAGCATCGAGAGTGCCCAGCGTCAATTCGTCATCTCAATCGAAAGTGAGGGAACATCTTGAGAAAGTGGCTGATAGTGACCACTTAATCGTGACACACCAGGCGATCAGCTACTTTCTTGGTATCGATGAATATCTCTTGAGCTGGTGTTGCCCAAAGTTGTGGCGAACATTGGGTATGTCCTTGATGGTATTTACGAATCTAATCTACAGAACGAAAAGGCCACGAAAGGCCTGCAAGACAAGAAGAACCAATGCCCTGAGAGCTTTTTGTGCATTTTATCAATAGAGAATACTCGAAACGTTCGAATGACTTAGTGATATACTTCAAAAGCCGCAATGCCTGTCCATTCTGGTCGGCACATAGAATTGAATCTGATGGTCATTCTCTTGGCTAAAAGAAAGAGGCGATGAAGACACAAGATTAACTTAATTTTTGTTCTGTCTGTGCTTTTCCTTATGCTCTGCGAGAGTAATTGTGACCGCCCTTGAGAAGAACGACGCATCCTCGATCTTTATACGCCATAGCTAAGAACGCAATCATGGCCATTTGAGATCTACATGATCAGATGACTGTATCCTCCATCATGAATGAGCATAACTGACAGGATGATCTCGTAGGTAGTTCTTGCGCTTATCACTGTACAAACACGCTGTAGGTAAGGCTGTTCTATTGATCACGATGATTCAACATCTCTGATAGTGTGAAGGGCTCACTGAATATTGGCGTTTTTGTGACACTGTGCTCACCATTGGCCCCGACTCCCCTCCTGTTCTCCTTGAGCATGAAGCATAGCTTTATTTTTCTTCTTAGATTTCTTTGTCTGTTTATCGGGCACGGATGCCGATATAGGACCGAGTGACCTGATCAGAAAGTTCCCTTCATCGCTGGCTACAATCTGGTCAGGCGCAAGTGTCTGCGTTGTTGTATAGGGGCCACACCCAGGCTGTTGAAAATAATTCGTGATTGTTTGAAAGCCTGGATCTCCAACTTGTTGCTTGGATCCATCTTTATTGAAGTCCTCTCCGTTATCACGATTCTCAAAGCCATCAGAATACGTTTCGTCACCTTCAGAAGCAACAGGAGACTGAATGCCACATTCGTTGATATCTAAAATGTCAGCAAAGTCCTCAACCAAGTCTATATAGCAACAACTGCTTACCTAACGCCCGTGATTGATTCAGATTTCGCAAGGCTGACCAAGCGACCTCAAGAGAACTATGCTTGTGAGTGAGCCTAACTCGTTCTTGTTGAACGTCTTCAGTCTCTGCGGCTATACTGTTGATCATTGAATCATCAAGCGCCATTGTTATCCCTGGAGACAACAGTTCAGGCAATTGACACAAGAGTACACGTTCGACAGCATGAGCGATGTCATCTATGCACGTCTTCAGTGCTACCTGGTAACGTTAGTCATTAAGATATTATGATATGTCTATGTACGTGCCTTATAATATGCTCTCATGACGTTCGCAGCTTCAGAGCATGCGTAGCGGTCCATGTCCGGCACAGTACTTTCCGTTAATGTGTGCAGCAAGCTCTTGACGTCGAAGCTTTTGTTTTCACAATATGTCTCACCTAAAACTGTATCGGTGCCAAAGAACTGATCTAACTTGCGAGATAGTAGGGCCGTCTGCTGTTCAGCACGCAATCTCTGAATATTGTCGGTTAGGTAATGGTTGTAAGTGATGGGATGCTGCTTGACGACCTGCTCAAGCACTACGTTCACACTGTGGTCAAGCCTGCTTTTCAAGTCGTTCAAAGCAGGTTGTAAAACCTTCTGCTGTAAACCAGCAGCTGTTTTCGGGTCAGCCACATGATCGAGAATCAAGCCTAGTGTCATCTGTGTTGCTGTCCAGACATCAACGATAAAGTAACGGACGAGTGCCTGCCATGGTTCTGCTTGCTCACGGAAAAGGTCGCCGATAATGTGCGGACTATATGTGCCAGGGAGCTCTTTTCCACGACTTCTCGTCATGAGTGACAGCACTTTTTCAATATAAGCGTGCTTTCCGATCAGACGCGGATCCATTTGAGACTGCTTTTTGGTCACTGTATCGACAATGTGCCTCGCATGCCCTTGCTCTCTCATGACTTTGGCAAAACGTATTGATTCGTTCTGGATCACAGCCCTCAGTCGCCTTCTGTAGCCATGTTCTGAAGCAGCACTACCAAAGAAGCCGTCCGAATACGATCCGTCGGTCGTCGAGCGAGTCAAAAAGGTGAAGTCTTGACTGATGCGAAGCAGATAAAGCCGCTGTTCTCCGATGGTAGCTCGTGCGGTTCCCATATGTGATAGGATCCTCTTACACTCATGTAGACCTTGCTCAACTTCCGTAATGAGGTTCGGTAGTTCCGCAAGGATTTGCTGACGCAAAAGATAACTGAGACGAGGTCTAAGAGCATTTATTCCGACCTGTTTCTTGGCCAACTCCTTCCAGACACCTCTTGCGAAGAAGTCGTTCTCGGTTTGATCTCTTTCGTCAGCTGACGCATGGCGAGATTCAAAATCCCGGTTGCGCAAAACATGCCAACCAAGGCGAAATTGAACATCTTCATTCTTGGCCAATAGCAGATAGGCCCTCTCGCTATCCGAACCAACGTCCAACGTGTCAGGCTTGGTGATAACTCCAAGTGTTCGCATGCCGTCTGCGTCTACATCTCGGGTATACTTGGTGACGATTTGATTGGCGAAATCGTTCTTCGCCGACACTACTGCAAGGATGATGCTTCTGGGATTGCGCATGTACGATAGAACAAGTGCCTTCACGGCATCTGCATCATCTTCTGATTGAGCCTTGTTGCCAGCGCTGAAGAGCCCAGGTAGATCGACTAGTGTGAGGTGTGGTTGGGACGGCCCTGACACTTCAATCCTAAGCACATCATTGCTGAAGCTGCGTGTTACGCCATCTATTCCCATTGCTTCTTTCGCGTCTTCAACGAGCGATTCCAGGCTGTCCAAATGCCACTCATCTCTGCCAAATTCCAAAAGCCTCTTCCTCTCATCGTCTGACCTATCGCGTGCGGGTGCTATCGAGATGCTTTGATTCTCTTTGACGCTTCGCCGCAATATGACCTCTGTCGCAAATCTAGTGCACAGATTATCTTTGCGAGGAAATTGAAGACCAGAGATAGCTTCAAGAACGGAACTCTTGCCGGAGGATTGATCACCGCAGACTATAATTCCAGGAAGGTCAACATAGTGGCTGACGCCTTGCGAGCGTAGACCGTCGATGAGATCTAACACATCGTTGTTATCGCTTAGCCGCATGTTAATACAGAGATTTAGCTGCCAAAAATCGTGTCGATTGGAAGCGGAATGACAAATTTTGAGTCTCGTACTCTGCACATCTGTCAACTTAACCGAGAGTACAGTACGCAGAGATCAAGAAAGGCGAACAGCAAAGTCGCTTCCAGCTGGGGCAGCAACCAGAAGGCTAAGATTTACAGAATCAAAGCGGGTATTCAGGTAGCGCTTCTGACTCATTTTGTCTCAGAGGCTCTTCGATGGATGCTAACATAGCTTAATCGCGGAGACTTCCGGGAATGGCTTTCCAAGCTTGTGCCTTATGCGCCAAGTGATAGTGGTTATCACATACTGCGACAATTCTTGATATCAGAAACCTCCAAGCAAATGTGCCGTTGACACGTCGTTGTTGGGTCGATTTGTGGAGACAGACGCATGGTGTGATGCCGCCTTTCGTGCACCAATCCGAGTTGATGGTTCCAATCAATCACATTCGGCGCGCGCTTGCTGGCGATTGAGTGCATGCATTCTGGGTGATTCGAGCCTGGCGTATACCTCATTGATCGCTACTAGATAACATATTCTTGTCCCGCTGAAGCAATCTTCCCTTTACGGCATCTCCAGTCCTCTTAGGCCAGGCGGGTGTGTCTATTCTGGTAACTTGGTCGTATAAACAAGGGAAGATGGGGAATGGGGTGTGCCACTTTCCACACAGTCGGCGTAGCGCTGACCAATGATGTGTTACCACGTGGTATGGATCGAAATATTGACCAAGACCTTGAAGCGACGCAACAAGTCCGCGTCGTAATCCGCTACATCGCAGGCTGGTACGGATTCTAAATATCCTAAAAGACACATGTTTAACGTTCGAGCATTATAGTGATTCCAAAGCATCAAGGTGGCATTGAAAGGTCAGTGTAATACTCGATTAGCAATTGAAGGTCGGATGAACGTTTACTTACGATGTAGAACAGTAGGCTGATATCAGAGCCAGTAATTCTATGTCAAGAACAACCAATAGTCTATTTAAAGTCAACTTTTGATGCCTAGCAGGGCATGACAGGCTGACTTTCGTTTGGATACATTTTGATTTCACGTCTTCATCAGCAGGTAGATGTACCTTGCGATACCTATCATATTCACAATTACCACTGATTATCCCGCCCACAATTCGTCATAAAAAAGTGGAACAGCAACTCCCTACTCGGCTGCTTCATATTCATGTCGACAATGTCAAATTCACACCTTACGGTAGATATCACTGCCCTGCAATAGCGAATAGAGTCCATGAAAGATGCTGAGCGCAATCGTCATGAACTTATCGACAACTTGATACAAAGTATCCAGAACCTAGATCGGGAGCGAAACGAGTTCGTGAGGGCATTGCGAGCCAAGGAGATGCTTGCTAATACATATCAAGATCGGTTCGAAGCCACGCAGGATCAAGTCGATAAATTGCAGAGACGCATTGATTGCGACATGTTCGTGCTCGTGCTTATCGATGGAGACGATACTTTGTTTACAGATGAATATGTTATGGATGGCCTCCAAGGTGGCGAAAGAGCTGCTCGAGATCTTCAGCAAGCTTTATTGGGCTACTTTGGCGACAAGCAGTATTTTAGGCATGATTCTAAAATTGTGACGAGAATTTACATGAACTTGACGGGCCTATCAAAGACCTACGTTGATTCAAAGATCATATCAAATGTGCTTTCTTTCCAGCAGTTCGTGAAAGGGTTCAACAGAACACACCTTTTGATGCAAATTGTCGACGCAGGTGATGGCAAGGAGGGCGCAGATAGTAAAGTTAAAGGTACGTTTATCTTCTTCACCTACATGATTGATGCTCACAATCTTAATCAGCTGAATTTGATTTGTTTCGCCGCAACGTTCATTGCAAACAAATCTGCCTCGCAGGTTCTGGTGACAACAGCTATGCGCAGATTCTGCGACCATACGCGCTGAATGCTGGCAAATCAGAGACCATCACTTTGATTGAAGCGCTGCCTTTTGCTAGGGAGCTGCGACAGTTGTCTGACCGCTTCAAGATCGGCAAGTTTGACGAAATTTTCAGAGACAGTAGGATTATAACCAGAAAAGTTTCATTTCATGAAGATGTGAATAGGGTCAGGGCAACATCCGCACATTCTTCACACACGTCTGAAGCACTTTCTTCCCCTCCTATGACGTACGCTACCAGTATTCAAGGTCTACCACGACGCCTACCACCGACAGGACGAATGATTCACACACTACAAGTCAAGAAGAACAAAAGCCTTCCTCCAAAGCCAAGCGCATTCTTGTCAATGGTCACGATCAACGTTTGGACGAACCAATCAAAAACCTCGATAAGGATCTTGCCTACAAGCTCAAACAACTCAAGCTCTGCAACAGGTTTTACCTTAGTAAAGATTGCAGCTACGGTGATTCTTGTACGCACAGTCACAAGCGTGTTTTGACACCATTTGAGCTCGACAACCTACGATACGTGGCTCGGTCTACAGCATGTGAATACGGCTTGGATTGTAAGAATCCTGATTGTTACAACGGCCATCGATGTCAGTATGCTACAAGATGTACTAATTGGTCGAATGGGATATGTTGGTTTAGTGATGACATGCATAAGGTCGAAACTTATAACCCCAAGGCTGTTGTCGTGGAGGCTTGAGGTGTGGAGATGTAACATAACATTACATGTTAGATGAACACGCGGCTCACATGGTCTTGGACGAACGCTTGCCATCGCTATCTCCTAGCAAATATGATGAACCTTGCGTCGTGTGAACTGGCTGTAGAGATCTGAACTCGTACATCGCATCGAGATTTGGATTCCCGTTGTGAATAATCTTGACACTGAAAATATGCTCGATTGCAGGAAACACTGTAAGCTGGCAAGACGCTCAGATCTGATTCAATTGTTCACATCGAGAGATTCTACCACTCCTCTCTCCTGGGTCGGCTCTTGATCAGGTTCAGGTTCACCACTCGTTACTGACCGGCTGTCGCACAGCAGCTCTTGAGCCAGAAACGTAGTAGACACGCTTCGCCTCCATCGTTGTACAATCTTCGGCGTTGCAACTCGAGCATCCCAATGACCGACTGCTCACGGTTAGGAGTTTGTTGGTACCGAGTTCGAGTTATCAGCACATGACCATGGAGCAGTTCGACCTTTCGCATTCTTAATGTCAACTGCAGATCCATACGTTCCCGCGATCATCAAGAAGAATCCAGACACAATCACGAAGCAAGCGAAAGTGACCATAGCATACCACCGAGCGTTCCTAGGCTTGTGCCAGTTGTCGTAAAGCCACATCGCACCCATAGGTTGAAAGCACATAAGAGTGCCGAATAGTGCGCCGACAAGTGAGACTAGCGGTCCAAATACTGGAATTGCGCTGGCAATGATGTACGAGATGAGTGTGATACCAGCAGTACAACTCAACCATACAGCCCAATGTCGGAAGGTAGGATCAGTAAGATGGTGTGACCCTCTCAAAGCGCGAACGAAGATGTATTTGGCAGAAATCTGAAAACCGTTAGCAATCCATCAGCGTAGCAGGAGAAGCAAGCCACTCACATGTACGAAGAGCAGGGTGCTGACAATCAGGCCCGGCAAAGCAATGCCGTAGCACACTTTCTTCAGAAGAGGTCCTGCTGAACCTAGTGCAGGTGATGAAACAAAGCTGCCGCAGTATATGTATACTACGACGCCAATGACGACGTAAGTGACGCCGACAACTGACTGGCAAAGAAGAAGTGAGCGGGTGTAGAGTTCCGGTACACGCATCTCGGATGCGATTGAGAAGAATGCCGGCGTACCGGCCCATGCGAAGACGATTGAAGAGCAAGCTGAGATTGCGGCTTCAAAGGATGGGTTTGCAACGCCTTTCCAATCGGAAACGAAGACGCCTGTTGTTGGAGCTGAGGCCGGTCGGTCTTGTACACCGACGGCGATTGTCAAAGTAAGAACTGTCGGACAATTAGCAAGCTGTCTACAAAGAGAGATCTAGAAAGCACAACTTACTCGCAGTCAAGATAGAACCAGCGCCTACCCACGCCAACCATGAAACTTCGTGCAGGGTCTGAATACTTCCGAGTCCAAAGGCGATCATGGCAGCAACTGCGACGAAGATAGCCGTGCACGCTCCGTGGGTGGAGACTGCATTGAGCGAGATTGAGATACCTAGCATACCAGCTCCAGCAACGAAGATCCAGACCATTGAGTGTTAGTACCAAGATCACAAGTAAACCATAGGCGCACTCACATAAGACAAACACGACCGCAAAGAATTCTCTCCCGACTGGACCAAAGAGCTTCATTCCAACGTCATCGATACCATAGACAGAGGGGTGGTTTCTCTTGAAAGTACCAATCACATAGTTCGACCATGTTGTGATAGCTCCGATCACGATCAGAACGACAAGTCCAGGTCCCATACCGAGAGTGTCAAGTACGGCAGGAATAGAAAGAACACCCAGACCAATCTGGGTTTTGATCATCAATACGGCAGTTCCAAGCCAGCCAACCTAATCCAGTCAACATTTTGATCATTTCGATACATCGTGAATATTACATTTCGGTAGTTTGGACCACCCTCCTTGATCTCGCCAAAGATGTCGTCGACAACGGATACGCGACGACCCTGAGCAGACATTCGTCTCTCATTGGGAGGGACGATCTGGTATATCGAACCACGCTTTTCACCTGAGGGGTGTGTTTCATCGTACTTGACATCTTTCTCTGATCTCGCCATGATGGGAGGATATCAGCCAGCGCTGTTCTGTAAGATAGTGTCTGCAAAATGATGAGTAGCTACTGTTCACAGGTGTGATTGAAAGCTTTATTTGAACTCAGCACTGGTTGCCTGACAGCTGCGAACTTGGCCAACGAGACTTTCTGCCCGGAACTCCATGGGTCAAACTATGTCGTAATCTAATGCTCGATGAGACGGTAAAATCGGATGATCTCCCGCTGGTCGTTTGCGGAGTCGATGGAGGTACATCGGAGTGCCCTGCCTGAAATTCGCGGGCAGGATCCCTGTTGGTTAAGGAAAGAGTAATATCGGCCGAGCAGGACGCCAGGTTTGTATCAGGTCAGATAGGGACTAGACAGACGTGCATGTCCGACTGGCTGAAGTCTATTTGGTGACAACGTAAGTGAATGATTCGCACCGATGTCTCGGTCCTAATTGCGATGGCAATTCGAAGTCTGATGGTTCGTAGACTGTAACATTGCTCTTCTCGAGTGAGCAACAAGGCAAGGTCGTGTGGTCTTTTCGCTCCTCGACAGTTTGAATTTGAGAAGTCTGCACCCGCCAAGGCAGTCCACAAGCCGTGACCAATAAGCATTGAGGTCGGAAATCTCCTGCCGCGAATAGCCGTCCTCTAAGCATCGGAATCGCTCCCCGAATCCAAGCGAGCTCGGTTGGCGCGTGCAGACTTCTTGAGCTTGAGCTTGAGCTTGAGCTTGAACGTGAGCTTAAGCTGCCGAGTACGAGTCGGAGTAATTACTAGCGATCGAAGCCAGAGCTCGACATCCTATTTGGGAATAAAGCATCCGATTGTATCAGGTTCCCTGCGGTCTAATCCGTCATCCCTTTCGCGTCCAGATCTAGCCATAATTTTCGTTATTGAATGGTAATGCGAAGGCTGTTGTTCTGGAAGCTTCAAGTGTAGACATGTAATACAATGTTACACATAAGATAGAGTAATGTTCCGATTCTCTTAGGTAGAATGGGCAATCAGACACTTAACTCGCAGCAATGACAAATCTCTGAATCGATTGTACAAGCGAGCAGATAGGACAAGCTGCAAGGTACAAGATCGATCGGTAGTACGAGGTGCAAGAAGATTACGTGGAATCAATCTTGACAAGGATATCTCATGCACAAGATCTGGACGCGAACAATGTACAAAGATCTATGAATCTAACATTCACAGAAGCTGTCAGTAAATGCTTGCTTTCGCCTCATGCTCCGAACGTGGAGTCAGTAGCCAGTGATTCGAGCTTCCGCAGCTTTCTACATTGCAGTCGCACATTCACCAGCCTCCAAGTGAAACGGACTACGACTGGCGTCCACCATCTCGGTCCTGATATCAACACTTTTCGCAGTTTCATTGACCATCATCTCCTGCACGAACTTTGGAATAGCATTGCCCTGCAAACAGTATAGGTATGCATGTGCTTGGGCTTGTCTGCCAGACTGCATTTCCAGTCTTGTTATGAAACACCTAATAGCTGTGCCTTTCTAGTTCGGAGATACATTTCCTGACATGCTCCTCAGTCATGTCATTGTAGAAGATTATGCCTGGGTCGATCGGGTTGACCACCATCTTGTCATCCGAAATATCCCACCATGGGGGATCGTTACCTCCTAAAGCTTCGATTGAAGTCTTGCCAGCAGGTATGATGAATGCGGCCATGAAGAAAAGATGCACCACACCACGAGATAGACCATTGGCCTGGCGCTCTTTATACGACAGTCCTGCGACAGGGTCGCATGATGGGATCCTACCATAGGAGTGCATGACCACAACGATCTTTTGACCTGCATTAACAGCTTTGATGGCGTGTTCCGGGATGACGTCGACATTGGATTGCATGTTCTTCAGGGATTGAGCTGCTCCAATACTGGCGAGACGTACATAGTCTGTTTGGAAACCTGCATCTTGCAGTTTGGACGCGACCTTATGGAAGTCTTCTGGTCCATGCCAACCTCCAGGAGCGGACAATATGACAGTGACGATGTTTGATCTAGCTTGATTTATATCTGGCTCTCTTTTAGGTCTACCCTCCCGTCTGCGATGTGACCCGGATTTGCTGAGACGTCGCGATCGTATCTATACAAGTCGAGAGATCTCTTGTCCTAGTTCTTGGATGCGTGGTTCTCAAGCTGTACGTTCAGAAGTAAAAATCATCACAAACAAGAGGAACGGGCGTGTAAGAGTGTCGAACACTTACAAGATGAAATCTGCCTCCACACCTCGTGCTACGACTCCTCCACCCGAGGTAAAAACACCGAAACTCTATTTCCGCAGTCAGGTCCGCTTCTTAGCTTTTTCGAGCAAAAAGGATATCTCGACGACGCTTGCATATCCAAGAAAAACGTGCCTATTATTCAGTTCAAGTTACGTGTAAAGAAGTTGATGGTGCTAAGGCGGAGACAAGTAGGACCGTCAAGCAGAGTCCAGCTTCTCCACCTGCGTGACTGCGACTTTGCAATATTGCCAGTATTGCCCGTGCATGTGGTGGTCGACAAAAGCGACGATTCGCTCTACCCCGCTGCGCCTTACTTGTGTGGGTCGAATGACCTATAAGTGGTCCCGATCCTCCATTCCCCTCCATCCTTGCGAACTCCTATCGAGGTCCTCGATAGCGCCTATCAGACTGATGCGTCCCCAAGGCCGCCGAAGTCCTCTATTGTATTGGATACATGTGGTCGAATATGAGATCCTTCAACCGCTCGAGATCTTGCTTTTGCAGTGCACGGCCATCCAGGATGCATTCAAACTCTTTTTGCAATTGCCACCGCACCCACTTCTCGCGAATTATGTCTGTGGGTACTTGTGGCAAATTCTGCGACATCAAATCCTTCATCTCTTTGTCGAAACTTTTTGCCAAGACGACCGCTGCCGTCCTTATTCTGGGCAGATCGCAGTTAGCAATATCTCCCACAAATGCCCTCGCTGCCGCAAAGTGCTTTCTCTTTCGCTCAGTCAATGTACCATTACTTTCGATTTCTAAATACTGCCGAATACTAGATGCTCGCATCATAGCGCGTGACATATCGTCGCAGCAGAGAGCTACCGAACCTGTTTTGCCATGTTTGTTAGCTTCTCGTCCGTAAAGTCGGTGTATGATGGCTGCGTTCAAGCCAAGGTGTAAGAAGCACATACAGTCAGCGATCACATCTTCAGGACCATTGTTATCCTCCGCTACCAGAAGAGATAAGACTGTTTCGTGTGACGATTGCAGGGTCGGGGCTGGTGTATCTGGCAGGATCCTCATCATGCGTAGGTGTAGCCACACCCTCCTTGGATGCAAAGTGTAAACCAACTTTAGACGTTCTTGCTGCATGTAGTCTCGAAATATCTTTGGCCGACCACGAATGATATTGTTAATACAGAGCCAGAAACGGGTAATACACTCAGCTTGCTTCAGATCAGCTATCCAGTCAGAGATCAGTCCGCTGTAGCCTGAAATCGTCAGCTTGATCTTCGCCGATTTTGCTATACCTTACCTAATCTATCGTACCTGATTGCAAACGTTTCTGATAGAACCGGCATGATACAGATCACTTCTGGCCTAATCAGAACACTTTTCGCTTTGCACTGACTACCCAGAGATCGTGCAACTCGCTCCAGCATTCCTAAATATCCTTTACGCTTGAACTCTGGTAGAGTGCTGGATCTCGCGGACCCGCTATGGCCAGGATGCCAAATCACAGGTCCTTCATGCTGCAGCTCCGGCATTATTGACTTCAGGCCTGGTCCCTCAGCCTCGAGATAGAAGTCAAGAGCCTTCCGCAGTCCAGTTTTTGTCTTGTAAACAATTGCATCTGTGTTAATGGCCTCTTCAAGGAGTACGGTATTGATTCGTTGCACAAAAGTGCTTGGCAGTTGGAAAAATTCAAATGCGAATGTGTCTGATGAACAGAAATTTGCCCGTCCCGAGATGTTTATACTTGCAGAAGATGGTTGCACTATTGGGTAACTCGTGGTGGGTCTTCTGACTGGCAGATTCTCTAACCACGAATGGGCCGCCACTGGGTCCTTGTATCTCGATGTTAATGATCGTATATGTTCCTTTTGCAGCTCAGTGACGGCTCTTGTTAGGTTCAGCGGTAAGTCAGGTATGTTACTAAGCCAGTTTGTTCTCGATACAATGACCAATCTATCATTCACTGGTGCGAAAACATGCCAATCGGTCCATGATAGATGATCGTTTGGTCCTTCAAATATACCGTAAGCGTTCTGAGTCAATAAGAACTCTTCCGAAGCAAGCTGTGGAGTACAGAAGCAAAGGAAGAACTGTGTCATGTTCTTCCAGAACCACAAGGCATCATCAGGATAGGCATTCTGCTGAAGCCAATCTGGCCAGCCGTTCTTCTCCATATCTACGTCGATGAAGGCGCGAATGTTGCTTAACCAGACTTCTTTCAGTGTTGAGAATCCTTTCAACCGAACATATTGGAGAAGCTTTTCCCGATCGTTAAGCCTATACTCGTCCATGGTACAGTCGAATCGCTTGGAGAATGTACAGTTGCGATAGGCCATGATGAATAAGAATTTTCGAAGAAGATCTTTCTGGGACCGCGACAGAATAGTGGAGGTCTTGTTGCCGACAAAGTCGTGTTCGACAGCCTTGATCACCTTTGACACTTGCTGTTCCAGGGTTGAGAATGCCAGCTCAATCTCTGGCGCGTACATGTTCTTGACGCCAAATGTCCTGCCACATAACCTACTTTCAAGACGATCGGTTGAGAAGTCCTCATTCCAAGTCAAGACTTTGACTCTTGCTTTGTTCTTGGCTCTTGAACGTGCACTGTCTAATTTCTTCTTAGTCGCATATGCACTATCTTTCGGCTCAATATAGTCGGAAAACTTTCGTAAGATCAGTTGTGGTACATAATGCTGGTATTGGGAATTCATGGTGTCGATACAACTTTGTGTTAGTATTCCGGACGTGAAAACGTTGGAGCAAAGGGAGGAGACAAAGGCGCAAATAAACGACCAGAGGAGACAAGATGAGACGAAATACCAGGTATCCTTTTGTAAAATAGTTCTAGGACCTTGACTCACGATCGCTTCGGGTTTATCAATACAAGAGAAGATGACTGTTCGCTCATCGTACTGAACTGCGGCCAAGCTTCTGAGATCGACGACAGGCGCGAATTATGCAATCACATCGCGGATGGTCTCTATCAAGACTTTCAGGAGTGAGGCGTAAGCGCCAATGTGCAAGCACTAGGTTTCGCACTTTGCATGGGTAGGCAGGTGAATCAGCGACGATTTGACGAGGTCGTCATCAATACCTGACCAGGCAGATTCGAGGGCTGGAAACTTGCAACCACGCTTTCTCGCGGCGCCAGCGGCACACCGTATCGTTTGTTGCATATTTTCAACTACCTGCAGATTACATCTAGCCTCTTCGAGAAGGGACGAGCGCTTTCAGTCAAAGTTATGCAGGTTTGAAGACGAGCCACTCACCGGTCAGCATGCAAGATTGTACAAAGAACGTCACAATCGGTTTCGGCTAAACATCGTGTCTGAAGGCTTGACATTGAAATTGCACGGGGAAAGCCTGACCGGCCACCTCTTTCTTCTTCGTTCACGTGCCTGCTAGACCCCATAATATTTCGATAGGTAAGCACATGCCACATGCCAGTGCCAGGCGACACCAACAAACGCTTGACCTCGCCTCGTGCCATCTGTTCCTGCATGGTCATCGTGAATACAATCTAATAGACGGCAAACACTATTTTTTCACCTTCTTGCACCTGCATCCATCACTACTATCAACAACAGAAGCATCAACATCATCCTCAACAACAACCATCAGCAATCCGAAATGCAATACGTCCCCTTTATCTCTGACATAGAAATCCCTTTCTACGCCTCTCTCGCTCGCCAGAAGATCGACCATGACAAACTCGACTCATCACCGAAGCCCATCCGTGGACTCTACGAAATTCGTCCCAATGATCCGCGCGAACAAAGCTGTCGCATGCAAATTCATGGCAATGCGCTTAAGGCTACAGCAACAACAGATGCGCCAAGCACAACAACGTCAAACACTAACACATACCACGCGCCAGGAACGATACGCAACGTGAACACGATCGAGGACTATCGCAATCTAGATAAGTCCGCCTTAATCCAAGCAGCAGGAAAAAAGATCTGGGACGCGATTAATGATGATAATGGAAGCATTTACGTTGACCCTTCGATTCTTGCAAGTTTCCTGGTAATATCTTTTGCGGATTTGAAGAAATACCGCTTTAGTTATTGGTTCGCATTTCCAGCATTGGTCATGGACCCGCCTTGGGGTCCTGTCATGGACGATGCTGTGGCCGCGAGCACGAAGGGCACAGAGTATGTGCCGAAAGTGCTATCGACGACCGAAAGCGGTGCGTTGGTAGAGGAAGTGGAGGCATGGAAGGAAAGTGTGGACGGTAGACAGCACGGTTTCTTTGTCGCAAAGAAGTCGAGACGGTCTGGAGGGAAGACAGCAAATCAGCAGCGAGGGGAGCAGCAGCCACAGTATGCATTCAGTCAGCTGGGGTTTAGATGGGTCGTTGATTCGCTGGCTGCCTACGAAAAGGGCTTCTTCGAGGGAGAATACAGCGATGACTGCTACGTTTGTTTTGCTGACCCATCAAATTACACATCACAGGGCGGTCGTGCGGCACCAGGATGGATGCTTCGGAATTTGCTTGCTCTTGTACGACAACGGTGGAAAAGAGACAGGATGCAAATTTTGTGCTACAGAGAGACAGTTGGAAGACGCGAAGCAGCAAGGAGTGTAGTCTACGACATGGAATTATCAAGACCGAAAGACAGATCGAATTCCTCGTCATTGCAGGTGTCAATCCCTCCATCGGATATGCCAAAAGTCGTTGGCTGGGAACGAAATGCAGCGGGGAAGCTGGCAGGACGTCTTGCAGATTTGACAGAATACATGGACCCAACCAAATTGGCAGACTCAAGCGTCGACCTGAATCTCAAACTAATGAAATGGCGTATATCACCAAACCTGGACCTCGAAAAAATCAAAAACACGAGATGTCTTCTGCTTGGCGCGGGAACATTGGGCAGCTATGTGTCGAGGAATTTGCTCGGATGGGGTGTGCGGAAGATAACTTTCGTGGACAACGCGACCGTATCGTACTCAAACCCTGTTCGGCAGCCACTTTTCAATTTCCAGGATTGTTTGAATGGCGGCAAGCAGAAGGCAGTACGGGCGGCCGAGGCTCTGAAAGAGATATATCCCGGTGTTGAAGCTGAAGGGCATGTCATGTCTGTACCTATGATTGGTCATCCAGTAACTGATTCAGCCAAAACCAGAGGGGAGTTCGAGAAATTGCAGAACTTGGTGAATGAGCATGACGTGATCTTCCTGCTAATGGACACCAGAGAATCTAGATGGCTGCCGACTGTCATGGGAAAAGCAGCTGGAAAGACTGTAATGAATGCGGCGCTTGGGTTCGACACCTATGTAGTGATGCGACATGGCTCGAAAGTGGAGAAGGATAGCCAGCAAGAGCTTGGGTGCTATTTCTGCAATGACGTGGTGGCACCTCAAGACAGCATGCAAGATCGTACACTCGATCAACAGTGTACGGTGACACGCCCTGGTGTTGCTGCGATAGCATCTGCATCACTCGTCGAGCTTCTTGCTTCCGTCTTGCAACATCCTGATGGGGCACGAGCAGCAGCCCCAAAAACAGCCAATGATGATCGTGGTGAACATCCTCTCGGCTTGGTACCGCATCAAATACGTGGTTTTCTATCCAATTTCACAAGTATCAATGTGATAGGACAATCCTATGACTGCTGTAGCGCTTGCTCAGATCGTGTGCTCGATGAGTACAAGCAAGATGGCTGGATATTTGTGGAAAAGGCCTTGAACAGCAAAGACTATGTTGAAGAGCTGAGTGGCCTCAAGGAGGTTCACAGACGTGCCGAAGCTGCTGCAGCTGAAATTGAGGCTGCTTTTGAAGAGGGCGACGATGATCTCGAGGGTTCGGAAGGAGAAATGCTATGATGCTCTCCGGTGCTCATTTTGTCGAGGCGTTCAGGTCGGCTCGTTGTAGAGGCGATAGAGGGATGGTATAGAGTCCTCAACTTCCTTCGTCAAAAACAGCGTTGCGATCCACTTTTGCCAACCTCTTCAGGGCCACGAAGAAGGCTTCTTTTGACTCTGATCTTGAACTTTCGGGTTTCTCTCTGTGGACTTTGTGAAACATAGCCTTGAGTTGCTTTTCGAACTGCTTGTCCTCTGCACCCTGATAGAATTTACATACGAAATGACCACCTACTTTGAGTGTCTCGTAGGCGAAGTAGAGAGCTGAGCGGCAAAGGTCCTATTGTTGGTGGTCAGTATCTGGTTGATTGAAAGCCAAAAAGTAGCACTTACCATACTGCCTGCGTGGTCTTTGAATTTGTTTCCGCTCGTGTTCATCATCCTGTAATATGGGTTACTCAAGCTGTTCTTCCATAGGCCGGAGGTGATCTCCCAGGGTGCTGACATGTCACTCAAAACCACATCGACCACTTTTCCGTCGTGTTGCATGTCTTTCTCCTTGTCGTTCTCGCTATCGCTGATATCACTTGTAGCAGCTCTTCCTCTCTCGAGATAATTGGTCTCGTCCTCTCCAACCACGTCAGGCATCAGTGCGTGCTGCTTCGCTCTGCCTGCGCTCTCGTCTCTTAGCAGATCTCGTACTCGTGCCTGGGTTTCTGGGCTCAGAAAGTCGCCTTGTAAACCGTTTACACCTTTCGGTGGCGGCACAGGGAGCACGTCCACCCCCACAACTCGTCCCAGACCTGGTCGTACAAGGTCAATCGCGACTTGACTCCAACTGCCAGGTGCGAAACCTAGGTCCACCACTGTTTGTCCGGGACGCAGGATACGGTATCGGTCGTTTATCTGGAGGAGTTTGAATGCTGCTCTGCTTTTTAGGTCTTGAACCTTAGCTTCTCGTGCGAATCGGTCGCCTTTCTGTCGAGTGAGCCAGCGAGTGTTGCTGCTCGTTGCATATCGAAGTCCGATTGGATTCGACAGTAGGCAGTGGTATTTAAGAAAGGGTGCTGACTTTAGCAGACATTGCTGCTGCTGCCTGAGACGACATGATCCAATGCTCGAGGAAGGAGATGACAATGTACAGCCATGCCGTAATGATGTAGAGCCGGTGGATGGGAGGCATCGCCAATTGCTACTTCGGGAGATGCCAGAGCAAGCCTGCGTACGGCCTGTGGAAGATGTTACCCATGCACTCGTTGCAAGTAGAGGATGGCGCATATCACTGCCGTGGTCGACGCATGAGGATGCGATTAAGCCAAAGCGCATAATTGTCTAAGATGAAAATCGCAAGCCATTCGGGGCTGCCGTTGGTTGGTCGCAGCTCGATACCCACATAGAGCAACTTGAGCCCAATGACCAGGTTGGCTAGCACGCCTGCGTTCTCACCAGAGATTGTCTCTACTTGACTACGGGCAATTCGTCACAACTCGAACGCTTGACCTTTACTGGCTGTTACAAGCCTGGATGTTTTTACGATAGGAGGGCTTTGGTCACATTTACCTAGTTGAGATACCATTGATCACGACCTGGTATCGATTTCGTACCTCAAATACCGAAAGCTATACGTCTTGATTAGGAACACAGAGGGTAAAGCAGCTTTGTGTAGCTTCCTCTATATCAGCCATGGTATCATCGTCCAATATAATTTCGACCATTTGTTCGACGCTTTGCAAGGGCGTCTCGATCTCGGGACTGAACATTCGAGGCCCCGACAACGGATATCTATCAAAATCTGGCTGTCAATGGCCGGACAGTAGCCTTCGTCGTATGGGGCGGTACTCAACCGCAAAAACCCTTCGCCCTTGGATCTGAGCGGTGACTCGTTGATTATCACTGTTGAGCCGATCATCACTTGCGCCCAGCGAAACAGACATGATGTTCGGGGTGCCTACTGCGGCTGAGATGCATTGAGGCCTCGCTGATGCTCTGCAGGTTCAGGCTTGAGTTCGTAAAGCTCGAAAGTGGAATCATATCTAGCCATCTTGTATCTGCTACTCAAGTGGCTGACTTACTAGTGTCCAGAGGGTGAATAACTTAGTGCTCAATGCCTGTGAATCGGCAGTTCTCGAAGCACATACTGCAAACGGAGCCCAAGAGTTTGTCAGATGTGGTATTGGAAACGTTGTAGGCATGTCGTATCCAGGTTTCAGAGGACATGGTAGCACTTTTCACAACCACTCTGTACCTCACGCTCAGACAATCTTCCGCCAACCTTGTGTATGGAACCAGCATTGCACGTAGGACTCTATAATGTTTTCAAGCCCGAAGGTCACGTTTCGCAGGCCGAGTGGACGTTGACGACCATTTTGTGCCTGTGGTGTACACAAGTATACCTGTTGAGAGAGCGACTATGCTAGTGTCTACAGGTATATACGAGCCATACACAGCGTTGCATGAAGCTGTCGTTGGGAGAGAAGTTGATCTTAGCAATCTCGGATATCTGCTGACTGGTGGGAGTCGCGTCATGATGTTGAGGGGTGACGGCGGAGTAGGTAAAACGGCACTTTTGTAAGAAGCAGCCAAATGGTGGTTGGGCACTGGCTTTGCAACCAAAGTTCTGCATTACCACACGCGAGAGAATTTCGATCCCGAATTGCTGCAACAATGGTTCATGGATGAATGTGCCGCTCCCGACCCGGCTTTCGCCTCTGAGATGGGGTACAGCATCCTTATACTTGACAGCGTCGATCAGTTGGACGATGAGGACGAAGAAGCAATAAATTGCGTCTCGGCTACATCGCTCTGGGCTTTCGTGAAGACAATTGTTCGACAACCAAACATTCGGGTTGTGATATCGTACTGGATAAGACCAAATTGGGTTTATCCTAAATTCGACGTCTACGAGCTGGGCCCTCTCGACACGCATGCTAGTCTCGAGGTTGGACTGCATTGGCTCGGCTCACATGGTCACTCGATAGATCTGTCTGGTCGAGAGCAGCGTGAAATACTGGAAGCCTGTGTGCAATTGGCTTTGGGTAATTCACTCGCTATACAAGCCATGATGTACATGTACATGAAAAGTGGCCGTGACCTGAAACAGTTCTACACTGGCGTGCTCATAGGGGATATAACACTTGATCTTCCTGGTTTTACACAGCTTGTTGGCCCGAATGCTTTGACCAGACTCGACAAAGGGTTCTCGAATGCTTGGCAGCAAGGCCTTGAGGTCGTTGTAGAGTCTTCTCATTTGGTGTACGGCATATTTTGGAGAGTAATGCCACAGGATATCGTCCCGTTTCGATTGTTTCTATTAAAAGCAGTCAGGAGGTCCAAACTGTTCTTACGAGACCGTTACGTGTTTGGTACTATGTCGACTTGGCCAGAGGAGTTTTAGAGACAGTTACATTCTTTCGCTATGGCTCACACGTACCCAATCGAGAACAGGTTGCTTCGTCGTCTCGACGCTAGACTCTCAAATCCCATGTACTTCTCCATGATGTTTGGAGGCCAGCCGAGAAAGCTGCAAGATGAGACATACGAAAGCTCCTGCACGGACGAAACAGGTGTCATTCTGCAACGTACTGCGGTGTACGACAATGAGGATAAACTGAGGCGTCATGCACAGGAGAGTGATCGGAGATTCCTAGTTCCAATCACGCGACGTACGGGTGTACTTGAAGGCATTGCTCAAGGTCATCTCGCAGTGAACCCTCTCTTTTCGATACTTCTTCGAGTCAAAATCGCAGATTTGTCACCGCTGCTCCGTGAAGGTCTCTGGGACGCATTCGCAAGATTCCAGCGCCTACAACTTACGCCCTATCTATACCTGAATGGCGACACAAATCCAGAGGTCAGTTCTATAGCTGAAATTCAACTCGAGAACCATCTTGTGTCTGGCCTGCACCGTCTGACAAAAGATTTGCGGTTCCCGGCAAACTATCTCCATCAAATGTGCACCATCGACTGGCTCCATATTTCCTCCTCCGCACATTATCGATGCCTTCCTCTCTTTGAGCTGCAGATGGCAAGATACGCTGACTGGCTACAGGAATCAATGCGCACTTCTATTTTTGACATGTTCGCCTTCGGCATCATGATGGCCCAGGCTTTGTTTCATGGCCAGGCTACTGAGGTTTGGGGCTATACGAAATCGTTCCCGAAGATGTCCCTCATAGCAGCAACCAGCGACAGCCTCACTGCAATCGCTATAAGTACGGGCATTGCTGATAACCTGATGCTCAGTGAGGCTCACTCACTTCGTGCTAGCATTTCGATGCTGAAGATGAGATTGAAAAAGATACTGCCTACACTTCCTACCCCGACTCATGTCGAAGAGTATTATCCTTGGCTTTCGAGGGGATGGTTATCCATCTATTCTCACGTTCGGACCTTGGAGCTTGATACTCCTTTCATCTGGATCGATCATCCTCTACTCCACACAAAACAAGCTTTTCAACATGTTTGTGATGCGTTTGACGAAGCAATGCAGGCTCGAGATGAAACAATCTTATTTGAACTTCTGGAAAAGCCGAGATACACACAGAACATACAGACATGCTTGTTGCTGCATTTAGCTTTGTGCTTCGTGTATGCTTTAAAAGCCGAGCACAAAGATTTGAGGACTCAGACTCGGCTGTGTGAGCAAATGATTGCCACAATCAAGACTGATCCGAACCATGATTGTGAAGCTGTGGAGGGTGGTGAATTAATGTTGGGCTATGCTCACCAGGCTGTTGAACTAGCACAATCGTTCGAGATTGTGTGTGAGTCAAACTCAGATGAGAATTATGCCACGTTCGAAGCTCTACACTAAGACAAGGAGTTTCTGAACGAGGTGGACAGACTAGAGTCATACTTCAATATCGCAGATACCACACTGAATCTTGGACGTTTCGCAAGAGCACGTGAGTATATAGATAAAGCCGAGACCCTCTTCAGATGCAACGAGGCAAGCCAAACCTGCAAGCATAGACAAGGCGACTTCGACGTGCGGCGATAATTAGTCGACTTACGTGAAGAGCTCGTCACGAACCTGAAGAACATTCAAGCGATGCCCTTGGCTGATCGTGCACGCAAGATCCAGGAACTGTCAGCACTCCGAATTGCGAGAGAGGCTTGCTTGACGCATCTCTGTGATACAATCTCAAAAGATATAAAGATAGCTGCTGGAGCAGAGTTGTACATGCAGCTGATGATCTTGGCATTCTTGAGACTGGATTCCAACGAACTTTCCAGGATCTTATCTGAGGACGACTCACTTAAGCAGTCCGGCACTCATTGCCCGAGTCGAATAGAAGCACGCTGGCAACGAGGCTATATTCGCGAGCTTTGTCAACTCCACGATACCGGAACTCTCCAAAAGTTTTGCACCGATAGCGAGTTGCAAGATATGATCTTGAACGAGATCGCCAGCAGTAATCATTTGAACTAAGAGGCTGATGGCGAGACAGCGTCATTCACTCGTTTCGACGGTACATTCATTAAGGTCCAGCAAGATGAGACTCGCTTCATGCTCGATTTTACAGGCCTGGATTGACGGTATCACTCTAACTACACAACAGCTTGCCTGGCTCAGCACAACTTTCAGAGTTCCACCTGGAGACAGTAGACATATATGCTGTGCAACCTCATTTGAGTGTGGCGTTGCCTCGTGTGGCGCTGGACACCAAGCTACCCACATCGGAGGCTGGACCATCCCAAGATTCTCAGGGTGTGGTCCTCGTGCCCAAGATATTTGGCTTCCAACTCCTGTCCATCCCTGTAAGTGGTGAGGATGCGGACAAGATACCCAGGTTTGGTTGAGAGCCATGCTTTTGAACTCTGTCGTCATCATGGGATTCGAACGAAGCACAGATACGATGCACGTCCTAGAGTAGAAATGTCACTCAAGATCATGGCTGCTCTCGATAGTGTAGACTCGATCGATATAGTTAGGGCCTCTGTTCATCATTGATCCTACAGCAATGCTAGTGCCAAAAGCTTTTAGATACGACACAGTCTTTTGGCATCTTCGCCGCAGTCAGTCAGGTAAGCCAATAGCGTGGCATGACCATGGCTTGGAAGAATTGTGCACGATGAACGTGGACCAAGTTGGCGAAGCAGACACCACTCTTGCTAGTGGTTGCGAACGGCTAGCAATACGAGAGCCTTGAACAGTTGATGTTGTGCATTTCTAGAGGCCTCAGCTCAAGTAGATACGAAAAGACGAGGTGGTAGAATATATGATTTTCTTCCAGAGTACAATTGGACGTTGATAGATGCTTTACACTACATTAAAGGATCTCAAAAAGCACAAGCATGCTAGCTACGATATCTTCACCAGGCAGATGAAGAGGTTGAAATTCAGTACAACAGATGTCTGTGACTAGGTAGGATATCTCCATCGCCTCTCATCCCCTATTGTAGTTGGACATTCCGTAACTTCTTCTAATCTCTCGACGGATTTTGGTGGGGCCACTTCCAATGGCATATCCAGCCAGCATCGATTCAAAACTAAGACGATAGAAGGGCTCCTAGAGATCTAGCAAGGAATGGAGGCTGAACCAATGGAGACAGATACGACTGCTCGAAGAAAGTAGCAACCAAAGGAGCGCTAGTCCAGCTTCATCACCCAGTAAATTCAACGTCGCCTGACCAGCAGGCTCTTCTCGATTGAATCTGTGTGCAATCGACCAGTAATCAATACCAGGTTTAGCATCATCGATGCTGATGCTACTACGATTGACCCCAACAATCCTTGAGCACTGGTCCCTGTATCACCACAATTGTTCACAGCATCAGCAACTCCATCTACCCTTACTGCAGCATTCTCTCAAAGAGTTAATAGTGCTGGTCCTTTCGGTGGTCTGAGTCGACAGGACCTGGCAGTCAGTAAAAAGAAGGTCTTACTAGATCGAAGTACTTTGAACATAGTGCGGTGTGTCTGCCTGATCAGAGTCGTCAGGTTTTTAACAGGAAGGTAACCAAGAGGCCAGCATACCACTTGGTAGTGGTGGCTGTATGTTCAAGCGTAATATGTCCTGTCAGGATCAGATCAAAATACGAAATACATTGACAATTGCAAGCCATCTCGAACAGCCAGAGCGTTGTTCGAAGATGTAGTCATGGACCAGGAGCGAGGTCGTCCTCCAGACGTGGCGTTGTTGAATGGTCTGTATCAGCCACCAGGGGTACAGACAGTACCTCGAGGGTGATAATTGAAAGCACCGAAATGAAATACGGTGCTCTCAGGATTGAAGACATCGAATTCAGGTTTTTATGCTGTTCAGCATCGGATACCTGAGGCGGATTGTATTGAGGATTCTGGAAGAAGACTCATGGGCCAAGTATCTTGATCTGACCTAAGTCGCTTTGCCATTGGATTTGAGAAGTATGGCCGAACCATCGCTTCTACAATTCCCTCAGTTATGGCAAGCTGTTTGTTGGTCTCTTCGTACTGGATTCGTTTTTCCTGAAGCTCTTTTCTTACTTCGTATAATTGCTTTTCTAAATCGCGTATAAGGACTTCTTTCTCTAGGGCAATTCTCTCCGCTTGTCTTTGTGCTTCTTCGGCCTGCTCTTTGTCTTTGACCGCTTGTTCTTTGATTGCCTCTCCCAGTTGCTGGACTTCCTTCAAGTGTATTTGTTCGTCACGCATCACGTCCAGCGCGTGCTCTGCTTGGGTTCTGCCGGTCTCTAGCTGCTTCATAGTTATCAGGTAAGATGTGTTGGTTTCCTGCAGCCGTTTCGTCGCCTCCTCTGCATGTGCTTTCTGGCTTTGCAGTTGCGATATGTGGCTCTCTGTTTGTACCCTCTCATCCTCCAATTGCTGTATCTTAGCTTTCGTTTGAGCATTGTCACTCTCTAGCTGCTTCATCATCTTCTCCTTTTGTGCATTCTCATGGTTTCGCTGTTCGATTATCCTGTCTTTTATATTGTTCATCAATCCGTTTGTCGTTTTTTCGATATGATCCTTTATATCGTGCAGCAGTTCCGTGTCGGCACTTGTCGTCTGCTCGTGCCTTTGATTTGAAACTGCTGTGTCTTCAGCCTCGTTCGGTATTCCAGATACATCATGGTAGCTCCTCTCACAGGACGGACTGCGTTGCTCGCATTGATCCGGATGAGCTTCAGTCTCACATTGACAACCAAGACATCCCTCTCCTGTGATTTGTGGACTGGTGTCCATCTCACTGGATTCGCTGAAGTCTGTCAAATCATCATTCGAAGGGCGCACTCGAGCTGGACGTTTGTTACGCGTCACCCGGAGTGGTAAAATTTTGCGCCTTAAATTCGGCCTTTCCGTTGGTTCTGCTCGGTCGTGAAGCTCGGAGATTGTGGGCACTTGAACCTCAGCCTGATTTTCATGGTGGTAGCATTTCTTCTTCTTCTTCCGACATTCTTCGCACGCTTTTCGTCGTGTTTCTTGCATTGAGATAAGTCCTCGTAGTGGTCTTCTGCTCTAACCGCTAGGGAAGCCGGGAGACGAAAGTTGTTGCAAGGAAATCTGAATTGCAGGAGAGGAGATGAAAACTGGCGGTCAACAAAAGATATGCCAAGGCTTGGTACTACTCGTAGTCGCTACACGTCGCGTCTCACGCGCCCGATCTAATCCCAACTGAGCCTTGTGGACAGACAGAAGGTCAGTCCACGTACTTCTAGCGTACCACTCATCTCTGCTCTGTCACCAACGGTTGTTACCAGCTTTAGCTAGCATAGCGATGATACACGAAGACGCCGTCTGTTGTCCAAGTCAACACAGGCTCGTGTGCATTAATTCCCAATCAGCTGCGCGGTCCTCACACCATTCACAAGTTGGCCGTGGCATCAGCGGTATTCGCAGTGTATCCATACCACCAAGTGGTGAGGCTGATCATGCTACTAAATAGTGCAACCAAAGGGAAAGAACATAAGTCGTGGGTCAGATGTACAAAGATGTCTTCTGCTTCCGTAGATACGATCCTGCTTAAATACTGCAGGTCGTCCCATATAGCACTTCATATTGATGCTAGTGTCATGAATCATGTGGGTGCAATTCCTCATTATGGCGAATATTGACGCCTATGTTGCGTGAACTCCAACACTCTTTGGGCTACATTTTTTGCCTTACTCATTATATCGTCTTCGGGTGGCTTGATCTGAGTTTCAGCCTCCCTTAGCCTGAGCTCTATACCACGACGACCGTCTTCAGGATGCACAGTGAACTCAGATGTCGCGTCTTTACTGCTTGGCAGCAGCTCTCGACCCGGACCGTCGAATTGTGCCTGAGTGGCCAGGCTTTCGTTATTGGTCTGCTCTGTAGAATTGATCGGTGCTTGCCGGTTGGAAGGATGCCTATCCAGATCTGCTTCTTGTGTCCGTGAGCGGACATCTCGCTGAGAATTCGAATGCCATTTGTCTGAATCGGCTCGCCGCAGATCTGTCGCCAGCCCCATTGCACGCAGGCTATCGTCGGTGTGGCGCCGAGTATGCCTATATCGTTTTTCTACTGCCAGCCTCTCTTGAGTTGGCTGAGCGTCCCAACCATAGGTGACCCGATTTGGTCTATCGCCGTTGCTTAAGTATGTCTCGTTGTATCGTGCGGAGGCTCCCAACCGTGGCTCGCTGAACTTCCTTCCATGTTCATGATAAGCGGAATTAAACTTCTCATCGACATATGATATTCGATTGTCCAGCTCTCTAGTGGCTCTGCGAGTTTGCCGATCCAATTGTGTTGCAGCAATTGCTGCAGACTCCTTGATCCGGCTAACATAGGCATCAGGTGTATTGGTCTCAATGTCTCGTCGGAGTAACTCGTATACGTCTTCAATCGTCGCTACTTCAGCCCTGAGATCTACATCCAGGTCGCCACGTGCGAACTCCCTTTCTCTTTGCTCAATGTATTCTCGGATCTGAGAGAGCTGCTCTTTTTGGTACTTGAGTCGATTCGGTAATTCGGAACCCTTCAGGTAGACAAGGAATCCTATGCAGCGATTAGTCCAGACCACTTCATTGTTGGAAGATAAGCGAAGTACCTGCTATAATTATGTTTATGGCACCCAAGACGGTGACTGCGCTTCTTGGTCCGTCTCCTACACCAAGCGCAGTCAGAGCTGTGGCGAAGACTAACTGTAAGACCAGCGCCGCGTATGTCAGCCAAGCCGATGCCCTACACCACTGCTTGTATTTCCGCTCTTGCTTGATGACACGCTGGTAGATGCCTAAGTTCGCGACAGCTCGTCCAGCAGCCAGATCAGGATCGTGATGGATGCCCACAAAATGTCGAAATTCCATTAGTGCTTTCTGGACTTCGACGTTATGTGTATAAGGTAGGCTATTCGGCGCCATACCATACGGTGACGATCCGTTTGCTTTGTGTTCTTGTCCAGTGGTTTTGGCTTGACCACTTTCGAGGTCAGTGGTCGAGGGGGCTAATCTGGCAAAGAGGCCTGGAAAACACATGTTGTATGGATCGGGCTGTGAATTTAGGAAGAGTAGAGGGCATACTGTGCCTCGAAGACATCTTTACATATCGCGTGCTCGCAAGAGGATGAAGAATCCCCTGCGTTATGTTCGACTAGATCAAACGCGACACTCGGTGCCAATACGAGAAACCGGTCGGTGGCTTAAAGACCGTTGACCAATGCCGTACATGCGTTGCTACAAGACAGGTCGTGTTTAGTCAGTCTCCTGGGTTGTGGGCAAGTACTTGCACGAGGGGGGCACGATCAGGGTATCCATAGTCAGGAGCTTACATGTCGATCATGATAAAAGTGGAGCTTTGGAGAGACTAACTAGACCGTGCTCCACTATGATCCGGTCCGACTTCCGGTACTACTACTACGACGTTGACCTACGCCATTGCTTGAAGGCTACCTTCCTCCGGTTGTGGTTCTTCGGAACGCTCAACCTGCGACCAAAGTGTCGAAGAATGAAACATGGGCTCCACCTTGGATGATCCTCGGAGTAGTCTTGTCAGAAAGGGTCCTCGTACATGGATAGTACTAGAGTTGGTATGTGTAAATTCATAACATGCAGTAGGGTTTGATCTTCTACAAACCAAATAAGTGACAGTTGTCCTTGAGTGGGAAAAGACAACAATCTTTAGCCAAAAGTATCTGCTAGGAATGGTGCGAAGGAAGCCTAGAAGGGTGAGGATAAGAAACATACAGCAGGAGAGCAACGAAAGAATAACAAAACTTGACGGTTGTAATAGAGCCAGAGCGGTGTCAAGCATACAAGCGGTTTTTTGAGAGATACTCTAAAATCCGAGAAACATGCTGAAGTCAGCGGAAAGCATTAATAACTAGCGCCAGGACAAATTCAGGTAGACCAAGAATCCACTACAATGAGCGTCCTGCTGGAGCATCTGATCCGAACTTCCGTCTCCATCACTCTCCTTTGCTCGCCAGATCATACAACGTGAGCTCTCACAACGCGAGAAGTTGTGGAGCGCAAAAACTCCCATCATTGGGAGCTTGTAGAATGTTCGCGTGTCTACGATGTCGATATCTTGGTTCTTGGGCGGGAAATGGTAGATCATGACTGAGTGCAGATTCGCTGTGCCCAGTCGGGAAGCAGCCTCCTCCTCGAACTCATCCGCATCCATGGTGAACTCGTGTCTCAGCCTTAGAACATGGCCTAACTCGTGTAGGAAGACTTCTTGCGTATTCGCACAGTTGCTCCACTCACCGTTTGTCACAGTCTTGTCGAAGCCGTGACTGTACACCCACGTCGCATTGAGAAGTGCGGCGTCGGGGCAGAACTTACTGGCTAGTACAGTTCCTTTCTTCTCACCATAGACAAGCACGAAAGCTGTGTACTCTACACTCATAACCCATTCGAACATGACCCCTATCTTATGACTGTCTTATTCGTCAGCGGCTGCGATCAATGCTTTGGACGGCTATACAGCATCGGCTAGTGTGAGATTTTGGGCAGCAGAAGTGGTGAAGTTGACGGTCGAGCCCAACTTTCAACGCGAAGTCGATGCGAGGATGCCCACCAATAATGAGGCATCAGACGTTGGGTATGCCTCTTGAGTGATGCAAGTTTACTCGCGTCCATGTCACAAATCAAGATGTTTGGTCTCTTTAGAAGGGTGATCAAGGTCTTAGTCTTTATCTCCATAGTGCTGAGGACATTGCTTTCGAAGGAAATCCTCGAGACCGGCTGAACAGCCACTGCATCAAACATGCCGAAGGTGATAAGTGTTCCGTGAAATAGGGGAGCATGTGGTCTTTCGATAGCAAGTCTTGTAGAGGTGCCGCACCGATCTTCGAGACAACCAGAATCCACAACGTGCGCTATGTTAATTATGTGACAGTGACTTCTTCTGCTGAGCGCCTGATCTTTTTAGCGGAGGAAGAGCAAGGACTACTACCAGCCTTCACCTTGATCGTGCTGCCGTTCATTGACTTACACCATTTCGGGAGGTCTCCTGAGGGGTGATTAATGCCCAAATTCGGTGAGGACTGTCCAATTCGTCACGGGAATACAAGACGTACGAACTCTAGTCGTACAATCATCCATAGTTGGTGATCTGAATACCATGGGAACATGGCATGCACCTTAGCCGAGAGTCTCGCTAACGCATGACCTTTCGCTTGCCTTAGCAACATGAGCTGAAGGAATGAGCGAGCCTGCTATTTATAATAGAGAAGCAGACCACCGAAGTCAGCAGCTTCTCAAGAACGTCAAGTGGTAGGGTGATCATGGCTGGAAAGATGAGCTGATTGTGTCAGGGTTTGCCTTGTTCTCTTTAAAATCCTTGTACGACAGGCAGATCTTTGCCGCAGATATCACTGGCCCAAAGCGATCCTTAGCTTGGAATGCGCGAATCTGGATTGAGGTCGGTTGGACACGATCCTTTCCCACACCATCATCTTGGTTTGTCGATGTTGCGTAGCGTATACGTTCTGCTGCTGACACTGAAGATCTGAACAAGAAGTAGCTGTGGTCAGTCAGATTGAGATGGTTTAGAACAGCAGTCGAGAGCTATGATTCCAGGTCAGCAGAAACATAGGTCGAACATATCTTGTATGGGACGAACCTCGGCAATGTCTCTATGCGGTTTAGCACGAGGATAGACATTGTAAGATGTCTTGGTGATGGATCGCGCATCGACACTGTACTTCTCGACTGTTTACCATTCAGGCATATGGACGGTAACTTCATGGTGAGGTGCTGGGAGAACAGCATAGCCGAATGCTGTCGTGATCTTGGCAGACATGAATGAGTAGTCCTTGGCGCAACGACGGCCCTCACATGGATAAGCGAAATGCTGCCGCACGGTGTTATGTTCACAAAGTTTCGGCATGTCCTAGCCCCCGCCACTACGGTGTGAGATACGCGAACATGGCGCTTCTCACCACAATCATGTCCTTGCCCAGGGCGGACCTTGAATGCCTGCAAATCATTGATCAGAAACCTCGGCACAAAAATACCGGAGTAAGCTACCTGATATGCTGATGTCGATTTCAGAAGAATTTGGTGTAAATGCATTGACTTTGACGTCTTCGGCGCGAGTGGTGATAGTTATGGTTAACAGAAGTTGCAGTAGTTGACACCAGCGGCACCACTCATCCAGATAGTGACACAGCATATCGTTCAGCCTTGTCTACTAGTGTACCAGCAATCGGAATTGCTCCCTTGCTGAACGACTTTTAAGCGTGCTGAAGTACAAGGTGCTCTAGCCGGAAAGGACAACCCGTTTAGCCTCGCAGCTGTAATCGCTCTTTTTCCGAATATCCAACCGCGTCCAATACTATCGGGCACAACACACAGAGATAATGGAATGACGTTCTTCAAACTTGACAACTCATCAGACTCAGAACTTTTCGCACGATCTGGATGCGAACAATAGACGATCGTGACGCCGGTCGGCCTACAAACCATGAGATACTTAGCGTCCAGTGGGAACATGCAAATATTGAGCAAGGCGAGTATATGGTTGAGCTTCTGTTCTGCGACAACAAACTTTGCGTCCTGTCGATACACGATGTCGGAGCGCCGAGCCACAATATCTACCGTGTATTGGTCGCTCTAGTCAAACACACTTAATCTCTGATTCTATCCAGACCGAAACCATGGGATAAAATGTCCTGTCAGCCGAGACGAATGAGCCATGGCAGTGAGGCTACGACAGATTACCGGCCAGACCTGGTCGCGCATTCATTTCTGGACTTCGATCACGCTTTCGCCAGCGCTGAGACGCTCGTTTCAGGTGTCCGGACGCCTCCTTGCAATCCACTCAAGAAGAGCGTGTACAGCATCAACTATGGCGGATCAGCGCCTTCAGATTCATTGTGGTCAAGGTGCTGCTCGTTTTTTCACGCCTTAATCTTGATACCTGGTCACAGGAGATCATCAGCATGAGAGTAAGCATGTTGTGTATAGCGGCTTTTTTTGCACTGCTCTTGTGGTGTGATGGAAAGCCTATAGGGAAATGGAGACATAGCATCATACCCAATGCTGTCATATCTGTAATGGTCGCGATCATGGATGCTACTTTGGGCCTTTCTTTGGCATCGGGATTCGGTCAACTGAAATGGACTCTCCTGAAGCGCAGAAAGCAAAACATTCAGACGATACAACGGCTAGACTCGGCTAGCAGAAGCACAATAGGCAGTATCTGCCTGCTCTTGTCGAAACACGACAGGTAAGCCATCTAACAAGCTTGTTTGCATTTACGGTCGTTCTGCTTGTTGCTCTTTTCTTGATGACCATTACATATCAAGCAAAACGTGTCGAAGAAGTATGCTCGCAGTGCTCTTTCACGGCCTCGATGACGATGCTCGCAGACAACTTGTATCGGAGTATATGAACGGCAAGCTGGAAAAAATCAGCCTGATGGAAAAGATTGCTGAAGCGCTAGAGGTGAGCTTGAGGACGAACAATAACCATGGAGGAACAGATTTGTCTGCAGCACGAACGGATCTCGAACGTCTCGAACCAGTCGACTGTAGCACTAATAAGGATTCCAGCTCAGAGAGCATCTACGACGAAAGGGCGAGGACATGATTATGGGGTAACGACGACGACGACTCAATGGCTTGACTTGTGCTAGACCCCTGCGCTGTAGGAAATGCCGGCCCAATTGGAAGCAGTGAAATGTCTCAAAGAGAAACTTTAGTAGTAGTTCTCTCTGCGGTCTAATGGCAATAGTTTAGAGGGCTTCACTCATGATTTGTTGCGCTGTAAAGATGATACAGCTCATCTTATACAGCTCGATGTGGAAGACGCCAGGTTTCATACGTAGTCCATATAGCCCATCACTTACCTCTACTTCTAAACAGCTCAAAAAGCTCGGGTAATGCTTCGTCGAGATCTGGATCGCTGAACTCCTCCCTAGCCTTCGTATCCTTGTTCTCGATCCCCCTCTCTATCTCTTCCTTGGTCGTTGTCGCAGATTGACGTGCCATCTTGTCCTTCTCTATCATCCTCTTCGCTTCCATTATCTCTTCCCAAGAGGTTGGAGTAATATCGACGATTTCGTACTGCATACGTCTTGCGACCCTGCCTGCTGGTGATCGAGCCTGAATCTGAACATTGGCCTTGAATATCTCTTTCGTTGTCGCTGACTTCTGTCTACGAGACATGAGATCTCTTGCGCTATATGGTATTTTGGAGATTGTGGTGATATTCGGTGGCTTATCTGGGAAGAAGCAGTCCGTAAAGACGACTCCCTGGCCTTGACCCATGCTGTTCGCGTAATTGATCTTGTTGACTGTGGCAAAGAGCTGGACGTTGATATCGTATTCTTGTTGTGATCGATCATGGGACTGCGCGACTCTCACTAGACGATGGAAATCAGCTGCGCGAAAACAGATGTGTTTGTGACGAGCTGCAAGATCATTATTGCCACTGGGTGGACAGGGATGCATGAAAGCTGGATATGGCGCACCATTAGGATGGCGATTTGGTGTAGGTGAGTTAGCCACGTCGTCAGTACTTGGAAGAGCTTGCAGGGATGCAGATGAGACTGTCGTCTGTGGTGTGGGCAGAGTAAATGGGTTGTCGTCGAAGATGGTATCGTCAAAGTCATTTTCAAAGCTAAGGCTGTCGTCTGACGAAAGCTCGATGACGGAGCGAGCTTTGAGGTTGTGCAGGACAATCGACTCATTAGCAACAGCATTGGACACCGGCGAAGCAGATGACTGCATCGTGGTTTCCAGTCTGTCATGCCCAGCATGCCTCGTCGCTGTTCTGTGCTGCGATTCTTCTCCAGAACAGTTCACTGATAGTTCTGTTACCTTGCCATATTCCCAACCATCAGCTGAGCGTTGTTCAGCAACCAATGACTTGAAAGCATGAACCACCGTCGAGGTATTTCTGCAGTGCCGACCAGATTCATTTTCGTCATTTAGAGAGACAGTATCTGTGATCGATGATATCTGAGCAAGAGGAAATTGCTTGGATGGTGTGACTTTCGCGTTGGACGTGGTCGTCATCGAGCAAGTGGATTTATCAATGCTGACCTCGCTGTCGATGCTCCTCTTGCGCTTTCGTGTTCTCTTTATTGGAGTCGAATCCTGTTCAGCTACTGCAACGACCTTCTTAGACTTCTTGGCTTTTGCTGAGGCAGCTCTCTGGGTCTTTGTCGATGCTGTCGTCCGTTTTTTCGGGACATTGGCCACGAGTCGTTCAGCGGCAGCGAGGATATTGATTCTGTACTTGCTAGCAGTGGAGAGCGGCTTCTGAATAACGATGTTGGTGGACTTGTTGGGGTCATCGTCTTGCTTGACGAGCTTCGTGCAACGGTTGCTGGAATTGATAGCTGTCCAGGCCATAGTGCATATAGTGGTTCAGTGGTGGAAGTTGGAACACGATTTTTGAGTGACAAGGACCAACATCGTGGGCTGCAACGAGAGTGCCGCTGCAGCTCGTGCATAGTGGTGGAGGCGCGTGGGCGATAAAACCAGAGAAGGAAGGCACGGTTCACAACAATGACCAGCAAAGGCGTGACGAGAAGGATTTTACCTCAGGCATCAGTACTGCCGTCGAGAGACTGGAAAATCTTTGTCATCACTAAACTAGATCGTGAGGAGCGCAACATTCTGCAGGAGACAAAAGTGACAAGCAAGTAAGCTCATTGTCACTACTCTCACAACGAATTCCATCCAAGTCCTTCACCTCTCCAGACGTGAGGGTTACAAACCGGTGTCCTCCCCGAAGCAGGTCACAGGCCAGTAGCTGATGTTAGAACACCCCTCTCGGAAATGTTAGTTGGTAAAGTCATCTCAGCGGTAAGAAATTGATGGTACACTGGCAGTAGAGGTCCAAGTGACCTAATCATACCAACAGGACCGTGATTAGAATGACGCGAACCTTGACATAGATTCTCGATGAGACGATAGATGGTGTCCTCCTGGGAGTACTGTAGTCCTAGCAACCATATCTGGGTGACGCGTTTTGTGCTCCTGCACCGGCACACTGGCACTCTGGCAAGTCTCTCAAACTACTGTGCAACGCGTCTTCTCGCGTCCTAGCGTGTAGTTACGTGTCATCATACCCCACTCTGCACCTTCCTGAGAATGGTTCTTTTGTTGACTGCGATTTAAGGTGATCGTCGTTGTCGATAGCGAGCTAGTTTTCTCAGGCATCTAGCACGTTCCCAAATCGTGACCCACCCTACCTCAATGTCCTACGCGATAGAAACGAAGAAGCGCAAATTTGATCGGCTCCTGGAATCGCTCACAGAAGGGTCCAGCCCATCGCAACAAGACGATAACCCGAACAATGCACGCAATAAAGTAACGGCCTCGAGACATAGCTCATTCGACTCGCTCAAAAGACGGCGCCTTGCCCAAAGTCTAGGAAGATCGACATCGAAGTCTTCTCTAATTAACAACTACCTTCCTTCTAGCAGAGCTGCATTCTTAGAAAGACTGGAAACCTACAGACACGTTACGAAATGGCACGTCCCTTCCACTGTATCAATCAATGCTGCTCAATGGGCCAAAAGAGGTTGGATCTGCGTCGATGTTGATACAGTTGCTTGTGGGTATTGCGGAGAGAGAGTAACTGTCGACCTGGATGTCAGTTCAAGACCTGTTGTGGGCGAGGATCAGGACGAGGAAACACGACAGTCTGGAATTCAGCAAGATGAGGCCGCTGACGATCTGGAGGTCGAAGTCTACGAAGCATTGGTCAACCGCTATGAAGAAATGATCACAACCTCACATTCCGGTACCTGTTCCTGGCGAAAAAGAGGCTGTGATGCCTCCATACAACGCATTGAAGGGCTGCTCAATGGTTCTACCACGGTCACGGCTACAAAAGCGAGGTTGCAAGGCATTATCGAGAAGATAGACGATATACCCACAGTGTCGGATCTACCTGCCTATAATGATTTACCACCACCTAATCTCGACAATTTACAAGAAGCTGGAGACAAAAACCCGCTGAAACTCGCAATGTGTGGGTGGCAATACAAAGAGCCTGATGTTATAGAGTGCAAGCACTGTCTCAGGTCACTGGGCTTGTGGTTGTATCGAGGTACATCTCCCACAGTCGAGAATTTGGACGCGGTCGATAGTCATCTTGATTACTGTCCATGGAGGTCTGCCGAGGCTCAAGATACCGAGATCGTGCTGCCTGCCAACGGATCTAATATTAGCAAGAAGATTAAATTACCGGGTTGGGCATTGGTTTATCATGCTTTCTTGAAACAGACAGTGAAAAGAAGAAGTGGTGGAGATGCGGAGTCTTGGTCAACTGCTCAGCCCGACGATGATCATGCCTTACGAGAACAGCAAACGCCTGAACAACGTGAGAGGAGGATGAAAGACCTCATGAGGCGAATCAAGGAGATCAAGAAACCATTCAACGTTAAAGGTCTTCTGAACAGGAAGGACACTGTGCGGACATAATCAAGGATGTTTCTGTAGCTGACAATGCTGATCTTCTTTTCCCTGCAAGCTGGCATCTAATTGGTGCTCTACATGCTTCGACGCAGTCGCATCTCTTGGCTGATAGGAACTTTCGATGCTAACCTCAATTCGGTAGGAACTTTACAGGCTAACTTGTTCTACCTGCAGCCTGATCAACAACATTTATAAAATACCACCACTTCCCCCCTCTTCGCTTCGGTCTCTCAGTGTCTCACACCTCAAATTTTATATTAACATCATGGTCACACCCAGATATACCCGCCGGCAACGGGAGATGATGCGCTCCACCATCGAAAAGCTCTATACCAACGATGACAGGAAGCTAGACAGTGTCATCGAGATAATGGCTCAACGATGCGGCTTCGAAGCTACCCGGAAGATGTACAAGACCTGGTTCAAGAGATGGTGATTAGAGAAATATCAAAAGCGTCCAGGTAGTCGGCCACGCCAGAAACAAATCAAGTGACTACAGTCCCCGAATTACACGGCGCGTGGCTTCAGAATGTACAACTCCACCATTGAAGACCTCAACACAGCACTCCAACATCCCGTGGTACTCAGAATCTACGAGATGTGCTGTGTCAACGCAAGTTTTTGTGCGTACTTTACCCAGCTACCAGCGGTTTGTGAAATAGATTTTACACACGAGCACATGGTGTACGAGGCTGCTTTGACAAGCATCTCTGAGACTCTGCTATTCACAGCCCAAAGATCTCGGTTTTTCTTCGTTGGCCCTTTTGCTGGTGAAGTAGACCGATGCGAGGTAGTGAGCCTTGGTGGCTGTGGCCACGCCTTCAAGCTGCGCACGAAACGGTCCGTCACGATGATTAGAGTGCCTGTTCAAGAATCTTACGTTACAAACAACAGCGTATGTCATTCGGCTTGCCCTTCACTGTCCAGAAGCACGACGCCGAGCACACACCTCGATGCCACTAACCGCTTGCTGGCTCAGACTGCTACATTGATAGAAGGGACTAGGATGCCGATACAGGCCATAAGTGTCTATTACCTCATCCTGCTGCCTGTTCTGAACGCACAAAGACTCTGGACTGCTATTGAGAATATCAGGAAGGCGTTGGTCACAGCGGGGGTATACGAGATGGACATGCTCGCAAAATTTGAGGGTTTAGTGCGCGATATACGGCCTGATCTGAACGTCCATGTCTGGTCCATGCCACCAAATCCGTACTCTCACAAAGCTAGTGCTATCAAGCGCTCGTGCAGACCCGTGTACAGTCGTTCTTTGCATGATTGACGGAATCTTCATCGGTCTCGACTCTCTCTTTAAACATTGAGGCTGATCGTGCTCTACTAGCTCGCAACAAAGTGTAACAATGTTCTCGAATGGCCGGGCCATTTGCGTGCATTTTGTCCAACATGCACGGTCATCATATTGTCATGAACCGAAGAACACAAGAACAGCTGTCCACGTCGGTATGCGAGCTGTCTTACCACTCGGATCCCGTACCTAGGCGGTATTTGTAACGGCCGGCCTCGCCTCAGCCGGCAAACAGCTACGGCTTCCTCTATTCCACCCTATACCGCAGTACGGCACCAGTTTCTTCCTTCCCGTCACGGTTCCTTCCATGATGAATCATAGCCTTCCTCAATCCTTAGTCACGACTACAATGCCGAGACTTAATTCCCTCTGACTAGCATCATAATCGTGTCCAGCAAGGCCTGCTGAAACAGCACGTGCTGCTCGGATCTGTGTAGGTCCGAGATGACCGCTGCCGTACGTTCGGGTCAATCCGGGAACTTGAGGCCGATGTTGATGGATATCGTAACGTTTAGGAAGCTAGTCTGAGTTCAGATTGGTGTGATTTAGAACACGCTGCTAGTAGTGGAGCTCTAGTGGCCTCTCGGATGATCCGTCGTGCTGACTGTGAAAGAAGTTAATGCCTGACGAATATCAGACCGTTGAGGTGGTGGAAGGGGAGGTTCAAGATGTCGTTATACACAGTCAGATGCACAACACAAGGGTCAAAGTAGAAGCCCAAGCAACCTATCTATTCGTTTGCCAAGTGTGCGCAAAGCAAAGCACAGGGACAAATACTCGGGCACGCTACCCCAGGTTTCGGGTACACCAGGGCTTGAATGTCGGCCTGGCGAGCCCTGGAAGGTTTACCCCACCTCGCCTAGAGTAATCGCACGTCATAGCTTCTTCGTACTGCCAGTGCGACAGAACAGCTTTGTCCTTGACCTGAGTTATGTGAATAGTCGTTGCGATATCTTAAGAGGTTGCATTGACACCGAGATCCAGCGAATGAAGAGTTAAAAGATCGGTGGGCACAGAGGCCGTCTGTTGGGTCATGTAGTGCTGATAGAGTTAGCTCAACGCTACGAAAGTAGCAATAAAACATGTGCGGCTTTTTGCAGTCGACGCTTCGTGTCCACAATGTATTCGGTCGTTGAGCTTCACATGCTAATTACAAAGGCAATCCGGCTTGAATTGGGAACATCGGCCTTCTATATCATTGGGCTCAATGTACACGGCAACCACTCCAGGCTGTGCCATGTAACGACTTTCGCTGCATCGCAAATCCACGTTCCGATTCGTGCTGATCATGCCCAATGCAGGACCCAGCCAATACCCCGCAGATAGCTCGCAGTCCAAGTTTACCGCAACTCGTCTTCACCTTGCACGAGATCCTGTCTCGATCGTGCTGCTCAAACTGCTCTTCCTTGAGTGGCTGCTGGCGGTTCGCACAAAGCCGACTTACACAAGCAGCTCTTGTCGTTGTTTGTGGCCCACCATTACGGGATGTTCTCTGTACTGGTTCGGGATTCTTATGCTTGTTGTTTCAGGCTGCTTGTGAGTGGTTAGTTTTGATAGCTTCGTCCGCGGCAGTCGATCCTTGTCAGCTGCTGCAGCTCCTCTTTCAACCTCACACCTTCAGTTAAGTACGAGGAGTAGACTCACGCACGTACGGCGTTCTCCTCACCGATCTTGCTGCCTTCGCGAATTGAATGTACAGAGGATATACCTGTTTGCTTATTGTGGTCCTTTCGTGAAGCGGAAACGTTGGTTGTGTAGCACGACGTTGAGCTTGGTCACAAACAACGACGACGACCACATCCACATTATCCCAACGCGCAAACAGGAGAGCTGATCTTGCTAAAGATACATTTCAGTTGATTCGGAGTAAGTTTGTCAAGTATCTTGACCATCAGTAAAGTGCAGTAGAGGTTGATTCAGGTAAGCCATGGTCTCTTCCGACCCATCGCTGACACGAAATGGGAGCGATCGCTTCCGTCCGTGGGTTTGTCGTAGCTAGGTCCCTTCAACTGACCTGCGCAGTTCCGAAGAGTCCCTCAAAATCCTTCCTTCACACGCCTCCGCTATGTCGGGCTCCATAGCTCGAGCCAAAGAAGGTGCTCGATCCGCCGCACAGAAAGTCGAAGCCGCAACGACAGAGGCTGTGCAAAATCCAGCAGCAGCCAAGAATGATTTCCTACACCTTCCAGCTGTACGAGCTGCCTTGCCGTTCGTCAATGGCGGTCTTGCCGGCATGTTCGCGACCATGTGCATCCAGCCTATCGATATGGTAAAAGTACGTATTCAGCTTGCAGGAGAGGGCTCAAGAGGTGGGGTGAAGCCATCACCTATTGGTGTGGCACGGGACATAATCGCACAGGGCAAGGTCCTTGATCTGTATACAGGCTTATCTGCAGGCTTGCTGAGACAGGCGGTGTACACAACTGCGAGACTGGGCTTCTTTGATACGTTCCAGAACATGTTGACTGCGAAGGCCGAAAAGACTGGGACAAGCGTGACATTCCTCGAGCGCAGTGCCGCTGGTCTGACGGCCGGTGGTCTGGCTGCCATGGTTGGTAATCCAGCTGATCTTGCGTTAATCAGAATGCAATCCGACGGCATGAGGCCGAGGGCTGAAAGAGCGAATTACAGATCCGTCTTTGACGCACTCAGTCGTATCGCCAAGAGTGAAGGTATTGGCGCACTTTGGGCAGGTGCTAGTCCAACAGTGATTCGAGCCATGGCTTTGAACTTCGGCCAGCTCACTTTCTTTGCAGAAAGCAAACAGCAACTCAAGGTTCGAGCACCGACGTTGTCAGAAGGTCAGCAAAGGTTTGGCGCATCCGCAATTGCTGGATTCTTCGCATCGTTCTTCTCGTTGCCATTCGACTTCATCAAGACGAGGTTGCAGAAGCAGTCGAGAGGTCCTGATGGAAAATACCCATATGCTGGATTTATGGATTGTGCTAGAAAGGTAATCAAAGATGAAGGATTGCTAAGGTTTTATCGTGGATTCGGAACTTACTACGTTCGAATTGCGCCTCATGCGTGAGTGCTGACCCTGCTCGATGACTCATGACACTGACTCGTGAACAGAATGATCACCCTGATAGTGGCAGATTACCTTAAACTGATAACAACCTGAGGTCTTAGTCAAGTGATGATTGCACATCTTGAGCATGTGGCAAGAGGACCTTCATCGAGCCAAGTCATAGGAGCCTAGGGTGAAAGGCAAATCAACGCGCTGTCAGGTCAGCTCAACGAAGAGAAAGCTTTAGATGTTCCGGTTGAAGGGGAGCCTGCCAGGTAAGTAGGCGCAAGTTTGGTCTTGCCCGCGAGCATTTTATCTCACTCAATGTCGATCTGAAGAAATACCCATCAGCGATTGCACATAGCAGCTTGTTGAACATTTCGTCTGCACATGAAAGTAGCAAGATGGAAGGTGGCTATATAGAAGATAAACCAACACATTGATGCTGATAAGCTTAACGAAAATGTTGAAGAGCTACTTTTCGAGGTACAACTTCCCTTCCTTTCCTCCAGCGGCGGAGTTGCTTCATTGAGTATAGCTATAAGAGGTAAGCTTGCCGCTACTGTTCCTGCCTTAGGCGCTTGCCCAAACTTTCCAACTTCGAAAGTGAGCGTTGCATTTATCGAATGCCACTTTGCTTGAGAGTGTATCTTCCATAGTGTGGCGCATAGACGCCTCACAACTTCTCAATGCCTATCACGCCAGCTGAGCTCCTTCTCAAAATCGTTCTTACAGGCACTCACACCCACTACGAAGCTCCAGGCTTGATCGACGACAAGAGACTCGAACACCTCCTCCTCTCAGGGAAGCAGATTCTATACAAGAGCCATCAAGAGGCTGAGGTCCGACAGAACTTGGGTTTTAGTGGGCAAATATGGACAGGTCTAGCTAAAGTCCTAAGCTTCGCTGTCCCAGTCCTCGAAGCGCACAGTTTTGCACCATTCATCGATCCAAAAGATCCCTACGATGCGGCGCATGCAATTATTAGTTCCTCAGATGTTATCGCCCACAATTACTTAAGCTTGATCAAGGACATCGAACGTTTGAACGATCTTACTACAATTGCTCGAAATCTCCTTGCGACAACCCGCCGAGCTCAAAACCTTGCAGCCGAAAAAGGGTTCGATCAGCAGATCCTAAAGCTCATCGATGTCTGTGTTCGAGTCGCTGCTCGGGGTTATGATGGACAGGCCGCCAAATCGATAGCTGCGGCTGGAGCCAATAACGGAACACCTGGGTCAAGTGCACCTATTGATAATGTGGGCGGCGACAGGTCAAGAGCCAAGTGGCAGAAGGTGGTTAATTTGTATAAGAGATTGTTGATCACATGTCTGCAATTCCTGCATAACTTTATCATGCACAATGAGCAGAGAAAACTTGTGCTCTGGCTGGATTTATTTGGCAGTAGCAGTCTCAAAGCGACTGAGAGGGAAGCACAACAGAGAGAGGTTGGCGAAGTGGAAGAGCAGATCAGCAGAGAGGCACAAATGAGGATAAATACTCAGGCCCAGCTGATTGAGAATGGTATGCATACTGACGTTGAAGAGCCGGAAGTAGAGGCGGTCGACATTCCCGAGTCTAGCCCTGAACCACAACCAGCGATACCTATGCCGCAGGATCAATATTCACAGCAAGATCTTACAGAAACCGGTCTTGGCTATAACATCGACGATGTTCATGCTCTCTTCGACCTTATGAGCGCCGAACGAGTACTGGATGATACCGAGAAAGAGAAGAAGAGAATGCTGATGGATAAGATCAGGACCGATCTCGAACGCATGTCAGGTCTCACAGCGACTCAGTTGGACAACAACCCAGATATACTACTTCGGGCAGGTGCGGCACTTCGAGAACATCTAGCGCTTCGTGACTTCAGTGCTAGGAACGCTGCACGTATGCCTGCAATTCCAACACGACGATCTGCTGCAGGAAAAACGACAAGGATGGGTACTCTGCCAACTCTCGCAAACTATGTCAATCCAGCAAATGTGGCTGAACAGGAAATCACTGAAGACGATCTAGTCATGCCACGCAGTGCGGAGAGTGCAGCTGAAACTCTACAAGAGGCTAAGGATGAGCTTATGAGTCGACTGACTGACGATCGTAGTATCGTGGCTGATGGAGGTTGGGACGTTGAGGTCGATGAGGATGGGAACATCCTAGAAGCAGAACTAGAACCTGAACTTGAGGGCGAGGAAGGTGGTATGCTGGAAGAAGATGTCGTTGATGAAGGAGAAGAAGAATACGATGATGAGGACGATGATCAGGACGAATTCGACTCTCGACGTATTGGCGACCAGGAACGTGGTTTACTTACCGATGTCCCACTTGTGCTTGGCCCAACTGAAATTGAAGCGCTGCCAATGATCATTCAGGCCGGAATAGTTGAGAACTTCGGCATGAAGAACCAGTATCGCGACACTATTGAACGACAAGGTGCACGAAACATGCAGGCCGTGCGTTGTCACATTCTTCTGGCTCAAGAAGCCGGCCGTAATGTCCTGAGGGAGCTACTTATCTTTATTGCAGCATGGGACTTACCAGACGATGAATTCTACTTTAGGATGATGGTACAGATTATGGAAGCTATCCTCAAGAATGGACTGATGTCCCATGCATACTCTGATTTTGGCCAGGCTAAGGATATCATCTCTCCAGCTCAGGCAGTTGTTATCAAGATCCTTACGCACATCTTTCGGACAAAGTATAGTCCTACGCATGACGAGCGCGACGAGCACGACATGCCTGTTCGACAGAATCGACGAGGACAGAAACTTCGAATTCCAGCACCTATCAGTCGTGTTGATCTGCTTACTGTCAGATACATCTTCACTGTTTTCCGTGGGAATATCATTCCAGAGACGTGTGCTCTTATCTATCTGCAAGGTCAAATACTCAAAGTGCAAGCTCAAGCTCGTGCCCAAAACCAACCGTCCGCTTTCGATCCCTATGGTAATGGTGGCGAAGACTTTCCTCTGAATCTATGGGATATGGAAAGAGTTTACGAAGGCGTCTATCAGTTCCTTGAATTTTTCGCTGTCCTGACCGAGAACAATGACTGGAAAAGAGTGCTTGTCCGCTGGGAAATTGTATATGATTTGGTCACTCTCCTTGGTGAACTTGAGGTTGGTATTCCTAAAGCGCCGCTCGACCTCCGCAGCAATCAAGATCTTCCAGTCCACGGCCGTGCACCTCCCCGCTCGACTGAACGCCCTGGGTTCCGCGACCAAGACAAGCAAAGGAGTTCTGCTGATCAAGATCCAAGTACGTTCGAATGGCGCAACCTCAAAAAATTGATTGTGTTGGTGCTATCAAGCCTTGTCTGGCGTTCGCGCACAGTACAGGATCAGATCAGAGAGTATGGTGGCGTCCCTACTATTCTGTCCTGTACTGTCTACGATGGCCACAATCCATATATCAAGGAACACGCCGTCATGTGTTTGAAGTTCTTACTAGAGGGCAATGCTGAGAACCAAGCTATCGTGCGTGAGCTTGAAGCACAAGGCGTGGCAAATAACAATCAGCTACAAGCTCAATTTGGTGTCACCGCCGACGTGCACGGCGGGAAGGTTCGAGTCGAACAACGGCAGAGAGGCCAGCGAAGTGAAGCAGCAGAAGATCTTGAACGCGCATACCATGCTGCGCTGATCAGGGATGAAGCAAGGGCGCGAATGGGTAGCCCCGTTCAACAGCACGGAAGGAGGGCAAGTGACTCGATTGCTACTGCTGCCGCCAGCATTTCCTCCATCGCAACAGCACCAATGTCCACAGCTGAGAAGCTGGACGCAATGCGGGAGAGATTTAATAGGCTCGATATAGCCAGTTTTACACAGGGACTACCAATCCGGACACAAGATGCACAAAGACAAAGGTTCGGTATGCGCGATGTCAGCATACCGACTGCCGAGCCTATTCGTACAGCTCACGTACACCAGCAGTACCAGACGCAGCATCCACAGCCTGTGAGTGTTGATGCGAATGACATGTTTGTTGAGGAAGGTGAAGCCAGTGGCGACGGTTTGTACATCAGAGAACTGGATGACAATGAGGGGCAGATCCTTGCGGAGCAGGAAGACGATGGAGTGCAACGTTATGTGGAAGAGGAAGATGATGACAAGACAGAAGAGTTAAGTGATACCGAAATTGAGATGAGAATGGAAGAGGTAAGAAAGAGTAACAAGGAGATTAGAGAGAGGATTGCGGCTGCAGGTGGGCTGGATCATGTTTGGGATGTGGGCGCATTGATATAGGGAGAGAACTGGCAATTGGGCCGATATTCTTATGCTAAATATTGAGTGAAATAGTATGGTGTAGTATTAGCCAGTCCAGAAGTGGAACCCGCCTTACTGGCAGCGAATCTTCGCTTTTGGCACTTATGTTCCTCCCACCAAAGCCGTCGCTTTGGACACCCTCGTGAACTTGAATTGTTGATATGCCTCGCATTTATACGAGCGACAAGATCAATTGCAGTGATAGATATGTGTACGAGCCATTGAAGGCGCCCGCATCAGAGATTCGATTTCTCCAGCTGCATCTTCAACGCACGCCAATAAACTGGCATGATGATTTGACCACCCGTAGCGAATCGACCTTCAACGTTTCCCTCACAACGACTGGTTGCGACAGTGACGCTGGTATAGATCTACCTGTCTACCACGCACTTTCGTATACCTGGGGTGATGCCAATGATGTATTGCCGTTGGTCTGCGATGGCAAGATCAAAGAGGTCACCCGAAATCTGTGGGAATTCCTACTACAAATCTGGGAGCGTGTACACGGTCGTCTGAGAGAAGACACTTTCTGCAGCATCATTCCATTCGATAACCTATTATGGATTGATGCTATCTGTATCAACCAGGAGGACCTCGTTGAGAAGAGTCAGCAAGTTCAGCAAATGGCTCAAATCTACAGTAGCGCTGCAAGAGTCATTGTATGGCTTGGATCTCATGACGGTTTTGCTGAGGATGCTCAAGAAGTCATAGTGCCGCTTGATACTCGAGGCACTTTCGATTACGATCCGTGTCCGCCACGACCTGATTCACGCATGACTATGCTCGTTGATCTTGACGCAAAGTGGGAGTCAAAAGTGGATCGGGAAGAGACGCTCGAGATCTTGGATACCATCATGGAGGCATTTTCTCAAAGTGATTGGAAGTCTTTCGACGCGTTTGTTGCTCTCATGAATTTGCCTTATTGGGAACGAGCATGGGTAGTGCAGGAGGTCGCTTTGGCTAATCACAATGAAGCCTTAGTCTTGATCGGCAGCCAAGTGTGGGCGTGGGCAACACTTGTCAATGCCGCTCATACGCTGATGGTCATCATGTACCTAATCAATCATGAGAAAGATTGGGAGACAGCCTCGAAATGGCCGAAAGACAGGATAGCGACGTTACGCAGTCAGTCTGTTAGACTTGATCGATTTACGGCGGACGCGATGTCAGAAGATCGGCCGTTATCAGAATACATCCCTAGCGCTATCTTCCGAGAGATGAAAGCGAGTCTGCTGGTTGATCATATCTATTCACTTCTCTCCCTAGCGAGTGATCGGCAAACTTGTGGTATCATTCCAGATTACAACAAAGCAGTCGCAGAGGTATATCAAGACGTCACATACTACCTCTTACGAACGACCGGAGCTAAAGCGCTCGCATCATGCGAAATCTGTCGTGCAGAAAAGCTCAACTTGCCATCCTGGGTGACAAACTTTGCGGAACATGGTGTCTGGACTCTGAACATCCCACGAGTCGACATCAACAAAATGCGTATCTATGCTGCTGGTGGTCCCCGCAAAGATTTCACATATCGCATTGATGGACAGTCTCTAGCTTTACGCGGCCGCAGAGTCGACACGATCTGTCATTTTGCTGACATACTCCCCAGCGAGAAATTTCACGCCACTCAGTGGCTTCGCAATTTCCAGGCTTTCGTAGAGGAAGCGGTGCAGAGTCATGGGACGACGATAGAGAATGCATGGCGAGTTCCCATCGCTGACCAAATAGACACCGAGCAGATTCGTGCTACCAAGGACGTTTCAGAAGCTTACAATGAGCTTGTCGAGCATGACGGCATAGTGATATTGTCTCATTCTGCGGTCGCATATGCTTGGGCCGTACAACTTTGGGGTCGATGCCATTCACCTTTCGTTACTCAAAAAGGTTATTTGGGACTCGGACGTCCATGTGCGCGTAAGGGTGATGTCTTGTGGGTCTCCAGTGGTGCTGATACACCCCTGATCTTGCGCGAGAACGAAGAAGGCAATTTTCAAATCGTGGCCGAGGCATACCTGCAAGATTTCATGGACGGAGAGGTTCTTATCAGTGATGGCATAGAAGAGGAGATTGTCGTGGTATGAGCGATACAGGGTGCTGACATTTAATGACCGAGGCAAATGCATCACCATCCCAGCCTATATCAGTCGATCAGATGACTTGATCCGTGTGGCCTAAATATTCGAAGAACGAGATCGCGATATAATACTCTGGAGGTAATGGATGACGGCTCTGGCTCCTGAAGCGCGGACGGAGGCGCAGCAACGATATGCAGAGCTTGAAATTATATCTGGGCGGTCAGTCAAAAGGTTTTAAAGATCTCACAACGCTGCCCTGGACTACGAACACCGTTCGGCAACATCAATCAGTCCCGGACTCAGTACCTCAACGGATACCACGAGCGGTTGAGGTATACTATGGCTGGCGAGTGAGCCAGAAGGTCTCGGAATCGTGATTGCAGATTGCGGGTAACCGTTATGGACCCCTTTGTGTCCCACAGCCGTCCTGTCATACCAAGAAGAGCTGTCATCTTCCTGGTAAGAACATCTTTTCTTAAGTACAACCCTTCATCCGTGTCAAGGGTATTGCATTTTTCCTCTATAAAGTTCTCCTCCTATATGAATCGTACTATATCAGGCGGTCCACACAGACTTCTGCCCGAAATAAACGCTTGCTGATGTTGAATCATTGTCCCATCCCCATGCCATGAGCTCGTTGAAGAACGTTGACAACCACTTCCAGTACCGTAATTCCACTTGTATACTTGCTCGTTCCTCTATCGTGTTGATCAGCCACTGACTAAGAGATCCTGAGGCTAAGGCACTGGTTAGAACGTCGGACGGTTGCAACCTAATAACTTGAGGAAGTTTGGAAGCCCAAGCGCGATCTTGTGCGACATCGATGTATGATGCTTGGCAGCCATTGCAGTAGCACAGTCTACCAAAACACGCAATCGCCGATGACGCACGAGATCTTGCTCGGACCACTGGCGTCATGGCATTGTGTTCTACATTCGGTGGCAGGCATCAGTGTACATAGCGGCGCCATGCTGGCTTGTGATGTAAAGACCATGACTCTACGCCACAAGCCGATATGGCGATCACATGGCAGCTGGGGATTGCCACCGGGTGCACATCACACTGCCATGGCGTCACTGGTCCTGTAATCGTTAGCCCAAAAGATGAGTGTAGTCAGCTCTTCAAGGTAAAGGAGAGAGATGGTACGTTACCGCAATCAGGGACTCATGCTCATCAAGTCCAAAGGCTGCAATTGCCTTTGCTAGCCCATCATCGCCAGCATCACAGTACGCTGCACCAATTAGAGCTTCGACGGTCGTTGCTAACATCTTATCGGAGATGCGGACGGTGCCGGGATTATCGATGATACATTCCTTTAAGCTCTTGTTGAGACCAATCCGAGCCAGATTGGTGTTTCTAACTAGCGTTTGTTCAGCATCGGCCCATTGACCTGGACCGGTCAGATTGATACTGCGGATCTTGGTGTCTAAGAGAGTCCTCCTCTTCCTTTCCAAGGATCACACCTACCCTTGACTCGACCACTATGATACCATTTCTTGCACAGATAAGACTTCAGGACTGTATCGCCGAGAACAGCAAGTCGGTCGTTCTTGTTGACTTTCAGGGACTGTTCGTTCCATGGAAGCATATTGCCGGACATCTGCAGTGCCTCGAGGCACAGTAGTTTGTTGGAAAATGTGATATTCAACATCGCTTCACACTTTGCGACTTTTTGGGCATAAAGAGAAGGCATATTGAGTACGAGAGGTTTGGTGATAGTATTTGGGTGGACAAGAATAAACAGAGTGAGGAGAACACAGGAAGATGCCAATTGTAGCATGCAGAGGCTCATTTATGCCTGTTCGTCAAGCGAATATGCAAGCCCCGCTTGCCACGTCGCAACAGCGTGGACATGGTACAGTAATTGCGGCTGAGGGTTTCACGTGTCAGACATGAACAACTTGGAATAATTTGTGTATCAGTTCGCGAAAGAAATATTTGCCTTCTAGAGAGCTGATCGAAACCAAGTCAACATGAAGAGGAGAGGAAATGTCCTCCTCCATCTCCGAAGCAATTTCTACTTCGCCCCATCCAATTCTGAAGCGCAAGATGAAGCCGATTTGTTGGATGGAGTTGTCTACCACGACGGCATCTCCACTAGACAGCTCAACTTCATATGTCCTGTCCCTCTTTTCGTCCGCCGCCGTAATTGGACATCCACGAAAAAGAGGCAACTTTCTTACTGGTCACGATTCATCCATCAATGTCTCGGTTTTTGTTACTTTTCATTCGGGCAACTCACACATCAAAAAACCTGATCGTTCATTGGACGCCCGCACACCGGCACATCGGACTTTTCTTTCACCACTACGTGTATGGCGAAGGACAAAAAGAAGAAATCAGCTGAGCAGAAGGCTGCAAAAGCCGCTAAGCAGACCAAGAAGACTTCGAAAGGTGAAAAGAAAGTCAAGGCCAAGAGTGCCGATGCCGACAGTGATGACGAAAACGTCGACCTCGATGCAGTCCTTGCAGCATATGCTGATCAACAAGCAAAGTTCTTGAAGGTTACAGAACAGCTATGCGAACCGCCTTCGTCGCGATCGAGCGCTACATTCATTGCATCTCCCTCGAATCGCAATGAGCTGTTCTTGTATGGTGGCGAGTATTACGACGGCGTCACAGGCACTGCTCAATTCTACAATGATCTGTTCGTTTATCAGATCAATCAAGGTGAATGGCGACATGTGACTTCGCCAAACAGTCCTTTGCCTCGATCCGGTCATGCCTGGTGTCGTGGCGGCAATACTGGGGGTATCTACCTTTTTGGCGGTGAATTCAGCAGTCCGAAGCAAGGCACATTCTATCACTACAACGATTTCTGGTATTTGGATCCTGACACAAGAGAGTGGACGAGACTCGAATCAAAAGGGAAGAATAAGTCTCCTCCTGCACGAAGTGGCCATCGCATGACTTATTGGAAGAACTTCGTCTTGCTGTTTGGTGGATTTCAGGATACAAGTCAGCAGACAAGGTATCTACAAGACGTGTGGATATACGATATTCGTGAGAATATCTGGCATGAGTTCAAATTGCCTCCTGCAAGTCAAAAGCCCGATGCTAGATCGTCTTTCAGTTGGTTACCACATGAATCTGGCGCGGTGCTATTTGGCGGATACTCGCGTGTTAAAGCCACAATCGGAGTGAAAGGACAGCAGAAGCAGGGTAAGACTGGTCCTCAGAGGAACGTGCTTAAGCCTATGATACATGAAGACTCGTGGTTTCTGAGAGTCAGCCTACCCGCTGGGGAGGTACCGTCAGGAACGTGCCCGACACTGCGTTGGGAGAGACGAAAAAAGCCTGCAAATGCGGTAAGTCCAGCACGAGCTGGTATCACTATGGCATACCACAAGGGTCGTGGTGTTTTTTTTGGTGGTGTCCATGACAAGGAGGATACTGAGGAGAGTATCGACTCGGAGTTCTTTAGGGAACTTTTCGTGTACAACATCGATCGAAACAGAATGTTCCCTGTAACACTGAGAAGACCGAGGGCTAGCGCTAAGGTTAAAGCTGCAGCACAAAGAGTTCGCAACAGAGGCAAAGCTGATGAAGAGGAGCTGCTAAAGAACCTGGCCGCTTTGGAAACGAAGGGCAAGATCGGCGAGGATGATGATGAAGAAATGATTGTCGATAAGCAAGAGGACGAAGAGGATATCGACAAGAAGCAATACCCTCTAAAGTTTGAATTCCCACATCCGCGGTTCAATGCTCTCCTGGCTGTCCAGGAAGATACGTTGTTCCTCTATGGTGGCACGTTTGAGCGTAAGGATGTCGAAGTCACATTCTCAGATCTTTATGCTATTGACCTCAACAAGCTAGATGGTGTGAAGGAGCTATACTACGTCGAGCCAGTGAACATGAACGCGGTCCTGGATGAGAGTGAAGAAGAAGTCGACGACGATGACATGGATGTGGACGAGGACGATTCCGAAGCATCTGAAGCAGAAGAGATCTCCTCAGTTGTTGAATCAGTCGCAAACACAGAGATCACTGAAGCTTCTTCTGTCAGTGTAGAGCCTCCAGAAGTCGAAACGGAGAAGCTCGCCTCCCAAGACCCAAGACCATTTCCACGGCCATTTGAAAGCCGAGCCGAGTTTTTCCGAAGAACGACAAACGAATGGCAGAAATATGTGCTTGACTACGTTCGAGATGCGGCATTGCTATCAATCAAAGAGCTGCGTGAGAAGGCTTTTCAACAAGCAGAAGAGCGATGGTGGGATTGCAGAGAGGAGGTGCAAGCACTCGAAGATGAGCAAGAAGCTGCCGGAATTGGTGATGTGGTTAGTCTTGCTGATCGCGAGGTCGGTGGAGGTGGTAGGCGGCGGTAGGACTACACGATGCGAAGTGACGGGACAGCAGAAGGGAGCGGAGCATGGGGTGCAGCAAGTTCAGGTCGCCATGGTTCTAGGTCTTCGTATGTGGAAGTTTGGCTGGAAGTTGCCACTATCTTCACCATCGACCCGAAATGACGAATACATTCCCTCGATCAATATACAACACTATCACTGTCTGACCCTGACTGAATGCCCTCAAGATCATTGTACCTTAGAAAAGCGGCCACGTCTATACTCGCATGTTCAGTGCCGCAATACTCCTTCTTACACGCGTCTTCACATCGTTCCATCTGCTCCATTGATGCCAACCATGAGAACCATTCTGGTCGCTGTCGTCTGCGATCTCAGCGTTGTCATCATCGCCCCCATTGATTGTACTCTCCTCGTCCGCTTCGGCATCAACCTCAGAGCTATCGCCAGAATCACCAGTCCAGCCACTCGTAGACGAGGGTTCCTTTGAGTTTGCGCTCGAGTCAGAAGTATCGACGGTGGAAGTGGTCATATTGCTGGTCTTGCTGGTGCTTGTAGATTCGGAATTCACAAGTACATCAGTACCCACGGTTGAGCTCGAGCCACTTGCGAACGCTGAATTGACGCCACTGCTGCTACCGGAGGATGATTTGCTTGTGGCATTACCACTGCTCCCTCCAGAACCATAAACAGAAGGACCGTATTCTGTGAAGGTGAATGATTCATAGATGTTGACATTCATTGCAGACGTCGACATGTCGATATAGCCGGGAATTGTCGTGGTATTCGAGGGCGCCGCAGACCCTGAACCAGAAAGCTGGACCTGCGCACACCCAACATAGAATTGTGGTTCTCCGACATTCTGCAGTGCCAGCACTTCAGAACGTATGAGATATGATCCGGCAGCGAGATAAGTGGGTACATTGGTTGTCACTAGTCCATTGTTGGCATTCATGTGGTCTGTACCCCATTGTCCTGTTGTGCTATCATAACCGTCCCAGTATATCTTGAACCAACCACCTCCAGCCACCTGGTCAGATTGGCTGTTGATCTTCTTCATGTAGATGGCCGTGTTGCCTTTGTGAGAGACATCGATCGCACCAGGTTGAGAGGCATCTGGCCACATTCGGTGTTCGAGAGAGATCTGATCGCCGGCATTGAGAGAGCAGATGCTAGGATTTGGGATTGTGCCGTCAATGCCGCATGCCATCTCAGAGCCTGTCAGTGAAGGCAAGAAGTTCGTGGTTGTGCCAGGGTTCTGGTCTTGACGGATACAGACACCATCGCCCTGAGATCGACCATTGATGTGCAAGGTCGTGAAGCGAGTGTGTGCTGATGTGACGGAGAGTAAAGAAGCAAAAGCAAGGGCTGGATAAGCGAATGACTTCATGTTGCGTTGATGTGTTTTGTGGAAAACTGCAGAAGGGGCGAATGAGCGACTAGTTCGAATTGTGGATCTTGGTTTGAGGGAATTGGTGAGGTCGCAGACCTGTGAAACGGGAAAAGAGAATGTAGAGAACAAATTCGGCACGCTGAGATGTAAGATTTCCAGTGACGGACATTCTAAGGAGCCACGTTGATATAGGTCATCTCGTGGGCTCAAGGGGCGCATCGTTGGCATCCTGGAGGGCGCCCCTGATGCTGTACTCAAGGACGCCAGGAAGAGATGAACAAGATGTTCTTGCAGCACGTTTCATAGTGATACAGAGGATGACATGATTTCAGAAAGGTGGAAACCGTGTTTGCGGAACCGTGCCTTTGACATGGAGAATCTTTTGCCAAGATCCTCAGGGAGAAGATTGATGATTGGGTACCGGACACAACTGAAACAAGATGAAGAATTCTAGGTGTACCAGACTTTGTGAAAACCATATTCGAATGAGGGATACTCCTAGGGTTGCAGTCAACGCGATCTTGCTGTGCTACGCATACACTTTTCCAGCTCGAGTACTTCGTCGTTGAGTAAGGTCAAGGCAAGGCAGTTTCATCCTGCTCAGGACGACGAGACCACGAGACGATCTTACGAATCCCAAAATTATCAAACCTGGCTTCCGGCAGAAATCGATCATACATTTCGTGTGACTTCAGTAGGCTGCTCTGTGCTTCAAGCACGTTTGCACTACTATTCAGGCTGTGATAAAGGTGATGTGAGCCTCATCACATCTTCCCAGATGACGATAGGTGGTCGATGTACTGGTGTACCGCGGTCGTAACACTGCACCAGTGATGAAGCTCAAGGTCATACTTGTCGTCTTGTCAGGAAGGTATACGAAATTCACGTTATTTTATCAACGCCCTGCCATGCTCTGCAAGTCGGCATCAGGTCTTATAAAAACTCAACAGATTTGCCTGAGTCAACAGCACCTCGAATAAGGCTATCATGCCGATTGTGACTGTGAGGAAAGAGCTGGTGCCTTAGGCAAATCTACTGAGCTTTTGCACGACCTGGTAGCGGCTGTAGGTAAACACTAGCGCGCCTGACGTGTAGTTCACGTGACTGAACACTTTGCCCACTGAGAAAGATAGAAAACGTGGAACAAAGAGCAACTTTGCTATGTATCGTGTTGCGGGGCGTAACTCCCACGTCTAGCCCTTTTTGTCTTTTCAAGACCGGAGATCAACTTGTCATCCTTCATACCACACGTAATGTAGCTCAATACACAATATCCACTGTTCTTCTTCTTTCAGTGTTGAGCGGTGTGAAAGGAATAAGTTCGTTAGCCGCCTTGAAAAGACGCGTGAACGCTTTAGTAATGCTAGGTGCTGAAGTTGCGCTCCGCACTACTTAGCACCTTCGGAGTCACTTCCATAGCACGCATGTGGCGTATGATATTGCTCCTAAAACTGCCTCTTGAGAATCTGTGGACATGGAATTTAGTCAGACATACATGACGACACCTCGTATGGACGGATTTCTCACTTCCATTCCTAACCACGTCCTGGCTAGCAAAAATGTCGGGGCCACGCCCATAATTTTTCCGCGATAGCCTGGACTCGCATGTTCTTGGCAATGGTCGATCTGACAATATCCTGATAGCACATATTGTTGCTCGCAGAGCATTGTACTTCGATCACTCGATCTAGCCATGCTGTTCAGACAAACTCTGGCTCTAGTGCCCCCCCTGCTTGCTCTTTCGTCTCCGACGATTGAGAGCAACCTACACGCTAGACAAGCATACTCTCTAGTAGGAACAGGCTTCGACAATGACACGAAAATCCTGGGCAATTACTACAATTATTGGTCAGTACTGGCAAATGGCACTGTCGATTTGACTCGAAGCAACACTGTACCAGTCACAACGCCAAAGACCCTGCCAATGTGGGGATCTCGTCCCGAGATCATCATCGAGCCAACTAGGTCAGCACTGGTGATCATTGACATGCAGAATTACTTCCTACATCCTCAGCTCTCTCCCAACGCTACAGCTGGACGTGCTGCTGTTGCGCCAACAGTAAATACGATCAATGGCTTTCGAGCGAATGGCATGAAAGTGCTCTGGACTAATTGGGGCCTGACCGGATATGATCGGCTGACTATTCCACCTGCTTTCCTCTCAAGTTTCAGTGCAAACGGTTTCAACACAATGGGTAGTAATTTGAACACGCAAACCTTCGGCGGCGACATGGGCACGATTGTAGAGAACGGCACAATCATCAATGTCGGCAGGAAGTTGTTCAGAGGAGCCTGGAACGCAGAGCCTTACGGCGTGTTGAAGACAATGAAGGATGAGGGATTGGCTGCTGGTACTGATCTGTATTTCAACAAGAATAGGTTCAGTGGTCTGTGGGGTCCACAGACTCCTCTTGGTCTCTGGTTGCAGGAGAACGAGATCACTACTTTATTCTTTGGAGGTGTCAATACCGATCAGTGTGTCTGGGGAACGCTGATAGATGCTTATTTTAAAGGTGAATCAAATTATCCGAAGCCAGTAATGTACTAATGGGATAGGTTATGATGTGGTCTTTGTCGATGACATATGTGGGACAACAAGCCCCCAGTTTGCCACTGATATGTGTCGTTATAATGCCGATCTCAATGGTAAGTCGTGATGAGCCTTCAGTTATTGATCAGACTAACGTGGTCAGGTTTCCTCGGAAACAGCTCTGACATATTGGCTGCACTATCATAGTCAGAAGTAATTCAGACGTATATACCAATCTAAACACACTCTGAATGAGAGCTGAGAGAAGATCCCTCGTTTCTTCGTTATTCTACGAACCACCTGTGCTCGCTTTCCACTCACTTTCTCCAACCTCTTCCTTCCAGTTTGTTACACCCAGGCTAATCGCTAGATGCATCATCACACTTCCTTCTGCAGCACCATGCCAATGCTCAGTGCCAGCTTCACATACTACTACGTCACCAGTTCGAATCTGTCTTGGTTTCCCCCCTCGGTCACAGATCCACCCAGACCCCATCTTGACCTCGAGTATCTGTCCAACTTCATGGGTGTGCCAATATGTGCGTGAAGATGGGGTGAAGAAGACGTGGTTGAGCATGATTTTGCCAGGGTCAGAGGTTGAACTACGTGTATAGTCTGTAAGTTGCAAGGGCATTCTGGTTGATAACGGAACTTACGTTGCGCTCTTGCTTGGTGTGGTTGTAGATATACTGTCCATGTACACTGTGCCTGTGAAGGTACCAGTGGCTACTCGTGACGACGGAGCGGACGACAAGGCGGCCGCCGTTGAGTTGGGAATGATTGTGGAGGGCATGATCGACAGATAAATTGTGCTATACTACCAGAGCCGTGTACTGAGCGATCACTACTTCGGAAAGGTGTTACTAAAAGTAATCCTGTGTTGATAAAGATCTCTATTTAGCTGTCGCATGATACCCGCTCCTCTCTCACTGACATTGATCCCACCCATGCCCACCATCACAGCTCCACAATCCAGCTTCTCCAACCCTTCTTGGAGAAGCGACACCGCCACAGTTCCTTGTTCAAGTCAGCAAAGGTGTCGGAGGCACGCCTGTAAATGAAAATGCTGACGAGACGGGAGTTCAAACCGTGTTCAGCCACAGTCTTATGGAACTTCTGAGCGGTATCACCGACATCCTCCACATGTATCTGGTTTCCTCAAGTTCATCTAGATATTCCGAGATGAACTCGTCAGATTCTATGGTCTTCTTCGTGGTTCAATCTTGAGTGAGTAGCTCTATACTTGCAAGATCAACGGCAGACTACTAGTAAAGACCCATAGTCGTGCGTAGTAGAGATTGACCAATACCACGAACAGTATGATCAGTAACAGTAGAATCGCGCAAGCTCCGAGGTCTTTACGACCTTTGCTTCGATGGCTATTTCTCCGGTTCGATAACAACGTATCAAGGCTTGGGACCGGAAGATGTTCAGCAAGCGCTTCGTTCGCATCGAATCGGGTGTTGTCAGCTTTTGGAAACCTGTCGTAGCTTGCCGAGCGGGCTCGCCTCCTGGACACTGGCCGTGACACTGGTTGTGATCTAGGACTTTCTGTGTCTGGAAGTGTCACTATTCGGCTCGTCAAGCTTGGTAGATCATCTACATCGTCGTGATAGATAGCCTCCTCTTCGATGCCAGCAGGGTCATCGTCATCGTCTGTGACATACCACTCTAGCCTTTTCTGGATGTTCTCTCCAGCTACACCCACAATTTATCGCTTGTTCTCGAGGTACGAGACGATATGATCGATCTGCTCTGCCTCAACACTGCCTGGTTGTGCCCTGTGATACAAGGCACTAATTGTGACTTCGTTGATTTGATCTCGAAGCTGATGTGCAAGTGTGTAGGCGCGATTGAGTGTTTGAGACGTTGCCCAATCTACGCTGATGTGGTCAAAGGCCCAGATCTCCATCAAGCGTGGATTCTTCGTGTCGAGCAATTGGATTGTATCATCTCTTGGTACCTCTCTTGATGTCGTAGCCGAGTCTGCATCGAACTCAGGCATATGTCCCAATCTTCCTGAGGTGTGCATACCTAACAAGTCATCTAGCTGATTTTGAAGTCTTACATGGCTGGCTAACGTAGACTTCAACTTTGCGTCCAGCCTGTCTCGTACTAGCTCTGCAGCGTCGATTTTGTCAGACAGAGTTGGTTCAATGGCTCCATCTTTATTCCGCTTTCGTAATTCAGGATGCGCCTTTTGCGTCTGCGCTGTCTGATCCTTTTCCTCAGAATTAGTCATGTGGAAGTTCAAGCTTTTCAGTTTCTCAATTCGAGATGCAAGTGGCTTGTTAACCTCGTTTGTGAATGTAGTGCAGAGCCCAGCGTTAGCCGGGCGAGGCTTTTCGTGCTTGATCCAGGAATTATCACTACAAAGCGGTGTAGTGGGACTTGAAAGGGTATGGCTCTCGACAAGTTCGCCCGGTGAAGTCTTGCGCTCCCAAAACGATCTCTTACCGTTCAAATCGAGCTGGAGCCATGGTGTAGTATCAGTATGTTTGAAAACATCGTCTGTTTTCTCAGCAAGGCGTGATGCTGGTTGAGAAGCATCTTTTTGGTGTCGCAGGCGCCATCGGAAAGCGGATGGTTTTCGCAAGTTATGTCCACCTTCATTTCCTAACCTCAACAGCTCTTGAGGGATCGAGCTCACCGTATCGGTCACTTCAACTTCTACTTCAGTTGATGTGTTATGAAAAATCTGTTCGAGAGCAGCCTTTAATTGCTCGGTCATTCCAGAATTTTGATCCGGCTGGTCATTGGAGATGTCGGTCTCGCCGACTCCAGTCGCAGTTTCAGGCTGTTTTTCAGCTGCCATCTCGCATACAATCACTTCGACCTAAGCAAGCAGCAATCAAGAAAGCAAGATTTAAGTGCACTGAGCTGCGGGTGTCCACCAGAGAGACCACTGTTTCTGCACGAGAACGTGCTGAGATAGTGGCTGTATCTTTGCAGCTGCCTGAGAGCTGGATCTGAGTAAGTGGAAAGAAATGGTAGAGCTCGGATTGCAGATGAAACTAGGCTCGTGTATGCAGCGTCAGATAGACAACAAAGAAGTTGGAGTTGTTCTCACCGACTGACGTAGACTTACACCGGGAGAACGCTAGCGACAAAGACAAGTGGCCGAGTGCGAAGTCTTGGGACAAAGAAAGTTTCTGGAAAGGATACCCTAGAAGCAGACAGGTACTCATACAGTTCTGTCTCATTTGAGCAACATATCCTGCCTCATTAGACGCAGTTGAAGACAAAGTTGTACCAAGGAATGGATACCTGCTTTCCCAGAAAGTCCCAGATATACTGTAGGATAAGTTGTGGTTCCGGACTCGAAATCTTAGAATGTGACCTGCTCAGTCATGGCTTTGATTTGCTCCATCAATGTGCGAAGTTCCTCATTATCTTTAGCACTGATTGCGATGTCTGCGAAGCTTTCGCCTGCAAACTTGTCCTCGTACCACGCAAGAAGACACATTTGTCCGTCTTGAAATTGTGTCGACCACTCTTGAATAAATTCGTCTCTTGTTGCCTTTGTTGTGATGCCGAAAGAGCTAGCGCAATCAAAGCCACGGTTGGTGAAGTGTTTGCGAAGAAGTGGCAAGCACATTGATCCAGACGTCCTCACATTTACATCAACGATGCTGAAAGACAGACTCTGTTTCAGAGTGTCACCAGAAGACTGTGTTTGAAGGATGTCCGTACCCACAGGTCCAACGTATCCATGACTGTGAAGCCATGTAGCGACCTGATTCATGATCGGGCTGAATCTATCTTCAAGTTGATTCTGTTGAGAATAGGTAATGGTCGAGCCAATCCACGAGCTGTTTTCGTCAATCATTTGTTCTGAAGTGCCCAGATAGATAGAAGCACCATCTTCACAAACGAAGAATGTAAGACCATGGTTCGCGATGGGATTCACGACCATGTCGCTCAGTAGTATGGTCGCAGGCTTTAGCGTGTGGTTGATAGCGGTCACCTGAGAGAACAGCTTTCTGAGTAAGCCAGATGAGAGCTGCTCAATAAGTTCATCGCGTTCCTGGTCAGTATTGATGATCCAAGTTCCAGCGCCAGCAAAAGTCTGCTGGTTCTTGGCAACGAAAGGTAGGGAACGACCACGAACAGCCTTTATGACCTTCCGTACTGACTGTTGCAGCCAAGTTGATCGTGGGCCGGTGCAACACTCCGGCACGAAAGGTGAGGAGTCATCCTTGCACGCTGCACAACAATCTTGGCGATCCGCACAATATCCTTCGAGCTCGACAATATCACAACGAGGTGTAGGTAATCCAGAACGTGCAAGTGCCTCTTTCGTGTTCAGTAGCCAGTGGATCTCTGGGTCGCAAGTCAAAGGATAACCATCCAGAGCATCTAACACGAGTTTGCTAGCTAAAACATCGACACCATGTTTCTCGAGATCGATATGTTCTGGTCCTGGGCAAAACACGAGAGCAGGTCGCTGATTGTTGTTTAGCACGGCTATGGTTCTTTTCGCTTCCTGCTCGTCGTGATGAATTTGCTCGTCGGATAGATTGACATTGAACAGGAAAACCCTAGTATTGCCAGCGATGAATGCCTCCCTCTGAGGGATCAATGAGAGGTATTTTGAGGCAAGTGAGTATTTGAGCTTGTCGTTCTCACGAATTAATTCTTGTTGAGGTAGTGAATTGAAAGGGCTGTCCTGGTAAAGATACTTTATATTGCGGGGAAAATGCTGATTGAGTTCGATCGCTGAGCTTGTCCCACAAAGAACTTGCCCGATACGCTTTTTACCAAGACTAGGACCGGTGCGAGCATAGAGGTCCGTGAGAGTTGTATCGAGGGTAATTGTGGGGAGGTCCAGCATCATGCCTGCTTCCGCTATTGCTATAGTAATTTTCTTCAATATGCGAAGCTGGGATTTTGTGATTTGTCCTTGTGACGTCAAAAGGCCTAGAAATTGGCCCGCAATGAGGCACAGTTTGAAGACGTGAGCTTAGGAATTGCAGCTGTGAGCCACGACAACCAGTATAGCAGGCGAAGTTATTGCAGCGAGGTAAAGTACATTTCCGCGTGATGGTAAGCAAGAGCGAGCGCTCACTTTGCTGTGATTTGCATTGAATCGGCTAGACACCAGGTGATAATTTTGCTACTGCACTGTCAACACCTCAACTAGATGCGCCGTCGCACGAGCAAGAACTTGGAGATTCTGATCAGCAGAGATTGTTCAGAGCGGTGTGCCGGGTGGACGAGAGAGACACTTTTATGTCAAAAATGACGAAAACGTCACAAAATTGAAGTGATTGAATGCATTCGCACACACCAATACAGCAATTGCTCCAGAGTAGTGTCGCCTTATTTCTCAGTCTGGAACAGGACGGAGTAGCTTGGCGGTTCTAGATTCGTTGCAACGTCAAATTCTTCAGGTGGTACGACAAAAGGACTCAAATTCGATGTCCGAGGCTGTGTCAGGGAAAGGCCCGTACTTGTCCTGTTTGTGAATCGACATCATTTCAGTCAACACGTCTACAATGCACAAGCCATTGACAGTGATCCGCGGTCATGCTTGCGGACCAACCTCAGGATAACGACGCTTCCGGTCAACAACAATACAGACATACCACCATCCAAGCCCTGAATCTAGCGAAGTACTAGAGATGACAATTCTTGCAAGAATTTTGACCTCTGAAGCCTGTCTCAAAACTCCGGGAAACAGATTCTCAACGTAAGGCCTCAAACTAGGCGAAGAGGACTTCCTCACCAGAGCTAAGCTGAATAAGTGACCATTGAAGATATCCGAGTGCTGTAGGATTTGCATGGACACCTACCCTCGGGGCACAAGATTCTGCAAGATTTCTGTGAAGACAAATGGCCGCAACTTGCGGTTCTCGGAGGGCAGTAGACTCGAGAGCAAACTTTTCTGGCTGCAACAGGTGCGAAATACATCGGCAGAGCCATGATTTGTGGTGTGAATCATGATTCCTGCAATATTAGTGCAAGGCGCGTGCACGCATAGTCATTAATCCTTGGTGATAATAGCTTGACTAGAAGCCCTAATCCTCTCTAATCATGTGAGTAGCTTTTTCTGCAACCATATACATGGGGCCCTGGTTATGTATTAGCTTCGAAATGGCAATATCAAGCAGACCAATAAGAGGCTAACGTACCTGAACATGGGTATCAGGAATGACTGGCATGATGCTAGCATGAATGACTCGCAAACCTTGAACACCATACAGCCGTAAACAATTATCGACAACACCACTGGACGCCTCGTGCAGCATGGCGCACGTTCCTGATGCAAGCCATATTGGCAAAGCAACGTTGCGGATTAGCTAGAAATATGAGCCTCCTAGACGATGACAAGAATTCGAGAACGTACTTGAGAATATCTTCGTCGCTTTGTACAGACGGTCCAGGGGCGACTTCGCCGTGATTTGGACCAATGATCCAGGGTGGAGCTAGGGGCTGTGGGCGAAAGTGTTTGGTCGATAAGGGAACTGATATGCATTGCATTTTGGTGAATTTGACTAGTCATCCTCGGAGGGCGTTGAGAAAGCTCATCAACACACTGTGCTATCTCAGCTATCGAAGCATCTGTCTTGATGAGGTCCAACAGTTCCCTGTTTGAACCATCACTATTGTGCTTCAGCGACAGGACGAGCGTGTCGAGCAGATCACTCTTCGCACGTAGCTCTTCCATATCTCCTCTGGTTACAGTTCGGGTATCTTGCTGCTTTCCATAAAAACATTCCTTCAATTTATCGATGCAAGGTTGACAAGGAGATAGACCATCACACTGGACATATCTGTAAGTTTGAAGATTAGGATTTTCCAATAAAGGACCTTTGTCCGTGCTAAGCAACACGATTCACAAGCGGTCGTAACCTTCTTTCGAGGCGTTTGCGCAGCGTTCGCTCCGTTAGAGACTTGCATAGCGATGGCTGAGGTGGTTCATTCCGAGACGAAGCAGCCGAGGATGAAGACACAAAGTATTTCGGAACTAAAGTAGCATCAATGATGATTCTGGGTTACTTCCTAGCAGTCTCTTGCGTTTTCAAATTTCTCATTATGGCCAGTAATACAGGAATTAGCTCTATCCATAGAGTATAGCAAGAAACTTGAGGAGAAGGATGTGCCAATCCGTTACTCTAGTGAGTGTGCTCACTGCCGGCCTGAGGCAGTTAAGTACGAAGAGTCAACGTTGCCGAATCATGACCGACTGTTCTGCGATCAACGAATCTCACACCAAATTGTTGTTTTTCGATGTGCTTTTGTGGATCGACAACAATTCAACTACAATCTTCTTCTGTCGAGTATGGCTTGTGCTGAAGTGGTCAAAGATCTGGCAGTAGATGAGGTGGTTGCGCCATTAACCTTCTTATCTGCTCGACCCTTTGTCAAGGTTAGCACAGTTGCGTGCGCCCACAAGCGAGGCAGAACTTACGTAGCAAAACATCCAGCTGACGACAACGAAGTCCTCACCAGTGTCGGAGATAGGCCACGCCAGAACGCTTTGACACCACCTTCTTGCCACGTCTTGGCAACTGCCATCCGAGCACTTCGATACTGAGCTGCCTCCCCGAAAGCGTCTCCTTGCAACCTCGTTTTTATGACATCAATTGGAAAACTACCCACCCAAAAACCGATTCCACCCAATGCACCACAAGGAATGGTTTCCCATACCGTCAAGTCACTGCGCAGTTTCCCTTGTAACGTGCATAGCCCAGTCATGCTGGCCTCGAACGCAGCGAAGTAACAGCCAAATGCCTGAATTTCCTTTACAAGAGCTACAGGATATGCTTTGAAGATTCCCCGTATTCCAGCTTGCCTTACTATGGCTTTGATGCATTCCACTGGTCCCGAATATAGCCTACCTGCTCCATGAGGTTGAAGCTGGAGTCTTGTGCGAATGTGCTCGACCGGAGAGGATATCAAACTGTTGGAGGCACCAGCGGCACCACCACAAATATAGCTTTGAACGACCGAAGGTTGGTTATCTTTGGCCAGAGTCCGTCGCAAGCTGTGAAAGGTGGCGAATTGGATACCAACACACACTCCAACACCAGCAAAAGGGACAGCTGCGCCTTTGTAGAATGCACGTGGCCCTTCATAAACCCAGATGTCCTTCGCTGTTTTCAGGACATTGCTGGAGTTGGACGTTTGCAAACGAACACGAATGAGGTCGAAAGGTTGACCAAGTAATACAGATACCACTCCTCCGATGGCTCCTGCTAATGCATCTGTGCCTGATATGAGTGGTACTCTGGCTGGTATCGAAGCAGTGCTTAGTCGTCCGGCATACAGCTCTGTCTCTCGTGTCTCAAGTGCGCCACTCGCTTGCATCGCTAGGTGAATCAATGATATTGAAGTCTTTCTGGTCTATGCCAGAGTATTCAGATGCACGCCTACAGTGATGACTGATTGAATGTTAGACACTACCAGTCAGGGCGACACACGCCCGGCCTGAGCATGTGCCGCTTTGCTGACGGATTACAGCGTCGACTCCGGACATATCGGCTTGCTTCCGATCTCTTGCTACTTCTCCGGAGAGACAAAAAATCCTTGACATGGATTGCACAACCGGGGAAATCTTGAGGTGCAAAATCGGCACAACGAGCCGGTTCGTACGAATTGGCTGGCCGTCAACGCCAGTACAGCGGACATGACGGCTTTGTGATCTGCCATGCATGATCAAGCACTTCTACAATCTCCTCTGGCAATGACCCTTGCTCAAGGTCGTTCAGGTTTGACTCCAGCTGTGTCAGAGAGCTTATACCAATGACGACGCCATCACCACCTTCCTTCATGTTCAACTTGCTATGATGTACACACCAGCGGAAAGCTATCTCTAGCAGAGACAAGCCATATTTTGTTGCAACGGGCTCGATCAATTTCAGTGCCTTGAAATTGCTGTCCTTGAAATACCTTTCACGATACATTCCGCCAATTCGTGGGTCAGTCTCTGCGAATCGACCCTCCTGAGGCACTTCCTTGTTCTTGTACTTTCCACTGAGAACTCCTCCAGCAAGCGGGTTGTACACGACTATGTCGATGCCATACTTTCGGCAGCAAGGGACCAACTCCTCCTCAATTGCCCTTGTCAGCGCATTGTACATAGCCTGGTATACTGTCGGTTTGACCCAATTGCGCTGATTTGCGATGTTCCAGATTTCAGCTACCTCCCATGCAGCATAGTTGCTCAGACCAAGCTTTCGAAATTTTCCTTCCCTATACATGTCATCACAAGCTTGTAATGTCTCCTCGAAGGGTACTGATCGATCTGGTGCATGGAGATAAAATATTTCAACTTGATTGGTGCCCAACTCTTGCAGACTCGTGGTAAGAATCTGTTTAATGCTTGACTTCGAATGTATCCCAGGCTCTGTTGGATAGCATTTTGTTGCAAGGAGGAGCTGCCTTTCCTTCCAATTTGCAGCTCTTGTAAAGCTCTCCTGTAAGCCATCGACATATGTACGAGCTGTATCGACCTCACTGTACCCACGCGATTGATAGTAGTCCAAGCATCGGTTGTACTCAGTCAGAGATGTGATCCTAGAACCATGAAGCTCTGATTCTGGTGGGCCAAAAGTGAGAAGTCCTAAGATGACCCTTGGCTTTGTGGGCATTATTGTGCATGACGATGATATGTACGATGGATACGTCTCTTCTCACAGCGAGATGTTTGTTGCTAAGTCTCTCAGCCACTCTTCAAGTGTCAGCAGATCTTAGACTCTTGTACAAGTCTCGAAACCGTCATCAACCAAGCCCAGCGTCATTCGCTGAAGTCGGAGCTGCCAAGACGCTACGGCAACCGATGCCATTGACCTCAGAAGACTGGACGTTGTCCTCCTTGAGGATGTTTCCATGTCGTTGGCAGCGGCCACATGAACGTTGAAATGGCATCTGAGCATTATCACTTCCAACCTATCTACAGTGTGGCAAACAGCCTTGACCCAGACTCTTGCTTTTCAGATTGTCGCAATACGTGCGCGATTGCTCTAGCCACATACTCAACGTTGGAATCATTCAGACCAGCTATCGATATTCGTGAGTTCTCCGCCATATAGATATGGTAGTCTAACAGGAGGTCAGTCTCAACGCCAGGAGAAGTGCCAAGTCAGCTTACCTTGTAATGCCTTGACCACTGCTGGTGAAAGGCCGAGAAAGCTAAACATTCCCGATTGACTGATGATATGTTTCCAGTCACCAGGTGCACCTATGCTTGTTAGTTGTGTGCTGCTTGCCGTGGGATCAACTGACTGTTGGCGAGGAGCGCATCGTACAGGGCTTGCCTCATCCCTTCTATTCGACTACACATAGTGGCCAGGTCTTTCTTCCACATACTTGTCAGTCCCTCATCGTCCAGAATCGTGCTCGCAATCTTGGCACCATAAGCAGGAGGATTTGAAACTTCCGAGCGCTGTAGCTGCTCAAGTACAGACTCTGTGTTGCCTGCAACATCCGAGCCGTGAGTCACGAAAAACGTGCAACCAACTCGTTCTCCTGCAGGAAGTTAGTGTTTTCACACACATTAACATATTGAAATACCATAAAGTCCCATATTCTTCGCAAATGAGACTGATACAGCAGCTTCCATGTCAAGCTCATTGACAAAGTAACGGATTGCATACGTGTCGTTATCCAGGTCGCCAGAGTTAAAGCCAAGATACGCAGCGTCGAAGAATGGGAAGAGTTGTCGTCGCTTCATAATATTACCTATCTCCTGCCACTGTTCCTTTGTTGGATCGCATCCTGTTGGGTTGTGAGCGCAAGCATGCAGAATGACAATCGAGTTTGGTTCGGCGGTCATTAGCATATCTATATACGACTTCATGTCCAGGCTTTTCGACTCAAAGTCGTAGTACTGAAATGTGCGACACTGGAAGCCCAAAGTCTTGAAGACTAAGTGATGGTTTGACCATGTTGGTTCTGGTATCCATATCGTCGGGCTGAGAGAGCTAAATCGCTTGATGCAAGCACCCGCTAAATGAAGACCACCTGTACCAGAAAGACTCTGACAGCTTGCGATCTGTGAAGACACTCTATCAAAGCTTCTTGCACCCAGCACGAGCTTCGGCACAGCCTTCCTGAATTCTGGTAGTCCGAGAATTGGTAGATATTCATGGTTTTGCTTTTGACAATGAACACGTCTTCGTGCCTCGACTACTGATGGTAAAATCCACGGTTGGCCAGCCTCGTCTCTATAGGTGCCTTGACCTAGATTGACCTTGACTGAAGCTGGATCGGCATTATATTGAGCTGTCAAAGCAAAGATTGCGTCCTTAGGAATTCGAAGAGCTGTAGCAAACGCAGATTGAGCCATCTTTAGTGGTATGGTAAGTCTCATGGGCCAATATGAAGGTGAGTGTTACTGCCATCGAAGTGTGCTATAGCACGCGCTTGTGTTGATATCTGCCCTGGAAGACGGGCTTTTTGGTAATCATTACCGATTCGTGAGCCGTGAAAAACGAACATCCCGCGAGGCATATCCCGAACGGCAAAACCTTCCTTTGGGCTGCACAATAGCAGAGCTTCAAGTCACTCAAGCCTAGAGCGCAGCAGGTCATTGCATGAGCAACCTCCAGAACGAAGGATGCGGTAAATCGTGCCTGCGGACAGCGAGATAAGATTTCCCGAACCTTAACCGCGGCTCCTCAACCGTAAGCCCACCAAAGGATGCCCTCCTCAGACGTGGCGACCATCAACAACTTCCGAGCACGTAACACAAGATGACCGTAATTCATCGTGATGCTTGCATGAAGAGTGGCAATCGAGTGCCATAGCTTCCAGAATGGAAAAGCACGCACTTTCCACCACCACGCACAACCTATCCGCTGTAGAATTTGGAAATAGCATTTTGGCTCGTGCCGCCGTGCCTACCGTCGGATAAAGGTATTGTAATTCAGAGACGCAACATTATTCATGCCACATCAAACATAAAGACTGTTCTACCACAAGAGCGTTATCTCAGTATCGTGCAACGACCTTTCCTCATTTAAAACAGCCAAAAAACAAAGACAATGACTGCTAACAAGTCAGAACCAATAATAATCCTTGGCTCTGGGACATGGGGATTGTCAACGGCTCTCCATCTCGTCAATGAAGGGCACTCAAATATCACAGTCTTTGACAGGGCGTCCGAGATACCTTCGAGGTACTCTGCTGGTTATGACATCAACAAGATAGTACGACCAGAATATGAAGATCCTTTCTACACAGACTTGGCGCTTGTGAGTCCATCCACTTTCAGAGGAGATAAGAGTACTGACTGCATCTAGAAAGCCATTCAAGGTTGGAAGACGCCACTTTTCGGTCCATACTTCCACAAGACAGGATATGTAGTGGCAACATCAGGCCGGGCACCACAGAAAGCCATCAAACATCTAAATGAAGCGCTTGCGTCAATAAAAGACCATCCGGTTTTCAAGTCGCATATCACACCCCTCAACAAGCCGCAAGACTTCAAAGATCTCTTTTGGCAATTCCGTGGGCCAGTGACTGGATTTTCTGGATATCTGAACCGATTTGCTGGATACGCACATTCTGCCAATGCCATGAAAGGCGTACATCATCACCTAGCTGGTCGAGGAGTTAAATTTGTGCTTGGGCCAGAGAATGGCAGGGTTACAAAGCTCGTTTATGACACAAGTAAAGCACGACGATGTGTTGGCGTCAGGACAGCTGACGGACAGGAGCACAAAGCGACCTTGATCGTTTCGTGTCTTGGAGCGTACCAAGCAGAACTCATCCCAGACGTTGGAAAGTTCAGCGTGGCCAAGTCATGGTCAGTGGCTCATGTTCAACTGACTGAATCCGAATGTGACTTGCTTCGAGGTATACCTGTCATCAACGTCAGAGATCTAGGCTTCTTCTTCGAGCCAGATCCTGCCACAAGATTGCTGAAACTCTGCCCACTTGGAGCTGGGTATATCAACACAGACAAGAAGACTGGTATCTCGTTACCACCATTGAACAATCTACCACCACCACAGGACTATATACCGGCTGAGGACGAGGCAAAGTTGAGGCAGCTGTTGAGGGAAACACTACCATGGCTGGCTAATCGACCTTTTGTAGATCAGAAGATCTGTTGGTTCGCCGATACTGCAGACTCCGAGTTCTGCGTCGATTTTGTGCCAGATACAGATCGTTCACTCATCGTATTGTCAGGAGATTCAGGTCATGGCTTCAAGATGATGCCAATCGTTGGGTCTTGGGTGCTGGACTTGTTGAAGGATGGCCATCAGAAGATGAAGAGGTGGCAGTGGAAAAAGCCTGAAGGTGAGAATATGGCAGCATGGGGTGATGCTGTATCGTGGAGAATTGGCACGACAAGGGAGATTGGAGATGTTGTACAGGAGCGTGATCGTATGATTCGAGCTCGCTTGTGATGTGGCGTGAAGAAAGTTCCCTCTCGCTCCGAATTCAGGTAGACAAATATCACAAATTAGCGCATCGATCTTTGGAGAAATTGCTTGACCCATTAGAACACATCACTCTGAGCAATACTGACAATGAGCACGGCTACGTAGCACGTCGAAGATGTTCACAAAGCGGGTTTATTGAGCATACCCAACTCTGCGGAATGGCTGTGCACAATCTGCGATCGACAAGAGCGTCAATATCAATGTCAAAATTGTATGTTCCAGCTTCGCGGATATCTGTGTACTATTGTCCTGTACTCAATATGCACAGCTTGAGCGTTGTGATTCAGGAGCAGCAGGCTAGTGAAAGAGCATCAAACCGATTCTGGTCAACGATCACCAAAGGTTTCTCGAATCGTGCATTTCCAGCTGAAGCAAAACTGCATCCTAGCAATCACTGTTGAATGATTAATCGCACCTTTTCAATTACACGTCTGGTATCAGCTCTTCCTCAGTGTCTTATGGCTGTGAAGTAATCTGTATCGTGTCACGTGGGGATCACCCAAGGCGTCCTCCAGATCGCCGTGAATCACACCAAAGCGAAGGGCCGCTTTTCGTGACCCCCACGTGCGTGTAAGAATAGAAGAGGCTTCGATCGCTGGCAGACATTGTCCGAGCGCCTGAACTTCGGTCCAATTCGCTGCCAAGCTTCGCTGTTGCCAGTCCGAAATTATGTGGTCAAGTTGTCGGCTTCGGCTTCCGTTATCACAACTTACCGACCTCTCCTCCGTCGCACACTTGCACAATCATGCGATAGGCAGTAGGCTGTTTCGAACAGTACTCAGGTCCTTTCAATGTCGGAAACACAATGTCTTCCGAGCGACCAGAGCGTCGGCAGAATGTGAATCGGAAGCGTGCCTCTAACGCGTATGTCCTTACAGTCAGGCTTGTTATTCGAGTCGCTGACCTGCCATAGTTGTCAGCGTTGCCGACAGCAGAAAATACGGTGCTCCGGATGTGTCCCATGCGAACAGTGTTCGAAGAGAGAACTGCCATGCCATTTTGGTGATAGATCGTCCAAGGTATTGGTGTCCCGAGAGTGAGCTACATAACTGGCCGAGACGAGGCCGGTACTGATGGAACAGGTTCATCCACGATCTCGAGCAGCGTGCACATGCAGCTCAGCACCTTCCTTTCGCTCCACCACCCGGACATAGTTTCGATTTCAATCAGCCTCTAGAGCAGCCTGGTCATGGTCATGGTCATGTCTTGTCGCAAGACGCTGCTAGTGGTGTCGGTTCTGTCAATCAGGCAGTTGTCGAAGCCCACACACAAAATGATGACTCCGAACAAGATGACAATGATGGAGCACCTCATGTCTCCTTCGCAGACAGAGCATCCACTTCTGAGTCTGGACGTGCGACACCTTCAGCACAGCTAGTCAACCTTTTCTCGAACCATGCTCCACGTTACGAGGCTGACAGTGCTGGTCGACATTGTAGGCATCATGAAGCTTGTCTTGGTCTTTGAGCTTATCAGTGATAGGGTACCTTGGCACCTCCTCGAATTGGGCGTTCAATCGACGTGTATTAGGTATGGCCCATGTCCGACTCACAGGTCAACCTGCACCACCATTGAGCACTCTCTTCGATGGTACGATGTACAATCTTGGTTGGGATGGACAACGCGATGCCTCTGTGGCTGACAATATCTTGCTGCCTTCGATTGACTACGCCATCTATCTTATCAACGCTGTGAAGTTCCACTGTGGTCAGATGTTCCATCTCTTCGATGATGTCTCATTTATGCGACAGTTTCACAATTTCTACGCGGCCACTGATGATGACTCAGCAAGGGGTCTTTGGTATGTTCACTTCTTGATCCTGCTGGCATTTGGTAAGGTGTTCGTTGCGCGAAAGAACGAAGGCCGAAGACCACTGGGCGCAGACTTCTTTGTGCAGGCCATGAAATTAATGCCTGATATCACCTTTCTTCATACACAGCCTGTCCACGCCATAGAAGTACTTTGTTGCAAAGCACTCTATCTTCACTGCTTGGACTTCAGGACCTCAGCATATACAGTGGTATGTGCGATTATGTCCTCAATATCCATATGCTTACATCCTTCCAGATTGGTGAAGCACTACGACTAGCACTCGGGGAAGGTATGCACACCAATATGCAAGTTGAGGGCCTGGATGAACAACATGTCCAACGATGTCGCAATGTCTGGTGGACGGTCTACATCTTAGACAGGCAGATGTCGTCCTTGATGGGAGTACCACTCGCTGTGAAGGATGACGATATAACTGCATCTTTACCGACCTTCCATGGTTCCTTACAGAAGACCCTGGCTCTCGAGCTCAACGTGAAACTGTCGGGTATCATCTCACGAATACTCAACAGTAAGTTTCCAGTGAAAGAGTTCTATACATACTGATGTCATAGGTGTGTATGGTCAAGAAGGACGTTTGAACAGGAAATTCATATCAAGCACGAAAAATGCACTCAAAGCTATTGCTGGTATCACTGATCAGTTGAAAAAGTCCTTTGAGTTTCCGCCTAGTGGATCAGCTGCAGGCATATCTCGGCTGGCAGCGCATCTACATCTTCTACACCATCAGGTAGGCTACATGTTTTCTGCGTCTTTCGTACTAATATGAAGTATAGTGCGTTGTCCTAGCAACAAGGCCACTCCTATTCAGCTTACTCAAGAAACGACTGGATCATTTGGAAGAAGAACAGGCGATTCCTACTACTACCGGCAGTGCTAAAGCTTTACTTCAAATGTGCATTGAATCATCCCAACACATACTAGCCGTGCTAGAACGACTCAAAGAACAGAATCTTCTTGGTACGTTTCTTGCAATGTTCGATTGCGTCAGCTAATTGTTGTGCATAGAAAGCTTTTTGCCATTCGACCTAGAAGGAGCTTTCGTAGCTGGTATGGTGCTCTTAATAGCGCCGCTGGTCGACTCAGAGCTACTCACAACACAATTTCCATGGCTAGACATGGCGTACGCAACTCTTGACGAGCTAGGAGCACAAGGTCTTCTCAATGCACGTGCTCGCAAAGGAGAACTACAACAACTTCAGAAGGTATTCGAACAAATGCCACAGCCATCGCAAAACGACTTTGTGGATGAGGAACAAGCAGTCTTCATGCAACAGCAAGCGATGCATCTGAACATGGATTCAGAGAACCCAAATTTCGGTTACGAGTTCATCGAGGATGCAATATGGCGTACCACATTCACTGCCGATCAGCTCATAAACGTTGCGAACACTCTCGATTTAGATGGTATCGACTGGATGACGACAGGCTCAAATCCAGGTATTCAGGAAGATGAAGTATGACAACAAGTCGGGAGTGAAACCGATCGAGCCTGTGGAGGGAAGTAAAGGTCTGTCATTGAGCCACTGGGATAGACGATTGACGATTCGACAGTATGCTTCTATAAAATAGCCGGTTTTACCTCTGTGACCTGGCTTGACAGGGTAAGGTTTCTCGATAGTTAAGAGTCTACCTCTTCCAGAACTTCTAGAACATACACCTACATATCAGAGCCGCATTGACGCAACGAGATCTAGATCTTTCGTAATGTAGACGAAGTTTCGAATGGTACGCAGAATTCCGTTCTGATATTGTCAACGGCTTCAACAACCGATTGCGTTACGCTCTCGGCTTCCTGAAAGATGGTTGGTCGACTGCCTCAAATTTCTCCAATTGGTTATCATCCCGCTATCTTGTCTCTCCGACACGCTTTCGGGCATAAAATCCATTGCATTGGCAAGTGGCCATGGAAACACTACCCCTCATCCTTCACACCAGATCAAACGTTATGTGATCCTATCTCTACAGGTCAGGCGGACGTGCTCCATTCGGGAAAGATACCGAAGACTATGATCATGAAATACTAGAACATCTGATAGACCTGCAACTGGGCAAGTCATCCAGAGAACTATGGCGAAGAGAATCACCAAATCAATCTTCAAGACAAGCTCTCTCTCATGCCAAAACAAGCCCTCGACATGTTCGATCCTCAGGAGGCAGTCGACATACACACCGGCTCCTTCCCATGCAGTTTCCATCAAGCCTACTGAACTGTCTTGTTCACCCTTAGCGAGACTTCCAACATCAAGCATCTTACGAAGTCTGTTTCTGAGCATCTTCTTCACGAACGCAGCCCTGTTCAGGCCAGGACTAGCAATTTTCGGCAAGATTGCAAATTCACGTTCCGCATGGCTGAACCCAGATAACAATCCTCTGATACGACCAATAACTCGCAAGCTGATATATGACCAGTTCTGTGCTGGCAAGAATCGTGACGAGATATCCAACACATCTTCGATGATCAGGGATCAAGGATTCACGGGAATTGCTCTGACATATGGCAGAGAAGTGCAGCTGGACAAGCACAACAAGACACATGGATGTCAGAAGTCACAGGAAGTCGAGATTGAGGAATGGAAGAATGGCAATCTTGAGACGATAGACATGATCGGAAGAGGTGACTGGTTGGCTTTGAAATTCACAGGTGCTGGTGTGTGTATCACTGAGGCATTACGGGAAGGAAAACCAGTTCCAGCACAATTCATGCAGGCAATGGATGAGATATGCAAGGGTATCGCTGCAAAGAATTGCAGAATCTGGGTCGATGCTGAGCAGCAGGCTCTGCAGAAAAGCATTGACTCATGGACATTTGATCTAATGAGGAGGTACAATATAGGGGGACAGCTCTTGATATACAGCACAGTGCAGGCATATCTCAAGTCATCAAGGGACAAAGTTCAGCGACAATTGGAACTTGCTGCGAAAGAAGGTTGGAGATCCGGAATCAAGCTTGTTCGTGGTGCATACATTGCCAACGATCAAAGAAGTTTGATCCATGACACGAAAGCGGACACTGATGCATCCTACAACGGTATTGTCGACGATCTGCTTCGAGGGAGGAACTTCCCAATTTTTGCATCACAACCAGATCTGAAATTCGACCTTCTCTTGGCTGGACACAATTCAAAAACTATCAGAACAGCTGCAAAGTTGGCAAATGAGCTTGCCAGTGCAGGGCAACTGAAAGTCATTCCAGAGTTCGCTCAACTGCAAGGGATGGCTGACGATATTGGTTGTGAGCTAGTTCAGATGGGAGATGATATGGTCAAGGAGAATCCCAACACGTTATTTGTGCCGAGAGTGTACAAGTGTTTGACGTGGGGATCAATTCAAGAATGCATGCAGTATCTGCTACGGCGACTGGTCGAGAATCGTGGTGCTGCGGATAGGATGAAGGAAGGAGCTGTTCAGCTACGACAGGAGTTGAGGAGGAGATTAGTAGGGTTCTGATTCTAATTCTTTGCTTAGAGACGAAACTATGATTGCAAACACAAACCCTCCCTGAGAACGTTTCCGTGCCCCTCTAATGATGCTGTCATCAAAGGTTACTCGACACATCGTGCGAGTTGTGTCGGTTTTCTGCCGATATCAAACGTTGCGGGGGCCACGGTCTTGGCACGGCATGCCTGAGCCACGATAAGGAGTAGAGATAGTCAGTGTCTCGAAGTTTATAATGTTTTCACCCCATGTACAAGTGCCGCAACGATCTACTTGGCTGGGAATGATATGATCCGACGCTTGTCTGACTCGAGATTCTCCTCGAGCTTAGAATGGAGAAGCACAGACTATGCGTGTACAAGCATCGGCATGCTCGGTCCAGCCTGCCCACAAAGACGATTTTACCGATACCACTCGGCACACGAGCCGATCACCTTCCTAGGCTGTCAACGTACCAACAAGCGTACAATCGATGACCACTGATGCTGTGTATATGTTGAGCACGCGGCATTTTCACAATGGACAGCTACTCAGCAGAAAGACCCAGCCATGGCGACCACTCCTGTATCCATCTCTCGTCCAGCAACCGCTCCTGTCAGACAAACAGCCGCACATCCATACCCAGTGCCTAAGCCTGGTGTCTACGTTCCAGCAATCACTTTCTTCGACAGCAAAGACAGAATATGTCCAGCTGAACAGAAACGCTACTATGAATACCTCTCAAAGACCGGTCTGAATGGACTTGTCATCCTAGGCACGAACGCTGAGACGTTTCTCCTTACTCGCGATGAGCGTAAACAGCTTCTTCAACTCGCACGCTCGACGGTTGGACCAGGATATCCCATCATCGCTGGTGTGGGAGGTCACTCAACTGCTCAGGTGCTAGAGTACATCAACGACGCATACGAGGCTGGTGCAGATTATGCACTCGTCCTGCCATGTGCATACTTTGGCAAGCAAACCACGCCAGAAGTGGTCAAGGTGTTCTTCTCACAGGTCGCGGACGAATCGCCCATACCTGTCATTGTCTACAATTTCCCTGCTGTCTGCAATGGCTTGGATCTTGACTCTGAGATCATCACGGAAATCGCACAGCATCCGAAAGTTGTCGGTGTGAAGTTGACTTGTGGCTCCGTAGCCAAGATAGCCAGATTAGCGGCTACCTTTGACGTTGAGAGATTCGCTGTCTTTGGAGGACAGTCTGATTTCCTCGTCGGAGGTCTTGCTGTCGGAAGTGCTGGATGCATCGCTGCTTTTGGCAATATCTTCCCACACCTGGTGGTGAAAATATACAATCTCTATGCTCGAGGTGATGTAGAGGAGGCGAAGAGACTACAAAAGATTGCTGCGTTGGCTGAGAGTCCCACCAAGGCGGGAATCGCAAATACGAAGTATGCTGCGGCAGAGTTCACGGCTTCGAAGGCTGGGATTAAGAATGCTGTTGAGTTGCTCAAGCCGAGAAGGCCGTATTTCGAGCCGAATGAGGCGGCGAAGAAGAAGATTAGGGAGACGATGGTACTTGCGAATGAGATTGAGGTTAGCTTGGCGAATGTAAGACAAAGTCGTTTGTGAGACTAGATAGAGTACAGATAGACGCCAATGATACATCTTACAATCAAATCTGGTCGATTTTCGGACTGCATGCTGTTGCTTTAGGACGTCTGCAAGTGCTCTTCTATCAGCTTGAGCTATTCTGCATATTGGTGTCGTGTTCATCGCCTTGACGAGGCTGAAAGCAGCAGCAGAACTCTCTGTGTGCTTGTCATAATGGCTAAAAAGGTGCAAAGGAAAACGGGTTGTCATAATAGCTTCATGATTATTGCAAGACCCGGTTATTCTAGCTGCAACGCCGTGAAAACCCTGCCCATGCAAAATACACTCTATACCAATCCTATGCACAGCTCACAGATTGCTGGGGTACAAAACGCTATCCAGTCTATTGAACTCCTCCTTGAGCGTCCTTGGAGAAGTGAAACGCCTCAATGAGTCAGCACTGCCAGCCTTGTCGTTTGTGCCACTGCCTCGAGCGCCACCAAAAGACTGCTGACCAATGACTGCACCTGTTGTCTTGCAGTTGGTGTAGAAATTGCCTGCAGCGTATCGGAGTTGGTTCTCGGCCTTCCGAATAGCTTGAGGGTCGTTGGCGAAGATTGAGCCAGTCAATGCGAAGCCACCACCTTGAGCATCAATCTTGGCGAGCAATGATTCGAACTCGGCATCCTCGTAGACATAGATGATCAAGACAGGACCGAAGAGTTCTTGGTCGAACAGATGATGGTCCAGAGTGTTGGAGACGTAGGCTGTTGGCTCGATGTAGTAACCTTTGCTGTCATCGTAGTTTCCTCCTGCAATTCTCTCGAGTCGAGAGTCTTCATTTGCAGTCTTGATGATCTTGGTAACACGGTCGAAAGCTGGACGATTGATGACAGGCCCAAGGAAGTTCTTGAAGTCTTCGGGGTCCCCCATCTTCGTCTCTGACATGTGTTGCTTGAGCTCGGTAAGGAATGCATCAGCCTGACTCTTTGCGAGATAGACACGAGAGCATGCTGAGCACTTTTGCCCGGAATACTCGAAAGAAGCTCTCATTGTGTGCTTGACGGCATTGCTGACGTCTGCCGATGAGTGAATGAGGTGGAAGTTTTTGCCGGATGTTTCAGCGACCATTCGGGGGAAGTCGCCATATTTCTTGCTGGCAACTCCTTCTGCAGCTTTGTGGTAGAGATGGCGGAAGACATCGGATGAACCCGTGAAGTTGAGAGCGGCAAATCTGGGGTGATCGAAGACAGTTTGTGTAATCATCTCAGCATCTCCATTAACTATTTGTATGACGTTTGGTGGAAGACCAGCTTCGAGGAGAATCTTGTAGACTAGATGACTGGCATAAACTGAGGATGGCGATGGTTTCCATACAACAGTGTTACCCATGAGTGCTGGACCTGAGATAAGATTGCCACCAATAGCGGTGAAGTTAAAAGGTGAGATGGCGTAGACAAAACCTTCTAGAGGCCTCCAGTCTGTTCGACCTGCATGACCAGGTGCGTTGATTGTTGGCTGTCTATCGTAGATATCCTGAGCGAATGAGACATTGAAGCGGTAGAAGTCGGCGAGTTCGGCAGCGGCATCGATTTCAGCTTGCCAAGCATTCTTGCCTTGGCCTAGCATGGTGGCAGCCATAATCTCGAAGCGGTATTTTGAGGAGACCAGTTCTGCAGCTCGCAGAAAAATGGCTGCTCGGTCGAAGAATGGCATGTCAGCCCATTCTTGCTTTGCCTTGAGAGCGGCTTCTATCACAGCAGAGACATCCTCTTTGGTTGCGGCAGTATATTTTGCCAAGACATTTGCATGTTCGGCGGGCATATGCTGTGACAGCTGGTCAGAGCCTGACGAGGCAACCTCTTTGCCGTTCCGTATAGATGGTACTGAGACTGGTAATTGTGATCTTAGCTTTTTTAGAGCCTCTTCTAGACCTTTTCGTTCTGGTGAGGATTGTGCATAATGTAAGTTGGCTTCGTTGAATGGCTTAGGTAATCTCTGATTGCCAGCAGTTGCCAGTGATCTTCTGAATGACCTTGCGACTTTGCATGTGCAATCTTGGCGAAGCAGCCTGCTGGTGAGCATTGTTCGTTGCATATTTGTGTTAGTGGTGAGCTCTCAATACGATACCTCAGTCCTTCCTCTATGTATGTCTGAGAAAAGTTTGCATTTGATCATATCGGCTCAGTGACACGATCACGACTGAGATATGCGAGTGCCCCTCGGCCCGCAAGCAGGATGTGGGAGGGCTTGGTGATGCGGAGATAGACGTTGTCGGGCTTGCAAACAATCTGTGGGGTACGTCTTCGGAGCAGGAGCCGTAGCGTAGGCCAAGCCGTATGAGGAAGGCATTGCCCCAAGTAAACAGCAAATCGTACAATTGCATAGTGCTTCACAGGTCGTTGACCATGGCATTTACACCTTCAGTTGGAGTGATTGGCTGTGGTAAGCAGATGCACATTGTTCGTTACAAAGTCTGACCTTTCCAGGAAGCCTTGGCACAGCAATTTTGCAAGGTTTGCTCAGTGCGAAGGAACCAAAAGTGAGGCCATCCAAGATTCTAGCATCAGTCACTTCTGAGGCTTCTGCGGCCAAGTTGCGAGAGGCACTACCTAGTGTTGAGGTGCACAAAGGTGAAAATGAAGTTGTTGCGGCATGTGACATTGTTATATTGGCATGTCCACCGAACCTGATGTCGGATGTGCTTGGTGGTTTAGACAAGGTGTTGCAAGGGAAACTGCTAATCAGTGTGCTCGCTGGGGTGAGCACTGAAAGCATCAAGAAGGTCGCTGGCGGAGCGTGGGTGGTCCGGTCCCTGCCCAACCTGGCTGCAGCCCAGCAAGCATCTGCAACAGCCGTTGAGGACTTTGATCAGGACATGCCTGCGGAGAAAGTCGATCTGGCCACAGCTGTGATTGAGCAGTTTGGTGGGGTTGTGCTTCTTCCAGCTTCAATCATGGATGCCAGTACAGTTGTTTGTGGATCAACACCTGCGTTCATTGCTCTTTTCCTCGATGGACTCATTGATGGTGCGGTTGCTGCTGGTGTGCCTCGCAACAAGGCCAATGCTATGATTGCGCAGGTCATGGGAAGTACGACCGCGTTGCTTGGTGAGCAGAAAGCGTCGGAGCTGCGGGAGTCGGTTTGTGCGATGCCGGGGTGTACTATTCAGGGAAGTATCGCGCTCGAGGAGGGTGGCGTGAGAGGAACAGCAGCAAAGACGATGAAGATGGCTATCGAGGCGGCGAAGAAGTTGGGATAGGTTTGTCTTGCTGGATGTGCACTCGTATCTGAGTATTAGGTAATTTTGTTGTTCCAGCTCTTCTATATTCAGATCTTTGCTAATTGTCTACACCCGATACGTCTCTTTCATCCAATCCAGCATTCATAACGCATTGATTTCGATGACAAGTGCTCCTCTTCACGGTGTTCCCACATCGGTTTGGTTCATGGGGGTCATTGACTCACGACGGTACGATTTCCGAGGTGCTGATTGCGTTGCTCGACAATGTCACGGCTAGGAACAGACTGTCGTGGCACTTGTGAAGTCACACTTTCTTCGGAGCATGATCGAGTGCTCCGAAGATGGTGTAGCTGTTCATATCGCTCGTGATGGGAGTATATGCTGAGTTTCAGGCTGGAGACGAGCAAAGAAGCGGGTTAGGCCTATTGAAAGCCCTTGGCGTTGCATCTCTGACTCTTTCCTGTCGTCCAAGATATCTGAGTACGAAGCTGACATTCAGTGTAGTCTTCTGTTACTCGGTTTGTGGGCGCTGAAGCACCTGCTCGCAATCTTGCATCCACGACGAAGAGGCATCTCGATTTGCGACTTTCTTTCACTTCGCATAGCTTGACGATATGCTGTCGAGCTGCAACAGGTGCATGCTAGTGCGACTGTTGGCTTGATGGTTACAATCGTGGCAGCGTGTGAATGCCGGGATTGAAGCTGGACGTGTCTGCGGGCTTAGTGCAGAGTTGTGAGTTGGCGGCTGGGAGAGGCTGCCGTGTTTATTCTGTTAGATCCCAGGAAGCTCGGCAACTTTTCGAGCAAAGAAGCAATCTCCGAATAAATTCGTTGTTTTTATCACGATCGATATTGTCCTCGTCCTTTGTTGAGCTATTCGTCGTCCTGATCTCTTTCCTCACAACGTTAAAGACACCCTGCTGAGTCTTTCTCGTCGAGTGGCTTCGCCCTGATGCCTGACACGAGGGACGACACCTCTCCAGTGTCAGGACCAGAAGCAATTCGAGGACAGAAAGAACCACGTTCGCGGAATATGGCTCAATCCCAATAAGAAGGCACAACCTTCGAGAGACAGTTACGCATGTGCTCGTGTACTCCTTGCACTCTGACTGACCACCATGTACTCACGGTAGGACGATCAGCTCGAGGAAGAAGCCTTCACACCTACAAACAACTCAAGCATGCCTTGAAGCAGCAATGCAAGCCTTGCCATCATGTTCATACTACTCGAGTCAAAGCCTATTCTGCTTGTTGCCAGCCGTTGTCCTAACAATTCTAGGTTTCACGATGCTGTTCAAGGCTCTGACAGAGAACCGCCCACGAAGAAACCTGTCGCCAGATCAAAACAACAACCGAGCGATACTCGACACACAGCAAACCCTCTCCACCACGGCTCTGTTCCTCTATCTGTTTTCGGTGCTCAACACCGAATCTTTCGTGCTGACCTGTAAGGCGCTCTTCAACCATCCACAACCATAGCCGAAGCGCTAGACCACGAGCGAGCCTTTTGCAAAAGTCTCCGGCCATCGACAAGAAGTTTCTGCTCCCGAGATGCGGTCGGAGACTAAGCAACAATGTGAATTCCACCACACCAAAAGGAAGAAGCGGAGCATGGTGCCAGCTTCATATCGAACCCCAGGCATCGGTCGTTGAGAATGAAACCTGGTGCTCCCATCCGTTGACACAATTCCATCCCCACATTTCACTCAGAATGACTCACATGCTCATCCCTGTCAGGCCTACAATGCCCGAAGTCAATGACAGCCACGAGGAACACCGTTTCTCTTAGAGACACACGTTTCAGCATACCATTAGCACTGAAATCTTTGCTTCATCATTGTTTTCGACCGCGACATAGCTAATCTCATTACCTTGTCCCTGCTTCGCCCTCAGACTTCCACTTTCACTCATGCCTGAGCATGTATCTTCTATTGCTCGGATTCTCATATATACCATGTCAATCATATACTGTTTATTGGTACTGTAGATGTCTGCACAAACGAAACCTATGCTGCTGCCGGAACCAAGCTTCATGCAGCCAAAACCGAAATTATGCGAAATATCGAATGTGTCGCAACTTGTATGTATTGCGAGCATTTAGCGTGCATCATGAGGAGCAGAATCGCGCTTTCCTAGCTGTCAGTAGCCAAAGAAGCAAGCGTCGTGTGCGCACCGGCACTGTGCCATGCTTACAGCCGATCCGGAGCCAGCCAATTTCCGGTAAAATCCGCCAATCAAGGCTCTTCGTCTTTCGTGCCTTAGCGGCGAATCAAGGTTCGGGCTTGAAGTGGATGGCCAGACATCAATACCTTAATGCTGACAGACAGCAATCCCAGCTTCCTGCAAACCGGTATCGCGTCCGCATCAACGAGCGCTTCACGCACACATGCTACATCTCAAGTTATAAACTACAACGCGTCGATGTGCTTGAACTGGAAGGAAGTGATAATACTAGAACATTCAGTCAAACAAAGCATGAACGACATGGCAATCTGCGCGAGACCTCGGAAAGACTCCAGCGATGCACACAACAATATTTTGGTTGAGGAGCGATGTGCTGGGCGAGGACTCAGATGCTTCGTCGAGTCAAGAATGCTCAAGTAGTCGCTCCCTCGCTGGCACGCTGAACCAAAGCTCAAAGAAGTCAGAGGATACGGCATTGGAGGCTCTGGTTACGCGTAAGGAGCTCGTGGGATCGTCTTAAGAACGATGTTCGCGGGGCAGAACTAAAACTGACTTTGGGCATGCGAAACTTTGTCATTCAACGAGAGAATCGCAAGACCGATTTATTCAGGGAAGTATCAGAAATGTCTGCGGAGTGGTCTTGTGGCGCTGCTCTCCGTTCTCTCTTCATGCCAGACGTTCCAGCCAAGGGCTTCAATCAGGAGTGTATCTGCTTAGCTGTACGGACTAACCGACGTTGTATCATCCGGAGATTGCACGTCTGAGATAGCAACAGTATCTAGAGCTGGTGAGATGCCTTCTCTATTTCCCACTCTCTTTGTGCCAGCATTAGCACACCCAACCACCATCAACGTTGTACACAGCTCCTGTCACAAATGACGCTTCCTCACTGAGCAGAAAAGCAATGACCCTCGCAATCTCGATTGGTTCAGCTCTCCTCTTCTGCACAGTCACTTGCAAACCACGCTTCACATCTTCGGGGTCTTCACCCCGTGACATTGGAGTGTTGACAGATCCTGAGCCTTCGTCAGCCAATTTTCGAGAATCACGATCGAGACTTACCAGGAGCAACACAATTTATCCTGATATGACTATTCTCCTTCGCAGCAGTCCTCGTCAATCCTATTACTGCCGCTTTACTCGCGCAGTAGGCTGCATTTCCAGGAGCGCCGAATTGGCCAAACGTGCTAGCAGCGGACACCTGCCAAACGTCAGCTCTGTATCTCGTGAGCTGATGTACTTACGATACTGCCGCCAGCTGTCATGGCCCTCACTTGAGCTCGCAAGCAAGCGAAAACTCCTCGAGCGTTGACGTCAAAGGTAAAGGCCCAAGCTTCGTCCGTCATATCGGCGATTGGAGTTGCTGGAGTAATTACACCAGCCATGTTCACTGCACCATCGAGCTTGCCTAGCCGTTCTACTGTTGTTTTGATCCAGTGGTCAACATCAGCACTCTTTCGTACGTCGACGACGGTGAAAATATGATTGTCACTGTTAGGTAATGACTTGGCAGCTGCTTCAACTGCTGATGCGTTGAGGTCTGCGAGAGACATGATAGCGCCTCGTGATGCGAGCAGCATTGCTGTCTCCAAGCCCATGCCAGATGCAGCGCCGGTGACGGCGATCTAATGTGTCTTGTCAATTTTCGTCAGCAGTCGAGGAGCGCGTGCATACCACTTTGCGATCGAAGGAAGCCATGACCACGAACTTGCTTCGCGACCAGTTTCGATATTCGAGCAGATGGATGCCAACAACTTGCTGACTTACAACTGTCGTTCAGCTAACATCATGGCAACACTTTACGAAACTACTCTCTTTGGTGGAAGATCAAGACTTGTAACCAGGAACATGAGTCTCGATCGGATTAAGTGCATGCGAACTTGACCGATTACGTTAATTCGAGACTGTGGTGTCAGCACTTTGACGTTCATCAATCTGCGAGTTTGCTTCGTCGATCAGGAAGGTTTCCCCGTCCACGTGAGCCGTATCTGATTCTAGGTTGTTCGCTTTGCAGTCGGAGTTGGTGAAAACAGCAAATTCTTGGAAAGAGCATGGAGTTCCTTCCAGATGTGGATGGAAGACCATGATCGTTGTTACCGCTTCACCTACACATTGCTCCTCTGAGGAACTGGCTTGCTACGTTGCTCAGAACACCCGTATCCTCTTTGCTAGGCGCACCAGGAAAATACTATAATTGCTTCGCTCGTTCGTGTCAGGTAACTAGCTAAACATGATACCCTCCCATCCATTCGCTCTACACTCCTCACATCTCCTCCGATACTCAACAGCATTACCAGCGTACCTCGCTACATTCCGTACCGTCTTGCCCGCCACATTCTTATTCACACCTGTCATCCAGCTATCCACCTCATTCGACAGTGCACCCTTACTACACTCAACAACATGCTCCGTCCACTGATCCGCAGCCTTCTCACTTGGCTCGACGTAGGTGAAATCATTGTCCTTGCAATATTGCAGCATTTCGCAAATGACCTCGACAGCGTGTTCGATACTTCGTGTTGCATTGCCAAAGGGCTGGTGGGGGCCCAGAACCATGAATGTGTTTGGCATGGAAGGGACAAGGATGCCGAGGAAGGTGCGTGGATTGAAATCTACCCAGACTGCGTTTGTGTTGGTCTGGCTGTTTCCCAGAAGTGGACAGGCGGATTTTGCTTGCCAGTCGATTGCTGCGAAGGCGCCAGTGATTGCATCGAAACCAGTAGCGTACACGAGGACATCAAGATCGTGAACTGTGCCTTCGGTAAGACTGATGCCATGAGGTGTGATCTGTGCGATTGGTGTTTCCTGCAGATCAACGAGGCAGACATTGCCTCGATTGAAAGCCTCAAAATATCCACTTTCAAGAGGTACTCGTCTGGTGCCGAAGCCGTGGTTCTTGGGTATCAACTTGTTGGCGACTTGAGGATCCTTGACCCTACTTCTGATCTTCTCCGCCATGAAGTCTGAATACAGCTTGTTTGCTGCACGATCAGTGTACGTATCAGAGAAGACACCCAGCCACTTTCCAAATCCAGGTTGCGAATACATTCTTTCCCACAACTCGAGTCGCTCCTCGTCGGTGACCTGCGATGATTTGCGAGGATCTGCCTGGTGAAGGAAGCACATTGGAGTCTGATTGCATCTTTGAAATGTCGTGACGTAGTTCTGTCTGTGCTGTACCATTTCGTCTTCTGAGATCGTCCAGTTGCGTAACGGTGCAGACCAGTTTGCTGTCCTCTGAAATACAGTGAGTGATTTGATGCTTGGCTCTTTTGCAACCTCGGTGATGGTTTGAATGCCTGTTGCACCTGTGCCAATGACGCCGATCCGCTTGCCTGCTAGGTCGCGAGACATGTCGAAGTCTGCTGGCCATCTTGAGGTATGGAAGGCCTGCCCAGCAAAAGTCTCGATCCCAGGAATATCTGGAAGTGTTGGCGATGATAGGAAGCCTAGACAGCTTACGAAGAATTTGGTTTCGTATTCAGCACCTGCTTCATCTGTAAAGAGCCAAGTTCGTGTTGCGTCCTGCCATCTTGCAGACTTTATGCGAGTATTGAACTGGATGTGATCGTAAAGTTGATGTTTCTCGCAAACCCTCTCAATGTATCGTAGTGTCTCCGGCTGTGGTGAGAATGCTTCTTTCCAATGCCATTCCTCTAGCAATTCCTTATCCCAGGAAAAGCAATAGGATATCGATTCTGAATCGAATCTTGCGCCTGGATATCTGTTCCAGAACCAAGTGCCGCCAACGCCTGTGCCTGCCTCAAGAATGCTGACTCGCCAGGTGGAAAATCGTTGTCGAATGTGATGTAAAGCGCAGATGCCTGAGAGGCCAGCGCCGATGATGAGGACGTCGTACTTGGTCAGTACTGGCATTGATCCCATGATGGAAAGGGTTACGGCTGTGAAGATGTGCTCTATTCTCTGCAGGTGTCGGACGCAAGCATATCAATGGCTTTGTAGTCACATCAGAGGATGTCCGGGGTGTGTTTGCGATTCTTGCGATCGGTGAATTGATGCTTGGGATGAGATAAGCAGAGTTGTGGTCTTCGATCAACGACGGCAGGTCGAGGAATTACTTGCCTAGGGTGGAAGCTTGGAGATGTGAGTGGAGACACGTTGTTGGAGTCCGAGGATCCTGGTCGAATCTGCAAGATTGCATGCTGCAGCTGGATTGAGAAGGTCTCATCTTGTGCACTGACCGGATTTGATTACGAGCTGACTGGGAGGTGATAGCATGGCTTGAATACCTATGGCAGAAGGTAATAACGACAAAGCTGAAATTTGTTCCCTCAATTTGAAGAGTGCTTGCTGCTTCGCTCACGATGGGGTGTAAAGTCGTTGTCTGTTGAGCATGCTATATCCTGACTGCAAAAGATCTACCGTGGAAGCAGAAGTCTAGTCAGTGGCGACCCAGTAGGTGAAGAACATCTCTCTCAAACAGCCGATGTCTATATCCTTCCAGGTCTTTCAACTACGAAGGAACTGTAGCCAGCTGCATGAATTTCTATCATCATGCTCACGATTCTCCCAAACCTTGAGCATCAATTGCCTCATCCTTTTGGAAGCCGACAACTTGTTGTGCATCGTGTCGACATCAAACCAAGCAGAGAAGTACTCCTGTAGATTCGGATCAATAGCCTCACAGCCTGCCACGAAAGCTGGCCACATGAGAGCATCGAACATGCCTGCTGTGTTACAGAGAGATTGGCATGTAGTGAGATACTCTTTGACGTGTACGACTCTTGCTTGAAGTAGCTCCGCATCAACCTCGTATATCCTTCGGTAGAAATATATCGCCAGTGCACTGTACAGCGTTGTTTGCATGAGGTCGGGCAGATTTCCTCGAAGTACGGGCCTGGATTTGTTGCATTGGAGGATATACCTCTCCAGTGCTTTTGCTCGAAAAGTGAAGTCTTTGAGCGACAAAACGGACGCGTCCATCTCGGCTATGCTTTTCTCATTGGCAAGTCGAATGATTTGTGAAAGCAGGGTGAGCCAAGTTTCAGGCACTCCAAAGATTTCTGGGTAGAGGGTTGCCTTCCATGTGCCTGGGCTAGCGAGGTGCAAATCGTTCTCGCCTACCTCCTGTGTCTTGAGTTCCTGAAACTTGAGTTCAAGATCACCCCAAGCACTCAAACCAAAGAAAGGCGTGTCTGCGCCTTTGACTACAACACCACTGCTCTCGACAGCATCGACAAGATTGAGAAGTAGTGGTGATCGTGACGAGGTCAAGGAAATGCTTTCTTGAAATATTCTTGCATAAGCATAGCAATGATGTAGCAGTCTTATTTTTCGTGACTTGTACGACTTGCAAAGGCCTCTGAGGCGTATAATCTTCTCAGTCTCTATCAGCAAGGTATCTGTTTCATCCCATGAACCATCAGCCATGGACAGCTGTATCATGGTCAACATGGCCATAATGATATGTTTGTACTTGAAGTGTTTGGGCGAGCTGAGCGCATCGTTGAGAGTATCCTGCAGGCATTCTCGTGCACGAGATTGAAAGAGTTGTGCTAATGCTGTCCAACGCTCATCCTGTGAGATCAGACTTAGCGCGCTGAGTGCGAGTGTGCCGAAGAAAGTGGTCAGGCTGGGAGAATCGGCATCTTGCCCGATGGTGATTGTGGCCAGTGTTTGCTTGGTAAAGGGTAAGAACAGAACGTGCCAAGGTGTCTTGTGGTGTCTCATGGGTGTCAGCATTGGAATGACCGTCTCGACGTAATGCTTCAGAAGGAGGGGTGCATTTTCGAAGGTCTTTTGCCAAAGCTCATTGTCATCAGTTTGAGTTGAAAGATTGAGTTCGCTAGGCACGGTCAATTCGTCATTCATGTTTCCGACCACTTCACCTGGTGGCAGCAGGCATTCAGCATTCCAATCCAGCGTGTCGAACGTGCAAGAATCCAGCTGGAAGTTTGAAGTGAAGACCAGGCTGTCGTCCAAGCTGGGATGCGTAGGGAGTCTGAAAGCGCCAAAAGGTCCCTGTATGATATCAATACCTTCGGAAGTAGATGTGGCCTGGCACTGGTCTTCTATGTAAGCGAGGACTCTAGAAGTATTACGGAATGGGATGGTCTGCAGCATAAGTGCATTCAGGCTCACACGCTCCTCGTCGGTGAACAGCAACTGCCTGTATCGGACCTGGCCATCGACTTTGTCATCGTCGAAGAAGATCTGCTTGAGGTATCCTGTGCAGAAAGAACCATTTTCCGTACATGTCGAGCAGGTGGGCCTGGCCTCATCGCATTTGATATGGCGGGAGCGGCACTATTATCGTGAGTAACTATGCCAACATACATCTTGACGGCACTCACTGTGCCACAGCCACGGAATGAACGAACTCTACATGGTGAGTCGATTGAATTGCTCATGGTATGGCGAATGCATGATTGCTGAGGATTAATAGCGATGTTCCAAGGGAAGTGGAAGGTGTCGGGGTTCCGGTTTAGGCTCCACCTTCCCTGGAATTCGCAACACGGGGACACCTGCCTTCTTGTTCTTTTCTTATCAATTCTCTGCAACACTTCTTCTCGAATTCTACTGAGAGAAATAACACCATCCATGAATCGAAGCATACACGTGTAGTACGTGGCTGTCTCATGCAGTGAATGCCCGCAGGTCCTTCTCCACCACAGTCTATTACTCTTCTTTCCTTACGAATACCGGCATACCCTTCCCCACCAAGTCGTATGGCCTCGAGGGCTATCCTCGTCTCGCGTCCACAGACTGAGCCTCAGATCCTTCCCCACTGTGATCAGAGCAGACTTACTCGCGCATAGTCAGATGTGTTTCCTTCTCGATAAGTGCAACAATTCCTGCTGACCAAGTGCTCGTACAGCTTTCTTCCTGTGATTGTCAACTTCGTGAGCTTTTGCTGAATTTCATAGACCTGTGGCACTTCCACACCTCACCTTACCTCCCCAGCGTTACCTCCTGTCCTTCTCCATGGATGTTCCTGGGTTCGCCTTAATTACAGGTGCGGCTTCTGGTATTGGCAAGGCCTGCGCGTTGACCTTCGCAAGAGATGGTGCAGCTGGAATCGCCCTGTTCGACTTGAACGAGGAAGCTTTGGCGGCAGTTGAGCAAGAGATTGATGAGCAACAAACAAAGATTGGCAGGTCGTGCCAGGTTCTCACACTGACGGTCAACGTGGCTGCAGAAGAAGAGGTGGAAAAAGCTGTCCTTGCTGTTGCGGAGCAATTTGGTCGACTAGACTACGTTGTGAATGCTGCTGGCATTGCGATCAAACACCAAGGCGGTACTGCTTTCGCAGACACTGCCGCCTGGCAGAAGACGCTGGACATCAATCTGACCGGTACCTTCTTCGTCCTGCGAGCGACTGCGAAGATCATGCTGAAGCAAGAGCCCATCTTGTCGAGCATAGATGGTCGACCGCTTCAGAGGGGCTCAATCATCAACTGCAGCTCGATCCAGGGCGTAGTCGGTGTCCCTTTGTCTGCTGCCTATACTGCCTCGAAGCATGCGGTGATAGGCTTGACTCGAACTGCCTCGGAGGACTACGCTAAAGACGGCTTGCGTATCAACGCCATATGCCCTGGCTACACCGAAACCCCCATGACCACAAAATCGCCCTTGATACTGCAGGCGATGGTGGAGCGAGTGGCTACTGCAGTGCCCATGCAGCGTATGGGTCAACCTCATGAGATCGCTGATGGTGTCGTATACCTGGCTGGTGGTAGGAGTTCTTTCGTGACCGGAACTGCCTTGTCTGTGGATGGAGGATATACGCAAAGGTGAGATCAGCATACTAAGTACGCTGAGTCCTTAGCGGTTCTCGATGCAGTTCTCGGAGTAAAGATTAAAAAGTCATGCAGCAACTAAGTTTATTCTATACGTTTCTCTTCCTTCCGATATGCCAAGCTGGCACACACAACGCGCACGCTCCCAGGCAAATACTGATTCCACTAAACATTTGAGCCCTCTTGTAATCATTCATTTCCGTGTTGACCAATATACCTGCAATAGGTGCACCTATCAGAGCGGCGAATGAGACGATACACCACATCATTCCTGAACGAGCACCTACCACGTGCGCCGGCGACAAGCGCGGAAGAACAGCATTTGGCAACGAGACCGTGATTCCAGACATGAAGCCTACAAGCACTCCCCAGACCATGATCCCGGTTCTAGACTGAATCCCTATCCAACATAAGATTAACGTACCCAGACTGAATGCACCAACAACCAGTGTCCATGCTGGTCCGATTCTCCTCGACTGGGCCACAAAGGCGGGCAGTATACGACCTGCAAAAGACCCTGCATTCATCATCGCCAGCAGGTCAAAGGCAAACTCTGTACCGGTCCGCATCTTCAATTCGGCATACACAGGGATCGTGAAAGGAGGAATCCAATATCCCAGCTCGACGAGGAAGAGACCGATGCACAAAAGAATGTAAGGAGGCTCTTTGAAAGCTGACAGGTCCAGAAACCCTCGCCGAGGAGGAATTGGAGATTTAGGCCAGAGTAGAATGACTGCTGACGCTGATGTTACGAGTGTGAATAGGGCAAAGACACGGTTGAGCCAGTCGAAGCCGATTCTGGAGACGAGCGATCTAAACGTGATCGGGAGGATGACGCCGCCTACTGCTGCTCCGCTGGCTCCAATACCAAGAGCGATTGGGCGGAGGTTTGTGAATGCGTTGGCAACTGCTGCCACAGCTGGTACATATGTCAAGCCTTGTCCTGCACCTGTCAGTCAGTGAGGTATGCTGCTTGGGGACTGACCTGTTCCTATGCATACTCCTTGAGATAGCAAGATCGAGGCATAGCTATGGCTAAAGCTGAGTGTCAAATGTCCGAGAACGACGAGAAAGCATCCAAAGCTGAGTACACTGCGACTATAGCCACGGTCGAAGAATGGACCGGCTACGACGCCAGCTAGTCCGAGCAGAAAGACTTGCATGGTTCCAATCCATGATATCTTTGATGGTGAAGATGTGGCGAGAAGATTCGTCTGGTAATATGCCTGATATGCGCCGTAGGTGGCGGCAACTCCATAGGTGTTGATGAAGACGAGGAAGCAGCCAAGCACCTTGAGCCATGCAGCGACACTTTTGTCAGGAGCAGGGTGTGATACTGTTATGGTTGTGTGTCGTGAGTTCGCAGCGTCCATCGTTGGGTGATTGACCAACAGCGTCCATGTTGTGTTGTGGTCTGAAGTGATTGTTTCCGTCCAAAAGATTGAGTAATGACGTGCTTACTTTGATTTTCGCTGTGCTGCCAAGCCTCGTGAATCTCTAGCTCAGGCTCATAGATAGGCCTGAATTTCATTTCAGGTATTGCAGATGTTGCTTCAACATCGAAAGCTGTGAACAATGCTTTGCAAAACTTCGCCTTGGGCTTTTCACGCTACGAAGCTCGACCTTGGGCTGATATCGGCCTCGTGTCATTAGGGAAGTATTCTGAAACTGCATGATGCAGCGAATTGGTCGGAAACTAGCTCCGTCTCGGTTGGTCGAGTAATTCACTATACGGCATTTTGCAGGCCTACAGATAGTGTTCTCTCGAAAGAGGCAGAGGGAGAGAGGGAAAGAGGGACAACAGTATCGCACCATACCTCTGCGGCGTAAAGAAGCTGAGTTGAGCTTTCACTTATGACATCTTATCGAATCAACAACGGCGAGTGCTTGAATAATAGCAACAGCGCTGCGGTCTGGACATCCCTCGGAGCCCGTTGAACAGTTGCGACCAGTCGTTGTAGCTGTGCGTTACCGACCACTCCACGACACTTTGCGACTTAGTTCAGTACTGGCCCGTCTTACCAGTATCCTTGCGCTACCATACAACAGCAGGCGAGAACTTCGCTGTGTCCAATGTCGATCCCATCTGCAACCGACGCGAGGGCGGTCGAAACGGGTTGAAGCTGCATATGCATCACATAGCGATCTACAACGTTCGACAGCAACTAAGTTGGCGCCAACTGTGACACCGGACGGTTACGGCGCCGATTGTCTATCAGCGGATCACCCACGAGTACCAGAATACTGGCATTTCTCTAAGCGTACACTACAATAGTGTTGAAACAGACGGATCGATAGGTCGATCGTTTCTGTTTATCTCGTGTTCATAGCTGGATCTGAACTGACGTGTACGTGCTATGTGCTATAGACTAACGCAACTAACGATTCAATCGGGACATAGCTCAGCTTAGCTAGGTAAAACGGTACAACAACTTCCTGAACACAGCCAAGCAAATGGTGGGCAAGGGCACTAAAGACGAGGCACAAAAGAACGAAGCTCACTCGGTTGTCCATCAACTGACTCTTATTCCTCTGCTGAAACCCCCTGTCTAAGCGCATGGAATGTAGTCGGCAATGCAGCATGCAATCTAACTTGTACACCATTACCACTCCGGTTCTCGATTGTATGATGGAACCTCATTGGCCCAGGTGCTTCAACATTCTCGATTGCATCGAATGTCTGAAGTAATCGAATGATCACGTACATTACTTGAGTCCTTGCGAACTGTTCTGGGACAGGCGTTAGCAATACAGAGATGGGCAGATGACTAAGTAAAACTTACGTCCTAGGCATTGTCTAGCGCCAGATCCAAAAGGAATGAAGTCCCAGTCAGCCCTACGACCTGTCCACCTTGACGGCTTGAATAAATCTACATCAGGTCCCCATATATCCTCCCGATGCTGCATGGAATAAGTAGGGATGAGGATCTGACGACCTTTTGATACGAAAACTGGCGATAGACCGTCTGGACCACCACCTCGAGGAAGAGTAGTGTCCTGCAATGCTGCTCTTTCATTCATTGGCACGATCCCAACCATTCGTATGGTCTCGTTGATGACTTGAGGCATAAACGTCATTGAGTGTATTCCCTTGAAAGTGATTTCTATTGGAGTTCCATTCGACGTGAAAGTGTTCAAGATTTCCGCCCGCAGAGTCTGGAAAACATCTTCATGTCGAGCTAGGAAATACACGATCCAGCCCATAAGTGCTGCAGTCGTATCACGAGAAGCATGAAGTACGTTCAAGGTCTCGTTACGAAGTTCAGCAGGATTTCGTGAATGCTTGGCGAGTTCATCAAGCAGGACATACTTGTCTTGCATGTCGCTGGAGCGCTTCTCTTCGTTAGTCTGCTCCAAGGCTTTCCGAACGAAGTAGTCGACAAAACTTCGGAGACCTTTGCAATGCTCCGAGTATCCATCGGAATTGACGAGCCAGCTATATTTCGCTAAAGCGCCTTGACGATCAAGGATGTGCTTCACTTCGTCAAGATGGGCTCCAAAATTAGCGACATCTGGTGCTTCTGGGTCTCTGCTTAATGGTAGCCTCGAGCGCGCGTCGACGTCTTGGCTCCAAACACTTTGGCCGTACTTATGGAAATCAGATGGAGTTCCGGGCAATATATATTGTCCACTTACCAAGAATTCAGTACTTATGTCGAGGGTACAATATGAGAACAAAGGCTGCAGATCAACCTTGCTAGTCCACAAATCTTGGGTGGGCCTCAGTTTCTTAAACAAACTCTGCACATGTTTCTCAAACATTGGCAAATTTGCAGTATTATCCCGGGTGAATTGTGGTCGAATGAGACGTCGAGAGTGCTGCCATGCTTCACCACGTGCAGTCATAACCCCCAGACCGAACGCAGACTTGAAGGTCTTCTCACGATGAGGACCTATATCGAAGTCCGCAGACTGGGTGTTGAAAATTGCCTTGATGTTATCGATATCACGGGTGATTAGCAGCTCGTAGTCGAAGACACAGGCTCGCACGGTATGCACATCTTTTCCGATTTCATTGATGGCAGCATGCATCCATTGAGGTCCCCATTCAGCTTTAGTTGCTGCGACACTCTCGCGTAAGGTATTAATACCCCAAAACCCTCGATTTCGAGCAACCGGGGGTGGGAGACAACCTCTTCTTTGTGCTTCACGAGCAATATGCCTTCTTGTTGAGAATAGCTTGATTATTTGGTAGACAATAAAAGCTACTGAGGCATACCCGAAGGCACATGAATATGAAAATGCCATGATCATTATCGTTGATACTAGGAGAATACTATCACATCAAGTTCCGAATATTGTACAGTCTATGTGACACAAATAAGACAGGCCCGAGACTATGAGTATAGAGTTAAACCCTGAGCTCACATATCGGCACGATGCTCTCATACTCAACCACACCTATAAGAACGTACCGACGTTACAGGCGTCATGTTCAAGCAGTGTTGCGACTCAGCGTCACATGCCCCACAAAGTTGCAACTGTTTTTGCGCACAATGCGCGCCAGTCGTTCAACTCATCAACAAGTATTTATCATTAACTTTGACAAGAAGAGCCTCAAGAGTTTCCCCATGCGTGATAGCACTATTTCAGAAGTCTTGAAGAGAGATCTACTGTGGCAGGACAATAGTCCTGCAGATCTTTATTGATGAACTACCAGATCCGTCAATGTTGAGTCTCAATCATAGAAGCTAAGACAAAATCTGTATGGATAGATGAGGAGCACGACCAATGAAACGGAATGACTCTGTGTCTTGTAAGAGCGCAAGGAGTTGATCGACGATGTCGGGTAAAATGGCAGATGGGTTCAGAAGAACGTCTCCATGCTCCAGACTGGAGGAACCTCGCTGGCACGAAGCTGAGGTCACGGAAGTCCCAGTCATGCGCTGTTCTACATTATTCTGTTGGATGTCGTTCGTTTGGTACTTCGACCTTCAACACACAGGTTTGGAGTTGATACTTTGGAGCGAACAAACTTAATCCACCGAGCGAGGACCGGAAGCGGACGGGGCACTCTTTATGTCAACATGGAGATTGTGGAACTCATGGATCTCTCGGCTACCGCTAGACCTGCAGCTGAACTCCGGTCGAAGTTTCAGCCCTAGTTCCACTATTCCGATGGATCTTCAGGTTCCACTGTCCCGGGCAATATCCACCATACCGACTCGTTAGCACACTAGCGGCTAGTCGGCCAGGGCCCTGGCACGTGAAGTTTAAGTGTAAACGCTACGATTGTAGTGCAGAGATCATTTCCGTTACTGTGTGCACGAAACGTGAATAAAATCATGTAACGAAATGCTTCCCCCACTATCTCAGGGACTCCACATGAATCATCAGAAACTCACAGTAGCTGGTAGTTGCTTAGGCCTCCAAGCTGTGCCAGAGTCGTCACGACACCCTCAATTCCATGGCCGTCATAGTGACGACCTAACGCAGGACCGTCACTACCACTAAATTCGTCCTCCAGTACACCTTGCTTAGCTAGTACTCCAACAGTCTCCAAGCCTCGTTGTCGCTCCCTTTCAATGCGTTCGCGAGTCCATTCAATCTTGACTTGATCTGTGCTTGATCTGCGAGATTCATCGTAGCTGCTCTCACTGTCAGAGCCTTCGATCTTTTCAACATCATCCATAGCAAGTTTGACGGCCTCGCGCCTAGTTAGTCCTTCGGCCATGTTGGTCTTGAGTTGTGCGTGAACAGCGTCTGTCTGTATATCCTCCTTCGCCGGTAGTAAGCCAGCGAGTTCGAGCATGACTTCCGGCGCGACAGTCATGCGGCCGTTTTTGAAGACGACTTTGCTCAGCGCTGTTGCACATACAGAGCTACACATTGGCTTATCAAAATTGCGATGAGACTTCTTGCCGTTGCTGTTCTGCTGAGGATATAGACTGTGCTCTGTGGGCTCGATCTTGTCGCCTTGTTTGACAAAATGAGTGACGAGGTAGAACCACTTCTCGTCCCATGACAAGATCCTCGTCCACATGTCGTACGCCTCGTAAGGCTTGAACTCTTTCCTGAAAGTGCACGAGACAGCTCCCAACGGCATAGTAAATTGACTGCGAGGCTGTCCGCTCAGACCGTTCATCGTAGTACCGCCGCGGAACTTTTCAATCGAATGGCTGAACATGGTGGTGATGAGATGTGTTCGTGCGATGTCGACGTCGGTGAAGTATGTGCTGTTTGACTTGTGACCGAAGACATCGATTTCTGTAATGGGTGCTTTGGAAGAGGTAATCATGGGTTGGAAGAGGTGGTCTGGTGTGAGTTTATGTGGTGAACGCTGGGATTTTAGAACGAAGCGGATGGCATTGAGGATGCGAAGGTGATAGATGAATGGAAAATTCTTGAAATTGATGGCAATCAAGAGGATGAGTAAAGTGTTCCATAGCAGAGAAAGGTTGAGGTATTGCCAGAGGCCTGTCGCGAGTGTAGAAACATCGTGGCTGACGATATGTTGTTGCTTCACAAAGGAGTTGCAGTCTTGGATTGAGATAGTTGCCATGATGTTAGTGATGATAGCTGGGACAGCTCGAGCTGCTTCTTCGTGAGGTGACACTAACAGGCGTATACAGAACGTCTGAACCTAGAGTCACAAGATGATAGTCCAGGAAAGCCAAGCTTTATTATAAAGTAATTGGTCGAGGATCCGTCAATTAGCCAGCACGACCCCAAGTCGTGGGAATTTGTTTACCTTCATCATAAACGTAGCCGTTGATGAAGACAGCCCCTGCGTCGTGGCGTTGTGTCAACTAAATCAGCAGTTGACATTCAAGCACTGCAATAGAAGGATTGACATTCATTAGTGGCTCTGAGTTATTAGGAGATGCATCGAAGTGGAAAAATTTATTGACGTTTCGCTTGCCGAAATTGCTGCTTCTACTAATGCCCTGCAGCATCGCGGATCGCCAGCATGCTGATCACATCACTCGTCACATGACAGAAAGACGCTCTATCTAGATTAGATTGCTTGTTCGTCAACAGCTTGTCAACATCTTTCAGAGTTTCGAGCTACAACCCAAAGAGGTTGGCTGATGCTTCAATGTGACGGTGATTGACGTAACAACCAGCGCCCGCTTGTCTTTGGTCAAGCGCGTACCAAAGTCCAAACAGCAACAACAACAACAGGCTCACGATGAGGATAGTGGCGTTTTAAAAACTCTGCTAAGAACACTGAAATTTCTGGTGCCGAATGATATCAAGCACTGTAACGGAATATATGCAAGATCTACGGACACGCTCCGTAAACTGGTTGGAAGAGACAGTATTTCAGCCAGTAACGCCGAGAAACAACCATGGCAGTCTACTAAGCCAAATTCGAACGGTCTGGTACTTTTGCAAAGTCAGATACCAGTCTCGAATTGAGGCTTGATATTGAGCCTCACTTATAATAAATACTATGTGGCTGCGTATCCAGTTTTGTTGTTGTCGTTCATTTTCATTAGAGACAGGAGACGGGTGATAGTGGTAAGACATCATGAAAAGCGCCATTCACACTCACTAAAGAACGAACGTTTGTCATGACGAAAGAGCTCGGCTAAAAACATACCTACTGTTGGACAGTTGAGACAAATTTATGAGCATTCAGTGAAGCCGAATAGCATGTGCTGTAGTCGACAAGGTCTTCCATATCGGCTGCACGCCAGACGATAATATACCTTTTTCAGTAATCGCCGCAATAAGAGGACTACTAAAGTTTGGGCACAGTACGTTTTCTATAGGGTACGGGTTAATCTTCAGGTCCGCTGGAAGTGGATTCTAAGAGACGCCAATGTCTTAACCCGGCTTCCTGAACGCCCACATGTCCCGATTCAGAGACCCAGCAAACTTTCTCCTACGGGCTGACGGCATGTGGCTTCACGTAAAAGCTGAGGATCTGCGACTGAAAAGTGGAGCTTGCTCTTATTTGAACGTCCACAACATGCTGGAGCATTGTGGACGTGATCCTATCGTGTAATATCTCTACAGGAAAGCAGAAGATGAATGTATACTTAGAAAAGATGTGACTATTGTATACCAATTTTTGATGAAGAGTCAATGATTAGTGAAGTGTCTTGGATTGTTTTACCCAGTAAGCAACAAATCAGATTTGCATAACATACGTATATGAAAATAAGTAATTATGAACATGATTACTAAGAGCTGAACCACAAACCATTAACCGTTCCCAATATGATACCCACTGCGTGCTAGTATTTAGCTCGGCAGAACATGAAAAACGCCCTTGCTACCTTCCATTAGGCTGACTGCGACAACGATTATATCGAGATTGAACATTTTTCATCCCTGAGAGTCTCTACGACCGTGGTCCCAGCTGTACGAAGGGCGTCCACAGTCTTCTCAGAAGCTTCCTCAAGTGTAGGTACTTGAGTTTTCGAAGCCTTCTTCAAAGCCTTTTTGGCAGCAGCTGGCTTCTTGTAGGTTGACAGATAAAATCCAATGAATAGGAAAAGATATGATGAAATGATGGCGCAGCCAGTTGCAGCAGCAAGCTCCTGCTTTGGATCACCGCAAGTGCCCACGTGAGGGAGCGATGGTGCGTATGTGCTAACAGCATAGTTGTAACAGGCGAAGTAGATAAATCCTGATCATATTAGCACTTGATGTATCGTGATAGATTGCGAGATTGCTTACCGAGGTCAAGAACAAATTGAGAAATCTGTAGCATTGTAATGTACTGCTTCCACCATACACGGACGCCACGAGCGGACTGGTAGTAGTACCAATACATGACGACGTGAACCGTCAGATTGAGTGTGATGGGGACCCAAGATACAGAAGTTTGGCCCACGAGTTGAGTGTAACATAAGAGAGCGGTCGCACCATGGTGGTAGGTGTGTAGTAGAGTGAGAGGTTTCTTCTTCAGGACAAGGAAGACTGTATCCAGCAGCTCCAAATATTTTGTCAGGTAGTTGAGGTAATACAGGACGACGAGTGGTTTAGTCCAGCCACTAACTCCACAAACATTGTCGTATAGGCCGTTGTTCCAAATGCTAGGTACTATTTGCTGTAAGAACAAGACCAGGAGGGCACCGGAGATGGCTGTGAGGTAAAAGTTGTGAATGATGAATGCTGTGTGAAGCTTGAATGCGGGACGATTAGCCATCAAGGCACGTCCGCCGAAGATAACCACATAATATGTTGCAATCCACGATAGAACAGCTTTAGTGGTTGAAATTGGGGTCGAACCCTCCTCGAATCTGAAATCCTGTGCAGGATATCCCACAAGAGTTGTCCATGCTTTGTCAAATATCGACCAGGGATCAATGTTGAGATTCACAGGAGTTAACTCAACGGTACCACTGGAATGAAATTGGGGAACTGCATATGGGAGCAGGGTTGCCGCAGCAGAGATGGTCGAATTCATGAAAGTCATGGTGAAGAACAATGTCGGAGGTGTCAGAGATGTCTAAGATGTACTTGAGTAAAGAATGAATGAGTGTGTACGAGAGAAAGATCTTGATGGGCGAGAGTCGTGCCAAAATATATCACCATCAGAGTCTCATGAATGGATCGAGCACAAGTGGAATTGGTGAGGTAAGTGGTGTTCGGTCAATAATCCCCTTCCGTGTGTAGCAACGATCTCATGTAGGAGATTGTATAGCTTGGAGTGATCTTCTCCATAACTTTGTCGCTTACAGTAGGTGGGCGATGTATCTCTGCTCGAATCCGCTCCTAAGAATTTCCAGGGGCCGGCCATCAAATCAGACTGTTCACACAAAACAAGCCCAGCAAGTGTCGAAGCAAGGATGCCACTAATTCGATGGGTCTGCGATGAGTGAGGACTCGTTCAGCTCTCGCGCTTCTTCCGGCAATCGATACTCCACGATGAGAAAGGCTGAACGTCATGTCCATGAGCTTGACTATACAGGCGCTACCAATATCGCAGCGGACAACACCATGAATATCTTTCGGAGACCCGAAGCAAATGGTAGCCAGTGAAGGCAATATTTGGTAGCTCCACGATGTCGATCATGGCACCTCATCATCAGTTCTCCCCTTGCTTGATATTCGCCGTCGCCAAGCGTTGAGGGAGCCATAATCTGTAGACTTGGCGATCAATTCCTTCGCTGTCGACACATAGACATTAAGTGGATTTAAACTTTGGTTGTCTATTCATCAATCTGTTGCACATGCAGATTATGCTGAATCGATTCGTACCAATAGGATTATGTCAAGCTTTTCCTAATAAGGCCGCGGGCAGAGGACTCCACATTACCGGGAAAAAATCTCCCTGACCCACCAACTTGTCCTTTCTCCGTGAGACTACTTTCCTTGACGTCGATCTTCTGGATCAAGCTTGTGCAATCGCCGTCTGACAGGCACTGATGCATGAAGATTAGATCACGAAAGGCTCATGTCATGTCTGAGTACAACCAAGCGTGGATTGCATGTAGGGAGGCTCGACTCACCAATGCGAACCGAACCATGCTCCTCGAGCGGATAGTATTGTTGGCAATCATACGCCCCTGTATTCTGCGTGTTGCCATCATCGTTAGTGTGCATAGGTACGCCGGTTTTAAGTATTGAGCTGAGGTTATCAACATGCTCATTAACCCTCTCTCTTCCGCATCTAACTGTTCTTCGTCTGGACAACTTCATTAAAAACATTCCAATATGGCTCTTCAAGTACCATTCGTGCCTTATGTCGCAGCGATAACCGTGGCTGGGTACTCAGTAGGCAAGCTGAGCGAAACAACTACAGCAAGCATCCTTTCCTGGTTACTTCCAACAGCTGTACTGTTGCATGTTTTCTATTCTTCCTATATCTATCCTTTTTATTTATCTCCTCTACGACACGTTCCAACAGTGCCAGGATTTCCACTATGGGGTCAGTTCTACGAAATCATCACCTCGGAATGTGCTGTTCCTGCCAGAAAATGGCATGCACAGCATGGTGGTGTAGTGCGCTACTTCTTTCCTTTTGGTTCAGAACGTCTCTCTATTGCCGACGACGATGCTATCAAGCAAATGACTGTGCGAAACCCTTACAACTGGCCAAAACCTTTACGAGCTAAAGCTTGGATGTTGCCAGTTCTTGGCGAAGGTGTACTTCTTGCTGAGGGCCAAACACACGTACAGCAAAGAAAAGCTTTGACACCAGCATTCTCTATAACATCCATCCGCTCCTTGATGCCTGTTTTCTGGAAGAAAGCACTCCATATGTCAGAACTATGGGATACAGAAGTACACCAAGAACCAACAAAGACCAAGTCCTTCGAGGTTCTGGAATGGTTGAACAGGACGACTTTGGATATTATCGGCAAGGCAGGCTTGGGAACCGATATCGACTCGCTAGATGATCCAGAAACTCCTCTAAGACAAGCCTACAGAGCATGCTTCGACTTTGGTCTACAAGCACGTATCATCAACGGTCTGGCGGCGTTCACACAACTTGTGCGACTGGTTCCGGCGAAGACCAACAAGGATATTGCCTTTGCCAAGAACACAATTCTTTCACGAGCGACCGATATCATCAAGCAGAAGCAAGTTGAAGCCCAGGAAAACAAAAAGACTTCTAAACCCAAGGATATTATTGGACTTATTGTCCGCGACAATATGACAGCTTCCAAGGAGGATGCTCTGACCATCGACGCGATGCGCGATCAGGTGATGACCTTCCTTGGTGCAGGGTAAGTACTTGCCTTCACTTTTTCAGTCTGCGCTAATGATATCCAGGCACGATACTACTGCCACATCCGCTGCTTGGACGTTGATGTTGCTTGCGAAGCACCCTGAGATACAGACCAAACTCAGAAATGAGATTCGCGAATCCTTGCCCTTCTTGTTCGATGATTCTAAGAGATATGATTCTGCGATGTTCGAGAAGGCTGATGTCGATTTGCTACCATATCTGGAGGATGTCTGCAAGGAGTCATTGAGATATATTCCATCCATCCCGATGACAGTGCGCAGGTCGCGCGAAGACGATCAGATGGGTGGTTACTTCGTTCCAGCTGGCACCACTGTCTACCTGATGGCAAATGCTATCAACCGGTTGGAAAGCTACTGGGGCCCTACTGCAAATACCTTTGACCCTGATCGCTGGCACAATCTCCCACCTACCTATACCACGAACGCTTTCATGACATTTTTACAAGGTAAGCTACTCCTCGTTCACGATTGTTGGTCGGTCGTTAACTGTCATAGGTCCACGTGGGTGCATTGGCAGAAAATTTGCCGAAGTTGAGATGAAGGCCTTGCTTTGTGCGCTGCTGAGTAAATTCACCTTCGAGATGGACAAGACTTTCAAAGAGGATCCCGAAGACTTGAAAATGTGGCGACTCGTCTTGCGACCAAGAGATGGTATCAATCTACAAGTTTCACCTATTAAAGCATAAGCGGCATGCTTTGGTTTCTCCTTCAATCTCATTCTAGTCTCGGTTTTTGAATAGTTGGTACAGAATTTAGGCGGTTGTCACAAAAGAATAGAGCATTATGAATATTAACAGAATAATCACGAAATTTTCATTTCTACACAAATGCACACTGGCAAAAAATGTCTGCTATACTTTCATGCCTTACCAAATGTTCTTTGCTGCCGTTATGCTAACATCGTGCTTGGGCTCTTAGCAAGCATGCAATTGAGTCACTCCCCCAAGACATATGATCATCATCTCGAGCGAATCATTTATCAAAGGAGTGGACAATGATGGGAGCTGATCGGCAACACCACGGGCGTGGTACGGGCGAGCCCCAGGTGACACTTTTGCTCGATCGGCAATGTCTGCGTGCTTCAGAAGTGCAGTCCTGCGGCTTCGAGGGTTATCTCCTTGGATAGTGGAATCCCTCACTCAAGACGGTAATTACTGTAGTCGTAGGATAAAATTCCGAGAATGTAGGGATCTGCACTGCGAAGTATGTGACAACAAAAGTTCTAGCAGACCTTGCCTACCGAAGCACGCTAGGATCAGAATAGGATGCCTTATCTCTAGTTGGAGGATCTGCAGGAGAAATGCGGCTTTGACATTTGATACCGGATCAAAATTACCACCAAGACGATGATATTAAGGACTAGTAGATCGTTTATGTCAATTCTGCAGGCGGCCCTCGCTTGGCGCATGCCAGGGTAGGATTCTAGCGCAGATAAGCTTAAATCGACCAAGTCCTTACCCACCATACGTAATCATTCTTCTCCACAGCGCAACAGCCGACGATGGATTGGCTTCGTCCGATTGTAATGCCTGCACCACGTATGATAGTCCTCTTACCAGACACTCTGTTCGCGTCCAAGTGACGAATAACACGAACACTGGATGAAATTCTTGTCATGCCAAAATACAGTACTTGCGGCGCGCTTCGTCCAATGACACGTCATGAGGGGGGCACGACAGTATGAACACCATCTTCACTTCTTGGAACCTCAACATGTCCACATCGCCGCTACCCACCGCGCTTGGACGTCTGGGGCTGCCCAACTTGGTGAGTCTGACGACAATCGTCCGGACCAGGAAAACTGGAAACGCAATCACCTTGGAACAATACTTTTCAGGTTTGCCAATACATGGAGACAGACACGATTTTGGGCTTTCCATTCTCGTTGACATGCAGGTTCTGTTCCTCCGAGATTGACTATGTGACAGAACAACAAGACCTGGTTCTCCTGTTCGGCACTACCACTGTCTCCTCTGCTAGCATATATTGGTGGCGCCGACGTCATTTGTCGCCTGTTGCGGCCAAGGAAACTGCTACATCGAACGCTCGATCAGTGACTCCTACAGGTTAGAAGTGTTCGCTCGCACATGACTCTCGCAGAGGTGAATGGGATTCACACTTTTGTTATCCTGCCTGTAACAGAGCCTTTTGTCTGATTAACCTTGACAACAATGGCACATTTTACTGCCTCATATGGTCAGGGCGACAACAACGACTGGCTCAACGACTTGTTTAGAGACATAGCCCAAACCACAGAGCACAACATTGACGATGGCAACCGTGATCGAAACTCGCGAATTAGCATTAGACGCAGCAGAACAGTTTTATCTACTCGATCGGCAAACTCACCATTCGAGGCCTTGTCGCGTTTCAAGAGCCCTGATCGAAGTGAGCCTCCAGCAACTAATGAGAGTGTGAAGGCTTTGTTACCTTGTACTCCCTCGAGACCTGTCTCAGGCGTGTCGACAAGACTATCGGCCGACTGCCATGATAGAACCAGTATAGGATCACCAATATCGAGGCTGTCATCCAATCTTCCTCCATCTACTATAGCCTTTGATAGCAAGTCAAGCAGCAGTGGGACGAAGCACTTAATTCCTCGCCCTGCGGCGACTCACCACCGACAGCAATCCTTCAGTACCCGTCTCTCCACAATTTCGTCGTCCAGCTCGATAGCTTCTGATTTCTCCGGCTTTGCACCTCATCCAGGTGTCCGACCACTAGCCATTACCGAGGACAGATCAGTCCTGGGCAAAGCAGCTGGTCCTACAGATGACGACCACGAGTACCCGGGTCCTTTGCCTCTAGCATTGATCATCGTCGGTATCTGCTTGTCAGTCTTTCTCATCTCTCTCGATCGTAACATCATCACAACGGCAATACCAGAAATTACTGCTCGGTTTCATTCATACGACGATATAGGATGGTATGGCAGCGCCTACCTGCTCACCGCGTCAGCTTTCCAACCCCTCTACGGGAGAATTTATATGTCATTCGACACAAAACAGTCTTTTCTCTATGCTGTCGGCGTATTCGAAATTGGTTCATTGATCTGTGGCATCTCTCCCTCATCGAAGGTCCTCATCATCGGTCGTGCTATTCAAGGCGTGGGTTCAGCAGGCATTCTGACTGGTTCTTTCGTGGTTGGTACGCACTCGGTCAGGCTGCAGGCTCGTCCTATCCTGTTCGCTTTCGTTGGCATTCTTTATGGAGTTGGTGCCCTGTGCGGACCTCTCCTTGGAGGCGTCTTCACAGACCTTATCTCTTGGCGCTGGTGCTTCTACATCAACCTCCCTGTCGGAGGCATTACGTTCCTTTCTGTTCTCATCTTTTTCACATCACAAAAACACGACTCTTCTATTGTAAGCATACCCTTCACGAAGAGGGTCCTTGCTCTTGACTGGATCGGCAATCTCATTCTTCTTGGAGCCTGCACAATGCTCTTTTTGGCACTGCAATTTTCTGAAGAACGCCACTCGTGGTCTAGCGCCCGCTGCATTGGCCTCATCTGTGGCTTCGGTGTTACAGCAATGGTTTTCGTTGCCTGGATGTTTCACAAGGGCACAGCGGCTCTTATTCCTGTTCATGTGATCCGCCAACGAACAGTCGCTGCCTCTTGTGGAGCAGCCTTTTTCATATATGGTGCTCTCCTTCTTCATTCATACTATCTACCTATCTGGTTTCAGGCTGTCAAGGGCGCTTCAGCAATCGGCTCCGGTGTGAATATGATCCCCTACATGGTCGTCAACGCCTTCTTCTCGCTGTTTGCAGGCATCTTCGTCTCCAAGAACGGTCTGTTTGCGCCTCCTGCTATCATTGGCTGTGCCATTGGCACTGTCGGTGCAGGTCTTCTTGCCACCCTCCAACCCAACACTTCCACCGCCACCTGGGTCGGATTTGAGGTACTTATCTCTGCAGGCCTAGGCATGGCTATTCAGCAAGGTTTCAGTGCCGTTCAAACCGTCTTGCCTTTGAAAGAAGTTCCCATCGGTACGGCTGCTGTCGTGGCCTGCCAATCTGCAGGTGGTGCCATCTTCGTGTCTATTGGCAATACGCTTCTACAAAATCACTTGCTAGATGAGAACAATGCAAACGCGATCCCTGGTGTTAATATCAGATCAATAATCGAGCTTGGTACGATACGGTTTCGTGCTGTTGTACCTGCGGCTGATCTACCCGCATTGATCAACTTGTACAACGACGCGTTGCAAGCTGCCTTAATTGCGGCAGTTCCATTGTGTGGCTGTGCGTTTCTCTGCTCTCTATGCATGGAGTGGAAGAGTTTGAAGAGAAAAGCTGTAGGTGAGCCTGTGGACACAGAGTCGAATGCAGCGAAGGTCAGTGAGAAAAGAGAAGATGCAGACTCAGGAGTGAACGGGAATACCGACAGCACGACGATCAGTAGTGCTGCAACGCTCGGTGGTGATGGGCATGATGACTATGAGAAGCCGAAACCGAGCTTTAGTGGCATTCGATCCATTAAGAGGTTCTCGAGAGGATCAGAGAAGAGTTCGAAGAGGTAGTGTACAAAGAATCTGGTGTTCGAAAGTCTATGACAAGATATTGGGAAGAGCGGCAAGAGTTGTTGTCAGCTCTTGTTCAGCTACAGGCAGACATATAATGATAATGTTTACTATTTGGTCTGGATAGAAGTCTGGGATAACTCTCAAGGCCGAGCATCACTACGTTGCTAATCTCCTGGGTCCATACAAGATTCCAGACGCCGTTGGTTTCACAGTCAGAAACTGTACCTTCCGTGAGCTCCGTAAACATGATATAAAGGTGCGATAGCAATCTTCTCTGTGCTCTGAGAGACTTCCATCCTATGCTCATCTCAGGTTGTGTTGCAAGCAGTGCTTAATCAATTAATGCCATGATAGATGAGGCTTATCGATCAGTATCCTGCATGAGACTGCGCTTAAAGATGACTTCCTCGTACGTAATGTGTTCATGTGAAGCTATGGTTTTCTCGAACTCTGGTTATTGCAAATATTTAAGCCCGTTTAGTGGAGGCGACCAAGATAAAGAGCAGGAGAAGGATGTATTCCCGCTATTCAACATCAATCGAAATACGCAATCAATAAACATACATTATATCGCGCTAATGCGCATAGTCACTTGATCATCCACAATGTCGATAAAAGGATGCTGAATAATGGTTAATAATGTATCTATTAGCACTCCAGAAATTGCATATAAACTACCGTGAGAGATCAACTAGAACCACGTCTTCATCATCTAACAAATAACTTAAGCCCAACCTTCGTCATAACCTTTTGTTTCATAAAATTGTCATAGATAATCGTATATCCAGATCCTTTAACTCCATTCCGGTACAAAGCTAGGATAAATCACACGCCCATATTCCGTATGCAAGTGCACATCCTATGTTGTTGTAGTTCGGGCTAACCAAAATGTCCGCATGCCCAGTCTGGCCGTTGTAAGCCCAACCAGCTGACATCGTCGTGCAGATTCCGTTGAGACCAGGCAAATCAGGTCTCTCACATAGCCAACCTCCGACAAAGACGTTTTCGAAATTATCGGCGTTGCCTGGAGCAAGAACTTGCGCAAAAGACCCTGGATTCAGTTGATGTATCATCTGACCTTGGCTATCATCCACTGTCTTCAAAGCGTTGCTTTCCAAGGTGGGCGACTGCGTGAGTTGAGATAGAGATAAGTTGTTGCGCCACTTGTTTACCACTGTCATGTAGTCCACGCTATCGGAGGGTTGACTTGGTGTTGACGAAGGAGGAAGAGTAGAACTCGATGTTTGTGTTGGCCTGGCAGATGGTTGTGTCGATTGACGCAGTGTTGTTTGTTGTGTCGGTCTAATTGATGATTGTACCCATCGAGTCAGTGTGGGAGTTTGACTTGACACCATCGGAGTCTGAGTTATTGTAGACCGATCATATGAAAAGGAAGATCTGTCACCATCTGTACGCTGTCCCGACCATGAATCCACTGCATCAACCGGACCTGAAAGTCCTGGTCGACTACCGTCGCGATTTGAACCTTGTCGATCATCCAGCTGTGATCGGTAACGTGGCCAACCTTGACGTGGATTAAGAACAGCCGCACTAACGACAAGACCAGTAAGTACAAGAGCCTTCAGGTTGTGGAGCATGTTGTCAAATTGCGAGGAGTTCGGTCCGGAAAGACAGTATTTGGGTGTGTGAAAAGATGTGAGGATTACTGTATGAGGGATATGACTTTAGAAATGTTGCTTGTGAGTAGTCCTGCTTTGTTCATGTTCAAGCCGAGCAGTGTGAAAAGAGTGCTCTATATAGTTCACCACAAAACGTGTGGTTGGATATTATATTGTTGGGAAGACCGACCACCTCGAGCATACCACAAATATGTGGCTAGATTGTGATGTATCGCGTAACTCTAAGGATCTTCATGCTGCAAACGTTGGATGCGTACCGGTGAGATCGACCTCAAGGTGACCTTGCATCATTGCCCCAGCCTCACATCGAGCCCGTGTAATGGATGTGAAAATAGACAGTGTTCATTGTCAGCACCTCAGAAACTTTGATGCACTCGTGTTTTAATTGTGGTTGGTAATGAAGATTGCCGGCGTGGATATACTTACTCCGGACATCTTCTGGTATTCATGCCAAGACTTTCAACTTCCGGTCGACGACGTGCTTGGGGAAAACTCTTGAACGTGATACTTATGCACCTATAACAAATCTCTCCGGTCTTTCGACCCCTGCAGATAAGGGTATGCGCTGCTGGAGTTCTTCAAATGAGATATAGCTTACAAATGAGAGACTCTGCGAGCACGACAGATCCGGCTTAGCGTATTTCCACTTCCGTCCGGTCAGACCGACTAACGATCCTTCGGAAATTGATCAACGAAACAATGGCTGGGAGCACATCTGCTATTGATTTCGAACAGATTTCATGGCCGGAACGAAGTAATAGTCTTGCCTTCTGTAAGTCTGTAAACAGGAAGGCAGGAGATTGCTGCGAAGCAAGACGCTCTCTGACTGAATCTCTTAATCAGCGTTCCCGGTATGAGCAGCACCAGACTGAGTGTCTCGTGGGTAGACCAGTGTTACTTAAATTTGAGAGCGCTATAGGGCCACCAAAATCGAGTAAATGGTAGGAGCATAAGGGTAGGAAAGTGGCCTGATTCGTGGCTATCAGTACATACTTAAGCAATAAAGACTTTGCCACTAAGTGATTGCTGCTGCAAACCCATAGACTCATCTCTTATCCATGCCGTCCCTTCAGAAGTCACTCAGTGAAGCAAGAAGCTGCCTTTTAGATCGCATCATGCAGATCATGCAGCTGAACAGTTGTGAAACGAGGAAGAAGATGTCCAACAACTCCTCAGGAGACAGGTGGTCATGTCTTCGGTATTTGGTAAGTTGTATCACTTTCAGTTTGTAGAGGTATTTTCGGTAGACAGTGTTGCCAGCGGCTTTCATCTGGCTCGGTAATGCACGATGTTGTACCTTTTCAGTGCTATCTTTGTTAAGAGTCGGTTGAATAGACAGTGGATCCATCTTTTTGGACGTAGGGAGATCCATAAACTTAGTCAACCAGAATGACCGAGCCTGTTGATATGAACTCCGAGTCCAGACCTTCGTGGAACTGGCTCCTGCATATCTGGCATAGCACCACCACCCTGGTTGATCGTCCCAGGACTACGATTCATCACGTTCATCTCGTTGATGTCTGGACTTCCGCCTCGACTATGAGTGCTATGAGAAACAGTAGTGCTCTGCCTATTGTCTGCAACCGTAGCTGTTCCTGGCATGAATGAAGCTGACATCGGTGGAGGTGAGCGCGGAGCTGGTGTGCCAGAATATATCTCTGATGTATGATAACGTTGTTGTGTGGGTTGGTGCTGTGCCCCATATAGGTTCTGGTTAGACGTAGCAGGGTTCAGCAAGTAGGGAGGAAAGCTCTGCTCCATATAATTAGGAGACATATGTATTGGTGGACTGCCTGTGGAAGGTCGATAATGCTCGACAATGGAAGTGTTTACATCAGAGCCAGGATAGCCTTTGTTAGCCTGGATCATGACAGGAACGCCATGTGGGCCATAAGCTGGAGGCATGATGGCTGGTGTAGTGGTACCGGATTGAAACGGGTTCTGCTTGCTGCCAAAACCGTTGAGCCAGGTCCCATTATTATCCTCAGGACCACGGCGCCCACGCGAGCGGCGACCACATATCCAGATAGCGATACCAGCGATGAGAGCAATCGCAGCAGCACCAATAGCGATACCTGCTATTGCTCCTGTACTAAGACTGGACTGGTTGCTCGAGGCTGCCGTGCTTGTCGTGGATGTTGCAGGCGATGTTGGTGTCGGTGTTATTGTGACTGTAGCAGGAAGTGTTGCGCTAGTGCTTGAGTGCTCTCCATGCTGGTCGCCAGCTGCGTTGGATCCCTCAGCTGGCCACGAGTCACCTGCAGTATGTTAGCGATCTGGTCGAGAGCTCGAGAAATGAGAATTGTACCAGGCTGAAGAACATACGCAACTTGCATCGCCTTCTGTCGGTGCACATCCAAGCTAGTGGACGAATTCGGATTTACAACATGGACCATGCCATGTTTATCACATGCTTCAGGACCTGAGCAGTAGGTGAAGATTGGCTCGCTGTCATTTACTCTTTTGATAAAGGATGAAGGATCCCTGACGGTATCTACGGGTCGAAATCCCGAGTAGAAGCCTGGCGAGGTATTGATCATTTCGTACTTGATAGCATTAGTTGACATATCTGATCAGCTTTTGTTGAGCAACTGACTGGTATGCATGGATAGTCGAAGTCGGCTCTGACAATGGAGTGGTTCTTTGGATATAGTAGGTATTCTTCGAAGACATCAGCCAGAACATTCATGCAAGATACGATGCGCTCACCAATGTAGTCGCCAACTTCAGCAAGAGCTTCAGGATGTGTTAGCCAAGTCTCATTCACCCTGTTGCTTGGGGCTCGAGGCTCAGATGCAATATCGCATGTCTCGATGGACATGAACCCGACGAGGAGTTGTCGGAGGACTTACTGGAGGGCGGCAGAATTGTATACCCAGCCTGGAGGACGTCAGCACGTTCCTACCTCTCGGACGAGAATGGAAATACCTCTCCAACCCTGACTGTATGAGTGACAGGCTCGCGTGTTGTAGGTGTAGCTGTCTGGGTCGACATGGTGCTTGGAATAATACCGCTGTAGACAACTCAAGCACAATTTGTTTGAGTTGAGGTATGGCGAGACAGTAGTAACAGAATCTTCGAGGTAGGATACCTTGATTCAAGAGCGACTCAATGCTGTACCAAGTAGAGCGGGGTAGGTGATCCTCGCGATGCGACAATGCCGGACCATCCTGCTAATGGCATCGCGGCGATAAGGATGTGTCTGGACAACCTAGTAGATGCAGCTCTGAGTCTCGAAAGTCTTGCCATGCAGCTTCGACCCGGGGTCGACCTTGGCAGCCTGATTGCATGATGTGTAATTCGTGAGCATTGGAGCAAATTGCTTCTGGCATCGTGTTCGTTCCTAGTGCTGTGTAA